GGCTTGTCGTTATGGTTGGTTAGTACAAGTCGTTTTTCATTGCCCCCTCTTCCCACCCCCTCTGCCGACCGCCACCATCACCACCTCTCCCACCAAGGTAACCGCTGTTACCATACGCTAGATAAAATCACGCAGATCTCTCTTCTCGTCACGATTGCATAAAATACCAGCCCTGAAAATGAATTCCAACCTCTCCCTAAACGATACCATTCTTGACCGCCCCTTAAGTCTGCCCCCACAGCTCAATTTAAACGTTCCTTTTCTGAAAATTTAACGAACCAGTTTTGAAATAGACCTCGGATTGTACTAACACCAGATAGCCGAAGGGTTCCGGGGTTCTAATTTGTTTTTTCTATCCTTAACATTATTAGTGTAAGGATGTATTACGTGTTCTATTTTAGTTTTCAAAGGGTACTTAACAAAGGAGATAAAATATGGTTTACGGCTATAAATATTTTTTAAGCAAAGAATAGGCCTAAGAACAGACAAGGGAGACTATTTTATTTCTCTATTATATATCATATCTATGCGTTCACTTTCTTTCTCTTTTCGCTCTCTTCTTTGCCGCTCTTTCTTTCACTTCTTCTTTTATCAGCAATTCACATACATAAAACGCACAGATTCTAGCAAAAGATGACATTTAAAGCGTCATTAAACTGTCAAAGATAGTACTCTTCAGGGCTGTTGCGTAACCACCTGTTGAAGGTTCTTATAAAATAAATAAATATAATAAAAAATAGAGTAAAGAGGAGCTAACATCTAGAAATTAGGTTACGTCAGATTAAAAAAGTAGATATATAAATACAGCAAAATACCGCAAAACTTTTGTTGAAAGAAAGGAAAAAGTTAAACTATAAGTTTTTTTTTATAAAAGTCGGTTGGAAAATAAATGTACATTTTGGTTTTTTCTGTTGTCTGTAAAGGAAACAGCTTTTCAAATAGGCTTAATAACATTTATATCTTAGTAGAATGTACTACGTTGTACAATATAGGAATAATACATGCAAAAATATCCTATGTACTTTCGTCCATGAAATTAAAGTGAAAATCAATTTATTAGAAATGTATACACGCCGAATGACCATTAAACAATTGGCAAAAAGAAAACAAAACCATCTCCTTTATAGCTTTAAACTTATATAGCGTAATATAAGTAATATTAGAAAATTTAACATGAATACATATCATTAAATATATAAGAAGATTTCATATTATATATATCTATATATATATATATATATATATATATATATATATATATATATAGATATTAGTATAAAAATAAACGCCGCTTATTGATTTTACTTGAGAGCATTACTGAATTACTCTAAAAAGAGAGAGAAACACATATGGTTCCTTTAATTTATGTGATAATAAATAAGGGGGGTTTACTAAGTTTTTTTCCTCTTTTTTTCTATCCATCCCTACAAACTCGTAGATTTATATCTTTTTTTCTTTTTTTGGTTGTAATCAGTAACCAAAATGTTCCCAAGATGATCTTTAAATGGAATCAATGAAGAAAGGGAAGAAAGGGAATGTTTTAATTTGAAACATTTTTCTGTCCTAAAGCTATCCAGTGAAAACAGATGCTTGGCGTAATTTTTCTCTTTTTCCTCCTTATTCTCTCTCTTACTGACTTTCACTCCTTTATAGTCAGCAGCCCTCCTACCAATCTTTCTCACCTACTATTTATAACACCTCCCCTTCCTATCTCTCTAGCTGTACAATTATCGTCCAAGTAAGCGCTGACGGCTGTAAACAAAAGAGAATTATAAATAGTGAACATAAAAAAGAAAGAAAAGAAAGAATAGAGAAAAAACAAACTTAAAAAAAATCCGTCAAACGATTAATCTTTCTTTTTAAATATTGTAATTCCTAATATAATATTACTATCTCTCTTGTTTGGTTCTGTTTGAAAAAGGGCTTAGTTGAAACTTTAAGATTCTAAGGAGGAAAGAAAAAAAAAGAAAGAGAGAAAAGAAAGCGTAAAAGTTGGTAAAATAGTAAAGTTTATGCTTATATTCATTAAAATTGGCTATTTTGTTGAATAAAAATATATACAAAAGGAACTATTTAGGTTCAATAAGTATAAATAATGACAAAAAAGGCCTTGTAGTTTTAACACTTTTTTGGATACTTTATTCTTAAACTATTACTGCCACCCTCTACTTTTTCCACCTCCCTCTTTTCTTTCTTTTTTTATATTATAAGAAAAAAGGAAATGTATTTAGAGCAAATTTTATGGCGTAGAAAATTAAAACGACTTATAAATGTGAAAAAACGACAGTTTAATGTTGTCTTTATGTTTCTATTTTATGTTTCTTTTCCACACTCTTTTTCCAATTGTTGTATTTTATAGAGGAGTTTATATACAGTATACTATATATATAGTATATGCAATATGTTGACAAATATTTGTTGTTAGTTAGGATTGAAATGGATAAAAAAAAATTTTCCATTTTGAACCATTCAAATAACGCAATGGCTCGAGTTAATTCTTCTTTTTAAAATGCTAAAAGAGAATAGGAACAAGGAAGAGGAGGAGTAGAAAAACTACTGAAGGGTGGAAGGATTTGAGGGAGGGGGAGAAAGGCAGACCCAGATAGAAAAAGTAAAGGTTTAGGATGTTTTTTAAGCCTTCTCTCTCTCGCTCTCTCTTCTTGTCATTTATCTTCATAGCCGATATATTAAATTTCGTTTTTTTTTCCGCATGAAAATGAAAAGTTAATTATAATGTAAGAGTGATAACCTTTTAAACTTTTTCCCATAACCTTAACATACCTTTAGTATTTCTGCTATAGCTCCCTACAAATTCCTAGGAAATCGAGAAAGAGGGCTACAAAGTGACTGTAACTTACCTAATGGGTCTAATATTACTTCCGTCTATAACCTTATAACATAATTTGCTTGGAATATTTATCAAAGTGTTCCTCCTCCATTTGATCTTCTTTCAATTACGGCTTATAACAACCCTTTAACCCTAGCCTCACCATAGTACACATAATCGTTAACTTATTTACTAGCGAATAAAAAAGAGATGGATCAATATTATAAAACTACTATGTAGTTTATAACTATATATAAATATATTTTACTAGTTTAAAAGGTTTCTGATGGAGTGATGATGGTCTAAGTGTGTGGTTGTTTACAAAAATTCTTATCTAACATAAAACATCTTTTGCAGTGAAAAATAAAATAAAATAGAATTCCCAAATCACCGATTTATTCAAATATTTGGTTTTTATTTCAACGCTTAAACTAATGGTTTTAATGGTAAATCCTAAACAGATCACATAGTAGAGATCCTTCGCTTAAAGTCTTTGTTTAGTGCAGTTGGTACCCGCAAAATAATACTATATTGTATACAAATAGTTTCTATAGTATGTAAGAATGGTTTAAAAACACTCATCCAAAATTAAATTTCTTTGTCCACAATTCCCAGTTCATACTTAATAACCCCTTCGCGAACAATCACCATCGTCCCAGATCTGCCAAACATCTGTTGTTCGGCAAGTTTCTCTTCTATTTCTCCTACTTTTCTCTTCTTTCTATCTTCGTCTCTCCCGCTCTTTTACTCTTCTCTCTTTCTTTCTCTCATTCCAACATCTGCTGAAAGAATATATTAGTACGGTTATTAATTTAATCACTATGCCTTATTATGAGCTATTTTTTAAATACTTATTTTTATTAATCCAATATACATTAACTATATAAATATATATTGTTAGAGAATTGCAAAGTCTGTATAGAATATACACAAAACACGACTTTTAGCAGTCTGGCTAGAAATCACCCCCCCAGCCACTGATTCTTATCAACGTCCTCCTTTTTATGGGAGCCACCGCCCCGTGCAGGTGCGTTTAAATATCGAATTATTACGTAACTTAAACTCAGACCCCCTCCAGTTCTTCCTCTCTTATCGAGGTAGCGATCGAAATATTCCTTTCGCATCGGTTTTTCCCTGTTTTAAGCGGCACTGTTGGAACTTTTGAAGAAAGTTTAGACAACCAGTCAGACCCCCTCATTTTTTTTAATGGTGCTTCTGTTCATTATCGTTTAAAACATCTGAGATCTCTGTTAGATTTTGCTAGCGAGAGTTTTTTCAAGATCCACCCTGGGGACTACGTCTGCTGAGATAAGAAAACTTGTGAAGTGTCTTAAAATAAGAGAATTTTTTTCCACCTTTGAGACGTTCAATCGCAATCTTCAAAAATTATTATCAGGGGATGTAGCTTTTACGAAATAAACGAAAACATTGCTTTATTTCTTATCGTACTTGCATTTATATAAAAGTCTTTTAAGTATTTCTTTATAAACCAGATGGTCCTACAACAAAAGTTGAAAAAAAAATCTCAATGACAGAACACATTGACTAGTGACAGTTTTATGTTGTATATATAGACAGAGAAAATATATCAGGTATATAGTTATGTCGCGTAAGGGATTAGGGAATGAGAAAAAGAAAATATTTTAATAGGAAAGGAAGACTCTTTGTTCATGAAAAGAAGAAGAAAAACAAGATTGAAAGAGAGATGCTCAAATATCCTTTTTCTCTCCTGTTCCTCTCGATTCCTCCTCTTCCCATCCCTCTCCCTCTTATTTTTTTTATGTCTATATTTCTAAAGACTTTGAGGCTTAAGCGGTCCAAAAGCGAACAGAATTAATCATAAATTTATGCGGTAATCATTGCTCCCTAAACGGGACAATTCCCAAAACAAATAACATCATACAATGTAAAATTAATGCACTTTTACGGTGCTTCCATAACCTTTTAAATGATTTTTCCACCATATTCCTTTTTGGTTCTATTCTATTCCATCTTTTTATCAGTGGCATAGATAAATAATATATATATATACAGTATATATTCATATTATAAGCTACGCCCTCTGTTGGACAAGTTACTTCTTCTCCTAAGAGAAAGTTTTCTCCAGTGTTTCATAATATGTTATTGATTACAGTTTCCTCGCTCTTATCTCAACTAGAACTTGTTAAGAACCTATGGTTCATTTAGGTCTGACTGAACCTATAAATGAATACATAATGATACTTATATAAGCATATATATATATACTGTGTAGACCACGCAAATGAATCACAATAGATTATATAATTAAATGGTTTAATTATTAAAACTAATAAAAAATTAATAACGTAATTATTTGTTTCAGTTAATGGTCAATGGAGTTATTGGACGCCATGGTCGAGTTGTCTAGCTTCGTGTAACAGAATACGTACTCGCATTTGCGATAATCCCCCTCCAAAGCATCGCGGAAATAGATGCTTAGGCGTCGATTCTCAAGCTAGGAATTGCACGGGGGGAATGTGTAGACGTAAGTATATATATAGTTTATATAGATTCTTTCCCCCCTCTAAGCCTTTAAATCAACAATTAGACTGTTTACACTAGTTCCACTTTACAGGTGGCTTCCATTCGAAACAGCCTCGCTTTCAGCAGGGCGACAATGGTACGTTTTTCTTTTCCTTTATTTTCTGTTTGAATTGTAAGCCTATACGGATTTCTTGTTGAAAGACGCTGTTTTCGTTAAGAGTTACAGTTGCTTCGTAATAGTTTATCACGAAACGTCCCTTTTATCTTGCTCAATGCACCGGAAAATCCGAACGCTTTAAAGTACATTAGACAAACTAATTAATAAGAAAAAGATACTAAAAAACTCACAGGAGCAAAGGTTTTTCTGATAAATTCCTTTACGCCATCTAGCGAATGGTTTAATCCGTTTTAGAAAAATAGGATTGTGCCAAATCGTGCGAGTTAATAATTGGAGAAAATGCAGGTCTCTTTTGTCAAATTGTTCATGCAAACGTAAAAAAAACCATTCAATTTTAAATCTTTATAAGTAAGAGTAGCGCTTAATATAAATAAGTTAATTGGTTTTATAGTATTGTAGGGATTATTAAAATTCAAGTGAAAAGATTATCACTAAAAGATAGATGAGGAAATTGAAGAGAAGAGAGAAGAAATTAATTGAGATAAGGGTATTTGAAAAAAAAAATCGGCATACGGTGACTATCGGCGTCTCCTTACGCAAACAATCGATGGAAAAGTTTGCATTCGCTTTGATATATACTCTAGAGCTTTTGTACACATTACGTTCTTTTCTAGCATCCGCTTTATTTTTTCCTTTTTTTTTCTCTAGCTAAGAAAGTCGGGTTGTTAGTGGCTTTAGGCCTAGCAGTTACGCTTCTAGTAACAATTGCTCTGGCGACGCCCGTAGTAATTTGGAGAAGACGAGAAAGAAAAAAGAGAAGAAACTTTATCAAAGTGGATCCACCTGATATTACTCAAACTGTTTTAACCAATAATTTCTCAGGTAATTCCTTTTTTTAATGTATATATAAAGAAGGGAAACTTGTTTTTATAAACTGTAGATTTAGATTTTTTAACCTATTTTATTTATATTTTTATAGAAGCATCAACAAAACGACCCATTTCTGCTCTATACTCTGAGGTAAATGCAAAAGAAGGCAGTACATGGGCGTCGCTAGGTCCTTCGGGAGGTAGACTACAACTTGCGGGAGTTACATTAACAGTTGCTGAGGGAAGTCTGGAACAAGTGGAGGAAATATTTCTCAGTGTTTGCAGGGATGAAAGGCCCATAGTCCGTCCAGGTCAGACGATATTGGGGCCAGTAATAGAGTTAGGACCGTCCAGGGTTAATTTAAAGAAACCCGTTGTTCTCTCCTTCGAGCATTGCGCCTCATTGAAGCACGGTAATTGGAGAGTGACGCTCTGCAGCGATCAGTGGGCCGTTACCGTCGGGGAGGAGACGGAGACGCCTCTATACGTGCAGATGGACGCTGAACGCTGTCACGTGATGACGGATTGTTTAAGGAAGTACACCCTACTCGGCGAACCGACTGGGAAGGCTGTGAAATTATTAAAGGTCGTCGCCTTTTCTCAGAGTTCACCTCCCGATTATAACGTTCGTCTCTACGTTGTCCACGACACGCAATGCGCTTTGGAAGTAAGTTAATCTTTATCTCTTAACCTATCTTTGACCTAATTAACCTTCAAAACTACTTTAAATGTTTACGCAAATGAATGAAATAAGAAACGCTTAAGCAGTTTAACGTTTGAAAGGCTTTTGCTCTAGGCTGTATATGCAATCTTCTGTAGTTTATGAATTTCCTATTGGACAAATAGTCGAGTAAATAAAAATTACTCTATGTACTTAAGAATATGATATGAAATCTAATGAAGCTTACTTTGATCATCTGGCTTAAAGAAAGCTAAAGTATTAAACTGTAACTTTTTTCATTTTCTTCCATAAATAGGCCTACTGAAGTGTGTAATATATAGTAATGTTATATCTTTATATTTGAATAGTATACATAGCTATTTTAATATTAAAAAAAAAAATCCAATCACCGACATTTTATTCTGTTGTTGAATTTCGTTTAAAGTATAAAAAAGCAGCTCTAATTAGCATGATTGATGATGATAGCCCCTAGGCTATGACCGATAGGTTGAAGTGCTTATAAGAACCATATATTATAAAGAATTTATTAAAAAATATCTATTAAAAGTATTTTTTTTATAATATTAATTGTATTATTGACGCACAGCGGGTTTTTAATTATTTAACGGTTTTTTTATCTAATATTCCCATGAGGGTAGACGAAAAATTTTGCGTCTTTCTCTATCTAGTAGCGACACCTATTTGATACTTTTTTTTATGGAAAATAGTTTTGCTGACATCTGTCAACCTTTCTTCTGTACGGATAATTTAATCCATTCTGTTCTTTTCATACTTAATCGTCCTTTATTTTCTCCTTGTTAACTTGAATTTCTAACGTTCTTTTTTATATTGAATATAGGTCAATGTGTAGGACTAAAATATAATTAGAGCCCATATGAAAACGTTCGCATAGTTTTGATAACGTTTTTTCCCCCTTCAACCTCTTTTTTTCTTAACAATGATTACAAGAATTTAACGCCAGCTTTGTATGAAAACATTCTTTTGTAGAAGGTTGCATAAGACCTTCTTTTTTAAGGTTTTTCTTACCTCAATGATAGATAAATTAGGCTTTTATTACGTATATATGTAATATTCGCTGAAAAATTACGAAACCAATAAAGTTTAGAAACTTTAGGTTCTTCTCTCTTTGAATGATCAAGGCTAAAAAAGTACAAAAAGCAACGATTTATGCTTTCTATATATACTATACATGCAGATACTTTATATTACTAGTGCCATCTGTATTATAAATTTCTCATGAGATTTTGTTTTTCTACCAAAACTAGGAGGTTATGAACGTTGAAACGAAATTAGGAGGAGATTTATTATGTGAACCACATCAATTACTGTTCCAATATACTTCTGGAAATTTGTGCGTTTTAATTGAGGATGTAAAAGGAATTGGTTGGAAATCGAAAGTTTCTTCGCAACAAATTCCAGAGGACCATGTATGGAATGCTCCGTATAGCTTAAATTGTTCATTCACATTTGAACAACTCAATTATTCAGCCGGTGCTACTCATTCTCCTTTATCATGCGCTCTTCATATCTATCAGGTTGACGGAGACCAACAGACTCTGTTTATCTCAACCGAATCCAGGAAATCACCAAGAACGGCTATCCTATCTTCAAATGGTCATTTAATAAATAATTTTAGGCTATCAGCAACAACAAAGAAGCATCTTTGTAGCTTGTTGGATGTACCACAACCAAGGGGTAACGATTGGAGGATGTTAGCGCAAAGATTAGCAGTTGACAGATATGCCACCTATTTTACAAATAAAATAAGCCCAACAGAGCAAATTTTACAATTATGGGAAGCCCGCCAAACCGATACAAATTCAGTTGGTGAATTAATGAACTGTTTAAGAGTTATGGGACGAACTGATGCAGCCGCCTTAATAGAAAAAGAGGCTGGAGCGTGGCTGTAAGAAATTTTAACAAGTTGATTTCTTTCTTGTAAAGTTAAACTCTAAAACTATTTAAATGAGAAGACTAAAGTAAGAAGAGAAAAAGTGAAATATTTTAAATACTTTCTTAATCTCTCTCTCTCTCTCTTCTGTAACCCTTTCTCTGCTTATCTATTTATCTCTCTCTCTCCTTCTCTATCTGTATTGAATAATTAAATCGGTTTAGTCGTTCTGTTATGTTTTCTCTTCATTTTTTTTTGGAAATCTCTTCTATTTTGCCACTTGACACAAAGGAAAGAGAATATTATAACACAAAACGAAGTATAAAAAAAGAAACAAGACAAACCGAATGATAAAGAAAAAGAAACAATGCTTCTTCTACATCTTTTAGTTATGTTATTTTAACTTTTCATTTCTAATTCCACTGCTAATTTTTCGTTTTTCCATTTGTTTTTCCTAAAAATACGTTTAATTGAATAACTGCAAATTATTGATATAAGTTGGGCGCATTACGAATCCAGAACAACAAAGTCGAGGTTACCAGAAAAGAGAAAAGAAACGAAAATTTCATGGTTTCAAAGGCTAGTCAGTTCTGTAATTATATTGATGAAAAACATTGTATAAGCATGTGTAAATCTCTGTGAAATGTATAATTTCTTGGGGACAATTTAGGGGTATATACTTCTATATTTTATATAAAGTATATATTCCAAAAGACGAAGAATACATAAACTTTTTCAAACATAAATATCGGAATGATAAAAACTCTTGGAGTCTCTTTGACTTATTCTTAAATGATGATAAAAAGAAAATAATAAGATGAGCGATAATAATGATAACAAAAAGCGAAAGATATGTATTCTTTCCGTCCTACTAATATTCCTTTTTAACTGCTTTGCTAATTAAGTTTTGTTTTTATTTTTTGTTTATTTGTTTTTTATAACTTTCAATATAAAAAGATACTATATCTACTAATTATTATATGGTCAATTACCTTATTGGTTATGAGAAATGTCTATTGTATTATATAATACTATTTGAAAAAGAAAAATGCATGTATATCGAAAAGAAAAGAAGATAAAAGAGAAGAAAACAAAACTTGTACATTTTACTTTTTCCACGAAATTTCTATGCATTTTATGTTTTTGTTCTTATTTTTCTTTTATTAATTCTTTATCTTTTTATTTTTGACCTTTTAACAAAGAAATTCTAGAATAGTAAAAAGAATTTTTTCGAGTGTAGAAAACAAATAAAAGAAGACTAAAAAAGATTAAATATTTGAATAAATTCTATTATTATTATTATTCCGATATCTCCTTTATTTAGTCTAAAATTCTAAATGAATAAATATACTATATATATACAGTTTATATATATTATATAGTAAATTTGAATATATATTCTTTACTATACACTTCTTCATCCCACATACATAGTTATTAAGGTTTTAATTTAAATTATTTGTAATAGTCCTCTGTATATTTAGAATTCAAATTACAATCTAAATTGTTGATTCAGTGGATCTTTTAGATGTAAAGGTAAATTGCTAAATCTCTCTCTCTCTCTCTCTCTCTCTCTCTCTCTCTCACTCTTTTTCTTTCTAAATTCTTATTTAGTTTACAACTACTCTTTACAGCCAGCATTGAGTATTAGCTTTTCATTTGTAAATATATATTATTGTTACGTATGAAATTATTACAGATACACTAGACGGTATATATACAGTATATGTAGCTGATGGGATACATTACCCTATCTACTCTACATTTCCCAAATTTTCATTGACAAACATACTTCAATTATATCATAGAACATTCAAAATGTTAATTTCCACTTTTCAACGTTATCCAATTTACACTCTTTAAATGAAAATATTGGATATTTTATACCTTAATTTTGTCATTATTCTATTTTTAAACAATACTCTACTTTGAAACAAAGTAAGAATTAGAAATACAATAATCTCAAGAATGTACATATCACAATTCAATGGATGAACGAATAATGCAGTCATCAGCGACACTAAAAGTGAATAAGCAGAAAAGAGAGAAAGAGAAAGACAGAGAGAGAGAATACTTTCAGAAAATATGTGATGTATTCGTCTATAAAACTCAGTAAACCAACGAAGGAAAATAGATACTCTGTACTCCATCAATAAGACTGTTTGTTATAATATTATTATATTTGAACTAGTATTGACAATTTTGCTGCATTTTGCCATACTTTTGTAACATTTAACATCATTTATTAAGGGAGTTTCATGTGATGGAAGAATATAAATATGCCAGTTATCTCGTTTCAAAGATTTCCTCCGTTCCATATTTATATCTTCATATTTTGATATTTTTAAATATTTTCTCAGACTTCCCATTTCCATTTTGTACTGGAAAGGAATTTATCGAATCATTACCTCTCGTTAACAACCGCTTCTGTCTCCATCTGTAGGGCCAACTTATTCTTTACATATAATCTACTTTATCAGTTCTATAGTTGATAGCTCAGCAGTTAAAATTACAAAGCTAAAACAAGTCTAATCGTTTTTGCTAGGAAAAGTGGCTTGTTGACCATACGATAGGCAAGAGACAACATATTACCCTTTTTTGTAAATTTCAAATGATTACCATATTGTATTAGTTGATGCAATCAATAGTTGATTTTCCAGCTATTCAGTAATCATTACACAAGTTGGTTTCATTATCCCACATCATTTCTCAGTCCTATTTCTAGTAGTTCTATGAACGTTTCAATATCCAGTTACGAAGCTAACAGATTGTTCCTTATGGTGTACTACTAGCCTTTACTACACACAATTCCAGTATATCAGTTGGATGTTTTCGATGTGTCGTAGCATCTAGATTGAATACTGTATTTTGTATATTTCATTATTAGTTTTTTTGAACATAGAGTTCATTTATTATAATTCATATTTCAGTCACATTTAATCTATATCAACTTAGTCAAATTATATTGTTCAATTGAAATTAAACCTTTGAACTGTGTGTTATGTATTGTAAGAACTGTTTGGAATTTAAGTTTGATACCGAAATCCGTAATGAAAGCATTCTACATTTTTGTATGAATTCATAACAAATTATTGATAGTCTTTAAAGTACTTATTAATGATATAACATATTTATTGTAATATTGTCAAATTATCTTCAATTTCATGTTCTTATAGTCTCATAGTCAAATCTACGCTTAGGATGAAATTTCATCATAGTAGGTATCCTAGTTTTTTGAATATAAATGGCTTTTCACTTACCAAAATACCATAAGTATCGTTAATATTTAATCGAAAGAGTTTAATTCTCATATACCATTATGCCAAATATTTTAACTCATGTTGATCACATGATCATCAATCATTTTAAGTACTCACAAAAGAAAGAATTTTGTTTATTGGATTAAGGACTGAATATTATCAAAGCCAAATCATTTTTTTTATGGCTGTTGGTTCACGTAAGTGGTATTCAGAACAGCTGGATACTCAACACCTTTTAATTTTCCATATATTTTAAAGATTAATAATGATCAACTATGAATATGATTGTCTGATTACCAAAAAATTAATCAGTTTCATTAAAAGGGACAATAATAGCAAAAAAATATTTTGAGAATGGATTATCTTCGTATTTTAAAAAAGTATTAATTATTTTCCAATGTTAAAAAGCTTTTCCTTGATTTTAATTAATAAACACGTGATTATATATTTTAATATTTTACGAAAAAATCAAAATCCATCAAAATCTTTAATAGAAATTATTTGTTGAGAGATCATGTCCATTATCTAGAGGAATTCCAATGTTTTTTCGTCAAATCTCGATAATCTAATGTTAAACCTCCATAAATTGGTGAATTAATTTCTTACCAATAAGCAAAAATATATGATATAGCAATTGCACCGGTTGAAAATACTTTTATAAGTGAAAATCTTGGTTTATCAACATTTCCAGGATATAATTCAGTAATTTATCAATAAACGAAATGTTAATGCTTAGTTTTTTTTCAAATCAAGTTTTAATACCAATCGAGAATTTCTTTGAACTCTAATTTGCTTAATATAAGCTGTTTGATTCAGTATCTGTTTTTTAGATATCAAGGAAAAGAGACAATCTAATTTTACACTTTATTCCTTGAAGTACAGAATCTATTACAAACAACAAGGAAACTTTACTTGTTAGCAAACAATACCTAAAGGGAGAAAAAAAGTGTCAAAGGCAACAATTGCTTCCCAGCCAACCCAATCGACTGATATAAAATTTGCTAAAACGTATTACCAAATGTAACAATCTAATATAGGTATAGCTGAAGATTTACGTCAGCAACAGTATATTCTACTAGCAATAATAGACTCTTAAATCTACTTTATATCTAAAAAGAGCATATACAATTTTTTATTACTGTATATAATAATGATAAATGTAAATTAAATAGCGCATTTATAAAAAGAAGGCTCTATATTCTTCTAAGAAAGTTCAATACGCAATTAGGTCATTCTTTTTAGAGAATAGACATTACGTGACGAACTTTTTTTCGAATGTTTGCGAAACTCTAAATGTATTCTGAATGTGTTTAGTATTGTATTTATAACAAAAGTGTTTAATAAATAGGAAACAATGAAGTATATAGTGTCTACGAGATCATGGCACTTTTGATATATAAAAAACAAAGGGAAAGAAAGGGAAAGGGCATTTTTGGTAATTGTTTAAGGGAATGGTCGATGGGTGAAAATAGATTAGATATATGAGAGATGAAGATATGTCATATATCGTTATTTATGCAGATTCGGCTTGTGCAACTAATGCCGCTACTTGAGATTTCTGTTCCAATTCTCTAGCCTTTTTAACTGCTGCACTTTCAGCCATTATTTCTTTTTCTCTCTTTGCTCTAGCAATCTTTTCTTTTTCTTTATTTACCATTGAAGATCCATTCATTAATTCAGTATATTCTATCGTTCCACTCTTATCAGCGTCTAAAACGTCCATTAACATGTCTAACTGTTTCTATTATAAATTGAAACAAAAGGGAAAGTTTAATGTTATCTTCGTAGGTTTTTACAGAGTAATAAAATTCACTTACACTAGTTAACCTTAATCCGAAATCTTTAAGGCCAAACTTTAATTCTTCTAGTGTGACGTCACCACTTTTATCTTTATCCATTTGATTAAATAAATCTTCAAGTCTGTCTGCATTATCCGTAATGAACTTATCAAATACTGCTAAAACGGTTTGTTGTATTTTAGCTTGTTGACCACCGCCTTCGGTATACATAATCATGATTTCCTTTTCCTTGATAATGCTGTGTATCTTAACGTGAACTTGGTGCGACATTTGAATATCCTTTATTTTAAATAATTATTAAACTATTTGTATAGCAATATAACAGATTACTTACCTCTAATCCAAGTAATTTAAGCCTAGGATGATTATTAGTAGCTTTTAATACTGCTTCAACTCCAGAACTTCCAATAATGTTGGAGCCCATCTAATTAAAAATGACATAAAAATAAGTGCTTAAGGTAAATATTTCATCTTACCAATAGAGTCTCTAATCTTTGGTTCTTTGACAAACCTAAAGCTAATTTTTTGGCTGCTAATTCATTCAATCGATTATTTCTTTAAAAGAATTATAGATTTTATCAATAATCTTCAATTTATTCTAGATAATTTGCTTTTATTCATACTCACGTAATATCTAATACTTTTAAGCCTTTATTAATTCTTAAAGCCGTACCAAGCGCTTCTCCTCCCTGAAGTGAAATTCCATTCCAAGATAAATCTAATATTTCTAATGACGTGTTTGTCTAAAATATTATAAATAATTGCTTTAAGATGAATTTTTATTAAATAATAGTATTGAGTAAAAACCTTTAAGGCTTTGACTATAGCTTCACCACCTTTTCTCCTAATACCATTCCAACTTAAGTCAAGATCGCTCAAGCCCATGTTAACAGCCTATTTATTTTTCAATTTATAAGGTGTTAGATGGGATTTTATAAACAAAATATATAATTGTTTTTATTTTTACCAATCCTTGACCCAAATAAATTCCTCCTAGTTCTGTGAAACGATTGTGACTTAAATCCAAACAACTTAGTGACATGTTATTCTTGAGAGCTTCGGCAATTTTTTGAGCGTCAGAATCCGTTAATTGGTTACCTATTGTCAATAAATAAATAAATAAATTAATTAGGTATCTAGTTTTACCTTGTAATGATAATGTTTTTAATGTCGTGTTTTGTTCCAGCATATCGGCGAATGCTTTTGCTCCAATTGAACCAATGAAATTATAAGAGACATTCTAAGAAATACATTCAAAAGTAGTAAGTAGTTAGTAATAAAGTAATAATTTAGGTATCACTTACTAAATTAACAATAAACATATTATCAATCAAAGTATTGGCTAAATAGGCAGCTCCCTCTCCAGAGATGTAATTATCAGCGAGATCAATTTCTTCGCATACAGTATTAATCTAACATGGAAAAAAAATTCTTGTATCAGTAAATTATTAAAATTTATGCAAATATATTCATTTTAAATGAAATAGTACTTTTAAAGCTTCAGATAAAGGTTTTGTTGCCTCTCCACCTAAGTAGTGATGTCTCATTCTTAAGTTACCTTCCCCCAGACTCTGTAACAGACAGCGAACTGGAACAACACCTAAAATAAACAAGAACAATGATTTGCGTCTTTTACACAAACTATAAATGATGTATGTAGCTGTTATTACCGCTTTTTTCACAATTTTCTTTATATAAAGTTGCACCTGTATTATCGTGAGGAGCTGATTCTTCTATAAAAAGTAACCAAATTAGTAAACAGCTTTCAAAAATAATAATTTATTTAATAAATTACTATGTATATAAATCAGAACAGAACAGAGATAAAGAGAAGGGAAAGATAAGGATAGGGAAACCTATGTAAATGTTTTAAATCATTCATCCAGCCAGCTAGCCTACATCATTTTTATATCTTATCAGAAAACGCTGGAAAAAATATTATAGATTATATAGAGATTTATCTTAATGTGTACAATGCAAAGCTGTTGTTTTGATATTCTTTAAAAGATGCTATTTTCTTTTCTCTTTGTTAAATTTGACTCAATTATGACTAATAATTAATATCTAATAACTCTTTTGGAATAATTACAGGACTAATCATTGTTATTTACTTGTTTATGAGAATAAGAAGAGGTAGATAAAGGTTTCAATTTCAAGGTCTAAAACACGTACACGAAGTAATCCTTAATCACAATACAAATTAATAGGATAAGCAGCCTTCTCATTTTATTAATACAATTTCCTATTTTAGAATTCTTTACGTCTTGTCGCTTCTAATCTATCTTTGATAAGTGAAATAATAAAAAAAAAGATGGCGGTAGAGAATTCTTATTATATTTTATACTAATAATATTTTGATATTATATATTGAATTTATTTCTATTCATTTTTATTCATATCATTCTATCAAGTACGATTTACTGACCTTTTGCAAAATCATCTTCAATATCTGTATCCCATCCATCAGAATGAAGTTCGGGTCCGTCTTGCCAATTTTGTACCTAAAAATTTTAAAATATATGTTAAATGATAGAGAAAAATGAATATTTTTATAATTATAGTCTACTTCGTCATCATCTTCTTCATCTTCTATCTGTTCCATAGGATTTTCTTCTTCATTTTCTTGTAATTTATCTGGAGTTTGAAAATGCACATGTGTTAAAAAGACTCGTCCGGTAGTAGCCATAGTAACTATTATTTGTTATGAGCAAAGTTTTTTGTTGTTGTTGTAGCAATTACGTTGCTAATCAATGAAGAACTATTCATGAGCTTGAATAAATCTTAAATATTTAAATAAGTATAACTATTTGCTTGAATAAATGAAATATCCAATAAATTCAACTTTTTCATAAAATATAATATTTTCTGGTATTTTTGTCCAAAACTTCTAATCTTTTAAACACCAGTTGGCAATATTCTATATCGATTTATACATTATTCGAATAGGATAAGCCTTTTCGATCAATTCAGTAAAGTTTGTGGTAGAAAACTGTGAATTTCCCTTTCTGAATAGATTTATTTGATTTATCCTATTGGCTAAACGGCAGTAATCCAAAAAAAAAAGATTAGGCCTATAGATAAATATTATAAAATCTTTTTAAGAAATATTTGGGTAAGCCTAACATTTCTTTATTTCCATTCATTAAAAGAAAAATTATTCAGCCTTTCTAACAAAAGTCCAAATTGATAAAAGGACTTTTATTTAGTATGGTTAAACACAATCTTTCTCTTTCCTTTCTACTATTTTCTTTTTCTCTCTTTTGGTTACAAAAGTTAATTACACTTATATTTTATCAATTAAATAATAATTGATCATTTCCGTTTCCTGTTGTCATTATTTAGTACTAATCGAGATAAATAGAATATATATAAACTTTCTCTAATTCCTAGAGAATGTAAGTATTTCATATATTTCACTTTTCATTTTCCTTTCCAACTTCTCCAAAGTGAAATAAATGAATGAATTGAATTTTATGCTAAAACATACAAAATCAATTATTATTTAACTATTTAATTAATTAAATAATAGACCAATCTATAAGAAAAAAGCATTAATCTCTCTTCTTTAATAATTTAATATTAGGATTGACTTGAAATAGGAAAATTAAATAATCACTTCTTAAAAAATACTGTATGTAGGTTTACTTGATAAAAAATATGATAGATATAGTAATAAAATAACAAAAGAACTAATACTTTATCTACGTAGCATACAAAAAAAGAATGTATTAAAATCATTGACTAAATGGCTATAATCTCTCATAAAGACAAAAAACAAACAAAATATCCGATATATTGTCTTACCTTTATCATTAAAATTCCCTTCGTAGATAAGACTTGGAATTTGTGTTAAACTCCATTCTCCGTCGGATGTCCATGCAGTTTTAACTTTTTTTGGTGCTTTTAAATTAGAATTCAATTTTTCAGGTGGAGCTGTTATTGGTCGATTATTATAATGCATTTTTTAATATTTGTTTATTATCCTTTAATTAAAATGGCATTCCGGTACGTTATATCCGATTAAAAATTAATTGAACAGAAGAGGAATTTTTCTCCAAATGAACAAAATCGAAGGAAATTTTTTATATTGACAAATTCAAGTCACGTTCGTAATCGATGAGAGTTCGATCGGGAGAATATTAGAATTGACTGGTATTTATAATTAATCCATTTTCAGGTATTTAATAACGTAGCTAAAACTGAATGATTGAAGAATAATACTTTTGCAAATAAGGGTTGAAATAGATTTCTCTTTGTCCTCAAGGTGTGGTTAATGTAGTTCTTTTAAGCCTATTTCTTCAAATCAACTAAAGATTATTTTTAGAAATGACCTTTAAATCGTGGGATAACATAGTTCCATCTATCAAAGGCTAAAAGTCTTCTAATTACAATTTAATGACTTTTAGAATTTCCTGTTGAAATCCAATAAAAGAATCGCAACAAACATTCAAGATGAAAGAAATGCTAGGTTTTCTTCTCTACTTTTTACCAAAATGATCTATTAACGTGAAATAATTATTTGGTTATTATTACTAGCATAAGAAAATATAGTACAAAGTTCTAAATAAATATTTAAAGTCCAGGACTCTCTTGCTCTTTTGTAGTTTCACTTTTTTTATCCCTCTCTCTCTCTCACTCTTTCTTCTATCTTATTCAATACTACCCTTCCTCCACTCTCTTCTATATTCTCTCTTTCTCTCTCTCTCTCTTTCTCACGCCTATTTATATCTCTCTACAACTCTTCATTAAAAAATCAAGTATTATTGAAATAAAATTAATAACATAGAATTGTCCAATCTTCGTTGTTTATATAAACAGAATAAAAGAATTAGAAACCTTTGATTTATTGTCGAAAGATATAATTCTCTTAGTACGCCGTTCCTAACATAAGAATCAAGTTATAGTGACTATAGTTTTCTTTTTTAAAATCCTCTAGATACTATTGAATACAGCGTAGCCACTTGAGAATGATCTAGTTCTAATTAGGTAATGGAATAACAAACGACCTGTACAAGTACTTGAACATTTAAACAGCATTAAGTTGAATAGGCTTAAAAATCTTTACAAATTCTTTTCCAAAATCCCTTGTCAAAGATCTTTCTCTCTTTTCTACATCGTTATTTATCAATCTTGCTGCTACTCAGTCTAAAAATCAAATAGTATGTCAAAAAAGGAAAAAGAGCAACAGACCAAATCAAACATCTGTTGCGTTAATCTGCCTTTAAAACTTGCTGTTTATCCAGAGTTTCAATATGTCATTCATTCAATAAAGTAATCTATCATCTTTATCAAATAGCATTTTTGTACTTATTTCTATATAAATACTAATATAAATGTCTAGCGGAACGTTTTGGAATCATTTTGATTCTTATAATCATCCTCTCTTTCTTCAAGAGTAATATATTCATACGTAAACATTATCTTAAAAAAGAAAATCAATACTGAAATCCATCTATTTCCCTTAGTTTCACAATCATAGAATATCTATACTTTTTCTGTTTTATCGAATAAAAATAGAGGGAAGCATTGATTAGTTTCGGCTATTAAGTTAAAAGATTCGTCAATTTTACGACAACGAGTACTTGTGAGACTTGCTAACTTTCCTCGACAATCAATAGAGTCCTTCCATTAAACTGCAATCTTTTGATCGCAAGATGGCGGTACTTTTTCATTCTCTTTCATTTATTGCTTTTAATTTTTACTACACTTTCACAGAATCATTAGCCTTTTCCGTATAACTAATAAAACATGTATATACGGCTATAATGAGCTTATTAAAATGCGAAGTATTTTTAGATATTGTAAAATATTCGTGTTCTAATGATAAAAAGAGGAATAATTAATAATATTACAAGCTTATAAAAATGTTGTTTATATATAGAAGAAGATTATATATCATATGGTTTATTTAAAGAGTTATGTTTTAAAATAACCAAGAAAATTGCTTGTAAACGAATTGATAGTGCAGTTTCGATAATGTTTAAAGAGAAGGCAAGTAAAAGTATACTCGATATAGAATTAACTAAAGAGATTTTCATAAAAGCCATTGACGTTCTTATATATAAATTTATATACGGTATATACATTATAAATAACGTACTTTCTACTTTTAAGTTATGTAGAAATATACAGAGAATATATTGAATAAACAATCAAGATATATAGGCCTACCCATATACTTTTGTACAAGTAGAAATGTAACTCTCTCTGTACTGGTATAGAATTTATTAAAAAAGAATCTAATTAATAAAATACTGTTATTTTAAATGAACGAGATCCCTTTTTCTTTTATGATAAATGTGGGTAGAATAAAAAAAAGAAAAATTCTATAAAATGCTTTTAGACAGGAAAAAAGTATAGTTTAGGGTAAAAAGGGTAAAATCTTATACATTACCCAATCAATTCAGTTTACTATCACTAAGACATGTTTCTAAGGTTACATGTTGATAAACATCTTCGCTCTTCTTATCGAGTATTTAAAGTGCGATGGTTGACAAATGCCAACCTTAGTCTATATTTTATACAACCATTAACAAGGTCTATTTACCAGATTTTTATTCCTCGGAGGTCAATAAATCTAATGTTGAAATGTTAGCAAAGTATAGTACTAATATTACATTAAGCGAAAAGAAAAAAGGTTGAAAGCCGTTGAAATTCTGTTGAAATTCTACTTAAAAATGAAAACGAATTTTTCGCCAGATTGAAAAGAATTAGAATAGATATATTTAAATAATCTTCCGTTAAAAATGAATATCAACTCATTTGCATATGTTTTGTAAATACGAAACAAAACTTGTATATACCTATAATAAGTTGATTACTCAATAGATTTCTTGTCTATGCATTTATCGCTATAGAAATTTATGTAGCAAGTATTATTATTACTAATGAATGGAAATGGACTAGCAACTGGATTGTAAATGCTGTAGGTTTAACATAGAATCTGTTTGAACCAGCTATAAGCCGATTAGTATTATTTTGTGTACTCTAGTTTCTAAGGTAACATCTACATAAGGTACATAATTATATAAAAGTAAAGTTTTCTTCTCTACTCCTCATCAATCTTTCAATTAGAAATGGCAAGCTCAGGCCTTACGCAGGAACAGATTCAATTACAAATACAATTAAAAGCCAAAGCAGTTTTGGAAGCTTTAACACCGAAATTTCCTGATTGGATGTCCGAAACTCATACTTGGGCTGTGTTGGTTCCACTATGCATTTTCACTGGTCTTGGAATTTTGGGTATATTTCTTGGACTATTCTCTCTAATCAGAATGAAATTTTGGGAAAAAGATGGAATTTATCCATACTTTTTCTGCCTTTACGTTAACTGTGTTTATTTATTCATTATAATTATACCTACTTTTCATATAAGCAGGTGAGATAGTGTACTTTTCCATATTCTAAAAAGTACAAATATATATATATATACTGTATATACAGTATAACTTGATAAATTTATAGGTGTAGCTACATTCAATATATAATAAATAAGGTAATTTAAATAAAATTACAATTCAGATAATTACGTTAAATAGGAACTCCTCCCTTGATTGGTCCTGGTTAAGAAAATTAGGAAAAAACTAGACCAGTTAGAATCCGTAATAGTGCTTGGATAATGATTGCCAGAATAGAAGGAGAGTTAATTACGTGAGAATCTCTATAGAGTATTTCAATTAGTCTACAGATTCAGTTGTGTAATTGTTTCTTTGCCTCGATCATTCTTTTCAATGTCTATCAAACCGCTACAAGATAATAGGTTTAAGTTTAAATAGGCGAAACAAACTTTTCAATTAAAACAGGTTCAACTTATATTTTTCCTTTTTTATGTTTTAAACAGGCAGGTTTTTGTAACTGATACGACAAAGAAAGATCCTGCATTGGAAGATCCGGCTCTTGAGAAATTTTACGAGACAAGAAATTCATGCTATTTATACCACTCATTAGTCTTATTGAGTAGTGGAATAATATTATGGAAATTTCCTAATTTGTCAAAAGTAAAATCCTTAATAATTCTACTATGTTTACTTGTTTTTAGTTGGCTTTTTTGTTTACCGAGGATGCTGCGACATAAAGTAATTGAATTAGATCTAATAATTACCAAAGTTTCCTATAATGGAATTGAAGAATGGGCAGACAATGACGCTTATGATAAAGGATACGAAACAATCCTTGCAATTATAATATTTTTTATACCAGCAGTCATTATGGCAATTACGAGCTTTGGTATACAAAAGTCAGATTCGGAGAAAATGGATAAATCTTGTGGTAAAGCCTTAATGATTCTGCAATTAATTACATGCGTCCTATACTTACCTATTCTTATACTTCTCGTGTGTACCGATTTGGGTGGTTTACTCTTAGATACAAGCGTCAAGCATGGATTAGGCGCATTTGTTAGCACTCTGAATATTCTAGCCATGGCTCTACCAAGTTTTATATTCATTGCTTTCTGGCCCCAGTTTAGAGCTATGGCTTTCTGTAAAGCACTCGACCGTATTACGCCCACCATTGGGTAAAATATACAATTTTTCTCTCAAATCGTTTATCTTCACATCTCTTTTACTTTTATGTTAAATTAATCTAAATAAAAGCACTTAAATACTTAAAAAATAAAAGACAATCTTTCTTCCTTGAAGTAGTCAGAAAATAAAAAGGCTTTTCTGTGTATTTGGCTTTTATTCAAGTCAAATAGTAAATAAACAAATATATAAATTTTTGCGCTTATTAAGATTGAAGATTGTAGTTGAACAGTGTACATATACAGTATATGTTCATCACTTAACGCTTGTATAGTATTTTATGGTACTTGTTTTATATTATCTTCCATTGAATTATGGTACAATCATTTCCTCCAACAGTTAATACATTTTGATTATTTTGGGTAAATTTTGCACAAGAAATATGATTATGAGCTCTATAAGTATGGTTGTACATCTGTATGGAAAATAAAGGGTTTTTCTTTTTACTTAATACTATTCTTTCTGTTTTTATTATTATAATAAATACGATAATTAGTTGACGCAGGTAAATATTACTATTACTATAATAATTTATTATAAAATATAGAGAAAGACTTACCCCTTTCTTACAGCAAGGATATCTAAAGAGACTTAGATAGCCTATACTATCGGCCATTAGGACTAGTGTTTTTGATGGTGTAATATCAACAGTTTCTATATTGGCTTTCTGAGCTTGTCCGCTTTCCCATATGCCTAATTAAGACATCAAAATATTAGTAATAGGCTTATTTTTTTCGTATATATTAAAATAAATTAAACCGGAAACTTCGTATGATGTTAAACAATTTGCAGTCCACCATCTCATATTTCTTACTGATTTATCCTCTAGTAAAGTAAAGTTACTTCCATCCCCTAATTTTTGTTTTATACATAAAAAAAGACAAATATCATAAGTAATATTTAAATAATTGTTCTACAATACAGTACAGATACTCATATCCATCGATTTGGCACTAGCTCGAAATATATAAGTCTCTTTATATTTTTCTTCTGACCAATCAACCGCAGATATAGGACTGTCGTGGGCCTAAGAATAACACTAATAGTCAATATATATGTATATTCTAATATATTTATGCAACCTTTATTGTATTTAAGACATCCCAATATTCTTCATTTTCTTCATTAGTCTTTAGGCCTATTGAGTGTAGTTGTCCATCGATATCTCCTACCAAGACTTGCTCGCAGTCTAATTTTTACGTAAAAAAAAAAAAGAGTACATATAATACAGTATATTTAAATAAAAATACAAAGTTTTTGTAGTGGAAACTGTTAGCATACTTGGAGAGATTTTTATGCAAGTTATCTTCTCAGTTGACACCTTTATACGTCCAACGTCGGTCATTTCTACATGACCCTCGTCGTCGTAAGCAATAGTAAATATAAAAACAAAAGCAGTCCTTAAACCTAATGCCATCATATTCGTGTCTTGATTAATGTCAAAGCAGTCAATGTTTAAACCCTAGCAATAGAAGTATGTATTCAAAATAATATAAAACCCCTCCAGCTTCAATAGGGATGATATACCTTCATGTAATACTTCCAGGTGACACTTTTTTTTACTATATCATATAGGCAAATATTTCCATCGACCCCAGCTGAAAGTATCTTTTCAGGATTTTCTGGATTACCGGGAACTGCCAAAGATTTAACGTCGTCAAAATGACCTGCCGTAAGGAATTCTTCATTTAAAAATACTCCTGAAAAAGGATTTTTTAAAGCCGTTCCAGCCAATGTGGCAGTTAATATAGAGTTTGTCGTTGTTCCAATAAGCAAGAGATCCCTATGAATTTGCAGCATTCTTATTCCACCTTCCTGTCTAGGAACTTGCAAAGTTCCCATTTTATCCATATTTTTAGACCAATGGAAACAGTTTATAATTCCATCTCTACCTCCAGTAATAATATGACCTCTAACAGTCAGAATTGAGAAAACCGAACCCTTAAAGAGGAAGAATAAAAAGAATGAGTTTTATATGCTTCCAAATTGAAAAAAAAGAGAAGAGAAGGATAAAAAAGGACTAATATACTATTTACTAACATCATGGATATGCTTTAGGAAGTTCGTTATCACATTTCCACCTTGACCCCAAATATATACAGTTCCATTAGAATCTCCAGTAATTAAGTCTCCCTTCTCAGTATGAAACATACTTGTTATAAATCTCGCTCTTAAAAAGTTCTATTTAAAAGAAAACTAGATCATATTAGCTTAATTGAAAGTAATATTTAAAATTAGGAATTACCTGATAATCTGGTTTTGTTGTCATTTGAATGGTTTTACCTTCTAAGTAAATTGTCCACCACCCTATATGCTCTTTACCAATAGTTACTATAATATCGGAATTTTTTGGATTAAAATCAAGATTTAACAAATTTTCTATTCCAGTTTCAACTTTAACAAGAATATTTCCAGTTGAAACGTCCCATACGCCCAAATTATGATTCTGATTAGCGTCTAGTCCGCATAACCTTTCCTAAGAAAAAATTAATAAATTAGTAAAACCGATCCATACAGCTAATTCATTCAAAACGTGAATAGTGAAAAAGAATTTCAAGGAATAATTTTTGCTTGAAAACGTAGAAAAGTAAGTGTGAAACTATAAAATTAATTAATTAATTAATTAATTTGATAAATTAAACAAAACGAAAAGTATATTGGATTATAATATTGTTTGTTCATTGATTGGTTGGTTGATTTTTGTTTTTGTCTTTTTTTATATGTTAAGCATAAACCTGTAATACTGCGGTTCTAGGATTTACAAATGCTGCCTGAAGAAAGAAAAAAGAAAAGAAAACAGGTCATGCCAACTTTATTCTAAAGATAGAAATAGAAAACTGTTAAGACCAATGTAATATTTACTTTTCCTTTTGAAAAGGAAACAGCTAGTACGCTCTTTTTCAGAATTCCATTCCCAATAATGTGAAGGGTTTGTAAAGTATCCGATCTCCATACTCTTATCAATGCCGACTGAATATATGCAATTAGACCTAAATGACGGTCGTAAAACTAATGAGTAAGCTTACTTTCTCTTTAGCATCTTCTTTTTGGCCGGTCGCCACGGTTACACCATTCGGGTGTAGAGCCATGCTGTAATAAGTAATTTTGATTTAATTATAGTGATGAGTCTCTGCTCTTATTTAAGATCTTTTTAATTTTTACCAGGTCACTGCCTCTGTGTGTTCCCTGTAATGTCTCTGAGCATCTGTATCTCTATTGTATAAAACGGCGCATGTCCCTATAAAATATACAATCTCTCCGCTTTTTAATACATGTATATTTGATCGGCAAGTGTTTCCCTGGTAACCGTATCTGTTTAAATTGTTATTAGTATGAGATGCACAATGCAGAACGAGTTTATAATATTGATTATAATTACATCCATTCCAGTTTTAATCTCTGTTTTGGGGGATCTGTTGATATCTTAAGGCTTTTGACGTCATCGGACGGCCAATACTTTAATTTCTTTCCTTTAATCTCAGTCGAAATTTCCTTTGACGTCTCTGGCTTTTTCTGTTTTGGTGATGGTTTAGGGGAAGAGACTGGCGTTTCTTCTGTTTTATTTAGGTTGTTTTTTTTTGGGTTTTTAAAGGAATTTTTAATGAAAAAGAGAAAATTTAAAATAAAGCCAACTTTTAGATTCAGTTTCCGCCTCTTCAATAATCGTGTCGGAAGTTCGGTCGACTTGAATTAATGGTACAGAAGATTCAGAATCGGCTCTACTTCCAGCAGATGGCGTCTTCATACCTGAGATATTAATTAAATTAATATGAATTATTCCTCATATCGACTTGTTATGAACCGGAAGTCAACTAAAAAGGAGGTTATCTATATTTACTTGAATTGTTAGTTGATATATCTCTAGTAAAGTTTATATATTTACATTATGGATTTTTTTATGAATGTGTTTCTACTAACAAAAATATTATGCGTTAAGTAGAATACAAATATTATAAAAAATAGGAGGGAAAATGGAGAAACAAATCCAAAGATGTGTTCTATATAAAACCTTTATATATATAAATATAGTACAATGATAATAATACAACCAGGAAAGTAAAGAAAATTAAGTGCAATTGTTTGCTACTTTTAAATAGTGTCCTTTTATATGCAGTCTCAAAAATATAACTGTATATAAGTTCATATAAACAGTATATACATGTACATATACAGTTATAGAATTAATTATTGGGTTAGGGGTAGTAATCCAAACAAAGTGTTTGATTCTTTGCTTTTATAGCTTAAATTAGTTTGTCATGGGTTAATTAGTTCACCTCCAATTAAATTTTTCATCGATTTTAGAAATCCAGATGCGGCGCGAATACTTCCAGTCGTCTTTCGAAATTCTTTCAAATATAGAAGAAGAAGAAGAAGAAGAAGAAGAAGAAGAAGAAAAAAACAAACAACATTTAGAATCAATGAAAATACTTAATTTTAAAATAAGTCTTGTATTATTAAGATTTTCTTCTTTTATTGTTGATGCTACTTAAAGTATATCAAGCTCTAAAACTAAGAGACAACAGCAAAACCACTAGAATTTTGCCCTATAAATTTATCATCTTCAGTAAGGTGATCAATGAGTAAAGGATTTTGCAGTTTACTTAAGGAATCTGATGAAAAAGAGTGCTCGCCAAGTGTAGGCCTGTTTTTTTTAAGGCATTATTTGATGCATCGCAATACTCGACTGTATATAATTGTTTTAGAGGGAATATTAAAAGTCTTATATACAGTTTGTAAATAAATAAGCATATCTATATATTATATATAACTATATAATTAGAAAATATATATCCTATTGATAAATAATGCCAGATATTTTTTCTCTTTTTGCCTCGAAAATATACCTTCTTGTTTTATAGATGTCAATAGGCTCACATTAGATTGGGTTTGAGAAAGAACTTTTTCTGGAAATTAAGTCTAATAGTACTAAACAGCAAAAATAGAGAAAGAGAGAGAGAGAAAGATATATAGATAAAAAAATTTGAATATGTAGAAAAACATCTATTATGAATAAAAAGAACATTGATATTTTTTTTATAGCTATAATAATGTTTATGATAAATATAATATTTATATAAAATAGCTTATAGATATAGAAAAAAGAGAGAAGAGAAATAGATAGAGTAAAGATAAACAGAGAGAGAATGAAAGAAAAATAAATATTCTAAATTATTTCATTCTCATCTTTGTTTCTTTGATAAAGTTTTGGAATTTTTTATTTTTAAAGGTTCGGTTTTTTTAGTAGGGGATTTTATATTAATTAATTAATTAGTTAATTAATTAATAATAATTGTAAATAACTTACTCGCAACTGCAACAGCTTTAGTTTTATCGGCCTGAGAAATAGTTGATTGGACGCTTGACACGCTCTGTCTGTCAGATAGCTTGTCCGACTGATAACTTCCTTTATCCGTAACCTTTTCAGGCTGATCAGTAAGATTTGCATATATATATAAATTGAATGAACAATTTCTTTTTATTGAAATAATTATTCGTTACTTTTGTTTCCTTTACTTCTTTTTGAGTAGATTCTTCAGCTTTTTCATCCTTTTCGAGAACGTCTTCAATTTTTCTAGGAGCGTCACTCTTTGGCAATGGAGTTGTTGATTTTGGCCTAGGAGATTTTGATTTAATATTTGTGGCCGGTGATTTCGTCTCACCCTTTTTAGTTGCTGAACTTTTAACGCTCTTAATAGAGCCTTGCCTACTGGGTTTCTTCCCACTCTGAGAGGATGAGAGGGTTTTTAAAGAGGCTAAAGATGCATTTAACGAAACAGTTGAGCTCTTTCCAGATTTTAAATTTTGATGAGCCGTCTCAATAAAGCTCATCAGCTCTGGCCAACTAACATTACCAGATTTTTCGTCGTCGCATCGCTTTAATAAAGAGTTCAAAAGTGCTCCGTAAACTGGAAAATTCTGATCCATAAATATATTGTGGAGCTTTAGGAAAATAGCACAATTCATAGTCGGCATCAATGGATAATATTAATTCATTTAATAGGCCTAGAGTTTTTGTTTACCTCAGTTTGACGAACTTTTCCAACCTTATCGCTATCTTTCTTTTGACAGGCGTTTTTTAGTTTATCAATGTTATAAGGAATTCTACTGCTGGTTAATTGCTTCTCGATTCTACTGATTAGGTCAGCATCTCTTTGTTCCGGGGTAACGTAGAAGGCATCAGAATTAATTTCATGCTTCCTTTCTTGTGCCAAGACACTGTCTCTACCTATAAAGAGTAAAATAAAAATATAATAAATAATGATAACTCTCCGAGTGGTTTCCATTAAAACCAGTCTAATATATAACAAATAAATGTCTCCATTTGTACCAGTTTGGCATTGAGCTGTAACAAGAGATTTCCACATCTTATCAAAGTTAATTCCATAAGAATCACCAAAAACTTCGCATAATAACTGAAAGGCTCTGGATGATACTTTAATTTGATTTTCCTGAAAAACTTTATCCAAGTCTTTTTGGTTAATTCTAGTCTCCGAATTCGCCTGTCTCCTTAAAGACATATGTAAAGCTCTCAACCTCTGCCTAGAACATTCAGCTAAAGTATCTTTGAGTTGATGATGTAGTTCATTTTCCCTTTCCTTCGATTCCATAACATTTTCACTCTCATCTATCGAAATATTGATTAATTAAGTCTTGAAAGAAACTGTTCAATATTCTCTTTCTTACAAAGTTTGACTTAATTTATTACTGTGGCATAATTCAGTGTTTATTGCGTCTGCAATATTGCAAATGTTGTCTAAAATTTATGCAGGCGTGTAGTTTTTTAAAGTGTAGTGAATTATTGCAAATATTGTATATTCTTGCTTGTCTTCTTTAGCTTGAAAAGTGCTTAATAAACTCTGCAATTTCTTATAAATGACCATCTTTTCTTATATAAGTTTTATATAAAACAAAAAAGTGTTGACAAGTATTTCTTTCATATCATATTTTTATTATTCTAAAATCTAAATGTATATCTTTTATAGTTGTTTATCACTCCTTACCCCTTCTCTCTCCTTCCTGCCCAGTAATAAAATGTTATCTATGTTTATTATATAAGATAAGATAAAGATACTATGAATGACTTGGAATATTTTAGAAAAAACTCTTACCAATCGTTGTGGCTATACTTAGAGCCAAGCTAGATGAGCTGTCTTGCTGATGGATTTGTGCATTGATTTTGTATTGATTATCAGGAGTCGATCTAATATTATTTTTAGTTTGTGCACTTTTTTCTGTGTGCATTAGAGTGAAGAGTGAATCTTATTTACTATAAATATCGCATAAATACATTACCATTACTTATCGATCCAGAATCAGCCGTTGAAGGCGGAGCTCTTTTAAGACGGGTTATGGCTGATTTTGTTTTAGCCTAGTCAAAGATAAATATATAAAGTACATATTGTAGTTTATAAAAAGAAATCTTGCTATTCCCATAATTAATTGATACTTACTTCACTCCACAAGTTTGGTCCACTTGATTCTTGTTTATTACCTCCACTGGGAGATATTTTTGATCTACTTTTCTGCCTCTTTAAAGGTCCCGGCATATTTTTAAGTCTTTCATTCCATTCTTTCGAAAACTAAACGAACAAAGGAATTAATTAGTAAGTAAGTATTTACTATTATTATTATTATTAATATAAAAAGACTCCAACAAACGATACGTATATATATAGTATATACAATTTAATAATAGAACATTAGACAAACCTCATCTAATTTATTACTCTTAGGCATCTTTTTAAAGATATATTTCGGTTTATGTCAATATATTGAATGATAATAGTTTTTTGGAAAAGTTACTCCATAAAGAAAAATAATTTCCGAAAGCACTTGAAAACAGTAATAAAAAAAAACTTTGTCTCTTTTGAGATACTTTTAGTTTGCTAGTGATGAATCATATGGCACACAACATTATTTTGCACTTAAAAACAAGCCTATGAATATTTGCGGAAACAAATCAATACCGTCGTCAAATCAGAATTTATAAAGCGACTACCTCCGTTTAGGACATCATTAAACGTTAACTCGAAATAACCGTACAAACTGATAATGTACAATGTATATAAATAGATAGATAGATATGCTTAAAAGAATAATCTATACAAACGTGGGTATAAATATTTAAATACTAAAAGTATAAAAAGTGAAAGTTGTTTATGAATATAAGAGAATTCTTATATTGAATTAACTTATGAATTAATTTTTAAGCTATCTCGATGTGTTATGTAACAATATATACTGTATATACGTAAAAAGAAAGGAGATTTTAACCTAAATTTCCTTGTTGCAAAACACTCCTGGTTAAATTAAATTCTGCTTTGAACCATTAAACAACTATAATATATTATTAACAGATCATACATCATATTTATTAAATATTCTATATTATATTACTGATTTCTTTAGAAATTTCTCATTGTTCTACTAAAAGTAATATGAAAATTGCGTGAAGAGAAGAAATAAGATCAACAGAATTTAATTCATTATTCATTTTCTCACTTAAAACTTACGAAATTATTGAATATCGTTTACTCTTTGCTTTTTAAGATTTAACTATAAAATATTAATTACAATTCATAGATTTATCTGTTTGCTGCTATGGATACTTTATATTATTGTTCAAATATCTCTACTATAGTAGGTTCAATTTCGATAGTTTTCTTTTATTTCTTAATTATCCTGTTTTTAGAAATAATATCAACAGTTTACTAACACATCCTACTAATTATAACAATAGTCACCTTAAGAGAACGTTTTAAAACACAAAAATCCTTAAAAGTGGTCTAAAACGCTTTCTCTTTGTTCATTACCGAAGAAAATGGTCGCCTTTGCTTTGAATGAAAAAGGTTGGAGAAAAGTCGATAATTCTTTATCGAACTGACTTTTTAATTAAAATGATTGATTTTTCTAGTGCTTCTTTGTGCCAAACTATTTGCCATTTATTGATGAACTAATGGATTATTTATTGTGAAAATTACAGTATTTGTAATAAAAAAAGATGGCTGACTGTAACAATTATATAATTTACAATAAAAATTTTTGGTAAAAATAATTATATTGACAGAGAAATGACATATCTATATACTGTACACTGTATATACAGTAAATATGAGTAGACCTATATATTATATATAGGCCTATAATAAGATAATATATATAAGAATACATTTGTTTATATTTTCAACAGTTCACTTTCCTTATTAATTAATTATTTTAGTAATATTTTGCTTTTATATGTTTTTCTTTCTTTTTAATAAACAATCTTTAATTCATTAAATTAGTAAAGTTATATTCGTCTTCCAGACAGAATTAGCAAGCTAATTCAAAATATCCTAGGCCTATTTTCTCATGTCATCAATTGTATTAAAGCAAAGTTGGCGGATAACTAATTGATAGTATGATTCAACAGATGGCGACACTTTTCTTAAAATTAATAAGTTTTAATCTCTGGAAAGAAAGCAGAAAACGTAGATATATAAATACATATACTAATACTTAAGTTAACCAACTATAGTAAAGATAGAATTGACTGCATTTAAAGTCTATAATACTGCATTAAGTATTCATTATTAATCTACATTTAAGGTTAAAAAGAGATAATTAATGTTTATTTCAATTAAAAATCCCATGGCAAATTGTTATTAATCTATTCAAACGATAACATTTAACATTTATTAATGAATACTTGAGAAAAAAAAAAGCTAAATTTGTTTAAGGAATTGAAAATGATTTAGAAAAGAGATTACTTATTCCTAAGTTAATTAAGAAGAATAGTAAGGTGATAGGAGAAGAAAGAGGCAGGAGTTGGAAATGATAGGAAAAGGAGAACGGGCCTGTATAGAATTTTTTTCCTTACCGAAGTCACGTTTAATTCTAGAGTTTACCAGACTTGGCTGACGAGTGCTATTATTCAGAATTTAGCCAAGTTAAATATTGAAAATCTTTCAAAAATCGAATACTATTAGCAAAATACTCTTGTTCAGTAGAGTTCAAATTTATTAAAGTCTATTAGAGATGTATGAAATTGCTTTGCAAGTGGCGTCTAGTTTCTTCAAACACGCATAGACAAACAGAAAAGTTAAAGATTACAACGAAAAAGGCTTACCTATAGATCTACGATTCACTTTATCTAGTTGAAATGTGTCTATATACCGAATATTTATAAGTAATTAAGCGTCCTAAGTAACTTTAAGCAATGCATCATAAGCATTCTTGAGTAGAGTTCTCATAAAAGACGTCAGCCTATAAAAGAGGTAAATTTGAGACGACTGTTCTTTTATCGGTCTATATATGACAAGACATGAAAATCGTTAATACAATTCATTAAGATGCTTTATTAAACATAAAACTTAATAAATCATTAGCCATAGAGCTATTACGAAGAAAACAAAAACTAATAAAGATTCTACATTTTGCTATTTTCTAAATGACCTAGATTTTATATTTTAGTCAAAATGAAAATCTCTCCATTATGCAAATTACAAAATAGTCTTAAGGAACCTAGAGTGTTTTTTTTTCTCTTTTTTTTTTTGTACACCATATGTATCTCATCTCTTCTCCTTATTAATGTTATTATTATCAAGTAGTATATGATACTTTATCAGTTAGAAGTAGGCATAATTAAAAGGGAGATGACACGATTTTTCCCAACAACACTTGCTTAGTTTATTCAGTCAATTAATCTATTTTCTTTAAAAGATCAATCAATTTTTTTGCAAAATAAACAAGACTATATAAAACAATCTCCAAGGTTAAAATAATAGCAAAATGTACTGTTTATAATCAAGATATTATATATACAGTATACTGTCTCTCTCTCTCTCTCTCTCTCTGTCTTAAAACAATTGATATTAAATGAAAATCGAGTAGTTTACGTGTCTGAAATAGAAATTATTTAAATAATATGGAAAAATATACGATTTATCTTAATTTGAAAATAAAGTAAACCATCTTCTTTTGATAAGTAAAATAAAATTTATTTGAATAGAGAGAATATTAGAAAATTAATATTTGACCTCTTTTCTATACAAAGGGAAAAACATGAAAAAGAAAATTGAATAATGACTAATCAAGATATTCATCACGAGCTCTATGCTTTAATATTAAATTTCTATATTAAATTTTTCATTCATGGTCATTCGTTTCTTTCTTTTCTCTTTTAAACGTTATAATATTTAATTCAAGAGAAATTCAGTTAGAAGATTCTCTTAGAAGGAAACAATTGTATTCATTTTACTTTTCTACCTGATTAATTGTACGCTGATAAAAATATTATTTATCCTTTTTCTGTTTTCCCTCATCTCCTTTCTTTATCAAATATCAATTTATGAATTTATTACTTTCACATTTAATATAACATTTTATATATAAAATATGGTTGGAATTGATAAAATGTTTAAAACTATAAAATATTTATTAAATGATTGATCAATAACTAAATAATGTCTGATGGCGAGTTCATAATCAAAATAGGTGCTGTATCCTTTTCCATCCTCATGGTAGTCAACCTGCCGGAAGTAGACCTTTTTAGAAACCCTCGTAGGTTAGTAGTAAAATCAACTTTTTCCTTGTTTTATAGTGTCTAAAAAAATTAACGCACTTTTTAGTTTATCGAAAGTTTTACGTCAAAACTTACGTAAGAATCTTAAAATATACAAATATTAATATTTAATATAAGATATTCTTCTAATTAGAAATAGACTTAAATATATTATTAATTCTTCATAATTCTTTATAATATTCATTTATTTATTAAACTTAATAGATAATTAAGAACTAAATATATGTATATATATACATAAATTTATATATATATATACTGTATATTCTAGATAAATGCTTGCACAAACACTTCCAGTATTTTATTCTATTGTAAAATGTTTCATTAACAATGAAAGTGATTAGATATATTCTTCTGTTTTCAAAACAAAAGCGTCTAACCCTCGACAATAAAGCGAATACTACGTCAATTGAATAAAAAAAAACTGGAAAAGATTTCTATTAAAAACCACTTCCCTTTTTATTCCCTTCCTTGACGTCACTGGTTTATGTTTGGAAAAAAAAACTCACCGCGAGATGGTGCATACGTAGGTGAGAGAGGGAGGGAGCGAGAAAGGGAGGAAGGGTGAAAAAGAGGCTTATACCAACAACAAGTCTTTAATATTCCTAATTTTTTTCCTATTAAATATACTTTATTAAATATCTGTCTATTCTTGAATTTTGAAAGAAAAACTAATTAATCAATCTATTACAATCTTTAAATGTATGAGAAAAGAAAGAAGAGATAAGATTGTAGTATCTACATACTATACTAGTTTACAAATACTCTTTTCAGTAAAATATACTATTCTTATATATTGTTTTCCAACAAATCCAAGGGAATATCTTGTCTATCTCCTCTATATGAATGATATTTTGAATGTCCATTCCAAATACTATACTTAAACTAATTCTGTTTCCGAATCCAAATCAGAAAATAATGCATAAAACTCGGCCGGAACAATTGCAGTCATTGCAGATATTTTTGCCGGAAAGGAGAGGGGAATAGAATGAGCGAACGAAATGGAAAGAACACCAGAGAACGTTTTCGCTAACTGGTCTCTTCCGTCGCGCTGCTTTTTTTAATCAATAAGAATGAGATTTACCGAGAAATTGGAACGATTACAGCATTAACTGGATTAACAGTTTGAAGAATTGTCGATCGAAGGTTGTGGATTTTTTTCTCTAATGGGCCTATTAGTAAGGATAACAGTTAGATTAATATTTCTGTATAATATTAGAGTAATGTCTTGCCATTTTTATAAACGGAAATGTCAGCCTCCGATTAATTAATGACTGAATTAAAACGAAACTGGAAAATACCAAGGAATTAAACGATTACATTTTTATGGCTATTTTCAATCTTCTTTTGCACAAATAATTCAAAAGACATTTTTTAACACTCGAAAGCATCATTAGACTAACTTAAAGAGTAATTTATCCATTTTATATCAATATATACATATACTGTATATTCTCAGGAAAATATGCTAACAACAATAACGTACGATGGTCTAAATTTTAAATAATTAGTGTCAATATTTCTCCTATGTTACTCTTTATATCTTACAATAAGCTCCTCGAATAGATATTCTCGATTTTGCTAAATCTTCTAATAGATATTATCTCTCTATCCAGATCTGGATATTATTTCCTGTACGCCACTTTTTTCCTTCCCCCCCTTATTTATTCTTTAAGGGCCAGATTGCTCCCTTCATTAACATAGAATTGTATATACTTGTTAAAGTTGATTAGATTTCAAGTACTGTAAACTTAATGAGCCCTATATATAGCTGATTACGGTTGGTCGTTCTTGCTTATAAATATCGTTTAGGAATTTACAAAAGTAAAAGAGGAGGTTGTTATTTCATTGAGAGGAATGAAAGAGTTGTCACGTGATTTTCGGAGATTAAATGTTTGCATTTTAGTATCCCTAAACTGATTTTTGCGGTAGCTATTGATTTATTTGCGTATATTCCTCTGTAACATGACACTCCATGGACAATCAATATTGTATAAGTACCTTCTTGTAACTTTTTCGCATTATACTCATACCTTCATTGACCTATATATAATTTTGTTTGCTTTTAAGACAAACCAAGTTTATCAGAAATGAAAAAGAAAATAAATTGAAACAACTAGAGAAAACAGCCAACAAAAAAAAGTTTTCCCTCTTTATCCCCATTTCGTGACTTTTTCAAGTGTCTAGTACTCTAAATACACTAAAGGTAAAGCCTTTAAAGAAAATACAAGGAATATTCTATCACCTGGACGAGTTATGTATGAGTTTATACTTGAATAAACTACAATAAATACTAAAGAAATGTATAAAGAAGATTGATAGCTTTTTCTATATATATTTATATGTTTTGTTTTCACTGCTAGAAATATGAATATTCATGAAATTAATAAAAGAGAAAAGTTCAAAAGAAACTGCTTTTCTTTCCAAGCTAAAATTAGGTAAAACAGCGACATCTATGTAGTTCAATAATAAGAATAATATACTATATGTTGTACATCTGTTTAAAAATTATAATAAACTTCTGAATAACAAGGATATACATAAATTATACTTTTAGAACTGAGATTCAGCCTATAACCAGATTATTTTAAAATAAATCCAATCAGCTTTGAATATTTAGAGGTGAGAGATTGATATATACATCTGTTTACATGATATAGGAAAAATATATTATATATACAATATAAAGAGCATTTATAGTGAACAGTTTGCAGAAACAGTATACAAGATAGAGAGAGAGAAAGAGAGAGAGAGAGAGGAGGGGGAGACTTTAGAATAAATGAAAAACATTAAAATATCTTATTAATATTTACTTTTTACGTTATTCTCTTATCTACAAACAATATGTTACCTTAATAATTAATACCTTATAAATATTAATAGAATAATGATATATTCTTATTAGGCACCAGGTTATTTATAGTGTCAACTGTTAATTACAATGGCTATTGTATTCTGTAATTGTAACGAAAGTATGGGACGATGTTAACTAAGTTAATAATCAAGGGAGAAGAGGCGGACGTTGAAGAAAATATTTAGTACTCGAAAGTTTGCTCGTCACTTGAGAAGTTGATTTTTCTTTTTTAAATATGCATTTCCCTATAAATATTTTATAGGAAGAAAACTATCGTGATGAACGTGATGATACGTGTCGTGTAGAATCAATTAAGTTAGATAAAAATATTTCAATCATACAACCACCATTACCCTGCCATATACAATCACCTTTAAATTAATGTTCATTGATTATGAATTTAGCATGCTGCTTTTCATTATTATTCTCCAGTTTTATTTTATTCGTATCACGTGACATGTGGATTCAAGACACAACCTTAACGGTCACCTGCCAACCAGCCTATACTGAAAATCTCGGCATTATACACTGCAATATATATTGCAGTAGATATTTTTGCAAAGCGATCGATTTACTGAGGCAGGTGTCCGCCAGGAGGCGTTTTGTCTTCGAGTAAGTTTTACTCAGCATCATTCCAGACGATGATCTTGCTCGGCCTACCCAGAAATCAAACGGAAACAGGCGTCTTCAGGACGAGGGCGTCAAATTGTTTACTTCTGACTGTTGCGGTTGTTGCCTCCTGCATTATGGTTGCTTGTGGTGTAATGATCGTGAGGGAGTATTCGCTTTCCAGTCATTACCTAAAAACGTCCTGTCGGATTTCAGGAATACAAAAGTCAGGTCATGGAACTTGCACGTAATACTTTCAAATTGTCAATTTCTTTTTTTATTTATGTAAATTTAGTAGAAAATATTAAAGTAACTTTTTATCCATCGTATACATATTTATTTATTCACTAACTTATTTATTTATTTATTTATTATAAGCTTCTTTTATTCGACTAAAGTAACCTTGTGCATGCCTTAATTTGCTTCTCTATAACAATAACTACTAAATATTTATGGCATTCTATTTATTCCACTTTGATTATTACACGCTTGTTAATTAACAAGGAAGAAGCCTAATAAGAGCTTGTTATTACTTTCAAAAGAATACAACAAAAAAGAAGGGAAAAAAACAAAAATAACAACAAAAATATCAATCCAATAAACAATAGAAATACAACAAAACCAATCCTAAAAACTTTCAAGTTGAATAGAGACATTTTTCCAATCATTTCTCATCCGAGGAGATGCTAGGGCAAAGTTGTTTCCACTCTAAATTTATTTACAAGGTCGACTAGTCCATGATAGAGGAAAGCTTATCAGATACTTCTTTACAAGGATTTCTTTCGTTACAAACTGCAACCTTACTTCTTCGTAGTGTATATTTGTATTATTTCCTTATTTTCTTGTAAATCTAGCTAATATTGAATAATTAGACTTATCCCTATTGTTCCTTTTCCTCTAATATTATCCCAATAGGAATTTCGTTGCTCAATAATGTATTATTAGAGATTTTTAAAGAATTAGGAAATATATTTCCCTTATTAATCATATTTTAATAAAAAATAATACTAAAAAACAGCCAACTAGTATTTTTTCTCTTCTCCATTTTTGTAATATTTCCATCATCTCCATCTTTTTTTTTCTAATAGTTAAAATCTGTTTTTATTGTTCGTTTTTTTTTTCTATACTTTTTTCCTTTTTAAATCGTGATTTATTACTTTCATATTTTTTTCTGTATAGGCTTAAATTAGACAGATTTTATCTTTGAGAAAAAGCTAAATTTTATAATAATTATTAAAATATGAGACGAGTGATAGAGAGAGAGAAAGAGAGACAGACAGATAGACAGACAGGCAGGCTGGCAAATAGAAAGAGAGAGAGAGAGAAAGAGAGAGATAAATATATATATATATATATATATATATATATATTGAGAGAGAGAGAGAGAGAGAAAGAGAGAGTTAAATAAATAGAATAATTGCAGAAATGTCAGTTTCTGAATCGATTTTATACGCAATTTAAAGAAGTTTTCCGCGAAATTTAACAGGAACCACACTGGAGATTGTGCATTTAACCCTATACGCCTTAGGCTTTATTTTTCAGATTTTTATAACAGCCGTTTCGTCTCAAATCATACGCGAAATAAGGGGGAAATTTTTTTCATAAACGTTATTTCTATTAGGTGACAATCGCTTGTAGATTCTTTTAAAAAAAATTTGTTCCTTACTAAAAATAGACTTATAATGCATATAATTTCAATAATCAAAGTTGAAGTTGAATTAGAGTTAAAATGATTGAAAGTGTAAAATATCATCTAGGTTAATCATGGTAAAAAGAAAACTTTTTATCAACAATCATGTCGTTAGAAAGATGTAAAGTCTAAGCATAAATAATACAATATGTAATACTATATAATATCATATATATATATATATATATATATATACTGTATATGTTAAGCAATCTTTTCATCCGTTCTATCTCCAACACTGTTATAATCTTCTTTTACTACAAACAATACTCTCTAATATGGATTCTGTACAAGTTTTTAATCAAATATTTGCTCTTTGACCGTCGAAACGTCTATCTTTTTTATTTAGTTGTATATAAAACTTTTCACTAGTATTGTCAACCTCCTAGTCATCATTACCCTTATTCTCTTATATTGTCCATCGAAAGAAAATGAAGAAATAGCGGTGCTAAGTGTTTAATACGTTGGATAGTTGGCTTTGGATTGTGTGCAAATAATCTCTCAGCCGGTCATTGAGCAAATAGTATAGAGGCGAAAACATAATTAACAAGTTCAACAAGAACTAATTCCTGTCGTATATAAGGTTAAAAAGTCGAAATATATTGTCATCAACATTTTCAAGCAGGAAATTATAAACCTATTTATTAATAACAATCACTAATCTAGTTGATTCCTCAACCAATATTTATTTTATTATGCTACGTGTTTATCTAATAATCTAAGTGAATTTTCTTATTATGAAAGGAAATAAGACACAACCTAAAAGAGAGATAGAAAAAGGAAAAGAAAGAGAGAGGGACTAGGGTATTTATAGATAAATCTGTTTGTCTATATGTTACACGGAATAACAAGAAAAGAGTGTATTTATGTGTGTGTGTGTGTGTGTGTGAGAGAGAGAGAGAGAGAGAGAGAGAGAGAGGAAGGGTGGAGAAAAGCCTTTAATAATTTAATAATTATCCCTATCATGATAAGGGAAATGATAGTATGCTAAGTGTTTAATCTTGAAGCTGTCTTATTTTCCGCCACTCCGATCAATTCTTAGTCGTTATATAGGTACTTTCTTTTACTAAAATATTTTATATTGCAAGCTTAAGTATAATTTTCTTTTAGAAAAGACAAAATATTTCCGTCGGGCCTATTAATTTACGATTATATACAATTTTAGTTATCACTTGAAGTCCCTTTCCTTCCCCCTTAACTACAAATACTGTAATTGTTTTCGTTTAAATTATATTATTCATGTACTGCATATAATAGACCTATAAATATATATACAATATACATCTCTTTCTTTAAAATTATAGTCAAAAGTATAAGTAAATGCTGTTTTGTGACATCTCTGAGCTTATAAAGAAAAGGAAAGAGGAACTTGAAAGACTAAAATCCTTTTTTTTTGTTGATTCTGTTCATTTTCGTTTATTTCTTTTTTATAGTCTAGTTTTAAAAAAAGGAAGGAAAAAAAGACTAAAAGTTTCAGATAATATCATTTTTAATATTATTTTCTATTGGAATTTTCTTTCAATAAACTATTAAGAAAATAACAAACAGATACATATAAACACCCGGCAATTGTTTACAAATCACACGCCTTATTTTCTGTCTATTAATTTGAATTCCCTTGGGCGTTTTCTAGAGACTTAGATGTACTGCGAATGGGAAAGTTGTCATTAATCTTTTACACCGGTTTCTATCCAGTTGTTTTTCATCCTTTCCTCTGATAATCAACTTCTATCATACAATTTGAAAGAAACGCCCTAAGACTTATATAAGAAAAGTGAAAAAATATTAAAGACGATGAACCTTATTGTCCCTAAACTTGACCCTTTTTTTGTAGCTATAAATAAAAATGGGATGTAAACGCTTAATAAGTTTTACAAATGATGGAAAAACGATGGAATTTAGAATATCATCTAATATCTTGTGTATCTATATTTTTACATAGTTAACTATACCTAAAAGTTTATCATAAAATTATAGGCTAAATTCATATGGTATATATATATATATTCCTTTAATGTAAAGGCATAGAACAACAGATAATATTCAACCGTTTTATTTAGAATACAATTTCGTTATAAATCTTTACGAAAAAAGTTGTAATAAATATTTATACGACTGTAATTTTCACTATAAAAATGGCGACGAATCAATCAATAATATTTATGAGTAACGCCGTTTACGGGACCCTAACTGGCTTATTCCTTTTTCTTTCATTTATTTTATTTCTTTATTCTTTTTATTCTCATACTATTTAACTTTATAATATTTTTAATTCTATTCTTTTGCAGCTATTGCGATCGTAAAAAGGAGCAAGAGAAAGAGAAAAATGCCTGCAAAGATGTTAGATTTCCTTGCTATACGATAGGCGTTAAATATTCAAAAAATCAGGTGGAAAGAAGCGGCACCCTTTATTCGGATAGTCTAGAAGCGGCGGGCGTTCAGAATCAGGTTAGTGTTGGATTTATTCTTTTGTATTCGATTAGGCCTATACAAGTCAACGCCAATAAATCGATACCAAGCCGTCTATAATTAATTTTTTTCGTCTAAACTTTCTTCTTTGCGCTATTCCTTTCTACGTCCCCAAATATAAATCTCTGAATATATTAGATTTAGCAATTAATCAGTTCATTTAATTCATGCACAGTATAGATATTCCCATCTCTTTATACTTTCATTATGGTGAATATGTACAGAATATATTATATACTATACATACGAATATCCTGCATAAATAGAATACCTCTTTATATATAGAGATATAATAAATCTATGCAATGTCATGGATCGTTCTCTCTCTTTTGCATTCTTACTTCAATTCTCAGTCTCATTTCATCTTCCCTCCCCTTTCCCCCCCTCCCTCCCGCCCGCCTTTCTCATGACTCTTCTTCCCCACCCTTTCCTGTCCGCTTCTATTTCTCTCTCTTTTCTTCCTATCTATCTGTCTTCTACAGTTTTTGTATTTTTTTCTATTCTATATCTTCCCTTCTTACCGCCAAACTATAAAAAGGTTGGCCGTAAATTTGACCGCCTTACGCCGTCGCGCATAAAATCGTCTCTTTACGGGGTATTTGCAGCCGGAAATCGAATAATCTCGCGTTTTTTTCGCTAGATTTTTTTCTATAAATTGCGCTTTGGGGAGGTCGACGGAAGCGGTTGCAAGTTATGAAATCACTCTTCTGAGAATTAGTCTATTGTTGCTCTCCTCCTTTTAGACACCTCTTTTGTCTATGATAAAAAAGAGACTTTTATTTTATCATAACAGGTCAACTAATTTCTTCTTGTAATATATTAAAAATACAAGTACAGACAGTTTGTTTAAAAGGTTTTTCATGCATATAGACTTTGAAATTTAATGGCCATTTTATATCTATTCAAAATTTATTATCTATATTCCTAACGGCAATATAAGCTTATAGCGTTACCTCGGTAGACGTGCGAGGTAAAAAATCAGTAGGGTAATGGCTTAACGCCTTGGGAATTGGTTAACAGTTTGCCTTATTGCCTTTTGTAAACTGATGCTTAATTTATTTAGTCATTTAGACAATGTAAATTGAAGAGTTGTCGAGTGCAAAAAAATAGGAAAAGAAGATAGTAATGATAAGACAAAACAGAATGATGTAAAAACAAGAAATAAGCTAAGAAATAGAAGGATTTAAATAGGCTGAATAACTATAGATTGTTTTTTTTTTTTTAAAGAAAGCCAGTTTCAACACGATTCTTTTCTCTTTATTCCTTTCTATTCTAGATTAAAGGCATCTTTAACAAAAATAAACACGAGTATGAACCTTTAAGTTCTAATGTAAAAAGAAAAGAAGACTATCAATATACTTTTCTCTATTAAACTAATAATATGATATTAACAAGACATTACGAATAAGATAAGAAAAAATGCAACTCTTTCTGCACTGTATTCCAGACTAGTTGATAGCTTTTATTAACAAAATTTTGACACGAAATTGTGGGTATTTTCCTATAGAATAGATGGAAAAGGGGCAGTAGGTAAAGAGGAAAAGTATTAAAGGTTTCTTTCAGTAAATTGGAAATCTATATAGGATGTAGATTGTGTAATATATTACTATAAAAGAATAATATCCTGCCTCTAAAACCCTTTTGTGTAAACCATAGCCAAGCCACTAATATATGCAAGAAAAGAGGAAACAAGATAGTAAGTCAGTTAAGAAAAAGAGGGAAAGATAAAAACAACAGATAGGACGAGTGGGTAGGGAGAGAAGAAATGAAGAGAAAGAGAGATTAAAGATAATTTAAATAAAATTACGTCAAATAAGAGAAAAGATTGGATAAGTAGTGAAAAAAAAGAGTACAAGTCTTTTGTATAATAAGTTAAAAAAAGAGATGCACCAACTGTTTGAAGGTAAACAACACAACTCTGTTGGATAGAAAAATTCTACGGAGAGGGGAGAGATGAGAAGAGGGGGGGGGAGGGGGAGAGGGAAGCCACTCTTTTCTCATTAGGCCTAAATTATGTTAACGAATAAATGATATTTCTTGCGTTAAAAAGGCAACAAAAGAGATTTTTTTATCATATTATTCCTACATAAGGGAAAATAACATTGCGTGAAAATTTCACTATTTTTTCATGCTCTCTTTATTGTCTATAATAGGACGTTGTATCATTAGTGCTTGTAATTCTATTTTTATTGTACAACAACCGATATAAACAGCTTATTTGTATGTGACGTCACCAATATAAGATTATTATCTATACTTTTCAACGAAGCGAGCTTAAAGGAGCTGGAAAATGAATTGCTTTATTTTCCACAACAAAATCATTCATATTTGCAGTTTGATCTGCTTTCAAAGGAATTCTAAAACATTATTTCCGGATAACTTTATAAACATCCGTTTAACGCTTAGTTTAGCAGACGATTCTTCCATATACAATAAATTGGTTCTTACATAATTTCACTGTTGAGAACTCTTGATCTTAAGAACGTAAACCCAATAAATTACGCTTTATAAAAGTTATTTAACAAATTTACCCTTCTTTTTCTAGGTGACAAAAGATATAACGTAATAAAAAAATACAGAAATTGAATAATCTACGCGGACTAAAGCGCCTGACAAAAATAAAATATAATATAGAATACACTTGAGTCCACAATTTAGGTCTATATTCGCTTCAGGGAATCGAATAATTGCGAAATTTTTCATTCTGCGCGACTATAAATCTTGTTGCCCAAGTAGGAAGTAGAAGAAAAAAAAACCAATAAATAATTGAGTGTTCTATAACAAAAGAGGGGCCTTTATTTCATAGGGCCACTTCACATTTTCTTTCTTACTTATCAAATTACGTTTTTTTCTCTTTCCCTTTCTTGTCAATACTTTTAAAATCTGAGCATTCTACATTATATGTATATATATATATATATACTGTATACGTCTTTAGAGAGAGAGAGAGAGAGAGGGAGACAGAAAGTACGACTGTACACTATGCATCATCTCATATATATCCTATATCCTTTATATACAAAGTAAAAACACGCGACAAAAAAGAGCAAAGTTTTCTATCTCTATTATTATACTATAGATTGTAGTGAATAAAATATAGGAAATTGATACGAAAGATGGATACTCTATAATTAAATCCTTTTCAAATGGAAAAGATGATTTATACAAACATTGCTATTTGCTCATTATATAAACTGTATACACTATACTATACAACTAACTGTAAAACATAGAGAAAAGAACAACAACAATAACAAAGTAAAATCTATTCCTTATTAAAAGTAAAAGAAAGAGAAAAAGAAAGCGTTCTAGCTAAGCTTTATCCTTCTATAATTAGATGGAAATGTAGAGTATTATTACATAAAGTTATTTGATGTTCAGACAGTTGTAGATATAGTTATATAATATATATTTTAGATATATATACAGTATATATATAAACTACTCAGGTCAAAAATTCCTCAAGTTTTTTGACTGATGAATATAAATAAAATAAGTTTCTCATGCTTTTGGCATATTTTCTTCAATATATACTTTGTTAGAAATGTGAGAAAGATAAACTTTTATATATTATTCTTTATAGCAGTTGTTAAATAAAAAATAAAAAATTAGGCCTAATTAATTTATAAAATTAGAACAATAAAACACATATGATATATATATATATACTGTATATATAATATAAAATCAATAGAAGAATGATTATAGTAATTATAATAGTAATGGATTTTGGAAAAAAGGAAAAAGTTTTGATGTATATAATGTAAAATCTAATATAAGAAAAAAATGATTAAAAAACTATATAGTATAATTGATATATAGTGTCTAAGTCCCTAGCGCATTTAGTTATTCCAAGCACGCTCTCTTTCCTAATCGGTTTTAAGGTGAGCTTTCTTCCGCTTAAAAAGAAAAGTAATATAATATAACAGTATGGTAAAAGACGGCAGTAAAGTAAAGTAGTTGATCGGAAAACGTTCTCACAAGTCTCCTTTATTGAACTATAAGAACATTTCGAATCGTATGCCAATAGGTCAGTTACAAAAACGTGTTTAGAATTCTCCTTTTTTTTTTAAATAAAAAAAAAAGAGAGAAAAAGAACATCTTGATTTTTATAGGCCTAGTTATTCCAGTTTCTTTTATTGCAGTAGTTAAGGTTACAGCATATTTATATATAATGTATATTTGCAATATTATAAAAACTATTATATTTATTACTGTTTCTCTTTATTTCTTTTCAAGTGTCCTTACAAAACGTGCAAATCAACCTTTGATGAGAATAAAGTAGAAGTTGAGAAGCAATTAGTACCTTATAGGACAAAGATGGAGAAGAAAACTCTTTTCGAATGCTTCTATAACGAAGGAGAAGGTAATTTGGTAATTTTATTCAAGAAGCACACTCGTTCCGAAGTTATCCATTCCATGCTCTGGCCGTCCCTAGTGATTTTTGGGTGTGGTCTATTATTTATCCGCTTAGAAATGCATAGGCGAGGTATAAAATTTTGTAATAAAACATCTTTGGATATGGATGAACCAAAGACGCCTTTAAAAAGTTCTCATCATCAACCTGTACCTAAAATTATGCTAGACGATAGATCTAATTCAATGCCCGCTTTGAACATTCCAAATAACCCAAATACGAATATTGAATTGAGATGTAGTGATCCAACACTATCAAAAGACTCAAAACAACGTTTAAAGTATCAAAATCAACGACCGTCTTCGTTAGATTCACCCCCCTCGATGATGATGGGATACGAAACGCCTGTTTGAGACTGCTTTCATTATATAAATATATACAGACATTAATATATACAGTATTTATTTAAGAAAAAAAGAACTTCTACATACAAAATGTATATTTTTTCTTGTTTTTGTTTTTTGTCCTGTAAATACAACGAACTAGTCAAGCGACATCTATTGGTTCTTATAAAAGAGACTTTTTAAATATAAATACCTAATTGTTGGATATCAATATATACATATATATATATATATATATATATATATATATATATATATGTATATATTCAATTATACATAAATAAATTTGCACAGATATTAAACAAATATCATTTTATCATAGAATTCGATAAGAATATAGATGTTAACTGAAATAAGTAATAATCACTTGTCGGAGAACGAAAATCTAACCTTTTCTTGCTAATTATAAGCGTTCCAGACACACGGTTGAAGAGAGAGAGAGAGAAAGAGAAATTTGGAAGAAAACTCAATAAAATTTACTTATTGATGTCTCTTTAAAAAGTATGATGTTATATTTACAGTAAATATTAAAGTCATAATGAGCTAAAAGTTACTTTTATCTTCTAATTGGCATATTTTGTAATCAGAAAAAACGAAGAATGACATAAACGGTCTAATTAACGTCATTTTCTCTTTTTTTTTCCCCAATACAATTGTAAAGAAAAACTCCAAAAAACAAAGTAACTAGATTTATGAATATTAATATATACAAAAGCTAAATGATAATCATAAAGAGAACATTTTCACCTTTCTATTCTTAGTAAGGCATATTTTTAGTAATATTCTGAATTATTAACAAGAAAACACATACTGATATTAAATTAATAACCAGAATTTGTTCTATAATAAAACTTTATTAGTTCTTTAAATTGATTAAATGAATACTATTTAGTAGTATTTTATTATAATTTATATATATTTGGCATATTCAAAAATAGTCTTCTCTCTATAAATTATTTAATCATTGTATTTTAAATAATTCAAGTTTGCCTTTTTAGGTAATAAAAAACAGAATCCACAATTTTACGAATTGTATTTCTATTAACACATTAATAGAATATATTCAGGATATTCTTAGATTTTATCCAACATTTCTCATCCCTCTTTCTATTATCAATTTCCTTTTAATAGGCAACATCTTTGCTCTAAGAATAGTAAATATAAGCTTTGAAGTAGTGTTTTGAATATTTTTATATAGTGAAAGAATTCTATAACTTACAAAAAAATCCTGGAAGCTGACTTCATGAGAATCTACGCAGGAAGAACCGTCAGGACTACATTTTTTGTCACTTGCGCAACAAATTCCACTCTCACAGCATTGCATCTTTAAAAAATACATTTCTTTAATAAAGCTTTTATTTCAGAATTAATTAAGCGTACATTGGCTTCTGGACAGCATAAACAACCTTCATCTACGCAAGCGCAGCAGGTTCCCTGCAAAACTTCGCAAGGATTGTTTGGGAAGCAATCTGGTTAAAAAATAATACTTTGAATATTGATTATTCAGTTAGTTAAAACTCTAATAATTATCTTAATAAAAAAATTAATATTCTTTTCGTATAATTACCAGACTTTTCAGCCACAGAATAAGCAATGAAAGCCAGGATAAAAACTAAGGTAACCTTCATCTTTTCAATTAAAATTTCCCTTTTTTTCTCTAAACGAATTATCTTCCTTGAATTAATTTGGTTAAAAAACCGTTGAATAACATTAATATTCTGTCTGCTAGAAAGAAAAACGCAGCTTCCTTTTTTATATCGTTACATCCTGAAAAAAAAACACATTTCTAAAAGGGAATGAACAGATGTCAAAAGTATTTCCTATAGTCTGTTAAAGTTAAACGAATCGTATATACGTGTGTGTGTGTGTGTTTTTTCTTTCTTTCTTTCTTTAATACTGTTTCTAAAAAGAGAGAGAGAAAAGATAAATCTGAAGAAAAAAGGAAGAAACACTTTGGAATTTTATCTAATTATTAGATATTCTATCTACAAATAGGAAATAACTTTTGAAGTAGAAAGAAAAATTTAAATGTTAAATAAACCGGATGTAAAGTTAAACTATATACATCTATATATATATATATATATTTTTTTATGTATATATGTATGGGTGTATGTTCGTCTATCTAATTTTTGATAAATTAACAGATGTTTAGATTTCTTTGTAATTGTTTTTTTTCCTTTCTTTTTCTTATTGTACTCTCGAATATTTTACATTAGTTTACAAATAACAATTCATTGTAAATTGGTCTTAACAATTATTTAGTCTTTAATATATATATATTTATATATATATATATATGTTCAGAAGTTGCATTATTTCTCCTTCTATAGTACAAAACATCTGTTTTACTGCCTATAAATAGAGTGAAAAATGGAAGAATATACATACATACTCTATTTCACAGACTTAATAATAATAATAATAATAATAACAAAATAGGAACTTAAAAAAGACGCCAAAACATTATTAATAGGAATGAGTTAACTCTTGATTATTAATGGATAAAAATCTACTCTTAGCACGGGTCATATAACAAATTTGCTCTGCTCTTTGATCTTATGCTCAAGAGTCAGAGATTGTAGGAAAGGTATTTTTTAAAAGATTACAAGACTTTCAACGGTTTTTTCTTTCTTTCTCTATATTTTAATATTAACATATCCTGAATGAAATTCGGAATTTTTCCTTCCTATATTCATATCTTAATTCTCATTTTTTTTGTTTATATAGTACCATAAAGGTAACGAAATTCATTAGGATTACTAAAGAAAACTCCTTTCTTCTTTTACTTTCATTTAAGAGACTACTTGACAAAAGACTCCCTTTATATCTTTTATCTTAAAGAGGCAAAAAGATGACAATGAGAAAAGCGTAAAAGTTGAAAAATATTGACAGAGTGAAGTATGCATATATGTTCTATTTTCTTTATATACAATTGATTTCGTTGTTTAACCTATTAATGTTAATATTACTCTTTACTATTCTACATATTTTTATTAATTAATTGGTTTTCTCTGTCTTAGATAAACATATAACTTTATAAAACTACCCGTTTTGCACATACTTATATCGATTTCTTGAAGGAGTTTCAAATATTCAGACCGATAGAGGGAGTATTAATCAATAAAAAAAATGTTAATACTAATTACACAGAAAAAACTGAATGTAATATATTAAACAGAGATTTTATTTAAGTATTCTAAAAATAGACGTTATTTTAGTTCCAAATCCGTAAAGAATATAATTTCCAGAGATTTAAAAGGAAGCGGAAAATAGGGATCCTGTTTTTCAAACTATAAATCGACTTGTGTTTGGTTGTAACTTCAACTCTTACAAAAGTAATTTCCTGGCGGCTTTAGATTGTTTATTTAAAGTAGAATAAATAGTACTTATTCAAAAAAATACTAGTGTATAACCTTAGAACTATGAAATACTATTTAAAGAACAACTAAATGCCTTCAAATGCATATAATTAACTGAATGTTAAATACATCAATCTATCTAAAAATCTAATTTACACATTTTTGAATGAATTACTTTTGAAAGTAGTTTTGAACAATCTATACATTTTCTATTTACTCATTTAATCTTTCTGAACCAATACAATTCTGTAAAATACTGGAAAGAAGATAAGAAAAGAGAGTAAAACGAGGTAAAAAAAATAGTCAAGGATTACTAAAGAAAATTAAGATAACGTACTCCAATATAAAAAAAATATGGAACATGAGGTATCGCCCAACTTCCAGGATTACTATTTCCTGAAGGGAAATAAAAGTCGAAATGATCACGTTCCACACTAGATCAATACTATATGAATAAAGTAGAGAACTTGTTAATTTTAGGATATTTTATTAAGAAAATATTAATAATTAATTAATCTCATTAGTTGGAATAAAATACTTTATTTTCAATAAGTTTGTCGTGAATAGAATAATGAGATATAATAACAATCTCTTTTTAGATTTCATTTTGTATACTGTACAACTCTCTCTCTCTCTCTCTCTCTCTCTCTCTCTCTCTCTCTCTCTACCTATCTTTCTCTCTCTCTCCCTTACACACTCACTCTACTTCCCTCTTCCCTTCCCAATATTTCGTTCGTTTCATTTTCATACGCATTTATTTTTTAATGAGAGAAGTTTAAAGAAAAAGTACGGGAAGATGATTTAGCATATGTTTTCACCATAAAATACCTACGGCTATACGTATACTCAATTAAACTAATTAAAGAAGCAGGTGTCAGGTTGTTTTGGGAGGGAGAAATTCTCAGCTAAAAGGTCAGAAGACATAGTTTAGTAGCTGTCAGGAATGTTTTTAAACGATTTTTTTTAAAAAACATATGAAGGTATTCCTTCTACCGTTGATAATCAGTTAAAAAGGTTAAGATTAATTTATATTAATCATTGATATGCCTTACTCTTTTACCTTGGCCTTTGATTTTAATATACAGTTTCCCATGGTTGGTTAAAAAAAGCAAAAGAAAATAAAAGTCCAACTGTAATAGTTAAACCTAATAATCTCTTACTTTTAAAATCATGAGAAATATCCCTACAAAAGAAACATTAATTAATACGTAATGACTGGACAGAATATAAATATTAATTAATGACGTCACATAGTCTTACATATAAAATTTATGTAGGCCTAAGAGCTCGATAATTTTCTTGTTTAGTTAAATAAGATTCTATTTTGATAAATCTTTTAAAAGTCCCAATAGAGAGAACGTTGTATTAGAGAAGTGATGCTGTGCTATAAAAAAAGTTTCAGTATTTACTGAGAACTAGACATATTATTATATACAATATTTCAATAGTTCCAAGGCACAATATAAAGTGTGAGATGAAAAGAAGTAAAAAGGGAAAAGAGACGGATTGAACGGATGTAGATAAAAGGAGACGAAACTTGTAATAGAAAACATAAAAGCATAAAAATGAAAAATAAGAAAACTATGACTTTTATGTAGAACATTTTCATTCTGAGAGAAATCAATTACCATATGGGTGATTGTTTCCAAGAGAGTAGAGTCGATTACTTCTCTTTCCTCCTTTGCCGGTAAATTGTCAAAAGGATATTTTAGACCGTCTACTAGTCCTAAACTCCAATTATACTTGCTCTTTATCTTTCGCCAAGTCATTTTTCTTTGGTAAAAATAAAGTAAAACTTTAATCTTAATTAGGTTTTCTTATAAAAAAAAGAATATATATCAATGGTTTCGAAAGAATTATTCTGAACTATCTCTTATCCTTTTGTACTATCTTTCCTGCATTAAACTGTTAAAACTCTTATTTTTCCTGTCGTGTAGTTCATTCCAGTCAGATTTCTCCTGGGTAGTTCAAACGGTATTGCTACACAGTCTTTGTGTACATTGACATTGATGTTTTTGGAAAAGTCTAGGGAAGGGTTCACCAGAAATGAGAGCTTCCCAATGGGAAATGAAAATGCCTAGACCTTCGTAGGCGGCATAACGAGGTTTACAAAGACCAGCTGTGTTTCCTTTTAAAGCCTAAGGTGAACTAAGATTCCAGTCATTAACTAATAACATATGTAAATGGGTTATTACAGAATAATTTCCATAAATGGCACTTTTTAAATTAATAAAGGAATATCAATTGTCCTATTTGAAAGAGGTGGACAGTGACATCTATTTATGCGCTGTTCCTATCACCCTCTTCTTATCAATCATTGATCAACTTCAAATTGTTTATCTAGTCTAAACTTTCGGTTGGTTTCTCCATAGTATTATTTACACTTTCTATCATTATATTTAAAATGTATAGAATTAAACAAATTTGTTTATCCTACAAAGAGAAAAGGGGGAGAGGAATAAAACAAGAGAATAAGTGAAAAGAGAAATTCAGAAACATCGATTTTTTTTGTATTAATTAAAGTAAAGTAGGCAATTGATATCCATTAAGCTTTCTTCATTTCCGAACTTTCTTGATAAATAATAGTCGTTAAGGAAGAAATTTTTCGAACAAAAAAGTTAAAAGAAGGAAGGGAAGAAGAGGGGGGAAGGAAAGAGAACTAAAGAAAGAATGAAAAAATAAATCTATACACTACAGAACTTAAATACAATTGAACAATCAAGTAGTTGAGGAGTATCATTGATTTTCTTCTTCTATTCTCATTCTTTACCTTTTATGTAATCTTAAAATTTTCTGAAAAGCTTCCTTAAATTGTTTGTTATTTCTTCCATAAATGACAGCGTTTAAACCAGAATTAATAAAACTTAGTAATAAAGTTGATTGAGATAGCATGCTAAATATAGATGTTTCACGAGATATGAATACTCTTATACCAGTAAAAGCTAAATAAGGCAACCAGCATAGGTAAAAAATGCCAATTATTCTTGCAAAGACTTTAGCAGCTTTCAAATTATGTTTCGTTGTGCTACTCATACAGGACACGTCCATTATTGCAATACGACGATGTTGTCGATTAGATATTTGAAAGATTTTGATATAACAATATGTAACGATAACAAATACAATTGACAATTTAATTAGTAAAGCCATAAGATATGATGTTGGATAAATAACGCTAAATTTACAAATACCTTCCCATTTTGCAGCGCTATTGAAATAACTTAACAAACTAAATGAAAATAGTCCAACGTAAATCCAAATTATTACTGATATTACAATATACTTCCGCGAAGTGTTAAATCTCTCGTATAGGAATGGATCACGTATTAGCATGTATCTATCTATTGCTAAGCATAGTAGATTTGCTAGAGAAACGCCAGTTGGTAGGATAACACTTGCGAAACTGGCTGAACATAGAGAAATAGAATTTGATGAAACGTTCATATATTGAACAATAATATAAAATGGTATTGTAAACGATCCAACTAACAAATCGGCCACAGCTAAAGATGCAACAAACACTCCAGCAGCAGTTTGTAATTGTTCAAATTTCTTGATAGCAATAATTACTAATGAATTGCCAAATATTATCGGAATTATTAAAACGAGGCTACAAATTGAGAATATTATATTAAATTCAGTATTATTTAATGGTACATATTCATCCATAATAGTATTGTCTAGCGATGTCAAACCATTCTCTTTTCACAATGAAAATAGATCAGATTGAATAATTTATTCATAATACTTTAATTATTTAGTTCCAGTCTCCACTCATTCAGGAAAAAGAACAGATTGCAAGAGCCTTTTTTTTTTGCATCCACTTCAGGAAGATCTTAGTTATTAATGCAAAAATTACTCATGTCATTAGCAAGATTCGATAATATTGTAAGCAATAACAAAAACAATATACTTTTACTTCTAAAAACAGTGAATGCATTAAATCCTACTTTGCCATGAAAAAGAGTAATGACTGTGTTTTTCTTTTACCTGATTATTCGCCTCATTATGATCCTATAATGACATATTTTTAATACAATTCATTCTCTTTTTTTTCTTATTATCTCTTTCTATCCCCTACTTCCCTCTCTCTCTCTCTTTTCTATCTCTCACTCTCCATCCCTCCCTCCACTCGTCTCTTTCTATATTTTCTCCACCTATCTTGTCACTGTTAGTTCTCTATTATGTTATTCTCTAATCTCCCTTAGTCAAAACATGTGTACTTTTGTCTTTTTCTTCGCATTAGCTTATTATTATTTAAATTAAAACTAATCTTCTAAAAATCACTATTATTAACATTGATTTTTTTATACCACGTGACTGGTAATTTAGTAAGAATATCATTAAGAAAAAAAATCTATTCGGTCTTTTGTTGTTGCTTCGTGTAATTCTGTTGCTTTTTCTCGGAAAAATCTTTCCAGGCAAGAATAGTCCTATACGGGATGTAATTGATATAGGAGAACATGAAAGGATCAGCAACGATTTAATAAAAAAAGAAACTCTCTAACTTCACTAGGATTTTAAATCCAAAGATATTAACTAATTCATTTATATTGTCGATATTTCAATACATTATCGCTACCCTGTTCATAATAATGCATTCAGCTAGTTTTTCAATCAGACCATATTAGCGGTATGTATTAGTATCAGAATCATTTTATTTTTATATCCTCGTGATATATTTTGTGAAAAAGTATAAAAAGAAATTTTCTCATTTATATACCTTGGAAATAAATGCTTAATGCGCATTATCCTTAGAATACTTAAGAGAAAAGAGACAGAAAGAGAGAGAGAACAAAGAAAGAAACACATAGAAATTTGCCAACTAAACGAAAAATGAAATTCTTTCAGTTATTATTCGCTATTTGAACAGGTAAGATACAGTAAATAATTATGAAAAACAACTGTATCTTTTAGCTTATCTTCTCATGTTTAATAGAAAAAAATATTTAAATGGAGTATTATAAACATTAGAGTATTGTTAATTTTCCAATTGTTTATTTAATTAAACTAAACTATTATTAATATAATTCAACAATGAATGAAGAGAAGGTTACATGTTCAATTAAAACATTCTTTTCTTAATTGTCATTTCCTAACATCGCTGTTTAAGTGTTAAGTAAAGGACTATAAGCATCATCAAGCAAAATGTATTTTTATTCAATTGAATAGCAAATGACAAAACACGTATCAAAGACTTTTCATATTTTTCGTATCTCCCCTAACGTCTAAATGTATAATCCATAGAGAAATAAGATGAAGATTAAAAGAACTTGTTTTGCAAGACCAAGTTTGAAAAAAACACCATGTGTTTAAAATGGCTTTGATAATCTCTCTTCCTTCTCTTAGAAAAAATCGATAAGGGAAACCTTATAGCTGTATACTCCAATATCTGAAATATTAATCTAAGTCAGATGATTGATGCTTAGAGATTATAGTGTTCGAACGGACAAATATATCATCATTTTTAATAAATCGACAGGGATAGGGAAAGAGTGACACAGAAGCTACAACTCCAGAACCTGAAAGTGAAGAATCAAAAGCTCCATCTGCAAAACCAGAAATGAGTGACACAGAAGCTACAACTCCAGAACCTAAAAGTGATGAAACAGAAGCTCCATCTGAAAAACCAGAAATCAGTGACACAGAAACTGCCATTCCTGAACCAGGAAGTAATGAAACTAAAGCTCCATCTGCAAAATCAGAAATGATTGACACAGAAACTGCCACTTCACAACCAGAAAGAACTGCAACAGCAACTCCCACCCCAGAATCAGTGACTACGACTGTGTTAATCCCAGTACGATATTAACTACTATTTCAACAGAAAGAAATGTTGTAACAAAGGCAACTAATATCAAGGAACCTGTTGAAGATGGTGCTGTAGAGAATGGTAAAATATTCGTTGAAGGTGGTGATATCCAGCGTAAGTCTAAACCATTAAGAGAAATTAACAATGATAACACATATAATTTATATAAAAATATTTATACAAGGCCAACATGATTTAAGTATATAACAAAGTGTTTAAATTAGTTGATGGTGAAGGGATTGTCTTTTATTTAGACTAGACATGAGACAGATAGTGTTTTTATATTCAGTCCTTATTTTGATACAATACTTTAGTATACAAAGTAAAATATTAATTAATTATTACTAATGTTATTGAATAAATTCTAATTGTTGATATAGCAATTTAAGAAACCAATTGAAAGTACTTTTTACATAGGAATTTATAATAAATCAATATAACAATTAGAAATTATCCATAATACTAAAGAATCTTATCAATAGAAATGTAATGTTTCGAGTTAAATAGATGCTGAAGTAACGGATGAACTGGACAATGAATTACTACTCCAAGAGTTGGATCGTCGAAATGTGAAAAGATCGCCATGTTAGATAAAACAACTCTTCTATTTTCATTAATAATATCAAAGCTACTCTTTTCATAACAGATGACGTTCCGGGATATGATAGATATCCTAATAGAGATTATTATGGATTCGATATTCAGAAATTCGAAAATACAGACAGACATAGTTGTGCGGAAGAATGCAACGAACTGTCAGAATGCAAGGCATTCGTTTTCAATAAGATAAATACTTGTTTTATAAAGACTAGAGGAAGTACAAGCGGTGCGCCATACATGAAGAATAACTTTGGAGAATTATTTATTAAAAGAACTGGTAGTTAATTGAATATTTCATGAATTCATTAATGAAAATATTACTATACAATCAACAGACGAAATTATTGGCTATACTCATTATCCAAAAATGGATTATAATTTACACGACATTAGAAAATTAGTAAATTCTAATCCGCATGACTGTGCGGATGAATGTAATGATGAGCCGAAATGTAAAGGAATTGTCTTTAACATTTACACTAAATACTGCTATCTTAAACACGACGCTAAGCCGGAAGGAGAATACTTTATTAAAAATCACGCTGGACAATTATATATAAAAGATAATATATGTAATTTATTAAATATCTTCATATGTCATCAGTTTAATTGCTCTTTTTAATATTCATTAGATGACGATGATGAATCCAGTGATTAAAACATTTTTTTTAAATAAATCAAATTGCATCCAGTAAGATCATTTGAAGACTGGCGAAAAGACGATTTGGAACTACAATGTAAATCTATAGCTAAACTTTTTTCCTTGAATTTTGAATAATACAGTTAAACACAAAAATTTTTCAGCCAATATGAACTTTGTTAGTCATTAGAAATGTCATCAATTTCAAAGAAACCAGCGCTCATTAAAAATATATAAAGAATTATCCTCTGATATTATTTGAAAAGTATCTAAATTTATCCGTCTATCATTTTAAACAGCTTTAAGTCACATCTTAAGTGACTTTCGATTGCAAGTGTCTAAATCTTCCTTCTATCTTCCATGAAAGACTCTTAAAATAAAGATAATACTCTTTTCTGGACATCTCATTTTCAATATATCATGTTCACAAACTGTTTTCATTCTTCTACTTCTCCTAAAATGCCTAGCTGTCTTTTTTTGCTTCAAATGTTTAATTCCGTTCACAATATCTTCAAACTTCAGACCAACAATCAGTTTCATCAAACGTGAACAAACAAAAGCGATAGAAAAACTTGATTTTTTTGAAATATTTGTTTTATCTGTAAAAAACAGGATGTTTTTGGTTTTTCTATGTTTAAAATTTCTTCTGGTTTGTTTAATTCTTTCAGTTTTGAAGATTCAACTGCTTTAGTTGGTTCTTCTGGTTTATTGGCTTCCTTCGGTTTAGTTAGTTCTTCTGGTTTTAAAGTTTCCTCTGATTTAATGGGTTCTTTGGGTATTGCTGATTCTTCTGGTTAAAAGGTCATATTTCATTTTTTACATAAGAGTCTGTTATCATTTTCTAGTCGAGTATTTACATTAAATATTTATTCGAAGTTAAGTGCATTACTCCTTTTTATAAACTTTTAAAAATGTTATCAATATAAATAAGAATAATGATGAAAAAAGAGGGTTTTGCTGCATTATCAACAATATTTTGGGAAATAACATAAACAAACGTGTACAAAATATCTTTAAAACTATTAAATTTAATTACTAATTAAATAAGATCAATGTTTTAGAATTGATTGTCATTTTAATTGGTAATCTATAACATTATATATGAATAGTACATTGTATGCTTTAAATCTTGACAACGTAGCTATTAAAACATTTGTCTAAATACTTTCTGATAGTGTATAATGAAAAAGCTCTTTATATTTACCTTTTCATCTTATATGTTACACAAAGTAATATATATTTATGAATATTGTAATAAAGAATATATTAATATACTGAATAATTCAATTCGAAATAATAACAAATTAAATAAATAGCCTTAAAGGAGGTCTGTATTAAAAATATTAAGAATTCTTTGTTTTTTGATAAAATACGTTCAAACTTTAATCTCATTTTCACATTTTTATATCTTCTCCTTAAGCTTTTGCCCTAATATAAAAGTCTGTATCTGGATTTTCTTTAAAGTTTTCACCATAGGTTCTAGCTACACTCTTTAAGCAACATTTTTGCACCATTGTAACAAATACAAATCCTTGACATTTTACAGAACTTTTACATAAAGCACCGCAATCTTCCCTGTCAATTTCGTGAAATGTTTCAAAACTCTTTCCGCAAAAATCTCTACCTTCGTAACGGTTAAATCCATCAACATCATCTAATGAATATTAAAAAGAGCAATTAAACTGATGACATATGAAGATATTTAATAAATTACATATACTATCTTTTATATATAATTGTCCAGCGTGATTGTTAAGAAAGTATTTTCCTTCCGGTTTAGCTTCGTGTTTAAGATAGCAATATTTATTGTAAATGTTAAAGACAATTCCTTTACATTTCGGCTCATCATTACATTCATCCGCACAGTCATGCGGATTAGAATTTACTAATTTTCTAATGTCGTGTAAATTATAATCCATTTTTGGATAATGAGTATAGCCAATAATTTCGTCTGTTGATTGTATAGTAATATTTTCATTAATGAATTCATGAAATATTCAATTAACTACCAGTTCTTTTAATAAATAATTCTCCAAAGTTATTCTTCATGTATGGCGCACCGCTTGTACTTCCTCTAGTCTTTATAAAACAAGTATTTATCTTATTGAAAACGAATGCCTTGCATTCTGACAGTTCGTTGCATTCTTCCGCACAACTATGTCTGTCTGTATTTTCGAATTTCTGAATATCGAATCCATAATAATCTCTATTAGGATATCTATCATATCCCGGAACGTCATCTGTTATGAAAAGAGTAGCTTTGATATTATTAATGAAAATAGAAGAGTTGTTTTATCTAACATGGCGATCTTTTCACATTTCGACGATCCAACTCTTGGAGTAGTAATTCATTGTCCAGTTCATCCGTTACTTCAGCATCTATTTAACTCGAAACATTACATTTCTATTGATAAGATTCTTTAGTATTATGGATAATTTCTAATTGTTATATTGATTTATTATAAATTCCTATGTAAAAAGTACTTTCAATTGGTTTCTTAAATTGCTATATCAACAATTAGAATTTATTCAATAACATTAGTAATAATTAATTAATATTTTACTTTGTATACTAAAGTATTGTATCAAAATAAGGACTGAATATAAAAACACTATCTGTCTCATATCTAGTCTAAATAAAAGACAATCCCTTCACCATCAACTAATTTAAACACTTTGTTATATACTTAAATGATGATGGCCTTGTATAAATATTTTTATATAAATTATATGTTTTATCATTGTTAATTTCTCTTAATGGTTTAGACCTACGCTGTATTGAATAGTGTTTCTAGATTGTTTATTCATACTATTCAATTACTTTCTGCAATAACAGTACTAACAACTATTTACTCTATTAATCTGTAGATAAAAGGGTAGACTGTGTTTTTTTTTATTATTATTGCTAAAGGTATAAGAATGTGTTATATTATATTTGTAATTATTATTATTATAGGATAGTACTATAATTATCCATACCTAAATATAGTACTTTATAATTTGTCAGATAAAATAATTAATCAACTACTTTAATAAACTAATTACTAAAAATATTGTTAATTGTTATTAGGTTGATAAAGCGTTAAAATAATTATGTTCTAATCATCTAACTTCCTTATTTATTCACCTTTAAAAAGAGCTACATATTGAACAAATGTACTTTGACTGCTTGTTCTAAACTCTCTCTCTCTCACTCTCTGTCCTTTCTCAGCTCCTACCTACTACCTTATCTGTCATTGATAAAATTTCTTCTATTTTTCAATAGTAGAAATAATTGAACGCTAAATTCATTTTTAATAATTGCATTTTGTATTAATAAATATGTGATGGTTAACAATAAATTGAAGAAGTACAATAGATTGAAAATTCGTCAAAAACTTCTAACTTAATTCTTTGTATATGACCAAGACCTAAAATTTCCTGGCATTTTCATAGAATCCTTATTGCATTTGCTTTGAACACAATAATTTGGCTTGAATATATCAGTTCGGATTCTTCCACACGAGTATACATCTCCGCAAGCAACACATTGGTGTTGGGATTCTTTACCACATTGACATCCTTTGTTCTTGCAACAAGCGCAATCCTTACGAGTTTTATCAAAGCTGCATTCACATCCACTAAGTGATTTTGTCCAGGCGTCTACTTCGTCTTTTGGTAATGCTCTTGGGTTTCCACATTCATCTGGATGATCACATCTGACACATTGATGTTTGTAATTAGCACATTGACAGCCACCTGGATTGCAGCAGGCACATCTCTTTTTATTTTGATCTTTTTCTCCTACACAAGGGCACCCAGTAATATTCTTTGTCCATTCATCTTCTCTCAAAACTCTCAACAAATTGGGATCATCTTCTCTTCTGAATCCATAAAACTCGACTTTCAGAGCAGGACTGTTTTCCCATTCGACTGGCATAATTTTCAACCACCTTGTGGATAAAACTTGCCCTGTCTCTTGCGTAAAATCAATCAGCTTTGATGAAGTTCCATCAGAATTTCCTGCTTTATCCTTAAGCAAATGTTGGAATTCATCACCATTAATAGACACAAAGAGATTAAATTTAGATATCCATCTATTAGAACCATCGCCAGACATTTTCATGCTAGTGATATCAACAATACTACCAAAATCAATAGCAATAGCTGGCTGTCTATCTTTTCGTTTAGGAATCCATGACTTTCCATCGGGTCTCACTTCGGTTTTCGAATGTCCACGTCTCGAACTAGACACATATATGTCATCGTCAGCAACAACAGTATTTCCCATTCCTAAAGGTTTTGAAGGCTGACGATGGATATCACCACCTTCAACAAATATTTCACCCTTCTCGACAGCACCATCTTCAGCAGGATCATTGATATTAGTTGCCTTTGTTACAACAATTCTTTCTGTTGAAATAGTAGTTTCTATCGTACGGGGAGTAGCAGTTTCCGATGGGATAAACGCAGTCGCAGTCTCTGGTTCTGGCGTGGCAGTTTCTGTGTCACTCATTTCTGGTTTTGCAGATGGAGCTTCTGTTTCATCACTTTCCGGTGCTGGAGTAGTAGCTTCTGTGTCACTCACTTCTGGTTTGGCTGATGGAGCTTCTGTTGCAGTACTTTTGGGTTTTGCATTTGGAACTTCTGTTTCATCACTTTCGGGTGCTGGAGTGGCAGTTTCTGTGTCACTCACTTCTGGTTTTGCAGATGGAGCTTCTGTTGCAGTACTTTCGGGTTTTCCATTTGGAACTTCTGTTTCATCACTTTCGGGTGCTGGAGTTGTAGCTTCTGTTTCAGTACTTTCTGGTTTTGCAGATGGAACTTCTGTTTCATCACTTTCCGGTGCTGGAGTTGTAGCTTCTGTGTCACTCACTTCTGGTTTTTCAGATGAAGCTTCTGTTTCAGTACTTTCTGGTTTTGCTGATGGAGCTTCTGTTTCATCACTTTTGGGTGCTGGAGTTGTAGCTTCTGTGTCACTGATTTCTGGTTTTTCAGATGGAGCTTCTGTTTCAGTACTTTCTGGTTTTGCATTTGGAACTTCTGTTTCATCACTTTCTGGTGCTGGAGTTGTAGCTTCTGTGTCACTGATTTCTGGTTTTTCAGATGGAGCTTCTGTTTCAGTACTTTCTGGTTTTGCAGATGGAACTTCTGTTTCATCACTTTCCGGTGCTGGAGTTGTAGCTTCTGTGTCACTCACTTCTGGTTTTTCAGATGGAGCTTCTGTTTCAGTACTTTCTGGTTTTGCATTTGGAACTTCTGTTTCATCACTTTCTGGTGCTGGAGTTGTAGCTTCTGTGTCACTGATTTCTGGTTTTTTAGATGGAGCTTCTGTTTCAGTACTTTCTGGTTTTGCAGATGGAGCTTCTGTTTCATCACTTTCTGGTGCTGGAGTTGTAGCTTCTGTGTCACTGATTTCTGGTTTTTCAGATGGAGCTTCTGTTTCAGTACTTTCTGGTTTTGCAGATGGAACTTCTGTTTCATCACTTTCCGGTGCTGGAGTTGTAGCTTCTGTGTCACTCACTTCTGGTTTTTCAGATGAAGCTTCTGTTTCAGTACTTTCTGGTTTTGCTGATGGAGCTTCTGTTTCATCACTTTCGGGTGCTGGAGTTCTAGCTTCTGTGCCACTCACTTCTGGTTTTTCAGATGGAGCTTCTGTTTCAGTACTTTCTGGTTTTGCAGATGGAACTTCTGTTTCATCACTTTCCGGTGCTGGAGTTGTACCTTCTGTGCCACTCACTTCTGGTTTTTCAGATGGAGCTTCTGTTTCAGTACTTTCTGGTTTTGCAGATGGAACTTCTGTTTCATCACTTTCCGGTGCTGGAGTTCTAGCTTCTGTGTCACTGATTTCTGGTTTTTCAGATGGAGCTTCTGTTTCAGTACTTTCTGGTTTTGCAGATGGAACTTCTGTTTCATCACTTTCCGGTGCTGGAGTTGTAGCTTCTGTGTCACTGATTTCTGGTTTTTCAGATGGAGCTTCTGTTTCAGTACTTTCTGGTTTTGCAGATGGAACTTCTGTTTCATCACTTTCCGGTGCTGGAGTTGTAGCTTCTGTGTCACTGATTTCTGGTTTTTCAGATGGAGCTTCTGTTTCAGTACTTTCTGGTTTTGCAGATGGAACTTCTGTTTCATCACTTTCCGGTGCTGGAGTTGTAGCTTCTGTGTCACTCACTTCTGGTTTTTCAGATGAAGCTTCTGTTTCAGTACTTTCTGGTTTTGCTGATGGAGCTTCTGTTTCATCACTTTCGGGTGCTGGAGTTCTAGCTTCTGTGCCACTCACTTCTGGTTTTTCAGATGGAGCTTCTGTTTCAGTACTTTCTGGTTTTGCAGATGGAACTTCTGTTTCATCACTTTCCGGTGCTGGAGTTGTACCTTCTGTGCCACTCACTTCTGGTTTTTCAGATGGAGCTTCTGTTTCAGTACTTTCTGGTTTTGCAGATGGAGCTTCTGTTTCATCACTTTCGGGTGCTGGAGTTCTAGCTTCTGTGCCACTCACTTCTGGTTTTTCAGATGGAGCTTCTGTTTCAGTACTTTCTGGTTTTGCAGATGGAACTTCTGTTTCATCACTTTCCGGTGCTGGAGTTGTACCTTCTGTGCCACTCACTTCTGGTTTTTCAGATGGAGCTTCTGTTTCAGTACTTTCTGGTTTTGCAGATGGAGCTTCTGTTTCATCACTTTCGGGTGCTGGAGTTGTAGCTTCTGTGTCACTGATTTCTGGTTTTTCAGATGGAGCTTCTGTTTCAGTACTTTCGGGGTTTTCAGATGGAGCTTCTGTTTCAGTAGTTTCTGTTTCAGGAGTGGTAGCTTCTGTTTCAGCACTTTCTGGTTTTGAAGTGGCAGTTTCTGTTGGTGTACTTTGGGGTTTTGCAGATGGAGCTTCAGTTTCAGTACTCTCTGGTTCTAGAGTGGATGTTTCTGTTTCTCTACTGTTTGGTTCTGGAGAGGTAGTTTTTGTTGTACTTTCTGCTGATGGAGTAGTAGCTTTCGTCGTGGTAGCTTCTGTTGTTGGCATGGGAGTAGTTGTAGGTCTGGCAGCTAATATTAAATATTTTTTATTAATATGTATTTTTTATGACGCTATTCTAATTATTACCACTTATTTTACGAAGATAAAAATCTCTATCTGAATGTCTTTTAAATTGAGGTCCGGAAGCTTTACCAGCGTGCTTCAATAAACAATTTCTATTTTCTATATTATAGACAAATGATACACATCTTGGTTCTTGATCACATTTACGACCGCAGCGCCTTCTATTTAAGTTACGGAATGTTCTAATATTATTGCCACGGTAATATCTTCTTGGATATCGCTCATAGTTTGGAAGATTACCTAAATTGACAAAAATTTATTATTTAAAAAGATTTTACTTTAAATTTAATATGTCCCTACGAGATGATTGTTTAATATATAAGTCCCCATCGACAGTATTTCTAAACTTAGGTCCTCTGGATTCTCCTCGATTTTTGATATAGCAATTTCGATTTTCAATGTTGTAAACGAATGCTACACAAGCGCTTTTTCTATTGCATCTTCTTCCGCAAGACTGTCTAGTAGATTTTGAATATTTTTTAATATCGAATCCGGGATAATCCTTTCCGATATATCTCACGTAATGACGGACAACTCCTGTATAAAAGGTTTAATATTAAATGTTATTTTTGAAGAATCCATTGCTTACGAGATGATCTCTTAATGAAAAGTTCCCCATGGTTATTAGTCTTAACGTTTGATCCTCTGGATTCTCCTCGATTTTTGATATAGCAATTTCGACTTTCAATGTTGTAAACGAATGCTACACAAGCGCTGTTTCTATTGCATCTTCTTCCGCAAGACTGTCTATTGGATTTTGAATATTTTCCAATATTGAATCCTGGGTAACCCTTTGCTACATATCTCGCATAATGGGACACAACACCTGTATAAAAGGTTTAATATTAAATGTTATTTTTGGAGAATCCATTGCTTACGAGATGATCTCTTAATGAAAAGTTCCACATGGTTATTAGTCTTAACGTTTGATCCTCTTAATTCTCCTCGATTTTTGATATAGCAATTTCGACTTTCAATATTGTAAACGAATGCTACACAAGCGCTGTTTCTATTGCATCTTCTTCCGCAAGACTGTCTAGTGGATTTTGAATATTTTCCAATATCGAATCCTGGGTAACCCTTTGCTACATATCTCGCATAATGGGACACAACACCTGTTTAAAAGGTTTAATATTAAATGTTATTTTTGGAGAATCCATTGCTTACGAGATGATCTCTTAATAAAAAGTTCTCCATGGTTATTAGTCTTAACGTTTGATCCTCTTGATTCTCCTCGATTTTTGATATAGCAATTTCGATTTTCAACGTTGTAAACAAATGCTACACAAGCGCTGTTTCTATTGCATATTCTTCCGCAAGACTGTCTAGTAGATTTTGAATATTTTCCAATATCAAATCCGGGAAAATCCTTTGGTACATATCTCGCGTAACGGGGGACAGCTCCTGTTTAAAAGGTTTAATATTAAATGTTTTTTTGTGGAGAATCTATTACTTACGAGATGATCTCTTGATAAAAAGTTCTCCATATTTACTAGTCTTAAAGTTTGATCCTCTTGATTCTCCTTGAAACTTAATAAAACAGTTTCTATTGACAATATTATAGACAAATGCTACACATGTTTGACTTTTATCGCACTGTTTACTGCAAGCATATCTATTGTAGTTTCTGAACCTGGCGATATCAAATAGTGCATAATCTTTTCTTGCATGTCTATTATATCCGGAAATGGCACCTTTATAAAAAAGTTTAATTTAATAACACCTTATGAATATTTATAATAATATACTTTCATACCATTAATAATGAAAAGTTCTGCTTTGATGTTGCGTTTAAAGTTTTTACCTCTTGCCAATGCATAACGTTTGATTTGGCACAATCGGTTGTTCTTACGGAATACAAAAGCTACACAGCGGATATTCTGATGACAATGGTTTGCGCAAGCTTGTCTATTTGAATTTCCAAAGTTCTTAATGGTATTATGTAAATATTCTCTTCCGACATATCGTGTAAATCCATGGATTTGAGCTTTGAAAGAAAGAATTTAGACAATGAAATTCTAATGAATATAGTATATATATATAGGTTATAGCATACTATTTAAAATGAAAAGTTCTCCATTTCTAGCAGGTTTAAAATTGGGTCCAGAGGTTTTTACTTGTCTCTTTAGCCAACATCCAGTCCTGTTATATTGGAATCCAGCACAATTTGATAGGCCAAGACATGCCGTGGCACATTGTTGTTTGGTTGCTCTCTTAATATCTTTAATATCATAACCAGGAAAATCTTTCCTAGGGTAGCGTGAAAAACCGGAAACGGATTCTAGGTTAAAAAGAGAAAAGTTTGATAATATTCTGGAAGAGTATAGACCTCTTTGAATGTTCTCACCTGATTTCTTATAAACTTCACCAAATTTAGAAGTCGTAAACATTGGTCCAGTGGTCTTCAGTTCTCTTTTTATCCAACAATCTCCCTTATCAACATTGTAAACAAATCCAACGCAAGCGATATGAGCATTACAAGCCTTTCTACAAGATTGTCTGTTCGATCTACTGTAGTGTTTTAGGTTGTGACCTTGATAATCTCTTCCAATGAATTTATGATAGCCTCGAACGTTGTCTATTCAAAAATTAAAATGAAATTAGTTAAAATAAATAACATTCTAAAATCTTACATGAAGACTTCCTTATAAATAGATCATTGTTGTTATTTTTAGTAAAACGACGTCCCTTATTTTCTCCACTATCCAAGAGATAACAACGGAAATTCACAAAATTAAAGACGAATGATCCACAATCTGGATTTCCATTGCATTTAACTGCGCAACTAGCTCTATTTAATTTGTTATATCTTCCAATTTGTCGTGTAGAGAAAGTTTTTAATGGATATCTCTTATAGCCTGATATTTCACCTATTTTTTAAAACAAAAATTCATTCTACTTTGTTACTTTTCTCATTCTACTTAAATACAAACGTGAGATTTTTCTTATGTAAAGATCTGCTCTTTTATTATTAGCAAATCTAGATCCTCTGGCTTCTCCTTCGTACTTAACAAAGCATTTTCGATTGACGATGTTGAAAACAAAAGCAACGCAGTTTGATCTTCGACGACATTCCAGAGCGCAAGCCTGTCTGTTGGATTTACGGAATGATTTTATATCGAATCCTCCATAATCCTTTCTTGGATAACGACTGAAGCCTAAGGGATTACCTGAAAAAGATTAATAGATTTGTTTATAATTCATATGTTCATATAAAGTTTTAAATTTTCGTACGAGTTGATTTCCTGATGTATAGATCTCCATATTTACTATTAGCAAATCTAGGTCCTCGAGATTCTGCTTCGTATTTAATAAAGCAGTTTCTATTGGCAACATTATAAACAAAACCAACACAGTTATTTTGTAAACGACAGTTCTGAGCGCAAGTTTGTCTATTGGAGTTGGGGAATGATCTTAGATCATGTCCACCATAATCCTTTCTTGGGTAACGACGAAAGTCTGAGACATAACCTAAAAATTATTAATAGATTTGATTATAATTCAGTAAGAAGTTCATTTTGCAAGTTAGGACTTACGGGAAGATGTCTTGATAAAGAGTTCTCCAGCGACACTTTTTATGAATCGTGTACCTCTTGTTTCTCCCACAGATTTCAAGTGACAATTTCTATTTTGAACATTGTAGACAAATGCTACGCATAGAGAATTTGTATTACATTCCTCTGCGCAAGCATATCTATTATAATTGGGAAAAGATCTTAGAGCAAAACCTGTATACTCTCTTCTAGGATGACGTGCATATCCAGCAATGTTATCTGTATAGAATGTAAATTTAATAATGTTATAATGAACATTAGATAAAGATTCTCTACTAACTATTCATAATGAAAAGTTCACTATTGGCATTCCTTACAAAATTTCTTCCGCGTGGTTCTCCTTTCTTCTTTAGATAGCATTTCCTAGTTTGGATATTGAATACAAAGGCAGTACATTGTTTATTACGATGACAATGATCTCCGCAAGCTTGTCTGTTTGAGTTTGTAAATTTTCTGATATCAGACTTTCTATAATCTCTTCTTGGATATTGTCTATAGCCATGAACAAGATCTGGATTGATAGAAAAGATAATTTTGATGTATTTGATAAAAATTGATTAGCTAAAATATACCATTCTCTATGAAAAGTTCTCCATCCACATGATCTTTAAAGTTTGGTCCTGACGATTGTGCTTGTCTTTTAATCCAACACATACTAGTTTTAGTATTGAACACAAAGCCGATACAAGCAGTATTTCTATTACAATGAGTACCGCAAGTTTGTCTGTTTGTTTTTGGGAAATTTCTAATATCGGAACCGGGATAATCTTTTCTTTCGTATCTAGTATAACCGGAAACTGAGTCTAGAATGAGAAAAAGTAGAAGATTAACTAATTTAATAATGAATATTATATTAAAAGCTCTTACTTTCTCTAATGAAAAGTTCGCCATCTCTACTATTAACAAAGTTTGATCCTGATGATTTTCCTCGGTTTTTAATAAAGCAATTACGATTTGCAGTATTATAGACAAAGGCTACACAATGTATATTGCTTTCGCAATATTGAGCACAAAGTTGAATGGTTGATTTCTTGTAATGTTTCAAATCGTGACCTGGAAAATCCTTTTGAGGGAATCGAGTAAAGCCAGAAGTAAGATCTGTAAAACAGAAAATTACTTTGAAATATTCAACAAAAAAGTTACAAATTAGTTAAGTACGTTTCTTAAGATAAACTTCTGCAAGAGAATTTGTCCTTGAACTTGGTCCATATGTTTTAATTTCTCCTTTAAGCTCACATCTTCTGTTTCCAAGTTTAAAGACAAAACCGTAACAATTTGGCATTCTATTGCACAATCTCCTGCAAGATCTTCTGTTGGAGTTTGGTAATACTCTTAAGTTGTGTCGAAGATAAGCCTTTCCAGGGTAGCGTACATATCCAGAAAGTTCAGCTGGAAATGAATAAGACAGCATGAGTATATTTCATTTTTATTGAATAATCATTAAACTAACTCTTCATAATGTAAAGGATTCCAGTTTTCATTGCTTTAAAATTTCTTCCTTTATCAGCAACTTTCCATTTAATCCAACATCTTCTAGTGGTTATTTCATATTCAAAACCCATACATCTGCCGTTATCTTCACACTTTGCTTTACATAAAGCTGGACTAGAATCTTCATAGTGTTGCAAATCGTATCCAGGATAATCCTTTTTCATGTGATATTTATAATGTGATACTGGAACTAATAAAAAAACGGTATTATTTGATTATTTAAAATAATTTTCTTCCATTAACGCTTACTTGTAACTTGTTTCATATAAAGAACATAGCGGTTGTTCTTCTTGTAGTATGGATCCAACAGTTTTGCTTGTGATTTTAACCAACAAGATCTTTGACTAGATTGATATACAAAACCAAGGCATTGTCTACTGTTTGCACATACAAAACCACAGAGTTGAGGACTAGAGTTCACTAAACGTTTAATATTGTGTCCTTTATAGAGCGAATTAGAATATTTGGTAAATCTATGTACGTTGTCTAAAAGATAAAGTTGAAAAGTTAATGATTTTCAAATAATAAATAGAAAGAAAAACACTTACAAGTGATTGGTCTGATATAAACTGCACCATCTACGTTGTCTCTAAATGAATGTCCACTGAATTTTACAGCGCTTTTCAGACAGCAACGCTTAGATGCGATCAAGAATGAAATACCTTGACAAGCCAATAATTTATTACATTCATGAGCACAAGCTTGTGGCAGTTTTCCATTGTAGCATTTTATATTGAAACCTGAATATATTTTTCTAGGAGAACTTTCATAAGTAGGAACTCTCACTGCAAAATAAAACATTAGATTATTTATCATTCGCAAGGAATTTTAATAGAATCGTACAATTAACAATTTTCTTGTAAGTTACGCCGTGTCGTACTGATCTAAAGTTTGATCCACTAGTTCTAATTCTCTTCTTCAGCCAACAATTTCTATTATGAAAATTGTAAACGAAACCTTTACACTTTGCATTGAAATCGCATCGGGCAGAGCATGATACTGGACTGGAATTTCTTAATACTTTAATGTCAGATCCTGTAGAATCTTTGAAATCAAATTTTGTATAACCACTAACGGATACTGAAAAATCATAAGTAAAGAATTATTGACTTATTAAAAACATGTAATAATATATTAACCTGTTATTCTCTTTATGTACAAAATGTTACGAGATGATCTTTTATAATTAGATCCCGTTGTCAACGCTTGAGACTTGAGCCAGCATTGTCTTGTACTATGTTGATAAACAACTCCTTTACATGTACTATTAAGATTACAATCATGGCCGCAAAGTTGAGGATTGGAATATGGAATGAGTTTAATATCATGACCGACATAGTCCCTTTCGCTAATCTTGTTGTATCCCCTTATATTAACTGTTGAATGATAGATATTACGGTATGCAAAAGATATACTTGTTCTATTATACTTACAGTTAAAGTTTTTCATAAAAAGAGCAGTATTGTAATTATTATTGACGTTTGATCCTGAAAAGGCTACGTAAAATTTTGTACAGCATCTTTTTATAGGCCACTGGTAGGCTATTCCCTGGCATTTCAATTCAGCGCTGCAGCGGTTAGCACAAGCTATTGGTGATACATTTGCGTAACAGTGAAGATCGTGTCCTCGGATAGTTTTGCCTAATTCACGACGATAACCAGAAATAGTGACTGTAAAAAGTCTAATGTAGAGAACTCCAGTAGACAGATTTTTTACATTTCTATCATTTGACCGTGCTTTTGATTTTACCCAACATCTTCGTGTTGTGTATTGGTATAAGAATCCTGTGCAACCTGATGCTTGGTCACATTTTAAACCACATTCTTGAGGATTAGATTTCTCGTGCATACGAATGTCATATCCTGGATAATCTTTACCCTGAATCTGTCTATATCCTTGAACGGCATCTGCATACAATTAAGTGATTGTAGGTTTATAGTAAAGGATTACTAGAATACTTTAACTTACATTGTGGATGTTTGAGGTATAACACTGCAGTTGAATGGCTTTTGTAAGATGATCCAAGAGTTCTAGCTTCACGTTTTATCCAACAGGTTTTTGTATTAGGTATAACTACGAAACCTTGACAACGAGATTTGCTATTGCAAAAAGTAGCACATTGGTGAATATTGTAGTTGGGAATTCGACGAATATCGTGGCCAGTATAATCCTTGCCATCGAATTTTGCATATCCTCTGATGTTACCTTTAAAGTGAAAGCAGGTTTAAATAACAATTGAATGTTTGATTTGGATTACATACCAGCGAGACAAACGAATGAAGCCTCCAAATACTTAAAGATTCCACGACAGGGATCGCCAAAGATACCATTTGAGGCGCGAATACTACAACTTGTTTTTCCATTACAAGCTACTACGACTTTATGAACAGATTTTCTGGATTTACAGTGACCAGCCATGATTTTTTGTCCTTTTTTTGATACATGTTTGTTATTTCCACATGTTGTCATATCTCCTCTGGCTCTACCATATAATGCATGATGAACTTGAATGACTGAGCCCTGTGGGCATGATAAGCGAAGTTTTTGATGCTCACAAACTCGTCTCCAGTGTTGCCCTTTTGTTATGAAAGTTTAAAAGTATGACTTAATTAATTGAATAAATAGCTAACTAACTTGGTCTGCATATATATCCAATCATTAAAAATTTATAAATTCCTCGGCAAGGATCTCCAAACACACTATTAGTTGCCCTAATACTGCATGAAGATTTTCCATTACAGTGTCTTCGTGCCTGGAACATTGAAGATCGTGCTCCACAATGAGCTTTTTTCACTCTTTTGATCACGGAACGGGAGCGCAAGTTAGAATTGGAACACGTATGCAAATCATATCTTGGTCTTCCATATTGGGCTTGGTTTATAGAAATGACTGTGCCTTCAGGACACGCTATCTGCATAGTCGAAGATTCGCATGCATTCTTGAAGGTTAGACCACCTAAAACGAATAGAAAATTTCATAAATATCTTTTTACCATTGAATGAAAATGAACAACTTACAAGCAGACGATATGAATACTACGAGTAAAGCAAGAGAGCAAGTCACAAAGACTGTTCTCATGGTTACAGGTAACTGATTGAATGGTTATCAGCCACCGGAATGAATTTTCATTCCAGTTTTCCGAGCTTATATACAAGTGTAGAAATAGCTGAACAAGCTTTATCTGTGTATAAGAGTCAATTCAATAAGAATATTCCCATAATTATTGAAATTAAACAAACATCACTTTAAAAAGAGAAAAACGTCTATAAAGACTTTTTTATTATATATGAAATTCTCTTTTATATTAATTCAATATTTAATCTTTGTAATTCTGTTCATTCATTTCAAAGTCTAGAAAGAGAAGTTGTGTAAATATTTGTTGAAGAAACAGCTTCGTAATTTTTAGCATCGTTCAAAAATTATTTGAAAAGTAGCAAGAGATATCAGCTAAGTAAAATTAATTTATTACAAACTAATTATTAATTCATTATCTTTGTATTGAATATTGAAAAATATCGTTTCAATTCTATACATAATTTACTTTATGATCTATTCTCTAACAGCTTTTGGTTTTATTCGGCCATCTCTTTTCAAAATTTTCTCATAAACAGCATCCAGAACAAAATCAGGTAGGTGAGATGCTAAAAATGTTAAAAATTTCGCATCCCCGCCAACAACGTAGCGACTTTTTGGGAATTTGGCTGTTGTTGCATGAACGTAGGCGTTTATTACAGGGCTAAGATCCGATTTACAATTGTCCTTGATGAATTGTCTTCCACTTTGAATCCCTAATGGTGTAAGTTAATGAATTCATTTTAATTAAAAGTTATTATCTTATATTTACAGTCTTCCAAGAAATCTCTACCATACATTTCTTGCATCTCCTTCGGTTGAATGTTGAATTGTTTATAGGCGTACTTTTCAAAATCAACGATATTAGTTAAAAAGTATCCAGGTTCAATGGTATGAACAGATACATTCCAAATCGCCATTTCCCGTCTGAATTAACGGAATTCTTGGTAATAATTATACAGTATGTAGCTATTTTTATCTTAAATATTAACTTAGTTCCGTGATTATTTTTAGAATGAAATGGTAAGAATATCTATACCTTAAAGAATCTGTAAAACCTTCTACAGCAAATTTGGAAACAACGTATGGTCCAACATACGGTTGACCGCATCTACCCAACATACTTGCCATATTAACAACTCTACCCTTTGCCTTTTTAATTAATGGTAGTAATTTAATTGTCATATTTATAACGCCTAACGTATTAACTTCGAAAAGTTTTCTAAAATCATCTCCATTTAGCCATTCAGTTGGACCGCAAACTGTAGCTATACCTGCATTATTAATAATAGCCCAAAGACCTTTATCCTCTCCAATAATTTTAACAACATCTTCAAAACAATTATTAATACTTTCCTCGTTTGTTACGTCTAAACAAATTGCCTTTATTCCTTTATTATTTAGGAAATCAGCACCTTCTTTAGTCAAACAACAACCTATTACGCCAACATTCATATCATTTAACTGAAGAGCTGTAATTTTACCAAAACCTCTATCACATCCAGTAATTAATACCCATTTATCTTTTAAATTGCTTATAACCAATGATCTAGCAAATTTTAATAAACCCACAAGGATAATTATCAAAATAACTGTTAGAATTATTAAGTATAACATTCTATATGCTTTAAAATGACAGTAAGTTGTAAAATGAATATTAAACTTGATCTTTCAATACTGTTTAGGTTTAGGCCTTTTTCTTGCGACACTTTTCTTTCATAAGGCATACATATCTGACTGATAATACGATAAGTAATTAGCATATTTTAGTTTTGTTTTTTTAAAAAAAAAATGTATAAATAAAATCATCGATTTTATTATTTCTATAACTTCTTTAACCATTTGGAGTTTTTTATATCAAAGATGTAAAGTAAAAGAAACAAGTATCACTTGTTCAAACAATTTTAAAAGTTTTTATGGGAAAATAAGGCGTTAAATTATAGTTTTTCCTATATATAAATAGCAAATAAATGTAAGATTTTCAATAGATATTTGCCATATTTTTTTAATATTTATTCTTACATTCTTTCGTGATGTTTTAGAGTTGTTTTCAATGAAAAAATATCAATATTAAGTGAATATTTGTATTCAGCATTACGTAACCTAAATTCAATATATTTTTAATTAGTTATATAAGATGGAAAATACCATAAATTTTTATATCTTATAATTAAAATATTGTTATTTCCTTTGTATCTAAACTAGATCAAGCACATATAGAAATATTGTTATATGTACTATATATATATATATTATAATAAGCTTGTTTAGTGCAAACATCTATAAAAAGACACTAATAAAAAAAGGGATTAATATATTCGTTAAAAAGTTAAAGATTACTCTTGAATATCATATTTTCATTTGATTTGAATTTTGCTATTTTTTCAACAATTGCGCAATGATCTGAAAATTGCATTTTAACAGCAATACAATGCGGTATCTTATCAATAATTATAGCTGGAAATTTTATACAATCTCGATTAATTAGATTGAGTTTTAAAGCAAGTTCTTTAAATTCATGATTATTAATTGTTGTTTGGTGAAAAATTGATAAAACCAACGGTTTTCTTGGTAAAATTTTCTCATAATTCAATATGTATAGGAGATGATGATATAGATGAATAAATGAAATATCTAAAGAACCAAAACCATAGAATTCAAGGTCATATCGTATCTTATCCTCTAGTATGTATACTGCACCAACACTCATACTTAATTGCTAAGTTTTGTTGAAAATGATAAAAAAAAGACAAATTTCATTAAGTTAATTAATTAATTTCATTAATTGTTGTTTACCTTATCCTTAGAAATAAGAAAACAGCAATTTCCTCTCTCCAATAGCGTTTCTAAAGTATCTTTGTTTATTGGTAGAGGCTCCATATGATATTGGATAAAATTAAATGGAAATAGATTCTTCCTTATTTCAGGATGAAATTCCAGTATTTCGTAGGGTAAATCATCAATTTTGTAAATTCTTTTACATTCGTACTTTCCAATTATTTTATTATTGAGATAATCGTTAAAATTTCCGCTATTCACCTGATTCCTTAATTCGTCCAAGTAATTTACGCATACAGCATTAATATTCTTTATTTTGTTTTTTTAAAAAAAAAAGAAAGAATATATTAAGAAGTAAGTAAAATACTGTATATACAGTAGAATAAATACAGTTGGAAATTAATTATATACCGTATAACCTTGAATACGGCCAGGTTTCTTTTTCGTCTTAATTAAATTTTCCCATAAATCAACGCTTTGAGTTATAAATCCAATTTCGGCAATATTTTGATATTTCATCCTTACATTTAACATTGTAAACCTTCTTAGACTACCAAAAATACCAAACTTGCGAAAATTTTCATGAGTTCTAGCGTGGCAATAGCTAACAAACGTTTGACATTTTGATACAATAGCGCAATCAAACGCTACTATCTATATAAAATATTAATTAAAGTTATTACTACTAAAAAGTAAATAACAAAGAAAACCTTGACCTTATCACCAGACAAACAAACAGTACAAACAGTAAAAGGATTTTTAATTAATTTTCCAAATTCGTATGAAATGCTATCTAATCCTTGATAATATGATCCTAAAGCCAAAACATCATATTCATCTTGACTTGTAGCTCTTCTAAAATGAATACATAAATCGTTCATGCTCTTCTCTTCCATAATCTTGGATTTTGACTTTGTAAATCGTGTTGATATTCAATCTATCTATTGTTGAAATTCTCTTATCGTTTTATATTAGAATAGATAACAGTTTTTAGCGCTACCCATTAAAAAATAAAAGAAAGCTATCTTGTATGTAACAGTTACAATAAATCAGTTGATCTAAACAATAAATCTTGCTTTTATTTTCAATTTAACCGCCAAAATATGAAGATTCATTTAAAAAAACTATTTAAAATTACACTAATTTATATTACTTTTACATTTTATAAACATTTTGGAATGTTAAAACATCTCTATTTATTTCTTTTTATTTCAATTTCACTATATACAGTATAAATAACGTGTTGAAAATAAATAAAATGAAAAGAAACGACACCTGGTGTTTAATAATTTATTTAGAATTCTTTTTAAAAAAAAAAAGTAATCTTTCTTATCTAATTATACAATTGAGAAATTACTAATTATTTAAATTTTCAACAAGGGATATGATAATTCAATTGAAAAAAACAGGTGAATAGCCCAATAACGAGGGATAGAACAACATAAATATACACAGTGTCAAAATGTTGTGATCTTCTTAATATTTATTTCGAACAGCTGCCAAATTTTTCTCTTTTAAAAATTATTTATTTGTATCTTTCTAAATCTCTCTTCTTCCCTTATTCGACATTTTGTCTTTTAAAACTGGTTGTTTAAAGTGTTTTTTTTTGTTCTTTTCTTTCTTTTTGAAAACAGACACACACGTACACACGCTCTCTCTCTCTCTCTCTCTCTCTCTCTCTCTCTCCTTAGTCGATCTTACTTCTTATACCACTGTTTATTCATTTATTTAAAAAAAAAGAAAGAAGTTTTCTAAAACTTTAATACAAGTTTCTTTTATCTTCTTTTTTATTATGTTAAAAGAAGGAAAAAATTACAAAAAGAAGAAATGAACCACTTTCAATAAGATATTGTAGCTTTTTCTTAATGTATCTATTATTATATTGGGATTTTTTTTCCTTCTTTTCTACGGCAAGAACGATTAGCAAACAGAGTTTTGTAACAATCAAAAATGGCACATTTTTGCAGACCAAAACAAATAAACAAAAGAGAAAATAGTAAAATTTTTCAAACAAGATTACTTTTCTTCTTTGACAGTTTATTCCATAATTGACAGGGTTCTGTTTTAAAATCGTTCCAACTCATATCGTAATTATTTGGGCCAATTAATTTCATATAGTGAACGGATCCGTGCGCGTGAACTTTTTCCCAGTGTGTTAAAGGGGGGAAACGATTAGGATTTCTGTTTGTATTCGATTAGAATAAGCGTAAATAATGGTATATTGATATTTATAATTACCCAGTTTTTGCAAAATTTCCCCAATAATTCATGATATGTTCTGAAAATTTCCTATCATCGTCGTTAAAGTTTTTCGAGCGATTAAATGGCCAACCAAATATAAATTGAATTTCTGCACCGTGTATAACGCCCATCCAAGGAGGCCAGGCTTCGTTTGACACTCTATAATGCATTTCATAAAAGTAGACGTCATTTCCAGCCTGAGCGTATTTATTAGCCCAAAATTTGGGTCCGCATTTAAACAGTCGATCTCCTGTTAAATCGTCAATGGCATCTCTATTAGCAGCTTTATCTGAGATATTTTTAGGTCTGTAAAATCGTTCGGCCTCTTTCCAGGTATCTATATGTATTTAGAAAAACATATACATATATATACAATATCTAAAAGAGAAGAAAATTAGAAAAAATCAACAGATGGCGCTTTAACCAACACCTGTAAGCTGTTTACACAGCTTAAGCAATGTTTGTGAATTCTTTCTAAAATTTTATTGCCAGAAAGAAGACAACATTATTTAGAAACAAATTCTAAAATTTGGCCTAAAAAGCAGATTTCCTTAATTTGGGATCAAAAATAAACAAAAACCTCTCACCTCCATGTAAATCCCATAGTGCAAGCTTAACGTTTTTCTTATAAGTTTCGTAATCGATTTCGCTTGAATTGTACTTAAAAAAGCCTAAAAGTGTATAAACTATCCAAAAAGTTCCTTCGTTTATATTTGTGCCTACAATAAGGCTTTTATTCTGGTAAAGTCCATTCACTAGAGTATCGTAACCGTCCCTTTTTATGAATTTTCCATCAAGATACGGAGCGAATGGAATATAGAAAAATTTCATTTCCATCCACATCTTATCGTTTAGGAAATCGGCGTCTTTGAAACGAAGACAAACTTTTAAATGAGCGTCATTCTTACAACCGATAATCTTGAGAAATTTCTCTGTTTTTGCAATCGCCTGCTCTTTAGTTAAAATCGCCCAATAGCAGTTGGGCGCACCACTTTGCATAATAGCCCTTTTGAAATATTTCGCCGAACCAGGTAATGAGAGATGCAGACCTACTGAAACGCTGCCAGCACTCTCACCAAAAATCGTTACCTCGTTAGGATCACCACCAAATGATGCAATGTTTTCGTGAACCCACTTTAGAGCTAATTGCTGATCCTTTAAGCCAAAATTACCACTAATTCGATCGTCACCCGTTGTTAGAAAGCCAAAAGGTCCGAGTCGATAATTAAATGATACAACAATAACTTTTTGAGAATCAGCTAAAACTTTTCCATCATAAACTTCCAATTGCGAACTACCGCTATAATATCCTCCTCCATATATCCATACCATAACAGGTAATTTAGCATTTTCGATTGAGGTAGTTTCCGGTTGCCATACGTTTAAATATAAGCAATCTTCGTTCATTCTATTCGATGGATTCCACATGTTAGAACCAACGAAAGAACCGAAAGTCTTATCAATGTAACAAACGCAGGAGTTGCCATGCTCAAAAGCATCTAGTACGCCTATTGTCAAATGTAACGACTTAGTAAATTTAATTAGTAAATAAATAGCCTAATAATTTTACAGTCTACAATTAAATAGCACAATTTCTACCGAGCGAAAAATAACAGACCAAGAATACGAAGAATAAGAAAAGATGATGATGATGATGATGATGATGATGATGATGATGATAGCGGCGATGAGAAGGACAAAAAGAAGAGGGAAAAGAAAATGGAGAGAGTAAGAAATAGAAGACAAAAATAATAGAAAAGAAAAGGGGGAAGCATTGGTGGGTGGTAAGAAGGTGGAAAGGGTAAAAAGAAAATCGAAAAAAAAGTAACGAACTAGGGGGTAGAGAAGAGGCGGTGGAAGAGATCGACTTTTTTTTCCATTCTTTCTATATTGACAGGGTCAAGTGTACCTTTTGTAAGAATATATTATAAACTTGTTGATATCTTACACTATATAAGTAGGAGAAATTTTGAATAAATATAATTATGCCACCATCTCTACTCCGCCTATTTTCGCTATAGAAATTTCTAATTTATTATTATTACTTTTGTCATTTTTCCTTTCCGCTCCTTAATCTTACCGCTTGCTAACGTTCTCTTAAAAATAAGTTTCGTTTTAATTGTCTTCTTTTCACCTTCTCTCAATACTATTCTTGTTCGCACCTTTGGTGTATTTTTTTCTTTTCTTATATCCCACCTTTTCCCTTTACAATTCCGCCTTCCCGTCGACCCCCTACCTTGAAAACATAACAATCTTCATCCCTCTCCCCTCAGTTGTTTTATTTATCAAAAGATTGCGTAATCGAATGAATTTTTTTAAATATTGTTCTAATTGAGATTCTACCTGTTCTCTATATGCTCAATGAATTAATCCTAATTATACCCTAGTATCAATATTTGTTTACAGATTAAACAAGTCTTAATATTTATAGGTAAAGAAACTAAGCCTATAAACTTTTATTACAAATAATAAGCCTATGTAAGCTTAGTTATAGTGTTAGTTTAAAGACTGTTTCACCATATTATTCGCTACAGGATGATAAAATTTATACTGTAAAAAGAATCATTAATTAATTTAATATTCAAAATAAACAATCTGGAGAGAAGTAGGCCTATTTCTATGTTATAAATAGTACTTATACTGTATATATATATATATATATATATATATAACTGTGTGTATGGCAAACTTTATTAAAGAATCTAAAAGAGGAATAAAGTACAACTGTTGTTTGTTTGCTTGTTTGTTTGATTGGTTGGTCGGTTGGTTGGTTGGTTGGTTGGTTGGTTGTTTAGTTCGCTCGTTATATTTATGAAACCATTTAAACTATCGTTAAATAATTAATTAATGATTTCTCTTTATTGATAATAAAAGGGAGAAAGTGAAAAGATTTCGCACCGATTCATGTTTTTTTCACCTTTTTCTTCCTTTTACAATCAGCTTATGTAAACCTTTTTATAAATATATAAATAGGTCATACTATTAGATATAGGTTAAAGGAAGAGTGTAAAAGAATAGCGTACAGTAAATGAATTATTATTACTACTGTTATATATATAGTAAATATATTAATATTGTATGCAACGATATACTAACCGTTCCAATTCTCTGGTGGAACTGGATCGGAAAATCTTAAATCTCCAATTGGTGGTTTAGCGTACGGAATGCCTAAATATTCAATAACATTCCCTCCTAAGTTGGATTTTGTTAATTTTCCCCGTAAAGAGCCAGTTTTTATATGAACATCTTTAAATTCATTCCTGATATTCTCTACAAATAAATTTTAATGATTAAATTAGTGAAGAAAGACTGCAAAACGTACAAAAACAATTAAAAGTGTTAAAAGGAAAGTAACTGTGCTGGAATAAGTTCTTTTAAAATATAATTCCTCTTCTTAAGTAATAAAACTTTTGGATAATTAATTAGTTAATTTAAAAAGGAAATGAGAGACATAAATATAAAATCCTTTTAAAAACTTACTGGTACTTTTCCTTAGGGTTACGTAGAGTATAACTGCCAAAAAAATGGCCAAGACAAAAGCGGTAAGAACTAGAATTTTTGATTTAATACCAAATTTCTTCTTTTTCCGCTCTTCTTCTGGTCTAGTTAAAACAATAAATAAACAAGTTTCATAGGCTTAAATCGTTTAATAGGCCACTTTATACGCTTGGCATTTTGGATTTTACCCAAGGGATGGCTAAGTTTGACCAAGTGCAAACAAAAACATAGGCTTAATTCTAAAGAAACTATAATATTTTCCATCTTTAAACTATATATTTTAATTTTATTGGTACCCCCCACTGAAATTAAACGATTTTTTAATTACATCTACCTAAACTAGACTTACAATTGGCTTGAATTAGGTCTATACAAAATTCACGTACTTAAAATGATTAATGACTTGATCGAAATTTGATAATACTTACACGTATGTTACTGTAAATTGTTCGTTAGCCATTTGTTCCTTGTTCAAGTATTGAAATCCCCAAATTCTACATATTTCCTTTTATAGAAAATAAAGAAAAATGTTCTTATATATATATATACACTAACATAAGTATATATAGCATAAACTAAAAAATCGTTTTCTTTACTAAAAGAAAACGAAATTAGATGAAAATCGTTTCTTTTTTTTGTTAAAATATAGATTTTTTATTCTTTTTATTTAATTTTACATTTAAAAAATGATTACATTTATTTATATAGTTTATCAGTAATATTTTCATTAATTTCTCTTTTGTAGATTAATATGAATATATTATATATAAATACTTGTATTTAAAAAGTTCAAATAAACACTATTATATCAATTTTTGTTTTATTACATGAAAACTATTAATTAATTTATTAGGTTTTTCATTTTACTCACTCATACACGCACTCAAAAAATGCACAGACTTTCTCTCTCTCCCTTTTTTCTCTCTCTTTTCCCCCTTCTCTCTCTCTCTCTCTCTCTCTCTTTCTTTTCCGTTTTTTTTCACTTGCTCAAGACTTCACTCATCCTCACTCTTTTCCTTTCTATCTATCTATCTATCTCTTTCACCTTCTATCTATCTTTCCTTCTTTCACCTACCTCTTTTTCTTTTAATCGTACATATAGTAATGTTCACTTTTCTTTACTCTCCTTTCCCCTTGTTTTTCTCTATTCTTCGTTCTTTCTCTCTCTCTCTCTCTCTCTCTCTCTCTCTCTCTCTTTCTCTCCTTCTCACTACTCTTAAACTCTTTTTATCTCAATCTCTTGTCTAATTAAATAACTACAAGTCAAGTACAACATTTCAATTGAAACAAATACCTTTTTCCTCTTTTTTAAGCAGATATATAGATATAAATAAAGCGTAAAAGTATCCGAGAAGGGATAAAAACGTAATTTTTTCTGTTTTTTTTATTTTACTTCTGCTAAACTCTTCTTATGCAGTTGCACACATCAATTTTACGAGCAGATAAATGGGCTCCGTTATTTTCAGATTTGAGCGCCATCTAGTAAGAAGTTTTGTTCAATTTCTCTATTTGTCATATTTTTTAAAAACCGATAGCGTCAGTGAATTTAGAGTTTTCACATTAACATTAAATGGAGAGGCTTAGAGAGAGAAAGATAGAAAGAAGGAGAGAGGGAAAGAAGAGAGGAAGGAGAAAAAGTATAAAAGAAGAGAAAGTTGTTAAAATTTTATGAATTAATAAAATTAAAGTAAAAAAAAAAAGAAAGAAAGAAAGAAGAAAAAAAGAAAGAAAAGTCTGATATTGTTTGAATTTATTCTTTATTGAATGAGAAATTTCCAGTTTTTGACAGATAATAATCGATATTATCAGCAGGGTTAAATTTTACTGTATTAAGTGATTCACTATAATAGTAAAATTTTCAATGCAATTACTTAGGTATATATTCTATAAATTTGTATATTTCTATTGTCATAAATAGCATTTAGATAAACTTTGAATTATATATATACTATATGACATATTTAGGACAAATTTCCTCTTCATTACATTGGGTGAATTGTGGCCTATATTAACATCTATTAGATAATAATCGGCATTTTTAAGAGTTCAAATACATTACCCCTGGCTCTGGGCTGTAAAGTTTAACAAACTCTAACTTTTACGTGCCTCGTACGCACTAGAAATATAATACGGTTGTGTACGAACATCTTCTAACGTTTATTAATAAACAGATAGAAAAAGAGGGAAAGACATAAAGAGCAAAAGAGCGAAAGAGCAAAAGAGGGCGAAACTTTACAGTGTTTTGATAAAGAAATGAACCATTTTAGATTCTCATAACTCTTTTTATTGATATTTCCTTGCTAAAATGCTAAAGAAACATTAAATATAAAACTTATTTACATTTGGGAAAAGTTTGATATTCGAATTAATTGACATATTCCTCCTTTGCTTTTTCTTCCACACCCTTCAACTACTAAGGTTACTTCGCATCGGTCTAGATACGGCCCAGATAGTGCAAAGCAATCAAATATAACGACAAGGATATTAATCATCATACTCTAAAATACCTTAATGCTAATCCAATAGTAAAGATTAATTATCAAAACGATCACAGATTTTATCTCTTTGTTAGAAATTCTGATTACTAGCTGTTATAAGGGAATAGTTTTTCTCAGTGTTGGAGAGAAGGTGAATGAACGAGCTTGGTAAAAAGAGAAGGAGAGAGAGAGAGAGAGAGAGAGAGAGAGAAAGGGGGAGGGGGAGAAGATGGATAGATAGATATAGATAGATAGACATACGGAGAATAGAGAGCAAGAGAGAGGGAGAAAAAGAAAAAAATTGAGAAAAGAATTGTAGAAGGAATAGTTTATTCCTTTATAGTTATTTATTAAATTATTGCTTATAACCCAAATCGAGATAATCCTCTTCTACGGATTAAGTATATTATATAATTATGTTCCTTTGAACGAAATCAGTGCATATAGTAATCGTGACAGAGTGCGTACGTTAACGGTTTGTGCTTGTGCCCATGTAGTTATAAACCGTATGTGAGTTTATGCTAAAATTTATTCAGTGCTAAATTCTTTCAACTTTTATATAAAAAGCCATGTTAAAAAGAGTTAAATAAATTTTAGCAATGAAAGAATTCTTTAAGATAAGAATTCAATTCTCTCGTATACTCGACATTACGAAGGAAAAAGGCTTACTTTTTTCTTCTTTCTCTTTTTCTTTCATTCATATTTCCGCTCTAGACTAATCGGATTTAGGAAACTTTTACAGTAATACAGTATTACATTGCAATAGATATTCTTAATGCTATTTAACTATGATATATGGAATGTCCATATTGTATGTATATAACAACTCAATTCCTATAGTTAAAGTTTACATACCTTTCTTTTTCTACCTTTTCGTTTGTTTCTCGCTCTTCTTACTCTTCTGCTCCTCCTCTTTTTATTAATATGTGCCATCTTGTTATTTATAGGAAAAAACTGTGTATAAAGTATATATATATATATAATATAAACAATATATAGATAATATTATATTTACGACACTCATTTATTTATTAACGAATATAATAGTTTGAGAATGTTTCTTGTATATACAGTATATTTACATATTTAAGTCAATAAATACGCAATATACAAACTATATATAATAGTCTTTAGACTATAAACCCTTAAATAAAAGTTTATTTATTACAATTTATTAATAAAATGTATAGAATAGGTAAGAATAATATTTCGATGAGTAATTTTTAAATAATTTTCATATTTTTATTCCAATATATTCGCTCTTCTAAAAGAAATAACTTCACCTTTTAACCATAAAAATTCCTTAATAGAAGAGATAGAACTCAATTTTTAAATTGTTTAAATACTTTTGTAGATTATTCATATAATAAAAGTATATTTCTTAACTTAATTAATATACTATATACAATATATATATATATATAGTATATACAGTATTAGCATCACATATAAACATATACTGACTATGCTTGGACTATATCAATAATAACAACTATCTTTTCAGATTTATTAACCAATTATTTCTACATGAATATGATAATACTTGTATTTATTTTATTTATGCTATTACCTTTCAATAGTACCGTACTGACTGGTACGGTATTAGATTTATCATAGTTTACAGTATATTTTCAGTATTTATTTTACAATACTTGACTCTTGATATCAAGAGAAAATGGAATTAGATTTTTCATATTGATAAGAGTTTTTCTTCATTTTTTCTTTCCCTTTACAGCCGGTAGGTGGCGTATAAGGATAGTACTTTTCTTCTTTATCTAATATCATACCAACATTACGCTTGTTATGTAATACGATTTCTATTTATATACGTAACCTTTAATATTAAAACATAGTATAGAAAGGTTAATAGGTGCTTTTTTACACTAAATATTAATTAACTATTGAACTTTTGACCTTTTATATTATTATCTTAAATATATAAATACATGTAATTATATAATATAAATTTATTAAATAGAACAAAAGAGTTTAATATAACTAATTCAAGTTTTTCTTCCACAGCCAATTGTTAAAACTAGAGTACTAGAGAAAGTTAATTTCTATTCAATTTTGTCAATAATTCAATCTATTCGCTCAATTTATGTATAAATGGTTAGGCAGCGTATATCTCTTTCCATCTATGTACTCTTGTAAAACTTTGTACATGTGCTATTTTTTAACAACTTGGCTGATATTCCTGACCTAAATATGGTTTAGCAATCATCTCTTTGTAATAGTATTTATATATTTTTATTATTGTTTCTATTATAAACGATTTCCAGTGGTGAAGGTCTACTCCCTTTTAAGAATTATACATGTATTGCTCAAGATGTTTTTATCCATAGGTACGTGACTAGATACGGAATAAAAATAAACTCATTCGGCCAATACTGATTGTCATTAAATAAATCGACATTTCCTATTAAACGGTATATTATCACGAACTACATTGACAGGCGATTAAACAATCAAATAACAATTATATAGTTAAATTGTTCAGAAGCTGACACTTAAGAATTCTTATAAAATGAAATCAATGAAACTAAATTGAAGATTCGAGTTCATTAGAGACGATAGGTTCCCGTCCAGTTTAAAACTACTTACCTTATTTGAAATCAGAGTAGGTGGAGTGGGGATAATCAACGAAAGAGGATGGAGAAAATAGACGGAAAAGAATAGATTAGGAAAGATAAATAAAACAGCAGCCAATATCTAAAAGATACGCTGCAATATTAAACAAAAAGTGCCTATTCGAATTTATTTCTTTAATATTAAAAAACAAATGATTAGTATGATTTATTAACGAATTCCACTGTACGTTTACTATTGAATAAATGTAGAGTAAAGCATTAATAAACTACTGGAACAAATCAATAAAAATTTTCCGTATTGATGGTTTTTCATTTAAAACACGTGTTTACTGATTTGTAAATGAATTTACAATGGAGATACAATTTTATCTATTGTGTTTTATACTGTATATCATTTTTTTAAGTGATTTTAATATCGGAATATACGAAAACATAGAAAAAAGAAACATAACAATTTTCGTTTGTTTTGATAACAAGAAGAATTTCTATTGCTTGAAAAATACATAAAAATATATAGAGGATATATACAATTGCATAGACGTATAGACATTTAGTGCCATCTGGTTTAATATATATTTAAAAAAAAACAATAATAGAAAACATATCATTAAAAGAATTTTTATTCTTTTGAGACTTAAATATCCACGATAATATAGGAAAATAAACTCATATATTAGATATATGTATAGGCTTTCAGTCAGGTATGATCTCAGTTGTAGTAAGCCCTTTCTTTGTTAGAGTACGATCTGAAATCTGTTGGGAAGAAACCAAAGTTTGTCATATTTGCCCATTGTGTAAATCCAATTCTTAAATATTTAAATGTTCTTCTACACATTTTCCAACAACGTTTTCTCATTCTTTTTCGTTTCTCCTTACGCTTTTGTTTTTTCGATTTATTGTCATTTTTCTCTATTAATTCATCTAATTCCACCTCATCGTCCGTTTCATCTTCTGCATTTCCTCTAGTAAATTTACCATCCTTACTAACCTCAGTATTATTTAAAGTTTCGATACTATCCAATTCTAGTTCCTGGTGAAGTTTTATCGATTCCTTTACTAGTACCTGGCAATCATCCTGCTTGTTTTTCCATTTTACAACGTTCTTTATTTTACGCAGCGTCCTCATATTTTCTTAATAAACGTTAAATCTTTTTCACTGCTTTTAACAGCTTACTTCACTTTATCAAAAAGCTGATTTGATATTAAAATAGGACATAGAGGTCTATTTTTCTCAGGTCTCCAGCAGATTATGATCAATATACGTTAAACGTAATTTAAGAGTAGAGCGCCATCTAGAGGGCATGCAAAACAATAGAGAGTATTTCACGGTACAAGGATTTTTAATACTATATACTTTTTCCTCTTTTAGCTGCATTTTTTTTGTTTTTTAAATAAGAAAACCCTTATTTTTAACTATTAAACTGAATAGTTCAGCTATATAAATATTCATTATTTCTATAGTTATTCTAATATTTATTTTAACAAATTTCTCTTAACTAATTAGCCTTGTGTTCTCTTATTCCTTTCCTACCTTTTGTATTACGAGTACAAACAACCATATAATTAATAAGGTAAACGTGAAAAAAAATTGATTGTAGACATACGTTTGAAGTTGAAAGTGAGAGAGAGAGAGAGAGAGAGAGAAAGAAAGAAAAAAAAACATTTGACTTCTATATTTGTTACTTTACCGTTAAGTAAACAATTAAGTTAACCAGAAGGCTATATATTCCTTTTTTATTATTAATTGTTTACACTATCTACAACTTTCTTCCTTACTTGAAAAACATATATATATATATATATATATATTCATATTTCTTCTCTTTCCACTGTTTTTCCCTTTCAATTTCTTTTTTATTCCCCTTCTCCTCTTTTCATTTCTTTATTCCTTTCATAAGAAAAATTTTTGAAAGCGTCAAATAATTATAATTATAGGCTTAGCGTACATATTAAACTAATAATAACTATTAAATATATATATATATATATATACTGTATATACTGTATATATGTGTATATGGAGTTTGTATACAATATAACTAATATTTATTCATAATATTATGCATATTTCATATTATTGTTTACAAGATTTAATTATCACATATAATTAGGTCATGAAATTTTAATATCTAACCCTCTCTAGCCTTTGTTACTAATTATTATAAATTCTTTTCCGCTTTTAATTATTCAATCAAAAAAAGAAAACAACGCCACCTATATCAAACTCAGTATTTCGATAGCTAGATGGCGTTTTATATATAAAACAGAACGATTGATTGATGTTATTGACGGAGAGAGAGAGAGAGAGAGAGAGAAGGGAAATAAAATAAAAGAAAAGCAGTCTCTTTCTAAAGATCTTTACTTTACCCGGTACGTGCTTTATACAAGTATAAATAAGAATACACTGATATCAACTTGGTGGTAAGTTTATGTATGTTTATTCCATTTTCTAGTTCAAGGCCTATAGTAAATCAAATTAATTTTATTTAATAGTATTTAACGATATAAAGAGCGTTATTCTCAACCAAAATCAACCTATATAAACTATATACAGTAATTAGAGTGTTTATACGAAAAAAGATCATATTTTTAACAATTCAATCGAAATGAAAATGTTATTTATTTGCTTCTTTTGTATTAATGTTTTTGACATTTTTACTTTTTCATTCTAGTTTCTTCTCTTCTTTTTTCTTTTTCTTTTTTCTTTTTTTCAATTTTAGAACTTTTTTTCTTTTTTGAATAGAAAATTGAAAAAGGAAAAGAAAGGTCGAGTCTAGACTGAAGACTCCTTAACAAACACTCGACGAAATCTGTTAAAATCAACTCTGTTGGATAGGCCTATTCACTTTTTTTTTCTATTTCATTAATATTCCAAACGGACGTTTCTCACACTGGATAGGCCCGGATAGACATCACGCAATTTTGTAATTTTGAATTGGAAACAACAGCATATAATACTGTAATACGGACAAACATACAGTATATATACCATTATATATATACATATATCTAGATAATAGATATATAGATACAAACATATATTCTATGTATATGTAAAGAAGCTTGTGGAATAAGAACACAGGTGTTAGTCATCAAGCCTCGAATATAAACAAGAAAGGAAAAAAAAAGAGAGAAAGAACGTAAAAATTCTCCTCTCGTCCTCATTCTCCTCGCCTGCAATTTTATTTTCATCAACTTTACATTTACCAGTTTTTTCTGTGTATGCTTTAAATGAGAGAAATAATGAAAAATTTGAAAAGGATTGAACCACCAAATTTTGCCAAGTTTCTCAGACAACCACCACCTAAACCTCCTTGGTTGAATAGCAGTATTTCTATGAAGTGTAACGCTTCTATGACTCGTTATAATTACCCAACAGAAGCGAACAATAAGGATTATGGTAAGATTACAATTAGACCTATATTTATTTCTTTATATATATATATATACTGTATATAAATTTATATCAATATTTACTTTCGTTTTGTTCTCTAAACTGGCTTTTTTCATACTTTCTCTCTCTTTCTCTCTTTCTCCCTTCTCTAATTCCCAAACGTACTCTTTCTATTTCATTTGTATTCAACTTATCCCATTGAAAAAACATATATCTTCACGCCTTTCATCCATAATCCGAATCTTTGAGATGAATACCAGATTTTTATTGAGAATGAAAAAAGATTAACAGGGCAAAGCTACGCTAAGAAAACTGGAAATTTTCGAAAGAGATGCTCGAATCTCCTCATTCATTTCCGATTTCCGACATTCTAGAAGAATATTCAGGATATCTTGTGTAAAATGTATTTTTCCTACTGTAACTAATTATTTATAGGGCAATTTCTGAGTTAATAGGTAAAATGTTCCAGATTTTTGTTTATTTGGCAAAGGGTATACAGGAAATTAACAACGTATTAAGGATTTTGGTAATAGTTGATTGTTTTTCAATGCAGTATTTACTAAATTTTACAACCAAGTACGAAATCTGGTATTCCTCTCATTACTTTTGCAGAAGTTAACTCACTAACGCCATCTGCTTTTTCTTATTTTCATTTAATTAATCATTCAATACAGTTCAAACGACTATTGATCCGTCTCAAAGAATGAGCACGATCGATTTTACCTACATAGAAAAATCGACGGCTATTAATCAAGAAACAACAGCTAAAAGTCTTGATTTAATTGAAAATACTGGTAAATATCGTTCTCAGAAGACATAAAATATAGTTAACCATTCTATCTTAGTTTAGTTAGACGTGTATTTCTTTTTTTTTTTTTTAAAAAAAAAGAAGAAATTAAGCAATTTTAACGCACGCTATTAATCTATTAAACCAATAAAAAGCAAATTATATTCGTCTACTCATTTATATATATATATATATTTATTTCTTTTTATATAAAATCAATTTATGCTCCCAGTTTTCTTTCAGTTTTAATTTTTTCCTTTTCTTGTTTTTTTGTTTTGTTACAGAATGGAAATTGAATAGGGGAGAAACAATAGCTACTTTTGTTTGTCTTTCATTAGCTATTCTACTAGGCCTAATCTTTATAATAATTTTTAGGAAAAAATTACTAAGGTATTCAATATTATATTGTATTTCGTTGGTATAGGAGCCTATAATATTTAACTTTTTTCTTCTCTGTACATTCAGATATCTGATTGTGAAACCGGAGAATGACTATTTACCTGAATCCGAAAATTACCTCTATAGCCTCTCCATAAAAAATACAACTCAAAGCCGAAACCAAAAATCTTCAGGAGATGAGGAAACCGAATTAACTTCAACAAAATCTTCTAGTCATAACAATCTACAACCAATTAAAAGCAATCACCAACCGCAATTAGCATCACCAAAGCGTTACGTAGCCAATGGTCTAAGGAAGCATTTAGAGGATGGTCCTCCAACAATTATCACAGCGAATAGCGAAGAACTATTTAAAAAGCGAAGAAAGAAGAAAAGAAAATTAGGGAAAACTTACGTTGTTAACTAATGAACAGATTGTTCTGTAATATTAATATCAACATTTTTACTATTAGTTGTTGATAAATGAAAAATACAACTATTTTACATTCAATACAAAACAATGGGAAAAAAGTCCATCTGTTTATCTTCCTGTATCTATATAGTTTAAATTAAAAAAATTTAAAGATATTTCAGAAGCTTACATATCAAATTTAAGAAAAGTACGAAAAGAAGAATTATGTCTATCAAGAAGATATTTCTTATTTGGCAAACATTTCTTCAAATTTGTTGTTTGTAGTTTGTAAATTTTTGTTACATCTTCTAAAAGTCTTTTTTATATCAATAGGGTGTCAACCTGCGTTTTATGTTTATAATGAAACTACAGGAACACATCACGCTGAAGAGAAATTGAATTGGGAAAAGGTTGGAATTAATAATGGAAACTTATTTAATTCATCATTAAATGAGGCAATTGTCGATAAAAATGGGTATTATATTTCTTCAGTATGTATCGCTACTGTAGCTCAGAGCATTGGTTATGTTGCTCACGATGGCTCGTTTGGAGGAGATAGAATTGCTGTTGATGGAAGATTAATTACTGGAACTGCAACGGCAAGTAGAGTTTCTGTTGCAAGAATATCAAGTTCCCAAAAAGTACATATCAAAGCCTTTCAAAATACTTCGATAACCTTCGCGGACAGTTCTTCCAAAGCTACATCTTGGCTAATGTTTTATTACAAGACTGAAAATGTATTTTATGGGAGATACACTGGAATGGACCGTAACAGCTACTTACTGTTTCACGACATAGTTGCAAACCAAAATATTGGATATTTTGGCAAAACTATTCGGATTACAGAAAAGGGCTTATATTTTATTAGCATATCTATCGATATTGAAAAAGGTCCAAGCTCTAAGGTTAATCTCTTTCGAAACAGGAATGAATACTCTAATGGACAAGTAGGATTTGGCTCCGCTTCAGGGTCAGTTTACACCAAAATTCTTTCAAAGTCGTGGATTATTTATTTAGATAAAAATGATGAAATATCATTCAAAGGAAACGGAAATAGGCCCATTTTAAAGGAACATAGTTCATTAGCTTTATTTCAAATAGAAAAAGACTCAGCATTACCCGCAATGAACCGCTTTAGTAATGAGGTAACTGACACAAAATTCCTTGATTTTCCTGTCAGAGATGCTGAAATAGGAAATCATTGGAATTCAAGAGATCATGCGTACGAAGTATGGACAGAAGGCGTCTACTTTCTGACGTTAACTGTTGATGCTCAACCCTCTTCAAGATTGAGTATAGATATCATGATAAACGAAACTATAGCGGGAAAACTTTTTCACGGTAGTAGATCGTTTTCGGGTACACATGCCGTAACAAAAACAATGCTGTTGAGGCTGGAAAAGGGTGATAAACTACAATTTGTTATTGATAGCGGATTGACCAGAAATACTAGATTATTCTATACTGGCTTTACTATTTTTTATGTTTCGCCTCTTTAAAAATTTGTCAATACAAATTCAATATAATCTATATCTTTGTCATCACAATATAATTACTTTAAATATTTTTGCGTTTTGTGGAAAGCTCTTGAAAAAATTTAAATAGAACTGATAACGTTTATCTCATGGGAAAGTTCGTTTGTTCCCCAGTAGGATTTTGTATATAAACAATTGAAAATTTCCCTAAACTACAGTTTAGAAGAAAGAGTACGAAAGATTAAAAAAATGCTATTCTGGAGCCTTTTTATTTTATTTCCAGCTATGTCTATATGTGGTTTGTTGATTGATTAGTCTTTGTTTTCATACTTCTTTTCTTACTTTTTTTCAATTTATCTTTAAAAAAGATCAACCACTTTTCTTTGTTCATAATACACAAAGAAAGTTTTACAAAAAGGAAACTTCTTTACAGTTTGATGAAATTCAATTCAATCAAAATTCTTTATTCAATTCAACTTCAAATCAGGCAAATATAAGAGAAAATGGCTATTACATTTCGGCTGTAACCTCCTCAACTACAACATCTAAAACACTTTCTTTGGAGCATGTTGGAGCGTTTGGAGGTGACCGAATAGATGTTAATGGGACTTTTAATGAAGGAGTGTCAATGACCAGCAGAATTTCTGTCGCAAAAGTAACCTCTAATAGAGACGTTTTTCTAACTACTCGTGGTAATAATTCAATAGCATACAGTGACGGATCATCAAAAGCTTTATCGTGGGCAATGTTTCGATATCCAACCAACAATATATTCTATGGGAGATATACAGGCATGAATAGTCGACGGGTAATTTTCAATGATGTTCAAGCTCTGGAAGGTATAGGTTATGATACATTAACCCCTAGAATTATCGAAGATGGTGTTTACTTTATTAGTATTTCTATTGGAATTGAAAAATACGAAACATCTTATGAAGTAACCCTAACAATTTCGAACTCACAAAATACAGGGTTTTCTAGTAAAATATTATTTGGATATTCAAAACAGTCTAGTAATAGCCAGGTCGTGTCCAAATCTTGGGTACTCGAATTGAAGAAAAATGATCGAATTTCAGTCTCATCTTCAAATGCAGTTGGTTCAAAATTATTGGGATCTCTGACGGTGTTTAAAATAGACGCTGATATTGAAAGGCCTGCATTCAGTGCCTACTCTTTATATAGATGGCGTGGTGCAATGGAATTAGACGCAATTCCGTTTAAAAACATTTATTACCAGATTGGAAATTTCTGGAATAATGCTGACAACACTTATGAAGTATGGGCAAGTGGGATATATTTTCTAAGTTTAAGTGCCGGGTCGAGCATATCTGAGAAATTGGAAATAGATATTCTTGTGAACAGAAAAAGCCAGGGACTCTTTTTAACTTATGAGAACAGAATGAACTGGTCAGGCAGCACCTTAACTCACTCTCGAACCATGCTAATTAAATTAAATAAGGGAGATATTCTTCAATTTCTGGTAACGAGAAATTCAGCATTGCAAAATACATTTGATGTAACAAGTTTCTCTTTATTTTATCTTTCAAAAACTTAATTTAAATCCTCAAAATTGAAACGAAAATACATTAAATGATAATTTAAAAGCTTTCTTTATTGTGTATCTTATTAACTGTATCTTATTAAATTTTACTTCGTCCTTGAAAAGACGCAAAACTATAGATTTTATGCACTTAAACTCGATATAGATTTTCTATAAATAATTTAAAAGTATTTATAACGAAAGTTATAAAAGGTTAAACCAATTCAGGGGAACTTTAAAATCTAGTTTCAATTTAGAAATGATTAAAAGATATCTCTTATCAAAAAACAACAACGTTATAAATAACATTAGAAAAAGGAAGTTAAGAATATTTTGTTTAATTATAAACATCCTAAAAAGTGTTTTGAATGAAAAATTCAATAGTTTTTGACTTTTTAAGCGAATTATTCTGACTCTATTCTTGTTTCTTGAAAACCAAATATCTGTTTACTAACCACATAACAGTATATAATTCCGATAATAAATGTATTATACATCATAGAGCATTACTTCACAACTTACTCAGTAATATAATTTACACAAATAGTTATTAAAAGATTCGTACACTGCATGAAGATAAATACAGGAAAAGGTAATGCACGAAAAAACGCAGCTACTCCTACTCTTCACTTGTAAGTGTACGGTATTCACATTTACTCCTTCTTCAACACATATATATGGATGAATTTTAAAGAGACCAGCTGCTTTATCATCCTTTTCCTTATAACTAATCTTTACGAAGTAATCTTCCACGAAAGTTGTCTTGAAAAAAGTAAAAATATGTTAAATTATATATAGAACTAATAAAATGTTTTCTTACGTGTGAAACAATTTCATAGAGATCATAATCTTGATATGTGTGGAGAAAATTTCCGTGTACTGCCCCAGTAATGTTTAGACTATTTAAAAAACAGTTGCCCTTCTGATGAATAAAATACTTATGGTAAATAAAAGATTTATTCATAAACCACACATTTTAACTACTAACTACTGAATGATCTACAGTTAAACACTTCGTTCCATTAACTATCGGTTTTTCGAGACACTTTAGTAAACACTCTCTCCAGTCTGTAATTCCTTCGTACTTTGCGACGTTGTTGCCAGCTATACCCTGCTTTATATGCTTCCTCCATTCATACGTACCTAAAGTTTTTTTCAACAGTAAACAACATCTCTTAACTAATTATATAATATGAAAATTTCAAACCTGCTTTGTAAGGTTCAACTTGACAGCTTATTAATATTGGTATAAGAACCAGAATAAGTATAAAAGGATTTATAGGTATTTTTGTCATTTTATAGGTAAGACTCCGTAACAATGACAAGCAATTATTTCTCTTGAATAAAAAATTACCTATATAAGGTCAAAAAACTTTTGAATCGAATCAAGAAAATAAGGAAATAACAGATACCACTCTAGAATTATTTGCATAAATTTTACAGTAATATTTGAATAGGACCATTATAAATTCAATAGATAGTTAATTCAATTTTCATTATTTTTGCAGTAAAAAAAATTATTATGCAAATATGTAATCATATTGTCATTTCCTTTTTTTGTAGTTTGTCATTTACCGCTTCTTCATTCAAGAGTTTAACACAATACTGTAATTTTATCATTCAATCATTTATCGCTCAATAAAAAATTATACAGAATACATAAAAGGCAATCGTAATGAGAAAATAGTAGGAGTAAAGTTCAAATCTTTATCTATTTCATAAAATTGCTAGATTGGTCATAGTTTTATTAAAATGGTATACTCTGAAAGCTCAAAGTTAAGTTCAAGTTTTATTAAACTTCTGTTTTTTATTATTCGATAAGTAATCGATACATGCCTATACGAGCCACAGTATCTGTTATACAGTATATTCAAAATGGCCTTTTAAACTGAAAGAGCGATAAATCCAGATTATTGAGAATTTTTAGCAATTAAATTATTTTCTTTTATAATCTAAAGAGCTACAATGCAGTATGGCTAATCGTTCACTAATTAACGGGATTCTTGCACAGTTCGAAAATGAATTTAAACAACTATTTGAACATGACGGGGAGAATCTTCAGATATTTTTGAAATATCTTCAAAGTTATGGACAAATTGATCAATGCTCTCGAGAAAGCATAGACGATGAAATATTGAAAGCAGATGAATTTGAAAAGATTTCTTCTGAAGTCTTCCATAACTATTTTAAAACTGCTAAAACTCATGTAATAACGGATATTCTGAACAAAATGTCGGAAAAATTTCAAAATTTATCACAAGATATTAGAACAGATTGGAATAAATTTATAAACAATTCTAAACAATTACATCTTTCTGAAACGCATGATAAAATTCCAGAATTTCAAATATTAATGGATCAATCCTATAACAGTGACTTGGAAAACGAAACTAAAACAATACTTTTAAAAGTTTTACAAGAAGAACATAATAAATTAGTTATAGATGATAAAAATAATAAAGGAACTATTTATAGTAATTGGTTAATTTATCTCTATGCTTCAAAAAAACTTGTACTAAAAGAAGATTTGTTAATATTGAGATTATCTGGAGACAAAGTTGATTTTGATATTTCTCTTGAAGAGAATCTCTTTAAGCAAAATTTTCCCGATACCTTTCAGACACCACTAACGTTGAATGCTTTCTTGTACTATATGGATAAACAGAATAACTCTACAATGCCATTAAAAGTTTTAATATTCGTTGATGAAACTGAAGAATTGTTGAATGTAAAAGATTCTGATATCTTTCGAAAAGTAATAATAGAAGATAATTACCATTTTCCTTTTGTTATCTGGATAAAATGCAGTTTTTTAGCTCAAGAGTACGAACTAGTTGATTTTCAACTAAAAAAAAAGCCTAAAACTGTACAAAGACAATGTAAGGACGTCACTCCTTCTGATTTAACTGATCTGGAAAAAAATACAAGCAAATTTGTAGGCAGTGCTTTAAAAGGTACTAGTTTAGTTATTAATCCATCGAATGAAACAGATATAAAACATATTTTTCAATGTATTGTGGACAACCGCTACAGTTCTATTACTGAATTCTCTCTTTCGAAGTATAATTTAACTAATGAACATATTGCAGATGCATTTGGTGCGGCTATTTCTAAACTGGTTAACCTAGAAATACTCTTTATAAATAATAATAACATTGAGACTGAGGTTGCAACATCTTTGTTTACAAACATTGCTCAAAATTGTTCAAAGATAAAGAAACTATACTTTGCGAATATTAACTTGGATAAAAAGAATACATATATTGCAGGCAAAGCTATTGGTAAACAAAGAGAATTACAAATGCTCTCCTTCAGTTACAATAAAATTGGTTCTATTGGCGCTCGACCTATTCTTCAAAATATTGCAGACAATTGTTGGAAGTTGACTGTTCTTATTATTCAAAACACAGCTATTGGAAAGGATATTGGAAATATCTTGGGAAAGGCTGTAGGTAAACAAGTTAATTTGGAAGAGTTTAATATGAATAGTAACAAGATTGGAAGCAAACCTGCAAAAACAGTATTTCAAAACATTGAGAGACACTGTCACAAAATCTCGAAATTGTATGTAGCCAATATAGGAATGGATAATGAAATTGGTGATAGTTTTGGTAATGCCGTTGGAAAGTTGAAAAATTTAAAGGTTTTATCTTGTAGTTACAACAGCATAGGAGCTTCGGTTGCAAAGACCCTATTCCAAAACATTGTGGATAATAATATTAGTCAAATTGAAGAATTATACTTACCAGATAGTTGTTGCACAAACGAAGTAAAAGATCTCTTAAGCAAAACAAAAGATATTCAAAAACAATTAAAGATTTTAACGATCAGACGTGAAGATAATGAAAGAAGTATTGATATAGCCGATTCTATTATATCTAAAGAGGCTAAAAAGAGACGCTTTTCCTTTTCTAAAATGGGTGACGCTCTAAAAGTAAACCTTTACAACATGGTTTTTGATATTGCTTGCTCCATCTTCCGGGAAAGCATTTACCACATTATATACAGTATAATAGTATAAATACAGTATATTATTAATGAAAAATGACTGAGTAGAGAATTATCGTAAGTTTATGATTTTGTCAACTGTGTAAATACAACTGGTAAGAGTTATGTATATCGCCAAGAATGACATGATACAACTCTAGGCTGCAAAATTTAAAAATCTTACTCTTCAACTTACTGTGAAATATAATATTCGCGTAAAAATATCGGAAGTCTAGTTAAAAAAGGGTAATTGGGATTTTTTTCTACCAGATAATGGAGTATATTTATGAGTTATTATGCTAATTTACACTTGGAGAAGAGTTTCAGTTGTCTCATAGCTGAAAGAAATGAATGCTATTACTCTCTATGATTAATAGAAAATAGCTAATATACAAATACTTCTAAATATATATTATTAATGTGTTCTTTTCTCATAATTATCCTGCTTAGTTATAATTAATTCTGAAAATACTGTATATAATGTATTATAAAGAAATAGTGTTTCTATAAATTTACAAGAATACATCAAGTAAAACGATTTCTATTGATTGTTTATTTAGTGTTATGAGTTTATAAAGAAATACAGTATTGTCCATTGTATTAAGTTATCTCAGTCAATAGATAAACCAACAAAGATGTAAGAACGTTTGTTTTATCTTCTTAATTTGCAATAATATTCTTTGAAAAGTAATAAATAGACAGCAGGATTTGAAAAGAGAGGAGACGGAATGAGATAATGACAACATTAAGATTTTATAATTAAAAATTAACTAGCCAGTATTACATAAAACGTCTTTTAAAGAATGGTAATCTAAATGAACGTAAGGTATTACTAGCTTCTTTTCTAAAACGACTACTTGAAACATAGTAGACAGGGAAATTAAGAATATTATTTAGATGATATAATCTTATCAATAAGAAACGTAGTCTCTCCGGAATAGCGTCATATATCATATAGGGGACATAAGCCAAAGTGAATAAAATAGTTAGAACAACGAGAACTTTAGCCATTCTTATAGCTTCTTGCTTATTTTTTTGCTGCTTTGAATTTAATTCGTTGGGGACGTTAATTTGAATATTTTCTCTTTTCTTTAATGCTAAAAAAGCCAGGGTATAGAGAATAACTACTATAACTAAAGACGAGCCAATTACAAAGTATCTGAACAGAGCGTAGTAATCTAATAGAAATAGAGTAAAGATTTCAAAGAGTGCAGTTATAATAAGAGCAATAACAATATCCAAAATGATCACATAAATCGCTCTTCTGTAATTTAACAAGAATAGCAGAGGTTTTGCCAAAGCAAAGTATCTATCAAAAGCTGTTGAAACGAAGAAAATTCCTATAAGAATAAAGCCGAAGGCTAAAACATCTGTAAATATATATTCAAGTTCATAACTCAACAAGCCAAATACATGAACAATGTGAAGAGGTACAAAGACTATACATGAAGATAGATCAATTATTGCCAAACCCATAATAAAAGCTTTTGAGCTGTTCTTTTCTCTTGCTTTATATATTAGAATTATCAATACATTACCAAATATTCCCAAAACAAAGATTGTTGAAATATATGCTATGAATATATATGCTATATGATCTTCAACAAGCCATTCTGATTGTGTTTCGTTCATATTTTCAATTTTCTCTCCTCGATTTGCTTACTCTCTATCCCACTCTCGCTGTCACTCTCCTAGGACCTAGACCCCTATGTGACAATTTATCCCCCTCAGTAATGGTGATCGTCAGAAGCGTCATCGCCTTATTTTTATAAATTAACGCGAGTTATGCTAAACATATGCACACACATTAATATATCTTTCCTCCAATCGCCTATTCTAATTATGTAAATGTATTCATGCTACCTGGAAATGAAAGAAAAGTGAAAATGAATATATATTAACAGGTCATGTATTTAATGTTTTCCTATTAACCTAATGCAGTTGTATCTTTAGTAATGTAACTTTCTTTTTTCCTACTGAATTAAAAAATCTTTACCGTAATGATTAATGCTCCGTTCAATATTATAAAATCAAATAAAACTATTTTCTTTAGTACTTTCTCTTTTGTATCAAATATAGAAAAGTTAGATGTTTTGTTTAAGTAATTTCCGTTATAATATACTTCCGGATCATCCTTTTAAAGCAAGCAATTAGAGCATCTTTCATACTGCACACAAGTTTGCCCTAGAATCGCGTAATATATGTTATATATTGCAATCAATATCAGGTTAAAAGGGTCAAATAGAACATATTTTCTTAACATAAAATGAATTTGCTGAAAGAAGCTTTTGAAAAGTTATTAAAGCCTTTATCATGTATATTTAGTGAGAAACGACATATTCATTTTTCATGAAAAGCTTTAAAAGTCACCTTGAGAATATAATACATTTCAGTATTTTGTCTTTTCTACAGAAAGTAAAAAGTAAGGGGAAACTTAAAAGAAACTTTTCAACCCTGTCCACCTTTCTTTAGAATTTTTGGTGAAAATTTAATCATATTATTAAGATGTGTTACAATGATGCTGCATAATTTCATAAACAGTTTATATACATCATAGGCAAATGCTGATATATATATATTAGTTGATTTTTCAGTCTGACCTCGAATACTGACAACTACAAACCCAAGCGATTAAATTTTTATCATCAACTAGATTTTACAGTCTAATAGGGTGATTTTTCAACAAAGTAAGTGAAAGTATAAGATATTCACTTTTTGCTTTATAAAATCTGAAATATATATTTTCGCCTTGTCCTAATCTCACTGGGGAAGAACAAGATTAGACAATAACCTATTAAACTTGACAAAATTTTCATAAACACGGGGAATTGTTGAAATGCCATGGAAAAATTGTAACAAATTCATCTGTTTTTCAATACTATCTAGAAGCCCGAAAACAACATTGAGGACATAAAGATGAAGCTTAACAACAAAGATAGAGGTAACTTGATAATGAAGAGAATAAAAATACACGTGCAATGTCAATAAAGGTTAAAATATGAATATTTGAAAATTGACTCTTCCAAAAGAGATACACTTTCAAAAAAATTTTTCCCTTTTCTAGGTTACAGATATATAATTCTATTAAATTCAAAACTATTACAATAAACACGCATATACTTCTCTCTCTCTCTCTCTCTCTTTCTCTCTCTCCTTTTCTTTCTCTTTTTCTTCAACCTTTTATGCGATTGAATAGAACAAAACAACACCTTATAATAATTAATTTCACCTTTATCATAAACTTATATTATTAGATCATATACATTAATTAAAAAGTCTCTATTGTTAAAAAGAAGAAGGTGGACGTGTTTCCCTGAGCATATCTATATGTTTGATATTTTTTTCATTTTTTTTATTAAAGCATTGTTTGAATATTTTTAAATAGCATTAAATCTTTTATATAAGAGAAAAATTCAAAGAAACACTAATTAATATTTCTACGAAACCAAGAGATTAACTCTTTCTTATAGATCAAATTCTTTGCAATTGTATTAATTTATATTAATATATACAGTATACTATATATACTAGTATATATAAATATATATATATACTAATATATATAAATAGTAGATATTTTTACCTGACAATACTCTAATATACTGTATGTCAATGTCTATACCTGATTAGTATAATACAAAATATTTCCTTATTAAAAACAAGCTTTCCTATAATAAATCTCTTCTGTCGAATTTCTTTTCTGTAAACTTTAATTTATGTCTTCAGTAATTAGAGATTTCAAATAGGATTCTTTACTAAAACGATACTATAGACAGACTGATAATGATAATCCATTTATCTATCTCCATTCCTATTATAGCCAGGAGTATTACATCCATCCTTTACTATAAACATGTATTCAACGTTACAGCTTACAGCTTAACCAAATTGCATGTCTCGAAAAGAAAACCGTATGGATGCTCTGTATTCATACAAATCACTATCTATGTACTGTACTAGTTACGATTTTTCGGTAAGAAACCTTTGAACCTTTCATGGCCAAATGTTCAATTTCCTTTACTTTCGCTTATACTCAAAATTAAATATACAGTTTTTTTATAGATATGAAATATCCATAAAAATGCATTAGTAAGCTATATCACTCTATGTATATTTAACCAAGCAGTTCATTAAAAAGTATAAAAGGTCAAAATGATATCATAAAAAAAATCTTCTCTTTGAGAGAAAGCAGCTGTTAGTTAAAAAGGAGATTTCATCATATATAAGATGGAAAACTTGTTTTCTATTTCAATATTTCTTTCTGTAAAGTTTCTTTAAGAAATATTAAAACATTATGAAATTATTTGCCGTTCTTATTTTGAGTATTCAACTCTCTTTCGTTTTTCTAAGTAAGCTATAAGTTTACCTTTATTAACTTTTTTTGTACTTATGTATGTATTTTATAGATCCTGCCTTCTTCATTTTTGATTCTGATCTTCGTCATTACTCAAATAATGCAGCAGTTCAATTTTCAGATGTTGCAATAAACAAGCAAAATTTTTACACCAATAATGCAGCTCATATTACAGAACCAGGTTATTACTTTTCAGCACTTAATGCAGCTACTCCTAAAGACGGAGAGGTTAATTTTCGACACAACTTTTTTTATGGCGATAAGTATGTAATCCAGCCACCAAATGCCAATGACGTTGTCACTTCTAGCCGAATTTCCATGTATGAACATAAGAGTGGAAGTTCGTCGAGAAGGGAAAACATAAGATCATTCAAATCATCTACCACTATTAGTGATACCATATCAAAAACAACATCTTGGCTTGCGTTCAAATATAATACAGATAATATCTTTTATGCTGGATATACTGAAAAAAACGGCAATAACATGATATTTAACGATGTTAGAATCTTAAAAGGAATAGGTTATGGTCAGAATGCATTGAGAATCGCAAAATCTGGATTGTACTTTTTTGCTATAACACTCGGAACAACCAATTCAAGTAATAATGAAGTAGAAATCTATATTAATGGTCAAGCTCTTTTCCAGTCAGTTGGTAAAATAGTTAGAAATAATGATGAATCTGGAGAATATATCATGTCTTCAACAAGATCATGGATTTTCCAACTAAAAGAGAAGGATGAAGTCTCCCTTCGTGGTTTAAAAGGCAACTACGTAGATAAATATCATACAAGCTTTTTAATGTTTCGTCTGGATTCTTCAAATACTAAACCCTCTTTTAGTGCTGTTAGAAAAGCTGGTTGGTTAGGATTTGGTGCATTGAATCCCATTGAGTTTGATACTACTCTGGCTATCATGGGAAATTATTGGAATGCCAGAGAAAACCAATACGAAATCCAAACAAGTGGTCTATACTTTTTGAGTGTAACTGGGGGCAAATACCGTAGATGTAAATTGGAAATGGAGGTTCTTGTAAACAATGAACTTAAAGGCGAGCTTCTTAACCATAATACTGGACCTGGAGACGAAAATACGAATACAATGAATATGCTCCTTGAGCTTAAAGATGGAGACGTTCTTTCGTTTTCCTCACCAAACAGTGCTTGTTTTGATGATTCTTATTATCTAACAAGTTTCTCCATCTTTTATGTTTCTTCATAATTAACTCATTAATCACATTATTCATTCTTTTCATTTTAATACAACAAAGAACTTTATGATTATGAAAAAAGTATGTGGTGCCATCTACAGACTTTATTTTCTCTTCTGATCAGTTCATTATTAAAAAAACAAGACTTAAAAGATGTGTTATATATTGTATATATTTTGTTAGTAGGATTTTGTAAAGTAATCAAACAGTAGTTTGTGATTATGAAAAGTGTTGCCCAAGATAAACATAAAAAGAGTAAAACAACAAAGCATCATTAGATAATCTATATAGTTAGTGTCCAATATTCAAACAATGAAGAGAATGGATAAATCTAATATATTTGAGAATAATTCCAGAACTATTATGAGAACATTTAAAAGAGGACAGTATAGGTCTTTTCTTCAGTTCATCTGAATAATTTGAACACCGTCAATAGTCCACGCATTGGTGGTGTAGCGGTAGCATTGGTGCCTTCCAAGCACTAGACCCGGGTTCAACTCCCGGCCAATGCAGGCATATTTTTTTCATTTTATTTTCAAACACAAATCCTTTCTGTTTACCAAGCATCATTCACCTCCCAAAAGTTGATATTTCGTAATACAGAGTGATGGTTTTAATACTTTTCTTTGATATTATATCATTTATACTGCAAAATTTTAACAGCTCTAACTTTTTTAACAGTGTTTCAACTGTAATAGAACGCAATGTTTACTTCTAAAGATTGCGATATCTAATCATGTCAATTTCCATCAGAGTAAACATGGTCAATCATTCAATATTTTTTTTTAATGGATTATGCAACCAAAAGGAGAAAAGAAGTATTACACCGATTCTCCTCTTATCTTATTTATTGCAGAGTAGCACAGCTGACGTCCTTTTTTGTATCATAAGCAAAAAGAAAAATTTACATGCATTGGCCGGGAGTTGAACCCGGGTCTAGTGCTTGGAAGGCACCAATGCTACCGCTACACCACCAATGCTGTTGATGACAATTTTAACAATAAATAATTCCCTCTGCTAACTCTCATCAGTACCAAATAACTAATTATTATTACTATAGTATATTTAATTATAGCGCTATTTCGGTATTTCTTTATTCTAATACCTCAAAATACAAAGGGTAAAAGGTTAATTGTGGTAGAGTTCATAATTTTTGAAACAATAAACTAGCCCAAAGAAATTTTGAGAATACAATCACCTGTTCACCTTGAGGATAACGATGCACCTTTTCTATTAATTCGATAGTGCTGGGAGTTCTCTGTCCTTTTTATAAAGTATTGCATGCACTTAGTCTAAGTATATCAGAACTATTAATTGGTGTTTTTTCTTTCTTTTTCAATTTCAATCTTAAGTATTTGTAACATAGATGGCGTTGCGTAAAATAATAGTTCCCTATTGTCTTCCCCTTCACAATTCAAAACTTGACACGTATATGTACAAAAAAATATCTTTATGAAAAGAAAAACAGAATTTTAGTTAGATTTAATTAAAAAAATTCCTGCATTGGCCGGGAGTTGAACCCGGGTCTAGTGCTTGGAAGGCACCAATGCTACCGCTACACCACCAATGCGTGGATAAAAATCTTGCTTATTTAGCTATATTTTATTCCCATCACCAGTCCCAGTTTACTCCATAACTATGCAATTAATTATTCACTTTATTCTTTTACATAGAACAGAGATGTAGTAATAAATATGAATAAATAATATTGAGAATACAATCAACTTCCACTTAAGTAACATATGAACCATACCATACAGTCGCAGTTCCGACAGTTTGTCATCAGCATTATTCTCACTTCCGAAAGAAAAGTTTTTCAAAGAAAAATAGAGAAATAACACTTAAAGGCATTAAATGCCTCTACAATAATAGTAACAAATATTTTATTATTTATTCTTATTGCGCAATGTACTATATTCATTTTTAATGTTTATGAGGAATAATTTGGTGATAATCGTAACGTTCAAGTAAGTTAGTTGATAAAGGCTGTATCGCATGAGTTTACATTAAAGTATTATGAACATAATATGTTATAATTATTTATCTATAAAATTCTATAGAGATAACTTTAACTTGAATATGCACTTATGATGGAAAACGAGAGAGAATTCAAGTTCGATTTCAATGCATAAGCATTGGTGGTGTAGCGGTAGCATTGGTGCCTTCCAAGCACTAGACCCGGGTTCAACTCCCGGCCAATGCATATATGTTTTCCTTTTTGGCTATTTCTCTAGAATTATGAGATATTCCTCCTAATTGCATGAATGTATTCATATGAACTGTTTACTGTATTATATTCTTTATTTTGTTACATAAGCCTATATCTATAAGTCAATGCATTTTTCATAATTACCAAGAAATACGTTTTGCCATTATCCTTTTTTTAATCAAATACAAAGCAATCTATATCAGAAATCTTGTTAAAAAAGAAATTTTTAATTATGAAAAAGAGAAATTTTATCCATAATTCTTGAGTTTATTAACAAAACCATTTTCCAACAATATTTTGCCTTTATATTACCATTTCAAAGTACTTTAGGATTTATTAAAACTAATTAGAATGATATGAGACTAATTTTCTACTATTAAAATTGTTTTAAATAGTATAACCTTGATGAAAAATCATATTTAATTATTGTAGCCCTATTTTTATCTTCATTTTTTCAGGAAGTAAAGTGTTTTCTTGAATTTTGAACATGTGCATATTATATATACTGTATATATATATATATATAGACATTTAAACGAAACAAAAATAACAGATTAAGTCTAACGAGAGTCGTCTCATAATCCAAAGGTCACATAGTATTTTGTTTTAGAGGGGGGAGTGTCGGCCTGAAAAAGAGGAGGTTGGACCAAGGGATTAGACTAAATTCTCCGACCTTCTATATTAAATAATAAGTCGACACCCCTGAGTCCTTATCCAGTGCAGATGGCCTTACTTTGCATAAATTAACCTCCTTGCGGCAAGTTAGTCGGAAATGGTTGGCATAGCAAGTCCCTCTCAAGGTCATTCGAAATCACTATCCTTACTCCTAGACTGCTAATGTTATTTACATAGTCTAAAAACAGGAATATTTCTGTTTTCTAGTTTATACTAATATATTGGGTACAAAGTTGATACCCGTTAATAAAAAACAGGAAATGTCCTAGTTCAAAGACAATAATTAGAAACAAACTTCTCAAACAACTCCTAACCGATAGCTACTAAAGACTGAATCGAAACTTCTCTATTTTCAACCCATTTTCTATCTCTTTATACTGACGAAAAATTATAAGTTTTATATTTTTTCCCTTGTAAGCTGCAAGCCCTTGTAAAGGATTTCTTTGAAATACATAGAGAGTATAAGCCTATATAATAAAGAGAAAGCGACTGATCTCAAATGAAAACGTTGAACATACTAACCTAATATACTCTTTCTGTTTAGTATTTCAAACTCTGTTCTACTATCCTAATAAATTAAGATATTGGACCAACGAGAAATAGGGCTAACCTAAAAAATACGTAGAAGACCAAAAGAAACTCATACGTATGGGTTCTTGGTAATAAATCCTAAAAATAATCTATTCATATATTTAAACATTATTCCCAGGAAGTGAGTTTAAAAAAAAGATAGGAGGTTAATAAACTTAACTGAAAGACGTTAAGCATTGGCCAAAATTATCCTAAATTCCCGTGAAATAATTCATATATTCTGTTTATACTATGCATTTAGACATTGTATATGAATTTTTAGTTTGTCTTATCAGTAATTTATATTTCTTTGTAACTATTCATAAAATTCAAGCTTTAATATATTACGAAAAAATAGAACTATTCTCTTTCGACTTCTCCACTTTATTAAAATGCTCTTAAATTAATATTGTATAAATATTAATTATCTTATAGGACAATAATAACCTTGCACAATTTAGAACACTTCGTTAACTAATCCAGAAAAAATCCAATGTCACGAGCGAGTTCACTAGTATTATAGATTCATACAACCCACCCATTCGTAGGCGAGTTTATCTTATATCCTATAAATAATATTATTATTTTAATGAACTCCAAAAAAAAAAAAATGAAATAAACTTTCCCACTCTTTTTGTTTTAGTTATAATAAACCTAAGTCTGCTTAAACAATATTTTAGCAATTTGAAAAGATTCTATAAAATTATAAGAATATAAATAAAACAAATGAAAGCATCTTTCATATCTAAATAAAATTACAAAATAAACTCGTCTTTATGTAATTAGTTTCTTAATTCGACTTTGATCTTGTTTTTTAGGTTGAATTTGTAAAAAAAAAAAAACAGTCTGAATACTATAACAAGGCCAGATAGTTTTAGGAAAGTAGGACATTTTACTCACTGGGTACCTAGGTCAATAAACCACCTCAACCTAATATTATCTAGTACTAGAAAATAACCATGAGAAAAAACTATGACTTTCAACCAAACCTACTTGACTATATAACTTGTTAGTTCACTGAAAACTTTATACTTTTTACATAAACGGAATATTGACCCAGAAACATAAAATCTTTCTTATTTTATTATGTCTATATGATAATTTTTAATAAATTAATAAATAAATATTCCGAAATAACAACAATTTCTATGTTCAATATTCATTTTAATACAGTATTTTTTCAATTAATTATACAATGTTTTTCATAGTAAATACAGTTTTGTGTTCTCAGCTTCTAATAGAAAAGCAGACGGGAAAAAAAACAACTTCTTTTACTTTCGTTTCTTCAATTTAGAATAAAACTTTAAATAGGAAAGTTTCTCTTTTTAATAAAAAGAAATAGAGAGTTTGGATTATTTTGAACTTTTTAATGCATGACTTTATAGCATCTTTTATAGTTTCTTCTTCATATTTTAAAAAAAAAGGAAATTAGAAAAATTCTTATTAAACGTCATTTGACAATTGTAACATTTTAATATTATATCATGAAGGAAAGAAAAAAAATGATATTTTATATGATTAACTTTCAGATTATTCTCTGTTCAATTAATTATCTATACGGCTATTGCTCTGAATATTACTTCAAGTCAGATTGGCTGGCAATAAAATAGCAAATGTGACGCTTTGTCGTGATCAACTACTAAAGCGGAATTTTCCATTATTGATAAAGTCTTATATTAAATATACATGAAATATGAGATCAATTAATTTAAAAGTTAATACAAAATAGCGCCATCTGCAGCACGAAGGTTCCATTTCCGTTTCAAAATGGCTTCTCAGCTGGTCGTTCCGTGTTCAAAACATGCCGTATTTCTACGGGGTTTCACAACATCCGTTTCAACTGACGATATCAGGTATTTTATAAACATATTAGGCAATTACACGTCGTTTTTCAGGAGCCGATTATGTCAAATAACTTAAATATCAGCTCTGGAATAAATTTAAGCTGAGGGCGTTGGTCAACCATTTCTGAAGAAATTCTTATTCAATTATTAATTAAACGGTTCTACGCGTTACTATTTCAGAAAAATACGATGGATGGGGATAAAATATTCTCTTGTATCCGTTTCTCTTTAAATTATTCTTTTACAACAGAAGGTACAAATGGTCCGGCTTTAAAAAAAATTCAGTAAAAATAAAAATTTTTGTTATGGTTGAAAGAGACAAATTGAAGCGTATTTGCTTTAGAATTTTTGACTTGAACTCACGTTTTATACTAGAATGTTAATTTTTCAGAAAATTCTTCGAAGAAAAAACAGGATGTCTACCAACAGTAGAATTCATGCGAGATTCAGAAGACAAAAATTTTCTGTATTTGGCTTTAAGATTCGATAGTAAAAGCATCGCTAAGTCAGTTATCGAAAAGTAAATATTCTTATTATTCTTTTATTTTTTATAATTTAAAAGAAAAAGAAGGAAATAGGCAGATATGCTTCTTTTATTCTTTTTAAAGAACATTTTCTGTCATAAAGTTTTTTCGACCTGTTCTCTTTAAAAACGATAGCAACATATGTTCCTAATTTTTTTCCACATCGTTTAAAATAAATAAATTCTATTTTTAAGAGGAAATGTGGCTATTAAGGATTGTTGTTATTATTGTTTGCTTTTTCTTGTTTCGGAAATTTCATAGTTTTAAAAATCGAATATCGTGTTTTAATTTTAACAGAGCAGGCATTTTTCCCTCACCTGACTTTATGATAAAAAAAACTACAATATTAAAAAATTTTTTGTTTTTTTGTAGATTCGATTCTACAGATATTCTTGGATGTTTCGTTAAAATCACTTATTTTCGTGATATGAAAAAAGCCAGGGAAAAGGCTCAAGAGCTTTATGAAAAAGGTTTGGGTCCTAGTCCACGTGATTTATTCAATTCTGAAATGAACGGCCCAAGAAGAGGCATGTTCTACCGTAGAGGTAGAGGCAATTTCAAACGTGGTAGAACTTCATCTGGTAGTCACAACAATTATGATTATTCGGCTACCTATTCGAAGGACACCAAAAGCAGTCGATATCATTATTCTTCATCCAGATCTAGATCAAGATCTCGGTCAAGATCTCGCTCCAGATCTAGGTCCAGATCCAGGTCACGATCAAGATCTAGAACATACAGTAGGAGTTTAACTCCAAGACGTAAGAGCAGTAGTTCTGAATCTATGAGATCACGTTCGAGGTCGCCTGTAGAAAGAAAAAAGAAAAAGCACAAGTAAATTTTTATTTTACTACCTGATCTTTCATATTAACGTTTGTTAGTTGTTTTATTAGACTCACTTAACGCTTAGTCTTAGTATTAATTACTTTCTCATTTATTGTTAGTAGAGATTAGTAATTAAGTAATTTAATCAGAATAGGTTAAATTCAATATAAAATCGCTTCTCGGTAAAACATATTACAATATAATTTTTAAAACAAGCTGGTGACTTCTGTTTGTAAAAAAGACATATTTACTACACTAATATCCCATCGATAAAGCTGTTACGTAAACACGCTGTTACTACATCCTACATAGTTAATCCTATATATAAACATAATATTTTTAGATCATTTGATAACTTGCAAGATTATTTATGTCTATTTTACAACCAGCATTCGTTCACACATTATTTACAAATGAAATATTTCAAATATTGATAAGTGAATAACAAAAAATAGTATAGTATAAACTATACTATCGATATCTGTTTATTTTTATCTAAAAAAATTTATTTATATTTTTGTTTCTTTCATAGGAAGCATCATAGAAGTCCTAGCTCGGACTACGATAGGCATTCGAGCAGAGATAAAAATGAGATACTACGTAAAGGTATAATATCAATTATCTGCTTTGTAATGATACCCTTGTATTTATTTTTTTATTTATCATATAGGAAAGCAAAAAAAACAGACAACTGATGATGCTGAAGAAGGAGAATATGCTAGTGCCGACAATGCGAATATTCCTGAGAATCACAAGACACTACTCAACAAAAATGGAAATTTTATGTTAGTATAATTTAATCATTAATATTTTTCTGCAGTTGTAAATCTAATTTTTGAAATAATTCAAAATACAGGTCGATTTCGAAACAGGATAAGAGTGTTCATGGAGATGTAAGGCTATAAATAATGTTATTTAACATTTAGTAATTTAATATTTATTCAAATAGCATGCCGTTTTGAATAATGAAGTAGCAGAAATATTTGGTTTACCCCCAGAAAAATTATCGCTTTTAAAGAATAAAAAAGAGGAAATTGAACAATCATACAGACAAGACTGTGAAACCTTCGCTGCTGTTGTGAAAATGCTTATCAGGTAAAAATGAGAATAAATTACTAATATAAGATATCACAGTATAAAGTATACTCATATCCTTTAAGTCTAAACATAGTCAACTGTTTGTCTATCGTCGTTCATTTGAAGATAAATGCGATAGATTAGCAAATATTATTCCCAGAACGTTTTAGATGTAACAAACACCATGTCGCTTTAATTAATTCCCGTGTTTGTTTTGCAGTAAAGATTCATCATTGGAAGAAAAGTTGCAAAATTCTCTTCGCGAAAATCTTAAAGAAATTGGACAAAGGTGTATTCAAGAGCTAAAGGACTACATTGACACTTTGAAGTCTGATTAATTTACTGTATGCACGTTTGTGATCATTATTTTTGTTGTACCGGTTTATTACTTAAACTTAGACACATAACTCCTAAGATATGAATAAAATACAAAATTTATAAATATTCATAATACACGTCAAATAAAAATAGTTCATCCAATAGATGAAAACGTGGCAGGAATCAACAAATCAGCAATAAGTTAACAAAATGAAATAACCAATCAGCGATAACCCTAGGGCCGCCGCCATGTTCAGTAAGAGCAAGAACAAAGGAGCGGTAAATTAGATCGTATCGTGTCGATTTTCGAATTTTTCCATCTAGTAACATCTTGGAGCCATGTCCGACACGGACAAATCAGCAGAAGAAAAAGGAGAAGCAGCAGAGAAGAAAGTTTTGGGTAGGTTTCATACTTTTATAGGTGTTTTTTAAGAATATAAATAATAGCGAGTAGCGGTTCCAACATGGCGACGACCGTTGCACGTGTTTACGAAAAAATATTTTGAATTAACCGTTATGATTTTCAGCGACCAAGGTGAAAGGAACTGTAAAGTGGTTTAACGTAAAAAGTGGATATGGCTTCATTAATCGGTAAGACGATAATTTCTGCACTAATTGCATAATATAATGCAATTGTTTTCTTTACTTCCAGTGACGACACCAAAGAAGACGTCTTCGTGCATCAAACAGCCATTATTAAGAACAACCCTCGCAAATATTTGAGAAGCGTGGGTGACGGAGAGACCGTCGAATTCGACGTAGTTGCAGGTGAAAAAGGTAATTCGATGTTTTTTCAAACGCTTGATACAACTCAAATGTTTCAAAAACATCTTAAACAATTTGTAAGATTGTTTTTTTCTACAAAATGCTTTTAAAATTTTTCCTTGCCACATCTTTGTTGATTTTAAATAATTTAAGCATTGAAACTTGTAAGATTTTTTAAAAACCTATATAAGGAGTCAATATCATGCAGTTTTTCTGCACCTGTTATAAAAGAATTTCAATTTTTTTTTCAAATATTTTAAAAGAAATTGGATTGTTAGTGTTCAAAGTTTTTAAAAAAGCATATCTAATTTTCAACTTATCAGATAGAGATTAAAATTTATTGTTTACTTTTTTATTAATCAGGTAACGAGGCAGTCCGTGTCACTGGACCTGATGGACAAGCTGTTCAGGGAAGCAAGTACGCTGCCGACAGAAGACGCTTTAGACGTTTTTATCCAAGAGGTCGTGGACGCGGTCGTCAGGTATTTGGTTTTTATTTAATACAGTTTCGTGCGCGGTATTAGATAGAAAGTTAGATGAAATTCATATCACGAAAAAATTCTCTTTCGAAAGAAGCTAAAGTGTTTATAAATATCTCATCGAGCTCTGTAATTTATACTTTTTCTATTCCGGACAATAGTCAGGAGGAGATAAGGAAGAACGCAGTGAGGGAAATGAAGAGGAAGGAGAAGAAAAATCAACTGGTCCACCTCGTCGTCCCTTTTGGCGTCGTCGCCCCTTTGGCGGTGGCGGATTCCGGGGCCGCAGTATGGGTAGTGGATACCGAGGAAGAGGACGCGGAGACGGGGACGGTGGACAAGTAGTAGCTCGAGGCAGAGGTCGTGGATATTATCGTGGAAACTACTATCGCAACGAGTTTTATGGATACCGTGGATTTAGAGGATACCGTGCATTCCGCGGTGGAAGAGGACGCGGTCGTGGCAGGTTCAGCAGAGGTTATCGTGGAGGACGTGGCGGTTCAGGGCGCCGTGAAAAGGGAAGCGACGATGAAGGTAGCTATGATGAAAGCAAAGCCGCTGATGAAGCAACCACCACTCCAAAGTAAGAAAGAGTTGGAGAGAGCGGCCGAGAAATCTTGTTTGTTTTTCTTTCATTTCGTCCAACGTAGTGTAACAACACTCTATAGGTTTAAGTTTGTTCGTTATTATTCTCGTGTTCATTGATTTCTAAACAAAAATGGTTGCTTGTCTGCTGAGACACTATAAAAGGCATGTTTAATTGTTTGAGGAAGAATTGTAAATCGTGAAACAGGCGTTATACTAGTATGCCGGGGTTTTTTCTTTGATTGTTTAGCTTAATTGGTTTAGTGCTACCGTTTGAGAGTCTGTCGGGCCGCTCAAAACTATTGTGAACGTTGTATTTTTGGTAGCTTGTTTTTTTGAAATATCCGGATTTTTGCGTATACTAATTAGCTGGCACGTAACAGCTTGCGGCTTATCTTTTCAAGAAATAAATAACAGGCGCAATCTTGGTGCAAGTTGAATTGAGATTTGAATAAATGAAAGTAGGAAACATGACAAAAAGTAAATGAGAAGAAAATGAGTCTCATCAAACTAGGTTTTATTCCTTGTAGAATGTATTCAATAATAAAAGCAAACAGTCAAACTTTAGCATAAGTTCGATGATAAATTTGATTGTTCTATAAACTTAAAAATAGATACGACAATCCTTCAATTTATATTATTAAATTCTTGACAAACCATGGAGATTCCATCTAGCATTCGGGAGTATTGTCAAATCGTTTCAAATACAAAAACTGCCTATTGTTGACGATTAAAGCAATACAAAAGATAAAAGATCAGTCAACTAAAATGTACTCGCGGACGACTCTCTAAATTCTGGATATCATCATTTCTTGGCTACTAGCCGATTCAATTGGCTCAACAGCAGGCTGTTCTTGTATTGGAGAAGTCGCCCGCCCCTCATGTCATACTGCATAGTTTGCGACTTCTACTGTAATAGGACGGAAAGAGAAGGGGCACAGCCATAGCCATTTTGACCCTCGACCAAAGACTTCCGCTAGCAGAGATATTTTCGGTCTCTTCGGTCGATATCGACCTTGTCCTTTCACATGTTCCACTGCTGTTTCATCACTAAGAATTGCTTGGAACTGATCGCATCCAATAGCTATAACAAATAAGCCGAAAAGGACACATTCAATAATCAGAACAATGGAATGCACAAGTTTAGTACGAGCGGATTCATCGTTCTTAGAAGAGCTATTTGAATCAATAACAAAGGATGCTATAACTAATGCTATTGCGTAGAGAGAAGACAAACCTGAATTGAAAGTAACAAATAATTTAATTTATTGTATCATTAAAAAAAAGAAAGTAAATGTTTATATCTTACCAACGTAAAAGAGAAATTGAATAAAAAACTTTTGATTATATTCTCCCACACAATTGTTAATCCTGTATGAAAGGAATAGAAAGGAGCTTATAACATATAATCTTTAAAAATATATATTTGTATTTACTATAATTGACCGCCAGCCGGTATAATTTTATACAAATACAAATTAAGCCTATACTATTGTCTATATACACCATCGCATACATTTATTATTGATATAAAAAATTATATGCTATCAGTCTATATAAATATAGTTTGTTTTCTTCTACAAAATTTCGATCCGCCTGCATTCCCTCTCTAATAATTATTAATTTAAATCCATTGGGCAATACATCAGTTGGATAGAGAAAGAAAAACCATTACATTATACAATTATCAGGATGTTCTTATCTTTTATTTATTAATCTCTTCTTTCTATACTTTTTTATATTTCGAATGGCTATTCAAATAAAATTTTTTATAGATAAACAGGATACGGAAATGATAAGGAGATTATGTATTGTAAAAAGTACAATAAACTGTACTTTTCAATACAGCATCCTCTTTGACTTATCTCCTTTATTAAACTTAGTTGAATCTTAAAAACTTCACTCATAGAAATACAAAAAATTAGATTAAAAGGAAAGAAATAAGCACTTAAACTCTTCCAAGTGAAACAAAAGTCATTAATTGAGCACATTTTTATGCTTTGTAGACTTAAACTTTTGTAAAGTTTATAATAATTACTTAGGAGGGCTGAGATCATCGTTTAAAACTTTTTCATTCTTTCTACTCTGATATTTACTACTTTTAATACATACCAAGGACAGTGGTGATCCATTTTTTTCACACAGCGTCTACACACTCTGCAATGATGTGCTCTAGGAGGCCTGTATGTTTCGCATTTCATACACACAGTCCATCCGTCCTCCTCTTTAGAACCTCTTTCTTCTTGCATATCTGAGAAATCTAATCGGTTCCTAGGCAATGGTACCAGACCAGGATCGCTAAACACTGCCCTTAAGTGAGATACGACCAGTAGAAAAATAATTATGTTAAATACAAAGGCGTTTAAAGCTCCCCATAACCTGTGTTAATTGCAATTACGAAAAACACGATAAGATAATTATTTAGAAATGTCATATTAAATGATACTTACGAATCAGACATAGAAGCAATTACTAAATGTTTGACAACAACATAGTCGGCGTAACAGACACACAAATACGTTATAATCATACACAAAATTCCACAAGGATCCGACCGGAAGACGGCCATTTTGTCAACTTCCGGTTCTCAAAAAAATACGAAAATGAGAGAAAGTATAGTACTTTCGTAAGTTTGAAAGTTTATAAACCACTTAACTTGTTCTTGATATCGTGTCAAAGTTCAGTTAAATGATTCTTTAAATCAAGATAAATGTCATGCCTAGTCAAGTACTCTTCAGACTTTCTTGTTTTATTGTATTGTCATCGGAATTTTCATACAAAAGATACATTGCATACTAATCTTAATTATTCACATTTTTATAAATATTAAGAGATCTTTGAAATTTAGTTGGTTTTGCCCGACGTGCAAACAGGACAAGTATGAAGAGAGTCGTGTATAAAAACATCACAATCCACACAGAATACGGAGTTACATTTTTGGCATTGATAGCTCTGAAAACAATAAAGAAAAAGTTAGTTCAATTTAAAAACTTAATTACTTAAAAACTAACGATTTTGTCCGTTAAGTAAGTTTGACACGAAGTGCAAAATCTACAATGTTAATGGTTAATAAAAATATTCGTTATTTAAAGACATATGTATACTTGTATATACGCTACTAACCGTCTATGAGCTGGTAGTGCGTCTTCAGTTGATACATCATTAAAAGGAGCCAAGGGAAACAAATGATGATAAGATCTAGCTAAGTGAGGTGCAGATACGAGTAAAATACCTGTTTTAGGACAGTGAATCAATTAAACTTATTTTACGCAAAACATCAATTAAAATTGTTATTCTTACCGCAAACTTGGCATTCAGACGGCAAATCGCAGCACTTGGCTTGACATCTTGGACAAAGATATCCGTGACCAGTAATTTTTGCTTCATTTTTAATATGACTAGAAAAAAATGGAGATTAGACATACTAATTAGTTTATAGTTCTTTTATAGCTGAATAAGTAAACTTACCACCAACAGGTACTTAACATAGCATCATCAGCAGATATTTCGTTTGGAAAGCCCATAAGCACAAGAGAAGGTTTTGTTTCTTTCTATTACCATAGGGAGTAAAATGACAATTGAAATAAAAAAAGGATTTCTCGAATATCTATCTTACATATATTGGGGGTGGTGCTACTTGATCATTTAATAACTCTTTTAAATGAGGAACGTCCATCATAACTGCATATTTACCTAAAATGCAGATACACTGCTTAAAATCTATAATATTTTTCTTCAAATTACAAACCGTCAGTATTTTTGCACAGAACTTTCATAATACGAACTTCAGCAGCTAAGCCAATAATCGATACTCGAATTCGATGCTCCCGAAGAGTTTTTATTGTAAAATTAATATCAAATGGATCACAGGTTGTTAAACTCCCACAGAGAGTTAAGATTTCTCTACTGGAATGGTCTGGCACGTATTTTAATACAGAAATAGCCATCTAGGAAATTATACTTCTAATTAGTTTCGTAAAAAAAAATGATTGATTTAAAGAAATTATACCTCATATGAATTCTGTAATGATGGCTCCCCGGCACCTGAGGTTAATTTTTGTAGTGAATTAAGATGACGTCGAATATCCCCTGCAGCAATGTACAATGTTATTTTGTTTTCGTTTTGGAATAATTTTATTTATTGCCTACCTGATAAGTCCGAAATAATTGCTGATCGCTTATTTGATGTTGAGATTATACCCAGTTGACTAATAGGATTTTGATCGAAGAACTCGTGTATGAACGTTTCTAAGAGCTGAGAGGGAAAGTTAAAACTTTCAGTAATTTCAAATTGATTTCCTTAAATAATAAAATACTTTTGTAGTTGCTATTAGACGATTTGGTTTTAAATCCTGTTCATTCATTGCGTTTGAGGCGTCTATCACTAAGAAAAGGTACCTTATCTAGGGTGAAAGTTGAAAAGATGTTTAAATATTGTAGGGTTTTGGTGGTGTATTTCTAACCATTCCAAGTTTAAGATTGGAAGCTCTTTTAATTATTTGCTTTTTCTTGTTTCCACGTATAATTTCGTTGACACTGGATTGTAGCGAGCCACTTGAGTCTTCCGTTAAGCCTTCCCTAAGAGCGATATTTGATGGTTAAAAAACATGTTAAAGTTAAAAGGCAAATTTTGGACATATTTTGAGACAAAAAATTATCTAAAAGAAACCTAGTTGAAGATTATTTTGTAAAGTATAAAATAATCTATCAATCTTACCATGTTCGTTCATACTCCGTTTCCCAGGCGTATCCCTTTTCGATATCATCGTCGGCTGCCGCCATTTTGATAGTCTGCAAATTTGTTCCTGATCGTTTAGCATTGTCCATGTTCAAGGTCAAGGTTATCTTCCCGAATCAAAGTCATTTTCGATCATAAACAATATTCCTCAATATATTATATACATTAAATTCATTTTACCATGTTAAGATTATTAAGAGGAAATTTTGGGTAATATTTTTAAAATCGCATTTTTAATCTATCAACGTATCTTAATTTTAAAAATATTCTATTTTATAGCAAATGACGAAATTTGCAAAAAATAATCACTATTATTAAATATGTCGTTGAATAATTTGAAATAGAATAATATAAGATAAAAGTCATTATTCTATTCTACAAAAGAGTTCTTGTTTAAATCGCTAAAAATAATTTTTCAGCCCTGCCTGTTCCTTATGCTCTAGAACCTTTCAACATTCATCGAAACCTCATTATCTGATGATAAAAGACTCTTCCGCTTATCATACTTTAGTTAAAAGAGACACTGTCAATTTATTGAATAAAAACTATCCTCAAATGCTTGATATGCAAACAAGATTTTTCACACCCTTCCGTTTTGTTAAGGCAGCTGGAAGACTCCTAAAAATACGTTATATTGTCCTAACAGGAGCTGGTGGTATTGGATATTCTATTCATCAGGTAAATCATATATTCACTAAATATTAAGCCGTTAACTACTTATATTAATACAGAAATATGAGGCAATCAAGGAACAAGTACCAGATTTCAGTTGGATAAAAAATTACCTTCCTGAACAGGAAAAACTAGATAGCTATATGAAAAAGTTTAATAAAATTCAACAGTCTTTTCAAATGCCTGATGCGAAATTTAGTGAAGGCTTAATCTTGAAAAAGTTAGACGATTTAAAAGAATGGTGGGACGGTTTACAAGAAAGTGATTTACTACAAACGGATGGTTTGTTTTCTTTTCTTTCAGCATATTATTTCTTTAAGATAAATCAACTTAAAAAACACAGGTGGATTTTATGGAAATTACATAAATGTTGCTGAATTGAACGGTGTGTGGAATGCGAGGCTCGATTTTAAAAATAATCATTAGAAATATATCCAAGTTTAAGATACTACTATAATATTAATAATGAATTTTAAATAGTAAATTATTGTCAATTTTATAATTTGACAGTAATAATGATAATAACGACTTTCATCATTATGAAAGCTTTATTATCTTAATTAAAAGTGCTAGTAATCTTGTATTCTACACCCAAACAAAAACAAAACCGACAATGTTACTGTAGCTCTTTTCATTTATAATTGATACTATATCATTCCTTTTTGGTAGCATTCTTAAACATTTTATATTCTTTTTAACAGATTCAGATTTTGTAACTCCACTCCCTGTTCTCCCATTTCAAGGTGTTGCTCCCAATGGAAGCAGTCCTGTAAATATTGATTTTTTTTTAACTTGTTTGTTTTATTTTTAAATAACTAAAGTACATAAAGTTTAATTAATTAAATATTCTTAATTTCGAAGAAAAGGGATAGAGAAAAAGTTGACGAATTACAAGATGAATTGATGAAAACTCAGACAAAATATCAAAAGCTTATCGATAAATTAGAGAAAGAAAATCGGGATTTACGTAAACAAATACTACTGAAAGGGCAAAAGGATACTAAGAAAAGAAAATTGAAAAGATCGCCTATTGACATGTATTCAGAGGTGCTGGATGAGCTAGCTGATTACGACTCTAGCTATAATACCCAAGATCATCTTCCCCGAGTAGTAGTTGTTGGGGATCAAAGTTCAGGGAAAACTAGCGTTTTAGAAATGATTGCTAAGGCTAGAATATTTCCAAGAGGATCGGGCGAAATGATGACCAGATCACCTGTAAAAGTTACGTTGAGTGAAGGACCTTATCACATTGCCAAATTTAAAGATAGCACAAGAGAATTTGATCTGACAAAGGAATCAGAATTGGACGCTCTGAGGAAAGAGGTTGAAGTAAGGATGAAAGCTTCTGTTGGCTCGGGTAAAACCGTCAGTAGCGATGTAAGTACTCAATCTATTCGTAATTTACAAATATTTGATATATAAAATTAAATTAACTTTTATTTCCGCTAAATTAGATAATTTCAATGACCGTTAAGGGACCTGGTCTGCAAAGAATGGTGCTTGTTGATCTTCCAGGAATAATTAGCGTAGGAGTTGACCTGTTATATTGTTTAGACTTGACTAATGGATCCTTACAATTTTTATTCAGACTGTAACAACTGACATGTCGCATGATACTAAGGACTCTATAAGAAAAATGTGCTTGCAACATATGGAAAATCCAAACGCAATTATCCTTTGCATCCAAGGTAAACTTAATCGAATCTATAGGAATAGTTATAGATACACTTTACATATATTTACTTTCAACAGACGGCTCAATAGACGCTGAGAGAAGTAATGTAACTGATTTAGTGAGCACAATGGATCCTTCTGGTAAAAGAACTATATTCGTTTTAACGAAAGTTGATCTGGCCGAAAGTAACTTATATAATCCAGACAGAGTACGTTCCATACAGCCTTTTCTTAATATTAGATTTAAGTATAGATAACAAGAACATGACTCATGACTCGTGAAAATTTTTCTAGATACAAAAAATTCTTGAAGGACGATTATTCCCTATGAAAGCTTTGGGATATTTTGCCGTTGTAACTGGCAAAGGTATATAATACATAGACAATATAAGTGATAAAGTTCATTATTATTCTTAATTAGGCAATACGGAGGATAGTATATCTACTATTAAAGACTATGAAGAGAGCTTTTTCCGTAATTCAAAATTATTCAAAGCTGGAGTTTTAAAAGCGTCGAATATGACAACCCATAATCTTAGTTGCGCAGTTAGCGAATGTTTTTGGAAAATGGTTCAAGCTTCCGTCGAACAGCAAGCCGATAGTTTTAAAGGTTTCAATTCTATTAAAATAGAATCTTAATATTATTATACATTATAAATAAATCGTATTGTTTTTCTTATATTCTTTTAGCGACAAGATTTAATTTGGAAACTGAATGGAAGAATACATTTTCAAAAGTTCGAGAATTGGATAGAGAAGAACTATTTGAAAAAGCCAGAGGGGAAATTTTAGACGAATTAATTAATCTAAGCAATATTTCACCTAGACAATGGGAAGATGCTTTTACGAAAACTTTGTGGGAAAAGATGACTACTCACGTTTTCGAAAATATCTATTTACTTGCTGCGCAGAGTGAGAATTCTGGAACTTTTAATACTACTATTGATATTAAATTAAAACAATGGGCTGATCAACAATTACCTAAAAAGTGTGTAGAAGTAGGGCAACAAACGTTAAAAGAGCAATTTTCTAACATGTTAAAAAGAGGAGAAAGCGATAATATATTTGAGAAATTGAAGGTAGCGGTAAGAGACGCTTCAATGGAAAAACATGAGTGGGATTCCAAAGCGGAACAATCATTAAGGGTTATTCAAAGAAATATCTTAGAAGATAGATCCGTATCAGATAAAAATCAATGGGATAGTGCTGTTAAATTTATGGAAACTGCTGTCAATGAGCAATTAGAAATGGTTGAAAATACATTAAAGAGAATGAAAGGACCGGGAACAAGAGAACAATGGTATAATTGGAAAAGTAAAACAGCTGAACAACAAAATCGTTGTGTTGCATTAAAAGAATTAGAAAAATTGATGACATCTCATAAAGTAAGTAAAATTTAGAATTGAATAAATTATAATAGTAGAAATTAGCGTTAATTTTAATAAACTTTTCTTCTGCTTTTCTCTTTTAGAAACATACACCACATCTATCTTATGAAGAGTTAACAACAGTCAGAAAAAATCTTGAAACGCATGGAGTGTTCGTTGACGCTGAATTTGTTTGTTTTATTAATTATCTATATAATTTTGAACTTTTAAATATTTTTGTATTTTTGTCCGTCAGCTTAAAGAAACTTGGCATCCTCTATATAGAAAGAATTTTCTAAAGAAGTCATTAAACACAGTATCTGAATGTAGGAAAGGATTTTACTATTACCAACGAGGATTTACAGAGTCTGGGGTGAGTCTTTTATTAAAATCATCTTGAATTCAAAAACTCCATAAGAGTATTTCTTACTGTTGTTTATCACATACTTAAAAGCATAGCATAATATATAAGGGGCGATCAAATGAAAACGGAACAATTCCCTATATATTCATTAATTTGATTAATTATTCTTGACTATAACCACGGTGATATGTCATTCAATGGACCAAAGAGGAGGCATGTTTAGTTATTTACGTATTGATATTTAAATGGGAAAATTTGTACCAGAAAAGTAAAGGATAGGATCTTCACTCACAGAATACAAGAACAAATTATAGAGAATACAATATTTAATTTAGAAGACTTACTGAAGATTTTTGCTTTCGGCTTTCAAATATTGTAAAGTACATTTGGATTTTAGTGAAAAATATTGGATCTTAAGGATCCTATCAGCTGACACCTAAATTCAAAGAATGGCAGACTTCCACATGTTATTGAACCGATACTTGAAAGACTTCCTAAACGAGATAGTTTCCTTTGGAAATATTGTTTTTAGGATAGAAATGGATTATAGTACGAGCTTAGCCTCTAGTCATTACTTCAATTCATAATAGGCTCCATAGCTAACCAATAAAGTTTGCTCTTGAGAGCGTAAGTAAACTGGTAAGAATTAAGTATTGATAAAAAAAATCCAAAAGCATGGTATTTAGCCAAAGTGACATTGTTCCGATCATTTTTTCGCCCCTTATATATATATTCATAAATCAATATACATATACATATACATATACACACGCATATATGTATATATATATATATATATATATACGTATATACACATATATAAAGGGTGACGGACGTAAGCTGGTAAGTTTAATGGTAGTAGAATAGAAAACGTGTTGTGTGTGAATTTTCTTTTTCTAAAATGTAAATTAAACGCTGGGAAGCTTAGTGAACAAATGTATACAAAGAAAGATTGTATATAATCCCAAAGTTTAATTAGCCTTTTCTATTAGACAACTCTTTCAAAGCAAAATGCCTAATATTATTAAGTTTTTAAGTTAATACATTCCTATTTCTCAATGGTTGACATAGTTGGAAATAGTGTTATCATTTACATAGTCATTTTTATTGTTATAATAAAATATTGTTTATATTTAAATAATTGCAAGGCGACTAAATTGATTATATAACTTTAGAACGTTTAAAGGGAAATTAATCAAAATATTAAATTCATCAATCAGTCATTTAAAAAGTAATAATCTGTAATTCTAGTTTAACAATATTTTTTTATAACCTTAGTCTTTCTAGCATGATAATTTTTGCTATATTTTACTTTTACTATTCTTTTTTTACAAATTTAATTCCTTGTTGTTGTAATTTTAACAAAAGAAATGTTTTTTATCTTTTAAATACTCAATTTTTTCTCTAGATGGAGTGTAATGATGTTGTATTATTTTGGAGAATTCAAAGAATGTTACAAGTCACAAGTAACGCACTAAGGCAACAAGTTATGAATAATGAAGCTCGTCGTCTAGAGAGGAATATTAAAAATGTTTTAGACGACTTTTCAGAAGATAAAGATAAATTGCAAAGTCTATTAACTGGTAGAAGAGTTCAATTGGCCGAAGAATTGAGTAAGTTTTACAAAGAGTATTGTTTTTCTATATATAATAGAAAATACCTAATCTGTGCCTTCCTATTCAGAACGTGTACGGCAAATTCAAGAGTTGTTAGAGGAATTTATAGAAGCTTTACAAAAAGAAAAGTAATAAATAACTTCTTTAACAATTAAAAAATATTATTTAAAATGATGTATAGACAATTTTTTTATTCGGCTCGTGCATTTCTAACTATTATCAAGCAATGGAGAAAGAAAGAAAGAAGACTTTCTTTCCCATTCCTTCTTTATTTCTTTCGTTGCTTAAATACTTGAATAAAATAAAATTTTCTTTTCTCGTATCATTATATACAATATCTGACACGTTAACATTGTTCAAACGATACTTGAGCAATATTTTTTATGAATTACGGAACAATACAAGCCGTGTATTGTTGTGCACTGAACGTAAGGGAGAAAATTAAGGATTTGAATGGGGAATAGACCCTGAGCCTTGTAAACATATTTAAACCAGATTTTTTTACAATTTTTCTTTGACGTAAGGTTGCTTGCTAAAAACACCTGATGATACAATTGAATGCAAAATACCAAAATGGGTTTAAAACCATGATCTTAGCTCATAACGAAAGCGCATGTTGAAGAAAAAAAGAAAAATTTTTAGCAGAGCGTGGTTTCGATCCACGGACCTCTGGGTTATGGGCCCAGCACGCTTCCACTGCGCCACTCTGCTACTGATAGCGTCAACTGTCTTTTAAAAATTACATAACGTGATGTTTTTCTTATAACCCTTTTGTGTTTTCTCTCTCCTGTCTATGAGCTTATTATTCTATCCTTCACAACCACCACAACCTCCTCCTCTTTAAAATATTGACTAAAACTAATATTTCAATTATTTAAATAGATGATTTATTAAAGGATGGACATTTCAGATTAATAGGTACAATTGAATATATTCGCTACTAATCCCATATCCTTGCACTTTGCTGAATCCCATATGAGTATAATACATAGCGTAAGCGACCTTGTTTATTCAAAAATTGTAGAATTTCAATGCAACTTTGGCACTCATTTAAAGACTAAATATACACTCATATTTTCTATCGTATTAAATACGACTATACGATAGATCTATATTTAGGGTAGACTACACTTGGAAGTTTTATAAGTAACATCTTTCCCTTGCAATTATAAGTTTATTTAATTAAAACTATGATGATTAATACTATTTCTCTCAAGGTGAGCTTTTTTATTGGTAGACTATATGTAAATTTACTTTAGTTGTCAAAATAGCTTGTATAAAAAAAGTTGACCTGATCGCTAGGCTTACAACTTTTTCAAGAACGGACGTTGCTCTTTCCACTAAACCTAGTATGAATATTTATCAAGACAAGGTTTTCGATAGAATTCTTTTACAAAAATATTCAATTGCAGGCTGAATTATGAATATCGGTTCACACGTTTGCGATATTCCAAATAAATATTCTAAATAAAGCTAAAGGCAATAGAACAGATAGTCATTCATCAACATGCCGCTGGTAGAGAGCAAACCGAGAAAGGTAATTACCCCTTTAATTTAAAAGTATAATTCAATTAATTCATTATCTTTCTACCTACTAGAGAAGTCTAAATATTGAGTTACGTACAAGTGATTCAACGTTTAGTACACTATCTCCCGATGAAGATAGTATTCCCGTAAAAAAGCGTTTGAGAAGGGCTCAACAATTTACTCAGAAATGTATTCCTCCACCACCACCTCTTATCAATATGACCGACTATATAAACTCGAAGAAACTTGAAGAAGAGAAGTTTATGAAGGAAAAACAAAAACATCATAGTAAGTAGTTTCTCTCTTATGAATAAAACTAATATAATGCAAATTATTAATAAATGATAAAAGTTATCTTATGCTCAGTGGAGCCCTGATATATCTGCAATAGTAATTATTTGTTAGCTAGAAATAGTATATAGTATATTTATAGATTAAACAAATGATATATTTATTCGCTTTTGTCTATTTTTTCTTATAGGTCTAACTACTTTCTCAATACCACCAGAAGCTTATAATGACAATCTAGCACCGCCCTACCTTGGACCTTACGTATTCCCTGAAAACGCCTCCTCACTCTATTTATGGCCGAGACAAGTTCTACCTTATCCTGGCTTTAAAATTGAAAATCTCAAGTCAAAACTAAGAATTGAAGATATTTGTAAATCACCAAACGATTCAAGAACAATTACAGCTAGCAAAAAGAGTAATTGTACCCTACACTATACCCTGGCAGCCTTAACGGGTTTGCCACTAGCAATTAAAGGGTTGTCTTGAACGATAAAAAAGGAAAAGGGGTTTCCTAGAGAGGAAAAAACCATAAAAAACGTCTCGCCCTCTTTTACCTTTTAATTATAAATTTGTTTTTCCTGTTTGTTTTCTATTTTCTAAAAATATTCTATATTTTCATGTAAATGTATATGGACAACAAATAAAATGTTTTATATTTATATGAAACTAAAAAAAAAAGAAGAAAAAAAAAATGAAACACTTAAACGTTCTGTTGTTCTTCGTCACCTGTTCAAAAGAAAGAAATGATCCACTGTTATTATGAATTCAGAGTTTTTGACACGATACTTGAATGAATAAATTATATAGAAAAAAATACTGATTTTTTATTACGATCTATATGATTAATTAATTAAAAACTAAACGTACTTGACGAAGTTGAATCGTAAAATTTTTCATCGAATTTCTTCGCTTTCATCTTCTTTTCTGCTTTTTTGTTAAACATTTTTCTCAGGCCCGTCATAAAGTTACTGCATTCAGTACCATTCTTCGCTGTGGTTAAAGGAAATAGTATGGATAGTCAACTAAATATAATAGAGTACGAATAAAATAACCCAACATTTTTTACAATTGAACATTTTATATAATGTTTGAAAAGGGGAGTTTTCACCAACCGATAGGTGGTATTATTACCTTACGACCTTCTACCTATACTTTTCAATTTTACATAGACGAAATATTTTTATGTATTCGTTCAGCTTCTTCCAATTAAAAATACCGTAGGCCTATTGACCTTTCATTTTGTCTTGTCAAAAAACGTCAAAAGCGTACTTTCTGATGGGATAAGCTAAGAAAAATATGAAAGCACGCATTTACAGTTATGAAAGAGAACAGAAAATCTCTATTATAGCAGACTAAGACAGGAAGTAGAGGTGTTTTAACCCATTTTCTTTGTGCTCTTCGCGGGTTTATAATACAAAGCATTTCTATGCCTTTTTATTTCTGTTTTTTCTCTTATGTTATATATTTTGAAGTTGAAGAGAAAATAAACTAAAACTACTATAGACGATTAAAATGGCGATAAAACATTCCTTCTTAGGGTTTGACAGATTAGCGGGAAAAAAACAGGTTTTTATCAATATAATATTCCATAAAGAATTCGTGAAAGAATATTATAGGCTAACTATATAATATTATAATAATTTCTTATGTAAAAGTGCCAAAGTCGATATTTACCACAACCGTTTTCATCCTCAGATAATTTGCGATTCTTAGCAGCGGCTAGAGAGGCGTACGATGCTGGTGGAGGTGGAATCTGTGGCCGATACAGCGGTGCCCATTCTGCAGGAGTCAATCTACCTATTGGTTCGTATTCAACTGGTCTTTCCGAAACCGTTTTACGTGGCAGTTTTTCTACAGAGGTGTTTAATAACATATTAATAATTGCCATTAATTCAATTATAACCTGATGTTACCCGCAAAAACGTAATAAGCCCCTTCAAAAAACTCTCCTTTATCAACAGCTTCGTGTATAAATCCGGCATTTAACAATTTAGACGCATATTTTCTAGCGTCTGTTTTACTAGCGAAACCTTCAACATTACTAAACAACCAGGATATGAGATCAGATCCTAAAAATTCTTGACGACTATTCATTTTCAAACGAGATTCGGGATGTGACATAGATTTAATAACGCTTATCATATCAGCTTCAATACTTAAATTTGTTTCAGATGCGATAGAAGAGGGAATAGACGCTAATGTCGAAACGCTTTGAGACATTTTATCAACCTGTGAAAAAAAGAAAGGAAATCATTATTAACAAACGAAAGCAAGCCATCTTTATCTATTTCATTCATTCATTCATTCTTTCTTTTACAAACCAAATAATTCAACTTGAATTAACCATCCCATTAATTTTCATTTGCCAAATTTTCATAAGTCAAACAAGTTTAGTATGATCGTTAATTTAAATCTACACTTATATAATTCAACTAATAAAGGTCATTGATCATCCGATAAAATGATAGAAGCGTTAGCACGTTACCCTTATTAGGGTCAACATTAATTCTGTCCATTAGGATAAAAAATATAACACAAATCACCAGTTAACTATGTAAATTGCTGAATTAGCATATGTAAATTTGATGGACTAATATATTTCCCTTTCTTACGTAACTTTGTTATTGTATGTATAAAATCTAATAAACAACTCACATTAAGAGCCGCTGATGTATGCTCTAACCAAGCAGCTGGATCTATTGGCCGGATAGGTTCCTCTCTGGGTACTGAAAAGTATTTTTCTGGTTCAGGATCCCAGCATTTGGCAACAACTAACGTAATTGGTCTAAAAACAGAAAATTGACAATTGGTCAAAGAAATTCATTATACATTTCAATAAGATATAATTCTAACGTACCCAGGGTTATGGACTGCTTCCCTAAGTAATTTAACAGCTTCATCATTACTGATTTTCTCAAAACTATTTCCGTTTACTTCTAACAACATATCACCAGGTTCAATTCTAGCATCTTGAGCAACGGCACCGCTATTTCGTTTAATGATTATAGTACTTAGTATGGTATTGTAAAATGATCATTAAATAGAAGAATATCTTCTTACCCTTTCATAATGGAACCAACGTAAATTCCTCCATCATCTCCCTTGTTGCTCTGTCCAACAACACTTATACCCAAAAACTTTGTAGAATCTATTATTCAAAAGGAGAAAGGAATATTCGTTTATATAAATATGTATATACATATATATATATGGATATATAATATTTATACTGCTATAGTTATCTTGGAAACGTAAAATACATATATAATTACGTTCTCGTGATAATATATTATATATATATATATATAGATATTAAGACATAGTGTTATTTTTCAGCTAAATATGTCACTTTGTTTCCCTCATGCATCTGTCTAGTATATCTTTAAGTATTGATTAATTAAAGTACCTTTTCTCATGTTAAAATATTCAAACTGATATTGAAAAGTTTAGTGTTTAACAGCCTAAACAAAATCTATAACGAGATATTAAATGAATTATAATGAATGCTATTCGGTTGCGTTTCCTTTTGTTATCATACCTAGATTTAACGTTACTGTAACTATATTCAAAGACATTGTTGAATCGCTCATTGACGATAATGTAGATGCCGCAGGAATTTTTCGTCGACGTTTCCTGCGTTTTTGACGTCTGCCGAAAGCAGTTGAAGAAGATAATCTAAAAGCAAATAGTTCTTTTTATCTATATATTATAAAAATAATATTACTATTATCTTAACAATAAATAATTAACTGTAATTTATGACTGAAGAGAAGAGGGCAAAAAAAATAGTATTTTTCCTTTCTTTTATAATTAATAAGTTTAATAATTAACTTCACCTGCTGCTATCGCAGTCTGCTGCGTCCAACGTATCATCTTCAGGAAATTTTGACGATTCATCTACAAATACAAAACTTATAAATTATTTCATTTATTTTGTTAGACAGAGAAATCTACGAGTTTTTTCTTTATTCTTCTTTCTAAACTTATGAATCTTTTATATTCATTGTCAATTAATACGTTAATAGAAAAAGTAATAATCATTTATTGATATCCGCTAGATGTCATTTTATTAATGTATTTTTTAAATGGAATAGGCGCAAACACCATCTATGTTCACTAAAATGACGTCATAATGAGGGAGGTTCCGAGAAATTCCAGTCCACGAAGCAGACAGCCTCGATCTTTTGCTAACAGACAGACGGTTTAAGTATAGCGTAGAGCCATACCAGCTAAAGAGCACGATTCCGTCTAATTTAACCAGATATTTATCAAGTAAACTTATAGTTAGTTAAGATCAAAGCTTTTCTAAATAGAATTCAGTTAAGAATGGCTTGGAAAAAAATCAACTTAGGATTTTTTTTCAGACAAGGTCGAAACTAATCGATTAGTTGATTGATAGTGGAAAATTCTCACCTTCTCTTATCGAGTCTACATCCTGAATCCTGTAACATCGAAAGAAAAAAATAGATAAGTACTCAAACATTCGATTCCTTTTTTTTTTACATTAAAAAAATTGTTCTAGAAAAAGAACATACATTTTTAACATCGTACCATATTTCTTCTATAATTTTGCTTATATGTACATATTTTAAAAGTAATCATAGATATATTTAGTGTAACAGTTATTAGAGTATGTGCTAATATCATTTATTTTCTGTCTGTACTTAATTTATTCGTCTGGCATGGGAAGAAAAGAATGGACGTTACCATGGCTGTTTAAGGCGCTTGTTGCATAAATAATTATCGTTTAATTTTATCTCATTCCTCGCGTTGAAAAAAAAACCTGCTGGTATTAAACTACAGTAGGATGTATGTAAATGATCGCCATTTTGAAAGGCTGACATATGCTAAAAGTAGATTATGCCATGTAAATCGTTGGATGATTATAAATCAAACCATGCAAAAAAAAAACTGTAGAAAATGTTCGTCTGCTCTTATTAAATCATAAAAAAATTTAGTAGGTCATTGGTGCTTTGTAGATTTCTATCATTCTTCGTTTTCGTCTCCTTAACGACCTCAATGAGCAAAGAAACATCAATCTAACTTAATATTTTAGGACAAAAACTGGAAGAAATGCTAAACCAATGACCTTGATAACTTTAATGCATATCGAATTCTTTTAAATACGCAAAATAATTGCATGTCAAAATGTTTTTGTCTCTGAATGTAAAGCTGTCTACCTATTAATCAAATTTCAAGCGTATAAAATCAAAAAACAGCCTCATTGTACTGCATCCTTTCTCTGTTCAATCCCCCCTATGAGCTATCTAACTGTCCTACCAGCTATTCCTATGTTAAAATATAAAACACTAATGGCTTGTGATAGAAGTTTTTTTACAGAATCCGATAGAACGGAAGAAAACAAGAGCTGAAAAAAATTATCGTTCAATATGGCAACCCCTTCCAGTATTCACTTTGTATAGCAAAAATGATCTTGTAGCTAGGTATTATGTAGCCTTAATTTCTATGTGGTTCACATAGTTCTGCTAGTTTTAATGTATAGCAAAGAGGAAACCAGATGAAAAAATTAGAAAAAAAAACCAGACAGGCTCTTTTCCAGAAACCCGTAGTAACGAACTTGTATAAAAAAAATTTACAAAAAAATGTCTAGTTTTATCTACAAGTTTGCTTCGTCGGGTAACTGGTGAAGAACACACCCAAGGGCATTGACGTCTAGAGGTCTCTCAGTACGAATGATAAAATACAAGAACAAAGCTACAATATTGACTGTCTCAATGTCCCTGAGACCTTAGTTTGTGCCCTTTATGTGAGTACAAGTTAAGGTACTTGGGAATATTGCGGCTAGTCGAATATCCCTTCAGTAAACTCCGACACCGGCTCAATGAATGACCTTGACAACGATTAAGTGCAAAAATATCGCTTTTTGTTGAAGGTTGGCCTACAAACATATTTTATAAAAAATGGAAGAGCGATTAGTTAGGATCGATTGTGGTGAATAATCAATAAAAATGAGAATAAAAGGCATGAAATTGAGCAGAAAAAAATCAGTAACGAGACAAAGTATAGCTGTATAGAAAGCTTCGTAATACTTACGAATTTTCCTGCTTAAGCTAAAGGATCAAAAAGGTATTATTTAGTCTAATCTAACTCAAATATTGCTATAATTGTTAATTTTTAGGAAATTATCAATGTTATTTCAAGGATAAATTACTGCTATGTATATTTATCTTTTTCATGTCTCAAGTGTATTTCGAAATGTTTGGAGATTGCTTGGAAATCTCGACGGGTAAGAAGCCTGCGCGTGCAATATTTAAATAAATTTTGTACAGATCCTTTACTTGATTATTTTCTGATGCCTATGGCGCCATCTGCTTATCAAATACAAGACAGATGACACATATCAACGCTTAAATCAATTTACTTAGTTGTTCAAAGATCTTATTTCCTTATTTTCCCGAAAGCAAGTATTAACATTAGTCGTCTAATAAATAAATTATTTCTCCATCTTTAAAAATAAACACTGAAGAACTGATAAAAAAATTAATACTATCAAATTGTAGTGACATTTTCATCACTCCAAAATATTAAACAATGAAATACAGGAATGACTGTTTTGTCGAGGGTCTATAATATTGATTGAATTATCCTAAGCCTAGTTTAATATAGGCCTGACAATATGAATTAATCGTATAGCATCATAAATTTAACAAACTCAGGTTAACTAGATATTTCTATATGGAAGTGAAAATGTAACCTATTGTTATAATTTCAGGAGAGGAATTAACTTTAAAAATTAATTAGATAAGCAATTTACGTGAGGGAACAAATTTCCTGTTGCCTATTACTGCCATACAACAAAATTGAACACTTTGCTTAATAGTTATACCTTCATACATATATACTTATTGTATGCTGTATACTACAGCGACATCTGTTATCTTACTTTTGAATTTTTTCGCCTCTTCGAGGATGATCTTCTGATACAGCTGTAGTTGTTGTGCTACTTGTTTCTGTACAATCTAGGTGACTGTTTATAACACTATTTTCTGACGTAACCAACTAAAATATTTAATTGAGAACGGTAAAAAAGTCGGCAGTTTTATTCAAAGCACCTACCCATGTAACAACCCGACCGTTTATTGAAGGTAAACCTTGACCATCATCTCCAATCTCTTCTTTAACAAATCTTTAATAATAAAATGCAATTATAATTGCTTTGACTTGAAGTTTATGTACTTTTGTTTAACTACTTACCCAAAGTCATCGTCAGGCACCTTAAAGAAGAACCTATAATTGGGTCTATTTAGAGCATTCTTCAAATCGCCGAGAGTAATAACTTCGCTCCGTATGGGTATCTTTATAAGATATGGAGTTGATTCATTCTCTATATGATATATAATCTTTGTCTCTGCCATTTTGTGGAGATTTGAGTTTTAATGGCTGGTTACAATCAAAACACGGCGGAAAGTTTAATTAGTATTTCCGTATCCGGTGCATCATCGATTATAAAACTAAATCGATTCTTATTTCGATATGCTTATATTAACTTAATAATAGATAAAAATATTTAGGAATTTAAATATATAAATTAATCTTATAAAATCGATGTGTTATTTTGGAAAAGAAATTTTTGAAAATATATCCTTGTTAGAACTTTTTTTAACGGTTATTTAATATCGACTTTGTGCGCCATCTGTATCGCAAACTGCATTCTATACGAAAAACCGTTCAGAAACCGGTTTTTGTCGATGAAAGGAAACGGTGGTAGGATACAAAACATCAAGAAAACCCGACACTCCCAGTCAGTCCTCCGGTCGTTGTCATGCAGAACGAGCGTTGAAGAAAAAATACTCTTATTTTTTTTTTTTATAAATGATGGATTCTGGTGAACTCCTTCTTCAAAAATGGCCACGATGGAAGAGGGATACGGACATCCACTGCCTCCTACCCGAAATCTTATCCTACATCTTCTCATATCTAGACCCCGCCGATAAGGGACGTGCTGCGCAGGTATGCCGGACTTGGAGGGAAGTTTGTAATCGAAAAACGGTTTGGAGGGGCGCATGCGCAAGACTGCATTTAAAGAGGACAAATCCTTTAGTATTTTCTTCACTGGAACGCCGAGGGATTAGGCGTATTCAAGTTCTGAGCGTTCGGAAAACACTCAGAGATATTACCAGTTTACATCTGCAAAGTTTGGACCTAACTGGATGTTATAATGTGACTGATGCTCTTATTATACATGCATTGGAACATGAACTTCCGCTCCTAGAAAGACTAGTTCTCTCCTTCTGCAAACAAATAACGGACAATTCAATTGCTAGAGTTGCTCAATACGCAAGAAATTTAAAAGTTTTAGAGTTAGCCGGTTGTTCTCAAGTTACTTCGAATGCCTTGACTTTAATTAGTGTGGGTTTAGAACGGTTGGAAAGATTGAACGTTAGATCCTGTAAAGGGGTCACCGACAGGGGGATATCCTACATTTCCGGGTTACAGCCAGCCGATTTGGAACCCAAGGGAAACCTAAATTTGACTGATCTAGTCCTGCAGGACTGCCAGAGCGTTACAGATGACGCTCTTTCGCATTTGAGTTGCCTGAAGAATTTGGACAGTTTAAATATATCATTTTGCGCGGGAATAACCGATACAGCATTTAGGTATCTTGCAAAATCTACGTCTCTTAGGCACCTAAACGTTAGGAGTTGTGACAACGTAAGTGACACAGGAATCGGCTACCTCGTAGAGGGAGGATCCAAAATAGAAACTTTAGATTTAGCATTTTGTGAGCGTCTAACGGACTCTTGTTTAACACATATAAGTAGGGGACTGTTCAATTTAAAAGCTTTAAGTTTAAGTGCGTGTAAAATAACTGACGAAGGCGTCTCGAATCTTGCAAAATCTCAAATAGAACTTCGCGCCTTGGACATTGGACAGTGTTCTAAATTGACAGACGCGTCCGCCATTGTTCTTTCAGAATATCTGATAAGATTAAAAGCATTGGATGTCTACGGTTGTGTTTCAATGACAACGGTAGGCCTAGAAAGATTGACAAACATGGCGGATTTAAAATATTTCAACATGCATTTATGGAACCATGCCGGTCACGCCCTGACCGCCATCTGACCCCAACCGGGGGCCTACTTTCCATTGAAGAATGTGAAGGATAGAAAGAAGAATGAATTTCGTCCGGAAAAGAACGCGGAACGTGAAATATGAGGGATGGAGTGAAAGCGGCGGCAGTCTGACGGACGAATAGAATAGGGCGGCGGCGGCATTGATTGACAAAAGGAAAGAACGAACGAATACAGAGATAGACGGAAGCAAATGTAGAAAGCAGCTGGTGTCCGACGTCATGCTGCATCAATAATGTACGGGTTTTAGTCCTATGTATTTTTTTTCTACATGAAAAAGGACATGTATAAAAAAAATGTGCTTGTTAAAATGAATTGAGAAAATGTTTTGCAAAAGAATATAATACGTTGGCTTTTGTTTTTCTGTACTAAAGTGTACTATTTCATGCTTTACGTACATGAAACATGTATAGAATGCGGATAGATTGATGGAAAAACGGACGAGTATGACACATTGGAACGCTGCCAACTCCCTTACACAGAGGCAGCCAGGCGAATCTTCCTGCCTGGTACATTTTATCGGTCGGCGAAAAAAATTCATGCCTGTTTAACATTTTAAAGGCTTTTGCATCGACTAAACATAGTACATAACTATAATAAAAAAGGAGAAAAGAAACAAAGAGACCGCCACTCTAATCTTTTACTGGAAAGAATCTTTTTTTTACTCATCCTCTCTCTCATTCTCTCTATCTCGAAAATTTTTCTCTAGTTTTTTTTCTCTCTACTCTCCTCTATCTATACTTTCTCTCTCTCTCTCTCTCTCGACTACCATGACTGCCACTACTACAGCTTCAGGGCTTGTTTAAAAGCGGATGCGGGAACTGATAAAATCGACTAAAAATAAATTTTATCCGTTTATCTCACGATTCTTATCGTAATCTAACGAGTTCACGCTTTTTTTTTCTTTTTTTTTGTATTTCTGTATAGATGTCGACAGTGTCGAATCTCAACGTAAGAGGGCGCTGGAAGTCCTACACGCCAATTTTTCATTATTATTTATTGACTTTTTTTATAGTTTGTTGATTTATGTGAATTGTACTAATAAAAAAGAAAACAGAGAAAAAAAGAGAAGAAAAAGGGAAATCGTCTTAAAAAATATTCTTTTATTAAAAATTATCCTTTTTTACATGTATAACTTATATTTTTTATAGTAAAATTTTAATATTTTCACATTTCATTCATTTACAATTTGTAAAAATGAATAAACAAGTAAATTTCTTTTTTTTTAACCAATAATTCATATTTTTTTACCATGGGGGTCATTTTTTCTTTCACGTCTATTTTATCTTTTTTTTCTCCCTTTTCCTCTGCTTTTTTTTTTTTTCCTCAAGTTTTCCTACTAAATTATTTACAGTTTCTCTTATATAATTCATATCTTTTCGTTATGCGCATGCGCTTAGAATTACTAGTTTTTTTCTATTCTTTCTCTCTCTCTCTTGCTTTAGCTCTCTTTTTTTATTCATTCATTCTTTCCTTCTCTCTCTCTCTCTCTCTCTCTTACTCCTCCCTCTTTTCATCTCTCCTCCCCCTTTCTTTTCAAACTTTCTCTCTCTCTCTCTCTCTCTCTCGCTCTCTCTTTCTCTCGTTCCCTCTTACCACCCCAATATTTCTCTATTTCGTTCATTCACCTGATATTCTCCCCCACATGGCTTTTTGATTCGCTCCATATGAAATATTAAGTTCACACAACGCTTTTCGTACAAGTGTTCCAAATTACAATGTCCCATATAGTATTATATGAAATCAATAACTCTTTGTTGATCAAAAAACCTCACTCGATGTAACTGAAAGGAAATGTACATAGGCCTATGGGTGAAAAAAAATTGCATGTTGTATATGTAAATTCCAGAAGAGGTCAACTGAGTTTACTCAATCCCATTAATAATCGATTATTTTGTTTATTTTTTACAAGAGCAGTCACGTGTAGTCCAATAAAACTTTTTAGAAGAGTAAATTTGGCTACTCTCCCACGATTTACAATCGAGAGAGAGAGGTAGAGAGAGAGAGAAAATAGGGAAGAGGGTAGGCGTTGAAAGATTATGTGTGGGAGGTAGGAGGATAGGAATAGGTTTATATCACCTCTACAAAATTTTCATTAAAGAGACACCTGTTGGTTGACTTGGATAAAAAAAATGATTAATAGGCGTCGTCTATCCTATCTAAAGTATAAAAACAACACATAAAAAAAGGAGAGAAAAACTCTTACCATTGTTTTTCATAGTATTATTCATAAAAAGACTAATAACAAAAACATATAGATGAAGCATAGAGAGCGTATATAGGCATACATAAATATATATATATATATATATATATAGACCATCTAGAGAGAGAAAAAGAGAAAGAAAGAAAGAAAGATGTACTATTAACTGACAAGTCAGTAGTAATAAAAGAAAACGTTCATATCATAGTTTGACTGCTGATGAGAAAATGTAACATACATAGGCCCAAATAATAACCCTAAAATAAAAATAATTCAGCCAAACTGGACAAACATCAGAAGCAATTCTATTTAAGTAGGCTACACATACAACAAATAGAGATATACACTAAATTTCCTTTTTAAAAAAATTCTATTATTTAATTTGAAAAGTTTGCAAGGGAATATTGCCCTTTTTTCTCTCTCTCACTCTCTCCCGATGACAATTATTCCTCCCCCTCTATTCTCTTCTTACTATACAATTCAATACAGATCGATATGAATTTATTATGATAAGATCAATATTTCCATACTCAGAAAATACCATTTTCCCATTACTACCTTTTTCTTGAATATTTTAACGCTTTCCCTGTTACTCGTTAGAAAGAAAAGAGCAATCGATTGTTCTATCCGCAACCTTTCTAACAATATTTGATAATTAGAGGCTAGATGGCGCTCGCTTTTTATCTGGATATCTTGGTCCAGAGAAAATAAAGTAGTGGGTTAAGGATAGAGAGACGAATAAGAGGATAAAGAAATAGAACGAGTGAGAGATAGAAAGACAAAGAGAAAATAAACTAATGAAGGGAAGAGAGGCTGTCTGACTCTATAACGGCTTCGTGCACGGTTGCAAAATGTTGGATAAGTAACAAGAAAGCATATGAATATTAATAAATATTACGCAATATATTCTCCATAATTTATGCAAATTATAATATGTCCGTCATTAATGCACATATACCCCGTTTTGGTTAATTAAGAAATTTGATTAAGGATTTATTTTCAAGACAAATAAATTGGCAATTTGATTAAAAGGTTCTAAAATATCAGGTTATCAATTAAACAATAGGTTTTTTTATTTTCTTAGGTTTTAACGTCCTATTTACGTAATTAGACAATTAAGGTCTTTTTTTATGGTCTTTTTTTTCTACTGTTTAAATCTTTTGAACCAATCCCGAAAAACTTTCTAATTTAACTACAAAGAAACTTTAGATCTTCTTTTATTTTCTTTCTTTTTATATTTCCACCCCCTTAGTTAACTAAGTTAACCCGTATTTAATGACCTACTCTTGACCTTTCTGACCTAGTTTCTTTAATTCTTTTCAATGATCTTTTTGTCGTATCTTTCTGGTCATAGCTTCGTGAATTAGGTCAATACAGATGATTCTCTCTTTTTTTTCAATTGTTTGTAATAGATTAGGTTATCTTTGTTGTTGAAAGGAAAAACCAAGGAAAATCCTAATGAAATTTCTTAAAGAAAGAGAGAAAGAAAAGATCAAAACCTTTAACACAGTCGTATAACTCCTCTTCCCGTTATACTCTTATCTTTTCTTACATTGTAGACTCTTGGGACTTCAGCCACTCTTTTATCCTCTTCCCCAATCATGCCAGCGTCCTCTTCTCTCGGATGATTTGGTAATAAAAATTCCTTTTCGACAGAAGCTCTTCGGAACTTTTTTTGTTCTTCAATCAATAATTTTTAGTCTATCTATCATAGAGATAAAGTAAAATCTTGATCATGTTAATCTATATCTATTGTATTTAAGCAATCGTGAGAATTGTCTCTCTCTCTCTCTTTAAAAGTTTATCAATTTTCAAAAAATTCTTTTCCACCAATGGAGCTTATCAATTTTCTTTTAATCTCTTTGACATCAAATACAACTGAATTCATCTCCATCTTCTCTTCATAAGGAAGAGAAAAAGTCGTTAAAAAGGGTCAATCTATTTTATTGTTTATTAATGGTATTTTCCTTTATAAAAAAGGAATTTTTGCTCTTCCCTTCCTAAATAACCATTTTTCCTTTCCATTTTGTTCCTTCTATTTCCAACCCTTTATAAGTATAAGAAAAGGGAAAAAAGGTAAAATATTACTTTAGTTTGAAATAAATCAGTTATTTCCATACTCGAGGGTCATTAGAGGAGGGAAAGTAATAAGAGATGAATCTATTTTTAGATATTTTTATAGCTAACGAAAGGAAGAGTGGACTAGCTGTATAGACCTTTATAAAATACATAATAATTAACCCGTGCCTCTCTTTTCAAGACTTTTATCGTCTTTGATAAAGATTACTTACTATAAATAGATATACGCACATTTCAGAATAGAAGATAAAATATACACTACTTCATTTTTATTCGTAGCAATGGTATGTTCCCCGATCTGGTGTGGACGAAATTTAGGCTATTTCAACGAGTAGGCTTATTCTTATTCTATAGCTATATTGAGTTATTTTAAATCCTTTGGGTAAACCTGTAATACCTCTACTATGAGGTATAGAGGAACCGTATCATCCATTAAATTAAACTCTATACTAGCTCTTCAAACAGCTTCCCCCCACCAACATAGATTATTGGGTTTAGATTGAAACAATTAATCATTCCTAGATAATCAATTATCAATATATAGTATTTAAATTTTCATCTATACCACCCATAATTTCCACCCAGTTTTTCTCCCTTTTTTTCTCCCCTTCTCTCTCTCTCTCTCTCTGTCTCTCCACTATATTTATCCTTTTTCATCCATTTCATTTAATTGAACTAACTTAAATAGAAAGAAAGTATAGGAGAAATATGAGGGAGTAGAAATGGGAGTAGAAGGAAAGCGGTAGTGGATATTTTCTTCTTATTTAAATAGTTTCATCAATTTCCTTAATAATACGGCTTACTTTCGGAAAATTAGGGGAATTCAACTCTGAATTAGGCCTATAATTATAATAATTATATTATTAATGAAAAAAATAAAATATGCTCATTTAGTAAATATAGAAAATGTTGGAGAAGGAAAGTGAATAAGAAGGTAAGGGGAGAACTAGATTCTTCATTGGTCCGTATTATGTACAACTATCATGATAGTTGTTTATAAACTAATAGCATACCACTATTGGCATTAACCTGTAATTAAAAAGAATTGAAATTGTTGGGGAAAGTATGAGGAGAAGGTCACCGAAAGATGGAAAAGATAGGCTAAAGAGAAACGAAAATGACTGTTACGCCCCACTTTTTTTTAGTCTGAAATTTAGGTCAATAAAAAAGTAATTAACATAATTTTCAATCTTTTATTATTTCAATTAATCAATTCGTGCATGAATTTATTGAATTTGTCCTATAATTAATAGGAAAATATGTCAAATTTTATCTTTTTAGAATCAAGTATAGTTTGAAACTAGTCAAAAGAGAAGAAAAATGTTGCCGTAAGTCTGAAAGATGATGATAGAAATGGTAATAATATTAATAATCAGCAAACTAATTTCTTACGTACAGTAACATTATCTTTCTCATTTCTTTATTTCCCTTTCCTTCTTTTGCCTTCTGCTTAAAGTTTACTTTTGGTAGATTTACTTTCGTTTATAGCTCTTTCCCTCAGTTTTCTTCTAAGAATCTTACCGCTTTGTGATTTTGGGATTTCGTCGACAAATGAAATTCCTCCTCTTAGTTGTTTGTACGACGTAAGTCTTTCTAAGAAAACATATCAATAAAACAATAACGATAATACGTTTTTATCATTTTCATATCTTTTAGAATAGTATACCTTTCACATAATCGTTAATTTCTTCTCTCTTTAGACTAGGATCTTTCTTGACGACGTAGGCTTTTGGTACTTCTCCAGCTCTATCATCTGGAATGCCTATTACACCAACATCAAGAACTTTTGGATGATTTAATATTACGGATTCGAGTTCGGCTGGTGCTATTTGAAATCCTTTATATTTAATCAATTCCTTTATCCTATCGATTACAAAAATATATCCTTCTTCGTCAAAATAACCGATATCCCCAGTTTTAAGCCATCCGTCCTTAGTTAGAGTATTCCTAGTAGCCTCTGGTTTTTTGTGATAACCCTTCATAACTTGTGGACCCTTCACCCATATTTCTCCTGCCTCTTTTACACCTTGTACACGCTGATTTTCCGGATTGACAATCTTCACATGTGTATTTGGTATTAGAAGACCTGAACTTCCCCGTTTATAAAATTTCAATGTTGCATAAGATACTGCAACAGTGGTCTCAGTCAAACCATAACCTTGAATTAGGTTAGGAAGTTTAAGAATATTTAAAAATTCTCTTTCCGTCTCTTTAGTTAGAGGTGCCGCGCCAGAACCAACAGTTTTTACGGAGGAAAAATCAATGGTTTTGGCTCTCGGGTAGGATATTAAAAAGTTCACAATAGGTGGAACAAGGGATAAAGTATGAGGCTGAAATAAATTGAGATTAGTGCATCGATATATTATTTTTTTTATCTTATCAACTAACTCTGTATTTTTCTATACAGTCTAAAAACAAATCTGGTATGAATCTTTTAAAGATAATTTGGGTAGCTCCTTGAAAGAGACCGGCAACAAGAGTACCTTGTAGTCCGTAGGCGTGGAAATATGGCAAAAAAGCTAACTTATTAGCATTCTCTGGTTCATAATCGGGTGCATATTGGGGTTGGGAGAGAGCTTGAAGGATAGAAGTCATATTTTTGTGTGTTATTTCAACACCTTTAGGTAATCCAGTTGTTCCACTACTATAAGGAATTATAGCAATATCCTCATTTGGATTAACATGCAAATTATTTCCCCTGAAAGCCGATCCGTCGTCAGTAAACATCTTATGCAAGCTAGTACAACCAGGTATATTCTTGTCATCAGAAATGAAGATTTGTTTAATATTTGGATTTAAAGAAGATCTGACTGTCGGTAAAAGTTCAGAGGTAGTAAAGACATAGGATGCCGAACAGTCTTTCAACTGATGTTTAAGTTCATCTGTGTTCAATATTAATAACGAAATATAAATGGTATAATGAAATAATAATGAACAAGGCAGAAGGTTCTCACTTACAAGATGTATATGCGAAATTTGCTGGTGAAATTGTAAGTCCTGCCGTTATACAGGCAACAAACATAAGAACGTATTCAATGCAATTTGGTGCAAAAAAGCAAATAATTTCCTTTTCAGAACATCCCATCTTTACTAATGAACTACTAATTTTCTTATATAGAACGTTTAATTCTCCAAAAGTTACAGTTCTTTCGGTTTCAGCATCAATCTGAATGATTTATTCTTGATTAAACTAGAAATAAGATTATTATGTACATACCAATGCTTTAAGATTTCCATCATGGGCACTCAAAGCTCCTATAAAGGCTTCGGCCATTGAAATATTCATCGGTTCATAATTGGGGAATGGACACGATAAAGATCCATCAGGATTTATAATATTCTTTTTTAAATCCACCTAGATCAAAGTTCATAATATAGACACCGATTTATATTTGAAAATTCAAAGACAAACAATCGAATTATTCAATAATCTCTATTTGCTAATTAATGTTCATAATCTATTTATCATCTGTAATATAAATTTTACATATTATACATCGTTTTTACCATGTTTCTACTCCCTTAAATCAAACTTTTCTAATCTATTATCAATCCTTTGTTAATTCTTGTTAAAAAATCTATTTCAAGAGAGGTTCAGCTCGATTAATTGAGAATATCTCATTCTATATTGATAAATTAAGGCCGTAATATTGGTTGATGTCTATTAAAAGACCAGCTGCTTGTATTTTCGGTCAAATTCCATTTGTTAAGCTTTATGATTACTGGTGATCTAAATTTTGCCTCTTCATATTGAATCATATTGAAAAGCTCTTAACATTGCTGTTTTCTGTTATTTTCTCTTTAATACTTTTTTTTTTAATTAATTTTTGTAATAAAAGTAAATTATTATTATTTTATAGAAATAATAATATTATTATATAGAAATTAGCAATGTTTTATTCCATTTATCTTGACAATCTAGATAATAGATGGCGTTGTGAAACTGGGAAGGTCAAGGCCAATTTAAAAAAAAAAATATTAAAAAATAAAAGGGGACCCGCTTTTTGAACTGTTTAGATTCTACAAGAAATTCTATTATAAAGAAATATTTAAAAATGAGCTTATTTGTGGAAATAGTAAAGTTTAATTCCCAAACAAATGGACGTGATAAATTATTTAGGTTAAAGATGCCTTTTAACTTTTCTATATTTGAAATTTTAATATAAACATTTGTAAAAAGGTGTTCTTTATGTTTTTCCTTCTCTTCTATAGTTCTATTTTTTTTATACATATACAGACTTATCCAATATTTTTCAAGATTCTGTTCATATCATTCTCAAGATTCTATGGCTGTCAAGATGTCCAATTTAGAGCAGGCAATGAGCTCAACAAGGAAAGGTAAGGAGACTAATTGCCCGAGGTTACTCTGTTAAAGGTCGGAAAGTTGAACTGATTAAAAGATACTAAGTACTAGTAGTTAAAAAACTCAAAAAAAAGACAGAAAAGTAAAGACAAGGCTCAAATATAGAATTAGTAATAAATAAGGAAGATTAAGTGTGATAATAGAATATTCTATCTGTTCCTTTCAGCTCTTAGACTCGGAAAAACGTTGGATTTTCTTCTGGCTACCAAAAAATCATTAAAACTCTCCGACCCTCTTCATAAAATTACCATTACAGCGAGCAAAATTTCTTTAGCTGTGTACATGTTGGCCGATCACGTAACCTGGTTTGCAAAATTGGGTCTTATAAAGACTGACACTACAAAATGGTCTCATAGGGCGTTTAAATTCTGGCTTCTATCAATAATATTTAATTTAGTCAGAGATTTATACGAATTATGTAACATTTATATTAATGAACGTCATCGAAAGAAGACGCCTAATACATCCAATTCTGGTGTTTCGACATTCAAAAGAGCTTTAAAAAGACATCCGGAAGTTGCTGTAGACTTTTTAAAAAATTCGGCTGACGTTGTAATTCCATTATCTGCTCTGGGCTATTGCAAATGCGCAAATAAGGGTATTACGGGACTTTTAGGCGTCATCAGCTCCTTGTCAGCTATTTGCGCTATTGTGGCTCCATCTTTGAAATTATCACCAGCATAAGTCAACCATACAACTAAAGAGAGAGAGAGAGAGAGAGAGAAGGAGAGAGAGAGAGGGAGAAAGAAAGAGAGTAAGAAAGAAGAAAGTTGATAAGTTTTATAATATTTCATGATTAAAACCAAGTTTGAATTTTCAAGACACGATTTAATTTAAGTTTTGAACATTTAATTGAAACGCCAAAGAAAATGAATACAAAAAAAGAAACATAATTTATCTTATTTATAAAGAATTGAATAGCAATTTTCTTATAGATTATTCCACTGTCTATTTATAAATACTGTAGTCCAACTAACTTTATCAATGGGCTAAAATTATAGATTAAGAATATTCTATGGTTTTTAGTCTTTTATCCAGGAAATTGATCAAGATCTTTCTATAATCGACAACTCCTTAGAGGAAAGCTTTAAGTCATTAAAATTCCCAAGATGTGAGAAAAGAGAAATTCAGAGAGCATCTGGTTTGTAATCATTTAGCGAAAACAAAACTTACTTTTTGTCCCGAATTACATTCCAAGATGATAGCTCTTTTCATCTAATAGAAGCGCCGCCTATCTATTTAAGATATTGGGAACTCATCGACAAAATTGTATTCCTTTGAACAATTGGTTGATGAAAAAAAAGAAAAAGTCGATAACAAAACTGCAACAGTAAACTGTTTGATTTGTAAAACATCAAGAATGAGAGCCTTTTGTAGGAAACCTTCTCGGGTACAGTCAACAGCCCTCATGAAAGTTGGGTGTTCGGCTTTGGCTTCTAAAAATACTTTGTATTCTGAGGCTGTTCTCTAAAATCCTAACAAACAAGTAGAATAGGAGAATATATAGTATTATTCCTTCACCTTCTACTCGTCAATCTACTAAATTCTGTAACCGAGCTGAAAGAACCATAACTAATCAGATATAGCTATTGGCGTCTTTCTCTTTCATGTTTAGAATAAGAAATTAATTTAGACGCTTTTTCTACTTCACAAATCATAAGTAGACAATTATCCACTTTATGCAAATTTTTACTTAATTTTTTTTCCTACGAACTCTTCACACTTCTACTCCTTCTCTTCTTCATTAAAGCAATTTGCCTGACAAACTACACCTTTTATCTTATAAAATATTATGTAATACTTAACATTTTACATTGTTTAATCAAAATCTTTAAATTTATATTTTTGTTTAGCAATAAGTCTTGATCGTTGTAGATTTTGTCTTCTAATTATTTTCCAATAATAAGAGTCATTAGGGTCAAGTTCTTCTGGTGGAGTAGCTCCTCGGTCCAATCTCATCTTCCATAGCCACTCGGGATATTCGCTATCGTCCTTTAATTTTGGATCTTCACCTTCTATATATATGTTTCCACCGCATAATTGACTTGTTAATTTCGCCTATATGATAAAGATATTAATTATTAATGTGTAAATTAATTATCTTCAAAAAATTAAGAAAAGTAGTTTCTTATTTTCCTTATTAAAATTCCACTTTAACTAGTAATATTACAAATTAAATTTTGCATAAATTATAACATAGTGTTAAATTGTACTGCTTTTGAAACAAAAGAATGAACGAAAAGGCAGAAAAGAGAATAGAAATTTTACCGCGTCCTCTTCCACGACCATTCGTTCCTTTTTTGGCATTCCCGCTCCAGCCAGGCCTTTACCTTTGAAAAAAAACGTTGGAAAAAGGGTAAAGTAATTTGTTTTATTGCTTACCGGCCATCGATTTTGCTGTGCGAATGCTAATAAGGAATAGGTTTGTTGAACTTTTACACAACTTAGACACGTTCATCTTTTAACCTTAACCTTGAAAAATAAAAGATTCGAAGATAATTTCCTCGAATTACATTCATCTAAAAATTTAATCATTAAATAAAAAATAGATCTTTCAGGAAAAAAGTTGTTGATCGGAATTTTTCGTACGAAAATAACGATTTCATCTACCGGAAGTCCAGGAAAGGATTGCAAATAAGCACTAGAAATTCGTTTAATTACTACCCGCTTAAGCATTGTTATAAGTTCAAAGAAAACTATTATCGAACATAAAGTTGTCGTCTATGCAAGCGTTTTAAATAAAATGCTTGACGGAATCTAAAAAAGAGAGCTTAAGAAAAATCAGTTATGCCCCGTTATCAGTCGTCTCAGTTCTACACCGTTCAAATAGGAGATTCAACATTTACCATATTGAAAAGGTAAAAATTTTAACTCTTTATAACTTAATTATGATCAATGACGGTTATATCAACGGTAAACAAACGTTTTTAATTTAATTTTTACGGAAAAGCATGACAAAAAAGGATTTTATCAAATAGCTTTAGATATTTGAGGGATTTTTTTTTTTATAAGAACTTATTTATTTTATAAATATCAGTCTACTTATACAAAAGTTACTACAGCTATATGAAAAAGAGTTATATATTTGTTTATATCTCTATATAATCAATTAGTGAAAATCCTAGACCTGCATAAATGATTTTGTCTTTAGTCAGAAGTTTTAATAAAGTAATTTATTCAAAAGCTTTAGAAGTATGATACACTCTTTAATTATTAAATATTGCATTATATAATTTAGTTTACTTTAAAAACAACAACATCAGTCATGTTCATATTTGAGCATATTTTCCACGTATCAACTCTATAATAACTATCAATTTTGAATATAAGAAATTCTATAATTATGTTTTTTATATTTACAGTATATATTAAAGATAATCGTAACGGTATTAGTAATAAGTAACTATTAAACAAATTACATAAACAGATACAGTTGCTAACATAACAGATTGTGTACGAAATTCATTTTTTTTTTTGAACAGGTATCAAAATTTAAAGACTATTGGTTCGGGAGCTCAAGGAATAGTTTGTGCCGCATATGATTCAGAATCCCTGCGAAATGTCGCTATTAAAAAGTTAAGTAGGCCATTTCAGAATGTTACCCACGCTAAACGAGCTTATAGGGAATTCGTTCTAATGCAGTTGGTTAATCATAAGAATGTAAGAATTAAATAAATTTTGTAATCTCAATAATCTTACTGTTTGTTTTTGTTTTATTTATACGCTTATATATAGATTATTGGATTGCTGAACGCTTTTACACCCCAGAGAAGCCTTGAAGAATTCCAGGATGTGTAAGTAATTTCCTGATTAATTGGGCTTTGAATCTTATAGGATTTTCTTATTTTTTATTCTCCATAGAGAAAATAGCAATAAAAAGGAAAAATATTATGCATATTATGCACTGTACTTTCCCCTCTCCCTATATATATATATATATATATACAGTAGTTAAAGTATGACTATAAAGCACATGCTTATACGTCTAATAATAGAGCATGAATGTTTGTAAGAAGACATATAATACTTTGTTTATCATTATGATATAGAACAAAACAAATCCCCAAGGGGGGCTATTATGTCCTTGATTGATTTTTTAAAATGCAAATAGCTTATTCCTGTATATTGTATGTTTTTAATTCGTGTTTGTGCACTTTAGCTATCTGGTAATGGAATTAATGGATGCCAACCTCTGCCAAGTTATCCAAATGGATCTCGATCATGAGCGAATGTCATATCTTTTATACCAGATGCTTTGTGGAATTAAACACCTTCATGATGCTGGCATTATACATCGCGATCTCAAACCTTCAAATATCGTTGTTAAAGCCGACTGTACATTAAAAATTCTCGATTTTGGTCTTGCGAGAACGGCCGCTACCTCGACATTTATGATGACACCCTATGTTGTAACAAGGTACTACAGGGCTCCAGAGGTGATACTCGGTATGGGATATGCCGAAAATGTAGATATTTGGAGTGTTGGTTGTATAATGGGTGAAATGATTAGAGGTGGAGTTATGTTTCCCGGTTCTGATCACATCGATCAATGGAATAAGATAATTGAACAATTGGGCACCCCAAGCCGATCTTTCATAAGCCGCTTGCAAGAGACAGTACGAAATTATGTTGAAAACCGCCCTGTCCATAGAGGATATTCTTTTGAACGTCTATTCCCGGATGTTCTTTTTCCGCAAGATTCCAGCGAACACGCCGGATTAAAGGCTGCTAATGCGAGGGATCTTTTACAAAAGATGTTGGTTATTGATCCACTGAGGAGGATATCAGTTAAAGACGCACTCAAGCATCCATATATCAACGTTTGGTATGATGAAAGTGAAGTGAATGCTCCTCCACCTCCCAAGTACGATCACGCTGACGAATGTGAGAAAACCGTAGAGGAATGGAAGGCATGTATCTATCATAAGGTGGAGGAGTATGAAACTCTGTCTGCCGGATCATCTGCTGGGGCTGGTGTTTAGGAAAGTGTCTAGTCTATTCTATTTTTCCGGAGTGGATCTTCAGTCTCCTCAAAACTTTCCTAAATGTTTTTTAGAAGATGGATTAAAAAAAAAGATGAAGAAGAATATTTCCATTTTCTAACTAGTTTTGCGTGTATATCGTATAGCTAACGTACAAAGATAATTAATAATTATATACAAAATGTTCAAAAAATGTAAAAAAAATATGTATATAATTCATAAATATATTCATAAATGTACATGTTTATATTTATATGTTTATATATATATATATACATATATATATATAAATCTATCAGTATAAAATCTTTCATAAATGTTTATATATACTGTTAATGTGATTGCTCACTGCAATTTTATTCCGTTGTCGACTCGTTTTCCTAGAGGCTGTGTTTACTTTTTTTTATGAGAAAAGTTAAATGTTTGACAGTTCTAAAACTCTGGAGAAACCAAAACCTTGTAGTAGGAGAATATGAATATCTGAATATATCCAATACAATACTGTTTATTGGCCATTACTTGATTGTCAAGGACTTTTAACGGTAAAAAAAAACATATATTAAATCTAGTTTTCTGTTAAAATAGTATTAGAACTTGAACAAGGAGTTGACTTAACAATAACCTTTAAATGTTAAACGTAATTATTTATATGATACATTAATTTATCATTAGTTCAGCAAGTTTTGTCTGAAGTTGGACAACCTTGGTTAAAGCACTCTCTTTCTCTTCAACCATCTTCGTCAATTGTAACCTTTGCTGTCTAATAACATCTTTTAGATCTTGTACACTACAATTCTCGTCCAGTAATTTGTCAATATCTTCTTCCCTCTTCTCCTCGGGAAAAAGCTTCCTAGCCTTTTTTATAATATAGGCAGTCGCCTTCTGGCGATTGGGTTGCGTACAAGCTAACAAGTCAGCGTCATCGATTTCCGGTCTTATGAAATATGAATCAAAAATTAGAGATAAATTCTCATCATTCATGAGATTTCCATCGATTACGCTAACTTCATTCAGAAAGAGGCTTAGATAAGACAAGATATAAAAGTTGCACAAAGGGATCCTGTACAGAGTATTTTGGAGTTTAATAAAGGCTATTGTCTCGTTTTCGTGTAACGTTCTTTGCATAATTTGCATTACTTTTTCATAGCAGTTAAAAGGTATTAAAGGTTCGGGTAGGTCTCTCAAATATCTCTTTAATAGAGAACAAACTGAATGAACGTCTGTAAAATCTCCTCTTTCTAAGGCATCTCTCTCTCCTCTGTCGAACGATTCCTTCAATTTCTCAACCATAGTCATCTTTCCAGATTTTCTAAATAAGCCTTGCGATTGTAATCCAAACTCCTTTATCTTTTTAATACATTTCCTCACAATGAATGGAACGGTTTCATTCCTCTCCCGCTCGAATAGATAGGCGTCCTTAAGAGTGGCTCCAAACATACCAGCTCCGCAATCCGGATAAGCAATTCTTTTCATATCTCTCATCCAATCGTCCCTATCCCGTTCATCGTCAAAAATTAGTTTTATGTCCTCCGGACTGATGAGTATTTGATTTTTCTCAAAAGCTTGAAAATCACCGTTTTTTATAGAGAAATTTTCAATATTGTTTGCTGTAGAATTCTTACGTTCCAGAAGTGAACCATCCGACGTTAGAACAAAATACGACTTGACTGAACCTTTCTTTGAGCCTATTTAATAAATTTTAATATATTATTGATTCATACTATTGAAAAACAGGCGTAATAATAATAAAAATATACAACTAACAGAAAAGATAGACAAGTATAAAACAAAAAAAAGCATATTAGAGAGAGAGAGAGAGAGATAATGAGAGAGAGAGAGAGATAGAAAGAAAGACAGAGAGAGGATAATATAGAGGTATATAAAAGATGGAGAGAAACCAGATAGATAGGTAGATAAAACGTTTACTCAAAACCTTCTTATCCCTTTATTTATTTTATATATATCTATATATTAATAGGAAACGATATAGTCTTGAAAGCTGTCTCTTTTTTTTATCTTTATCTGATAAAACAGCAACAGAGATAAAGGCAATCGTTCTGTATTTATTCAACTGGCTTTTTTTTTTCTTTCATTTTTTTTTATTAATACAGTATATCACGACTATGGTTTATTATTAATTTTTTTCAACGTAGATCAGTTATTCATATTATCCTTCCTAGTAAACTGTTGGCAAGAGAGAGAGAGAGAGAGAGAGAGAGAGAGAGAGAGAGTGAGAACTGATAGAACAGGAAAAGGATAGAGAAGATAATAAATATAAGAAATATACTATAAGATAACAGATTAAAGTCAAGTGCAACATTATAAGTAGTTAAATATTACCTTTCCTCCTTTCCAACCATCCTGATCGGACGCAATGTTCAGTCATTTGAGAATATTTTTCAATATTTTTTTCTTACTTTTCTTGCCTTATACACCTAATCGAAGGCCTGCTAAAATAAAAAAATCCATACTCAAAAGCATACAAATACATACACATACACATAAACACACACACAAACATAGACATGTAAATGTATATATACAGTATATATATACGTCTTTGTTTAAAGTGAATTTATAAGCCTATGGTAACTGCAAAATAACATATTGATATAAATAAATTTTCTATTGATTTAATTAAAAAAACTTACTAAATTAAAAATTAATTTTAATTAATAAATACAAATCTATTTTAAATTTATAGGATTATTAATATGGAGGACAAATCTTATTGTTAAATGTCTCTCTCGCTCTCCTTAGGCCTACTATACTATATTGTATATTACGTGTATGAATATATTGAAATAGTTAATCCACTTATTAAAAGGTTTGTTGTACTTACTTGTTCTTTATATTTTTTTATGTAAATCTTTAATCTTCGTCTGAACAGTTAAATAATAGTCCTATTTTTCAATGTTAACTAATTAATTAATGGCTAATTAGTGGAAATTATGAACATTTTTAAAGGTTTGACCTCTTAAGAGCCCACAATTCACTATTCATCGTTGCCTCAATAGCTTATGAAAAAAAATATATATAAAAATATACGCAAGGTTTTTATTCGACAACGACACCTATCGGCCATAAAATAAATATAAAATATTGAAAAATCCTTGGTGTTTAAAGTCTTAATTAATCATATTAATTTATTTAAATAAATAAGAATAATAATAAATAAATAAATATCAACTATTTTCCCAAATTCTATTACTTTTCGTGTAAAAATTGATACGTTATTTACCTGAATTTTATTTATTCTTTTCGACTGTTTAATATAAGAAAAGACAAATAATTGTTATCAATTTTTTATCTTATATCACTGCCGATAAGAAAAAAAAATGAAAGAAAAAAACTTGATGAATATTCATAAAAATAATTATTTATTTATATTTACTCAAGAAAAACTGATAATTTAATAGTAATTAACAAAAAGCTTGTTATTAGTAATTACTAAACCACTGTAAGAGAGAGAGAGAGAGAGAGAGAGTGAGATAGAGAGAGATAGAGAGTGAGTGCGAAGATTAAATGAAAACAGATTAAATTATTTGTAAAAAAAAAAAAAGAAAAAGAAGAAAAAACACAAGTTTTAACTCACTGAGGCTTAAAGTGTTGTTTGGTAAATTGGGCTATGAAGCTCTGATTCAATAAACATGTATAAAAATATATACAAATCATACCCGCAATTGTGAAACACAAATACACTGTCGTGCTTTATAATTTGTGTCTTTGCTATCCTCCATCATTTGAATGTTACTTTCTTGGAGAAAAAGCAAATATATACTTTTTTAAGACAGTTTTCAATATTTGATAATAAAAAAGAGAAGACAAAAGAATAATATACAATGCCAAATATATATATATAAATTTATATAGATATTTACGAAAAGATAGGCAATAGTTTCTGAAAGAAAAAGCACAGCCAACAAGGGAAGGAAAAGAGACCAAAGATAATAAGAATATTTTGAAAGATTCGCCTACTTAATAGAAAGAAAGAGAAACATATTAAGATTAACGTTATAAACGCCCATAAAAAAACATAAAAAGGAAATACTGAAAAATAGAAATGTACATAAAATGACAAAGAACTTAATTGAAATAATAGTAGCATCCTTTAAAAGGTATTTATCTTCTTTGTTATTGGTTTTCTGCAAATATGGCAGGATTTTAAAGGTGTTGAACAAATGGAACAGGCTTGATGACCGCACATAAAAGTTATATTTTTCTCTCGTTCCATACATATATTACAAGTTATTGTATCTTCTAGACTTCTTATTTTTTCTTTATAATAATCGATATTTTCGTTCATCTCTCTTTCTAAATTATCGTGAACCTTTGATGTAATTTTAACATGACATTCTAAACAAGTTTTCAGTTTTTTAGAGCAATCGAAACAAGTTATCTTATGATTACAAGGCTCCAACGTTACATCGGGCCTTGTTTCCTCACAAATACGACATACTTTGGCGTATTTCGAAATAATTTTTTGTGATTTTTCATTTAGTTTATGCATAGGAGTATGTCCAGATGAATTTTTTACATCTAAATTACAGCCATTTTTCACTAAATAGCACGCTAGAAGTAAATTCTCCGGTCCTGAATAATCAGACAAGTTCAAATCGTCCTATAATAGGAAAAAAAAAAAGGTGTATAGAGAATAGATATAAATATTTGATTACTTTTAATTTCATCCAACTATCCGTTGTTACATTTGACCTTAGCGAATTCATTTTCTGTTGTGATTGTGAATTCAGTGCCATATGAAGGCATGTATCTCCTCTATCATCCTTTTCATCGATACTTGCCCCATTCGTTATTAGGAAATGAGCTACTTTGATATGTCCTTGCGAACAAGCCAACATGAGTGCATTTTGTTTCTTTTTATTCTCAATTTTAATATCGGCCCCCTTTTGAACGAGGAATTCAACTATTGTAAAATGTCCGTTTAAAGAGGCAAGGTGTAACGGTGTAAATCCATCATCCTTTTGCTTATTTAATAATACAGGTTTGTGCTCGCATATCGTCTTTGTTGCAGTGATATTACCCTTTAAAGAGCTTATATGCAAAGAATTAAAGTTTTTTTGATTTGACAAACTCATATCAGCGCATTGTTGAGCTAATAGGAAATTGGCAATTTTCCGATAATCTTTCATAAGTGAATTATGAAGAGGAGTGTTCATCAATCCATCCTATATACATAAAAATAAATAGATAAGTATACATATTGTTGGAAAATAATCAAAATATAATTAACCTACCCTCATATTCATTGCTTTTGGAAATTTATCGACAAGAATTCTAACTAGATCTGGAGAATTCTTTTCAACAGCTATATGCAAAGGAGTACTCTGTTCTTTATTCACTTTATCGAGAGCAGCATTCTTATCTAATAAGATTTGACATATTTCCAGTCTACTGTTATATAATGCGAGGTGAAGAGGTGTGCTTCCTTCTTCGTTTTGTTTATTTACATCAGCACCAGCTTCCAATAGTAAAGAGCATATTTCTACATTTCCCGTAATGGATACTAAAGTATAGAAAACATTTTTTTGTATATAAATATGTATAAATATATCAAAATGATTGAATTATATTACAAACCTTCGTGAAGAGGAGTATTGGAGTTTTTATTAATTGAATTGACCTAAATTTCGAAAGAGAGAATGAATAGATTTATTGTGATGAATGAAAAGAAATTACTACTTACTATATTTGGAGATTGTTGCGTTATATCACGAATTATAGCTATATTAGAAGAGCTAATAGCTTTGAAGAATTTTTCTCTTAGAGCCATTTCTAATAAATCAAATTTAATTTATATAATTTATGAGAAAAGAGAGAGAATTTTCATTTTTACCTCCGTGTGAACTTGTTTCAGAACATCTATCTTGTTGGACACTTTCATCGAGTTTTACTAATTTCACATTCGATGGATTAAATGTCCAATTTTGGTCATCAACCTTCACTCTTAGATCGCCATCTGCATAAACTTTTAGAACTCTACCCCTTTTCCCTAATGCCTAAATAGATAGTTTTATTCTAATTAATAAATGAATAAGATAAACAAAAAATAATTTACTTGAATCATTTGATCTGTCCATTCACCGTGTCCTTTCTGAAATTGTTTCACTATTCTCATGTCGTTGTTTATTTCGACCACGTCGTTTGTTTTAAATCGATTAGAAACACTGACTAGAGTAAGAGCATCCGGATGAAATGTCCAACGATTTTGAATATCAGGATACTGAACTCTTATATCACCTTTGTCTGTAATTCTATGTACAATTCCTACTTTTCCTAAGTACTGATTGTAAAAATACAAGATTATTTTTCACTCAGATGATGAGTAATAGCAATAAACATACTTCTCCCATTCTGGGATTCCAGCCGCCATGACCGTCCTGCATCATTTTTAATACTTCAATATCTAAATCTACTCTCACTTGATTACCAACTTGAAATCTGCATGATGACGATTTTAAATCGTCTCTGATATCTTAAATAAACGAAAAAGCTTAAATGCACTGAATAACTCTACATATTAACATTTTATTTCCAATTCGATATTCTTACCTCCAACGCTCGGTAAATGAGAAGGATAATAATCTATCCATGGAGCTTCTTTTATACACGTTAAATCAACTTTCGCTTTATGACCCATCCTATAAACGTTCGTAACGTCGTTGTCCCATTTAACGTTAGCGACTGATCGAGAGCTTTCACTTTCCCAACCTCTAATATCTATTACTGTTCCTTCTTGTTTTCCTAAACAAAAACGAAAAGAAAAGTTACTAAAAGCAGCCGAATTTAATAGCAAAATGATAAAACATGAGATATAGTTATACTGTATATACAGAATATAAAAAAATATGATGCCAGTAAATATTTCCAGTATTGATAATAATTTTATATACAATATTATAATACTAATTCCTAGCTTTATTTAAACAAGTTTCAATAGTTTCTTTGATAATAGTTCTCTTAAAAAAAAATCATAAAATAAATATTGTTATTTTATAGTTTTATACAAGAACAATCGTCACATCCTGAACGTGATGACTAAACTGGTACAGGGAATAAATTACGTTTTTTATGTAATTCATTAAATACGGAGTTAAAATTCTTTATTTGAAATTCGGACAATAGCATTGCACGCCATTATGAATTGACTAGGAAACTATGAAGGATTAATAATAATTTTATCGGTGAGAAAAGAGCACTCGTTTTCTTCAAGTATTAATTGAAATAATTAACTGGGTCGAGGGATTATATTGCCTGTTTAATAGCATAAAATCGGCTATTGGTTTACTGTACTAATTGAACTGTTTAATTGCAGTTTTCTATAAATAGCTTTGTTGAATAGTTATTTATCGACATATCTCTTAAACTAGACACGGTTTTGGAGAAAAAAGAAACAATATCAATAATTTACCATCTTGGTCGCCCCAATCCCAATCTATTCCTCTCACTACTCTTGCTCCAGGAAATACTCCTTTAGCAATTTTTTTAACAGCACCCGTTCTCTTTCCTACTTTAACTCCACTGCTCTTTGAATCAACAAATCTCAAAAATGAATGATTAATGTCGTGCTTATCCATCATATAACATTCTATGCAGAGGTTGACATCGGGACATTTAATACATTTGAATCTCATGCCTTCGATACCTCGTTGTTTAGATTCATCCACACTTTTTGTACATTCTTTACAAAGTATATTTGTATGTCGAACACCTGCGCCAGATAAAGAAAGGAACATTTATTTCCGTTATAATGTATTATAATTTAATATAGATCAAAGCGAAAGTAAGAACTAGATGGTATATATAAAAATTCGATAATTTTAAAATTTGTTTGCTTTATATACAAAAGAAAGCTTTGCTTTGGGATAAAGGAATATGTTAACTCATTTAAATAAAATACCTATTGTTGCGTTTTCAATCAATCGCAAATCATAGAATCCTTGGTAACCGGTTCTATAATTTGTCCTTGTTGAGCAATCCCAGTGAACTACAACGGTCTTATCAGGAGAAGAGTTACTTCCATTTTTTCCTATTTCTACTATTGTTCCAACAGATCCTTCACCATTATCCTGATCTTTCCATTTCCAATCTACACCTCTCACAACTCTCATTCCACATTCAGCCATGATCATGACTACATTTTCATGAGAATAAAAACATTATAATAATTTATAATAAGAATTAATTGTACACAATATCGTCTATACAGGGATTTGCGAATTATGGTAGTTTGGTCGAGATAAACGATAATTATCCTTTATGTCGATCTCTTACGATTATTCACTTTATCTTTTCGTGCTATTTTGAAAAATATCCAACAGTAAACTTAACGTTGTTAGACGTTTTTTAATTTATCACATGTACATGTACAACTGTTCAAAAAATGATTAAATCATTGATCAAGAGTCTTTTGAGCGATTATCGAAAAAAAAGATCCGTTTGAAATTTGCAAAGCAACGAACATTTATCGTATAAATCATAGTATTTCAGATATATTCTACAAATGTGTGAGAAAACAAAACCTTACTTTAATGTTATAGCTTCTCTGAAGCGCCTAAAACGTATATTAATGAACAATATTCACATATTGTTAAGACAGCGCCATCTAACCCTTCATAGTCGTTTCTCCGAAATAACCTTAAATAATTCAACACGTCTTCCAGAAAAGCTCGCTTTATGTGAATAAATACCCGTATCATTCTTTTATCTATCTATCCAATTTACAATTATGTTGAAAAACTAAAATATTTAATAAAGAAAATAGGATTTCTAATGATTTAATCAATAATTTGCCATATATTTATAAACTTATGGTGTGTCAGTATATAAGAGACTAATTTCTTCATTATCTTTATCTATGTATATATATTCATAATAGTAAATCCCTTAATAATTATGTCATAGTACACTATTCTTTTGTAGTGTTTACGTTGAAGGCTCTTTTCAATTTTAATTCAATCAATGTTTATATTACTGTGTATTTGTATTTTCCATTTTAAAGCTAACTTCCCAAAACGAAATCAAACCAAAAGTTTAACCAATTCCTCAAAAGTTATATAAAAAACAAAGAAAAACATCTATATTTATGTCGTTATGACACAACTTGTCCTCAATGTTTCCTTTGAATGATTTATATACTGTAGACGAGCAATCTTATCATAAAAATAATAAGGGGAAATTAAAGAGTGCTATTGAAGCTGTAGAAAAAAATATAGGCTTTTTAAATTGATACAATTATTCGAATTTCTCCTTTCACTATTTACATATAATGTTCTATAATGAAATGCAGATAAAATCATCTACTGTTTAAGAGGTTAATACCAAAGATGTGTATTGACTTTATATATTCGTTAAACAGATCAAATCTACAATAAAAAAAAACACAGATCTCGTTTATAATCAAACTTCAAGCTTCTTTATAAATTATCAAGTTAGACAACACAGTTAAGAGATATGCAAGATAGAATATATTGTACTGATTACCAATAAGCAATTAAGCTGAATTTTGTCCTTATAGCCAAATTGTTTTTTAAAAGTTTCAGGCTAATGGAACTTTCATTTCATCCTTTAAACATTTGTACTTGCCGCTTGAAACCTAAACGAAAGATATAATTAATTAATTAATAGTAACTTATAATTTTACTTACCGATTCAGTTTTTTCTACTTCCTTCCTTACACTTCTCTTTCTCTTGGCCATTTTAATTATCTTGAATAGTTAATTAAAGTTCATATATAATTTTATGTGACTGATATAACAATAAGAGAAAAACTTACCAATACCACAGCTATTAAAAAGACTATCGTTATAGCACAACTTCCAATAATTAGACCAATAAGACCCCATTTCGTTAGTACTTTATGACTAATCCAGGGAAAGACTATTTAAATAGTAAATAGAGTGAATATTTTAAAATGGAAAAAAATGACAAAAAATTCCTTACTACATATTGATGTTTTAAGACATTGGAAGTCATGTTTACAAACTCCGTTTGTACATCGTTTTTGTATCATGCAAAAATTGTTTTCTGCACATTTCACATTTGCACAAAGGTCTCTCTCTGCGCATTCACAAGTGGGACATTCATCTGAAGTGTAGACATTATATTTACATGTATTATTACATTTCTTATATTCGCAGATAGCTTTAGTTGGCTTCACACAACGGCAAGTTTGACATCCGTATCTATTGAGAAAATTCAAATTCACCATCTCTAATCAAAATTTGTTATTATACTTACTTGTCTTTCTCATAGCTGAAATCGCAAGGAAGGCAATTAACCATAGGACAAATCCTATGTGACGGCAAACATTCGCAAGTTTGACAGCCATTTTCGTCAATTTTATAACCATGGGAACAAGGTATACATTTGAACATTGGACATTCAAATGGTTTTGGTTTTTTAAGGCATTCACAAGTTTGACAGCCATTTTTATCAATTTTATAACCATTGGGACAAGGTGTACACTTGAACTTTAGACATTTATATGGCATTGGCTCTTTAAGGCATTCGCAAGTTTGACAATCCTTTTCATCATATTTGTAGCCGTGAGGACAAGAACGACAGCGGAATAGCTTACATCTATATCCATAGCAACTTTTACGGCAAGACTGTAGGCTTACATGATTATTTTCACTTTTCCCACAACCAGTATCAATAAACGGTAGACAATCTTTAACATCGTCATTATAATAATAGCGAGTTATGTTCTTTCCACAGTCGTCTTTAGTGTGTGGTTGAAAGCAAACACGTTCTAAAAGTATAAGAGGAGAAAGAGAACGAGGAGGAGGAGATGGAGGTGGAGGAGGGGCGGAAGGAAGAGAAGATGAAACAGACAAATGATTAAATCATAATATCCTAACAATATACGAGAGAATAAATACCTCGTTCATAGCATCTTGAATAGTATTCGCGTATTCCATTTTGGGTACGATAGCTGAGACGACAACCATATCCAGGAGGACAGTTTGCAACCTATAATCATTTTAAAATTAGAATTATTTCAATCAATAAATTATGAAATTATTACAAAAACGCTTACATCGCAAGGATTTGGTTTACATTTTGGTTTACAAGTATTCTTTTCAAAGGTTAATGGACCAAATGAACAACCAATTTCAATTTCAGGACATTTTCTACAATTATTCATCCAACATCGACGTTCTTTCATAAAAGTAAAAACAAGCTCATAACCTTCTTTGCAAGTGTGAACGTTAGCTGTTTCTTCGCAATCTTTGTCCAACATTACTGTGGGACTCACACCAAAGATGAGTACCGAAGTGAATACAAGAAGGATTATCTTCTCCATAGTATCAGCGATATATATTGGTTCTATATATGAAAAACTATATTTTAGTTTTAAATGGTTATTTTCTAATTAACTTGACTGTAAACAATCGTTTTTTGTTATTCCTTTACTTTCAAATTTTTAAGGAAGAATACTTCAATATTAGAAATATTTGATAAGACTTTATAAGTGATAGTAACCTGAGTGAAAGATAAGAGATACGTGAAAGAAATTATGTCATACCTTGTATTAAGAATCGAATAAAAGAAATAAAAGTATAAACGTTCACCAATTGCTTCTAAAATGAGTGTTTACAGACACAGCCTGTCACTACCTTTATAAATATATGGATTAAGTTATCTTCGTCACTGCCTGGTACCGCCAGATGTCTCGTCAATCTCATATATAATATCGCTCTGCGCGTATTATTTCCCTTAATTAATATTTGTGGTTTGTCAAGTTTTATTTACAAAATTTTTAATACAAAATATTATTTTTTTCCCATCAATTGAATTATTTTTAAACTTCACAATGTATTGCTATTCAAAGACTTATATAAAAAAGATTGAACAGTAATAATCTGCTATTGTAATGTTCAACAACTTTTTTAAAAATTGATCAGGCAATGAAAATTCCTTCAACTAAACAATAAAAAAATTTCTATGCCTTATTCACCGATAAAAATCTGTATTTAAATTCCATTGTGTATTCTTAGGATTTCAAAGAACGAAAAAGATCTTCCTTGAAAACTGGTTAACTAAACAATAACAATATATATCGTAAATTAATTAACTGATATATGTTATGAAAATGGTTGACTATTGAGTGTAATCTACAACTATTATAAGACGACTACCCTGTGTATAAATAGTAACAAGCTATAAAAATATTAATTTGTTGAGCGATATTATAGATAGCTCTAATATTCGAATGTCTCTGCAGTTATGATATTGATACAGAGAGCAAAGCATGTACAATGAACGGAAGAGAGAGAGAGTGTCGTCTCCTTAACATATATTATATTTAATGTACTAATACTTTATATAAAGTAAGACATAGATTTGTGTATACTTTCGTAAATTTTAAATACATATTTGCAGGGTTAAGAAATTCCATCTTCCTAGAGAATAATATTAAATATTGAATATAAACACATAATTGGAAAATAGCCATGAACCAGACGTAAAAATACATAAATATCCAATTAACAAATTAGATAAAGACATAGTCATTATTCCCTTGAAAAACTTGTTAATATTAATTACTCCTGATAAAGAGAAGTTATGCTAATGGATGTTTTGTATCATTCTTTAGAGTTTTATATTTTCCAGATGATATCTAAAAGAGATAAGTAAAAAGAAAGAATTAGAATATTCTTTATACTATAAAGCGAAACTATTAAAAATATTCCATACGAATGAAACTTTTGGTTTTTCATTAATGTATCTTCCTTTTCGAGCAATTTTAATTATCTAAAGTAGTAAAATTAAAACTGATGACTATCTATAATTCTAATTATGTAAAGAAATTGAAAAATAACTAACAAAAACTATAGTTGTTATTACAGCCGTCAAGGCAAGTCCAAAGCCAATAGCTATTGCAATCAAGCTTCTTGTGCTTATTTCTTTAATCTTTTTATGAATTTTCTCCAAAGGACTGTATGGTATATCTTAAAACGGAGGTATTTTAAAAATACAGAAAAAAAAGCATTTAAATCTTTTACTTACTGCGTCTTGGTATATCTTTTATCTGTCCTATCTGTTCGATATATTCTATAAACTCTCCATCTTCCACGCATTTAAAAATCTCATTGTAAAATCCGTCATTTAATATTTGTATTTTACAAATGTGCCCAGATGCACATTTCACATTTTTGCATGTATCAACCTTTGGACACACGCATGTGGGACATCCATACTTATCAATAGCACGATATTTGCAAATACTGTTACATTTCTTTGATTTGCATATAAGAGGTGTCCTTCCTTGACAAGACTTTTGGCAGTCATCAAGCGAACTGTAACCTCTAGGTCCAGCCGTACAACCTCTTTTATCAACTCGATCGTAAAAGTAATTAGGATTATCAATCTGAAAAGTTTTCCCTTCCTGGTCTATCTGTATACATTTCAATGCCATTGGCGCTTCAAGACATTCGCAAGTTTGACATCCGAATCTATTTGCATATTTCAAATTCATTTTTCACTTTATCTATAATCTTAATATAAACAAATATTCACCTATCTTTCTTATAACCTATAGGACAAACATTGCAGCTAATTTTAGAGCAGATTCTAGGTGAAGGAAGACACTCGCAAGTTTGACAATCCTTTTCATCATATTTATAGCCGTGAGGACACGAACGACAGCGGAATAGCTTACATCTATATCCATAGCAACTTTTACGGCAAGACTGTAGGCTTACATGATTATTTTCACTTTTCCCACAACCAGTATCAATAAACGGTAGACAATCTTTAACATCGTCATTATAATAATAGCGAGTTATGTTCTTTCCACAGTCGTCTTTAGTGTGTGGTTGAAAGCAAACACGTTCTAAAAGTATAAGAGGAGAAAGAGAACGAGGAGGAGGAGATGGAGGTGGAGGAGGGGCGGAAGGAAGAGAAGATGAAACAGACAAATGATTAAATCATAATATCCTAACAATATACGAGAGAATAAATACCTCGTTCATAGCATCTTGAATAGTATTCGCGTATTCCATTTTGGGTACGATAGCTGAGACGACAACCATATCCAGGAGGACAGTTTGCAACCTATAATCATTTTAAAATTAGAATTATTTCAATCAATAAATTATGAAATTATTACAAAAACGCTTACATCGCAAGGATTTGGTTTACACTTTGGTTTACAAGTATTCTTTTCAAAGGTTAATGGACCAAATAAACAACCAATTTCAATTTCAGGACATTTTCTGCAGTTTTTTATCCAGCACACTCGTTCATCTATAAAACTGCTAACAATCTCATAACCTTCTTGGCAAGTGTGAATGTTAGCTGTTTCTTCACAATCCTTGTCTAAAATAACTGTTGCATTCGCGAAGAGTGAAGATGCAAATACGAGAAAGATTATCTTTTCCATAATATCTGTGATTTCTTTTGTTAATGAGATATTTAAAGACTTTTATCTTCTTAAATTCCGAATGATTAAGAAAGAAAATTTTGTGTTATTGTCTATTCAACAAAATTTATTCAAAACTATTCAAGTCGTTCGAAAACTTTAAATGAACAAACCAATTAAGAAAATTAAACCTTTTTGGGGAAATATTTTCTGTGATTTCAAGTACAAAATGACATCACAGTGGAAGTAATTATAGATTGTCTGTACCTGCACCGCTAGAGGCCTCAAATTTAATAATGTAATATCATTCATACTGTTATCATATAGAGTATATATTTGTAATAATTTTATCATACTAATTCTTTTTTATCATTGTTTGATGATTATTGATTGATAGCATATATTGGAAAATTGAAATTGTCATTAATTCATTTACTGAAATTCTTATCTTTTTTAGTAGACGGCTTCTTAATTAAATTAATGATTCATTGTATTTTCCTTTTTATCACAAATATAGATTTAAGACAAGTGTTAATTAAATTAATTAAACATTAAACGTTTCTTTGCATTTATTCTTATTAATGATGAAATGAAAACATCTAGGCCAGTGAAACTTTTTGTTCATTCAATTTTACATATTTTCCAGATGTTACCTAAAAAGAAAATTATTTAAAAGTTTCTATTTATAGAATAAGATAAAAGTCTTCTTTCTTACGATGGAAATATTTTGTTTTCTATTTTTAGATCTTCCTCTTGCAACTTTAATAATCTGAATTAAATTTGTTCAAGATCATAATCAATCTCTAACTGAGATATAAAGTTAAAAAACAACTCACAAATAATATACTAGTTACAATGGCTATCAATCCCAGACCAAGTCCAACAGCTATAGCTATTATACCTCTTCTACTTGTTCTTCCAAATAATTCATTAAATGGATGCATCACTATAGAATTGTTAAATTAATAGAAACTTTTTAAAGATAGATATAGATGAGAAGAAAGTTTCTTACTGCATGTTATTTTTTGACGACAAATAGGGCTATTTATACATATTCCATTTTTACATTGTTTTTCTATTAAGCAATGATGGCGCTCTGGACATTTCAGATCGTCACAACCATCTCGGTTTACACATTCGCAAGTAGAACATTTGTTCGAAGTATAAATAGGAAATTCGCAAGTGTTATTACACCGTTCATTATTACACTCGTTACCGCAAAAATTTAAACAATCACTTTGACTAGAGAATCCAAAATGTCCGCATGGCCCAGATTTATGAGGCAAACAAAGATTCGATTGCGGATCATAAAAGAACTTTGGATTGCGATAGTAGCAAACCTTTAAACTTGATGATTTTCTTAGACACATATAAGGTATTTCTTTTTCTAAACATTGACAACCCTGACATCCGTTCCTGTTTATAAAATAAAATGTAACTGTTTCGTTTATTTTGTATTAAACCTTTGAAAAATATTTATTTTTTACCTATCTAATTTATAACCAAATTTGCATGGCTTACATTTGATTCTTAGGCAAGGTCTCTTTGTCTTACAATGACAAGTTCGGCAACCGTTTATATCGAGTTGATAACCATAAGGACAGTAAGAACACTCTAACCACGGACAATTTAATGATTGCGGTGAAGTTAAACTTGTACCACCTATAAGACAATCGGCATCTGTTGCGTTACATTTTCTGCACACTTTCTCCCAACATTGAAAACCAACTTTGAACACTGTCACCATTTTGTATCCGCTACTACAATTACTCATCATTTTGGATTTTTCGCATATAACATCGGAATCATAAATTGTTCCATTGGTTAGGGCGAGTATAGCAACAAAGGTGAGAATAAACGTCTTATCCATTGGTTTTATCTAAGTAGTTTTTATTAGAAAAGAGAGAATATTTTACAAAATGAAATATGTATTAATATAGTCATAAAAGTATTTTCTTTGTCACTTAAGATTTAATACCTTGTAGTAATTAATAAATTGATAAGTTTACTGCAAAATACTTATGATTTCAACGCCAATTCCTAGTTTTTAATTACATCAAATACCTTTAAAATTTTATATTATCACTCTTCTCTTATAATTTACGAGACGGTCCGTACAATAACTTTATCGTTCACGTGAGTTTTTATCGTATATTTAAAAACATTCTACTAATCTTTAATCAACAAAATTGTAAAACTCAAATAGGAAATAATTTAGAATACTATTAATGTTCTCTTTTTTTGCACAACGTTCAGTAAAAGGAAAACAAACAAGAAATGTAATATTGTTCAACTTTTTAAATTATTGAGAAATTTGCTGAGAATGTCATGTGATTTTTTATCATAAATTAAGCAATATCTGTTATCAGTAGATACGAAGAATCACACGAATATAAGTCATTTTTCAATTTTATAGCTTGAAGAAGGAAACTAAATATTATTTAAATTGTTCCGAAAACTGGTAATAATGTTTAATAAAAAACAGCTTAAATGACATTAATAAAAGACGCAAAATTTATTTAAGTTAATTTAACAAATTGATATAAGAAAAATATTTAAAAATTTTCATAAGTATTTAAAACTACTTTTTCATTAGTACATATCGTAAATTCAAGGTATACAAGGTGTTGAGCGATAAACAGGAATGTTCTGAGTTTGGGCATGAGTCACTGTGTTTTTTTGAAAACCAGAAATAGATAGTTTCAAAAGAAAATTGAAAGATTAGAATAAATTAGTTTAATGGAGCGACCTGTTCACAAGATTCTTTTACGATTTAACGTCTAAAATATTAATAAAGAATGGCATATGATTTGATTAAAAGAGTCTCGAAGGAAGCTAAAGGCAGATTCACTAAATCGTCAAAAACAGACGACAGAGTTTATGAAACTATAAAAGCAGTAGAACCTACTGTCGATATTCAATTGCAGAGCGAAATGCATTGTCATACCACAATATATGAAACAATAAACTATTGGTGGAGTAATGAGATCAGCTCCATTAAAGGTAATGGGGCAACTGCATCAGTTTATGAAGGACGTAATAAGGTGAAAAATTATTAAAATACTAAATGTAATATGAAAATGAAAGAAATGTGATATTCTATTTCAGACAACAGGAGAAAGGGTTGCAATAAAAGTATTCTCAAGAACAATACTCTCTCAGTATGATAGAAAAAATAGAAAAAGGGAATTTGCAGCTATGAAAGCGATAAAGCATAAGAATGTTGTTCAACTAAAGGGAATTGAAAGAGTATGTCATAAATGTTTTTGCTTTACTTTCGTTTTCAATCTTTCCATATTACAAAAAAATTCTTTAATTATTCATATCCATGTTCTTATTCTATCTTTCTAGATTAAATTACTTGAACAAGATGCTATTATCATGGAATTATGCGAATGCAGTTTAGCTACCCATCTAGCAAGACCGGAAAATCATTATGGACTTGAAGAGTCAGATTTTTTAACCGTTGTTGGCGATGTTAGTAAGTAGAAGTAAAATTGCAATACTATTACCATTTCCTAATTACATATTGATAATAATAAATATTAATGCCCCAGCCAGTGGATTGAAATATTTACGTAACTTGAAGTATATTCATAGAGATATAAAACCTGGTAATATAATGAGATACGTTGAAATGAATGGAAAGTAAGATAAACTATTGAATGTTATACTTTTGAATAATTTCATTGAGATATAACCATATCTTATAGAGTAACCTACAAGTTAGGAGATTTTGGAGCGTCTAGAAAGTTAGATGAAGGTGAAAATTTTCAATCTCTCTATGGAACAGATGAATATTTAGTTAGTAAATTATTTAGTTCTTATATGTATACTACTATGTTGTGTTTTTTAACGCAATAGCATCCGGATATTTATGTAATTGCAAAGCTTGATCGTAGGAGAAGTGGATCGTTTGATGAAAGTGTTGATTTGTGGAGTTTAGGTTGTACTTTCTATCATTGTGCATCGAATGAATTACCATTTAGGCCCTTTGGAGGCAGAAAGGCTATCGAAGCTATGTATGACTATAAAAAAAAAACAATAATTTTCTACATGCATTATTCTATAATACTTGTTCAAATTTTAGGGTGGAAATGCACGCTAAAAAACCTAAAGGTGTGTTATCAATGTATCAAAAATCTGAAAATTCTGAATTTATCACATCGGAGCATTTACCTCGAGATTGTAGACTATCGTCTTCTCTAAAGTCTTTAATAGAGCCTCTACTCGCCAAACTATTAGAGACGGATCGCAATGAAATTATCTCTTTCGATAGTCTATTTTATATTGTTGACGATATTATGACTAAAAGTCGAATACCCATTACAATAGTAAATCAACTGAAGAGCGATGTAATTTTTGTTCCCAATGAAAATACGTTTGTAATCAAATTAAAGAAAGTATACAAACTATAATAATTGTTTTCCTTATCAAATTACACAGCTTCGAAAAGTTTACAAATATTTTGTCAGAACAAACTTCAATTGATCCAAATAATTTGCTACTGATATGGAATAGTACTGTTCTCTCTAAATCGCATTCTATTGATACTACAACAATTACAAAAGAAAATCCATTATTAGTTTTTCAATTAAACTCCCATGGGATGAGGAACGATAAGACTGCATTGAATGATAAACCTATTCAACTCAAAACTCTGGAAAGGAAACGTAGAATTAATGTCGTTGATGTAAAATCTGATCTTAAAAACCTTAAGGAAATATCTATATCAGCCTACTCAGCATACTTATATATGACTCATTTAATAAGTATGTTTAGACAATGTCTTAATATACCAAATATTGTAGAGTAAGTAATTAATTGTTGATTATATACTAATATTTACTATGTAAAGTATATATTTATAAAAAAAAACACAGAGAATACTTTCAAAAATCTTCTATCCAACTGCACGAATTAGTTAAGAAGCTCGATAATGAATTAACAATAAAATCAAATTCCTTTGAATTAGTTACAATCATCAACGGATCCGAAAGTTGTAGTATAAATATTTCTGAAGAGTTAGAGCAGGTATCTTCGGAAGTAAACTACTTAGATAATAGATTAGAAAATGAGATAAAACACTTTGAAAGCCAATTTCAAAATCCTGAATATAGTAAAATGAAAGAAACTTTTTCCCATCAAAAATTTCCGGATTTACTTTCTGTAGAAAGTTCATGGTAAGATATTATATTACTTTTATTAATATCTTTATTGAAGCTATTGTTAAATTAGGGATTCAACTGTTTATCAAGTCTTTATGAGAGCGAAAACGTTATCAAAGGAGATTGAATGTTCGAATAGAAATGAAATAGAGAAATACAATGTCTTATCAGAAAGAAATTTGCTTATTACTAATATTATGAAATGTAACGAATACTTTAGAAAAGCCTTTCAATATTCTCAAGATTTACATCACTGCTTGAATAGCTACATAAAGTATTACTGAAATCTTTCATATAAAGATAGTAATTTGAAATTTCTATGTATTTTCAGATATATTGTACCTTTCTTAGAAAATTTAAATGATATTCAACAAAGTATTCAAAATATTCAACACAAAATCGAACTTTTGTCCGAACAATGCGATATTATAGTTCAAGAGTGTCTTTCCGCGAAAAAATGCAAATCTAAAGAGTTTAAATCACAGAGAGTCGAAGAAGTTGAAGCATTTTCAATGAGAATGGACAATATATGGGCCGCGCCGAGGAAAGTAGGTCACCAAAACAGATGGATATCTGTCAATCTTGACAAAGATGGGCAACAGTTTATGACTACAATGGATATAAGCAGTAATTACGATTCAGCTGAAGAAGAAGGGGAAGAAGACAACTATTACTGCTACAAAAGTCCACCCAAGCCATTTGCGAAGGAGAAAGAGAGCGACGATTCAGATGAAAGTGATACAACTCATGTGAACGACAACGATTTCATAAAGGAAGAAATAGAAAATATGTAAATATTTTATATATTCTTTCAAAAGTTCTTTTGCAGTATAGTTTAATTGTTATTATTAATAATAATTCAGATTAAAAGAGAGTAAAAACTGCCGAGAAAGCGACTATTTGGAAGAGAATGAAAAACTCAGCGAACAATTATCCCAACTGTAAGTAATTTATAATATTTTACGTTTGCAATCATAATAATATTTTCATTTTTTTCATATTTTATTAAAGAATTGAAAGCGTGAAGAATAGTAATCAATTCTCGAAATGAAACAAACAAATATAATGACTTTAAACCGTTTAGAAAAGAGAAAGACTAGTTCTTGATGCATTTACAACTAAATATTTGATTTAATTAAATTAAACTAATGTCTAAACATAAGATTTTGTATTATTCAACAAAGTTTTACATAAATTCATAGTTTTTTAGATGAAAAAAGCTAATTCGCATGCTTCTAGATTTAAAGTTTCTTTTATAAAAGTTTACATTTTACATTGGTCAGATAATTCTTTCATTTCCCTTTCTAATTCTTCGCAAATTGCGATTGTTCTTTCAACTGAAGGTGTTCTTTTTATTAGAGGTGATGCCATCTGGATAAAACTAGAATTCTCCCTTTCAGGTGGCTGTAATTTTTCCTGCTGTAAATTAATATTTGATGATTGCTCTAATCTTTGACGTCGCCTTTCAATCTTAGCGAGGAGAACGAGAGGGAGAGAGAGGTAATAAGAAGAATGTAAATATATTAATATTCTTTAAGAAAGATGAAAAAAATCAGATTACCTGAATTACGATTAATCGATAAATTAATAACAGTATGACTAGTGTATTTTTACAAGTGAAGAAGAAATTACTATAACTTCTAACTTGATAATGAATAATTAACAATAATCTTAGAACCAGAAATGGCAAATCTTGCATCAATATAGATATAATAATCCCATAAACGTCTGGTGTACAGCATCTATCGAAAATCTCTGATTTAACTTCGAATCTAGACGGTCTAACGACAATTCCGCAATGATCTTTCCTGGCCTTTAATTGATTGGAAATTTATTTCTCATTACTATTTCAATTTTTTAAATACGTACCTTTGTTGCTGTGAGTACTATTGTAAATTGGAGAAGCGACCAAGACCATATTCCTAAGATCATACAAGACAATAGCCTATTATATTTAACTGTTTCTTCTTTAAACGCTTCAAAAAATTCCACTATATCAGCTGCAGTTCCAATATATACAAGCAATAATTGACTAAGTTGATCTCTAGTCAATTTGCCTTTGGGAAGAATCCACCGACCTATAATAAGTAATAGAAGAAGAAATTGCTCAAGGACTGTCAGCCATTGTTCAGACGAAAGATTTATAGGAATTTTCACGGGAATATCCTATAAAAGAGAAAAGAAAAAGTGATAATAAAGTATCAAAAACATAAAATCCATTATTCCATCTCTCTCTTTCATTAATTGAATATTCCTTTTCCCAGTCTAAATTTTTAAATATACAATAATCATTGATATGATATTGTAATAATAAACAAATTACTGAACCTTAAATACACATGAATATTTTTTCTAATAGCAAAGATAATACGTTCAGGCTGAATTGGATACAAGTTTTTTACCTGATGAAATCCATATAAATTTCATATTTTTAATAATATACAGTCTATAAATATAGAAATGGATGATAAAATAAGAAAAATGGAATGAAAACGGATAGAAACCTTTAAAAAGATGTAATATAATAATATACTGTATATATTAACCGTGATAATCATTTGCATAACCTTTTGAAAAGTTTTCAAGCTATTTAAATACGCAAATATTACGATTCTGTTTTCTTAGCAAATTCATCAATTTCCATATTGAATTATTGAATTAATATAAGAACTGTATGAGATATATTTAATAATCTGAAATTCTAATTATTCTAAATGAATAATTATTAGTAGTGTACGTAAATATTCTCCATCAAACAATTGTTATTTACTAAGAAAACCAAATTTCACATGATTATTCATTTACTACTAGACATTAAGATGAAAATACTGTCCAATTATTCAACTATTTATATAATGTATTACTGAAATAATCGTTAATCCGTATCGTTTACTTACCCCTATTAGAGCCTCTAAACCAGTTATGTTTGGTACTGTTTCTATCCCAAAAAAGCTTGAATTATCCTTCCCACCCTGGACAAACAAGACAAACAAATGGTAGATTATTGATTTATACTATTCAAGTATACAGAGAATATGTTATACTCTTACTTCTTTTATCCTTTTATCCAGCTCGAATAATTCCAAACACCAGATTGCCGGAACGGTTGAAAGTAGATAGAAGAAAACGCTTGGACTAAACCTAAGTCAGGCCTATTTAATTCAGTGTTTTTCTAAAAACTTTTACATATATACAGCATAACAAGCATAACGTGTTTAAGTAATGATTAATGGAAAATCTCCTCTTGTAAGGAAAAGCAGAAAGATGAGACAGATTAAGAACATATGATATTATCTTTCTCCTATTTCTTATTTAAGTGGATATGAAACTTACCATTTATATTCCTTTCCTCTATGAAAGTGTATAGTTGCAAAAGTTTCCATTAAGAGTCCTAGAAGTGCTAGGCAAAGAGACCAAAATTCTTTAATTCCTGTTACCATATAAAGATGCCATATGGAGGCCATTCCATGACAAGCGAATAAAGCTCGCACAAACACTGCCCTGATTATCAAGAAAAAGGCCATAATCTCCCTTTTTTTAACCGCAGACGAGCCTTATACCCTAAAGCTTTTTTTACTGGTTTGTAATTAAAACAAGTAGAGGAAGTAGCGGGACAGACGGCGCGATACTACCGCCTTTAGCTTTTATTAGGCGTCGAATTGCGGTAGAGTAAACGATATTCTATACACAGAGAAAACAGGCGATCGGTTTGGGATGAAAAACGCGTTCTGTCAGTGTTCCGTTTGTATTCTATTATGCCAAGACGTTAGAATGTTACTTCTAGGCAGACACGTGTTTGTGATTTATAATCGTTTCCGATAAAATCTGTATTCATCATGTGTTTACGCCTTAAAAACCTTAATTTATTAATACAACTTATATAACATTCTCCAACAAATGTACTATATTTCATTAGAAAAAAATCTGGAACTATTCGTCTGCAATTTCCTGGAATTTTGTTTTTTCTCTCTCTCTTAATCTTTCCCTCCCTCCTTCCCCCCTCCTTTTTTTTTAAAAAACAATTCTACTTCTAAGCTAATTCATAATTCATTGTACACTTACTTGATAAAGATCTCTATATATTTTCTTATCTACAAACAATCCTAAAGTTTTATTGTAACAAAATAGAAAATCATGAATTATTTAAATTTTATATTGCAGAGAGAAAGAAGAGAATATCAATATAAACACCTTTCGGGGAAGAAAAATTGATAGAGAAAAACAACAACAACGACAACAACGTAAGCGCTATCGAAGAATTTGATTTATTAGTCTTTCAATTTATCATCTAATAAATTCTTTTCAACGTTAATTAGTCTAATTAGTATATATTATCGTTAGGGCTAAATGAAGGATAAAGTTGTTGAAGAAGAGAAGAAGGAATAAACTTTTATCATTTTCTCTCTAATTTTTTATATTTCGTCTCTAATTTCTTGCAATAGGCGTCTAATTGATAAGCAGTTTGTTCTAGAGATGTTACACTCTTTTCTATTTGATCTAATTGCTCTAGAAAAGGTTGAAGAGAATTATATTTTTCCATTAGTTCTTTTAAAGATAAATCCACTTGTTTTGCAATCATTCTCATTTCGTCGTATTTTTTTGTTGTAGTCCTATTCATATTTTCTAATAATAAATACTCTTCGGCTGTAATTTTCAATTCACCTTCAAGATATAACGAAGTCTTATTAAAAGTCTCTTTACATAATTTTTCTATATCTTTTCTAGGTGGTTCTGTCGCTTCGACAGCCCTCTCGACATTTGGAGGGCCGGCTGTTTCTTGTTTCTCCGCCATTTAATAAATGTTATATTGTTTTTTCTCTATCGTCTGTTAAAAGTAGTTAATACATCTTTTAATTGTTAGATTATTTAGAGAATGTTCGTTAGGAATTTCTGCAGAATTAACTATAATATTTATTTGGAAGAATAATAAATATTTCATTTAGATTAATAAATATAATTCCTATAGAATAAATATGATTTAAGTAAAACTTATAGTTCTTTAGAATTTCTTGTGCATTATTTAAACCTCTTATTATTTTAACGATTTTGCCTATTTATGACAAACTGAGGAAGTAAAGAGAATTATTTAGAAACAAACCCCTTTCCATTTACAGGAAGTAGTTTAATATAATTTTGTCTTCGTATAAACTTATTTTACTTGTGATAAATAGTCCTTTTAATTAGTCTGTTGGTTAAACATTATGCATAAAATACGAAAATTGTTAGAAAACATAGGCGTGTGAAGGTTAAGGTCGATAGTAAGATGAGTTCCGGAAAACAAGTAAATTTTTTCTCAAACTACTACTTTTTAGATATTTGAATTTATTATTAATAATCTAAATAGTACTTTTAATCATATTTATCGTAAATTTACTCGTGTAGTGTTATAATAAACTAGGGATCAGTGAAAATTGCTTACTCAATGTGTTATCGCTCAAACTTCCTTCTTTCAGGCAGTTGGTCTTCAACCATATTTGGATGCTGTAAGAAGAACTTTAACAGCAGCATTATGTCTAGAAAATTTCTCGTCTCAGGTCGTAGAACGCCATAATAAGCCTGAAGTAGAGATAAAGTAAGCTCTCATATACGCCTACTCCAGGAAGTCACCTTAACATTTTTATAACAAACAGATCCAGCAAAGAATTACTTCTAACGCCAGTAGTGATCAGTAGGAATGAAAAGGAAAAGGTTTTAATTGAAGGATCAGTGAACAGCGTTAGAGTGAGCATTGCTATAAAACAGGTAAGAGAAAAACAATAAACTATTCGAAAGGTGAAGCATTAAGTGGATTGTTTTTTCGTTCCAGGCCGATGACATCGAAAAGATTCTCTGTAAGAAGTTTATGAGATTTATGATGATGAGAGCAGAGAACTTTTTTGTTCTCAGACGAAAACCAGTTGAGGTAATAGAGTATTGATCATATTTTTTGTATATTAAATAATATTTATCTAAACGATTATTTCTATTTAGGGATACGATATTAGTTTCCTCATAACTAACTTTCATACGGAACAAATGTTCAAGCACAAATTAGTAGATTTCGTAGTGCATTTTATGGAAGAAATTGATAAGGAAATCAGTGATATGAAACTGACAGTTAATTCTTGGGGAAGGATAACAGCTGAAGAATTTCTAAAAAAATTTTAAAGTGTTCTATATTTTCTTTTTTCGAAAATAGCAATACTTTTGCTTATTTTTTTTTTTTTCACGTTTACGCCACACATACAAACATAAACCTTTCTCTTAAGCTGTAAAGTGGTACTTTCTCTTTATTTTTTTTTTCTTTCATCCTCCTTCTTCAGCCCCATATTTTTTGATTGTTTCAACAGATTTTTGCCAAGTTTACAGATATATATATATATATTTTGTTTCTATTCAATAAAACATCCAATGATTGAACAATAAAATTTAAAATAACAAATATACACAGCAAGCTTTATTTATTCAACCAACTTTTCTTTTTACAGCTCGCTTTCCTTCTCCTTTCTTTGGCTTTACTTTTCCTCTAAGTGCTCTTAATCTTTTCATTTCGTCTGCGAAATCTTGATGTTCATCTCTATTGAGAAATTTATTTTACCAATGATTGTTGTCAATAAATTGTAAAAGAGTCAATTAAGCAAACTATATAGTTTTAACACTGAACCTGTATAATCCAAGAAATCTGAGTTTTTTAAATAAGGAAGTAATTTCCACGTGTCTTGGGTAATAATCAGTTATGGCTCTATTATGATTGTGTGGTTGAGCTCTGGAGAAGATGTCATTCAGTTAATATGAACTTTTTCCCTAAAGTACAGCTTCAACTTACTGAAATGTATTGACAACATCTGCATTCTTTTTCATGTTTACCGGTACCGATGCTTCGCTGAATATTCTAGAGCTTAATTTAGCCATCCTTCTGGCGTAGTTAGACAAGGCCATTTTGAAACCTCTGTTGGAGCGATAATAGGTGATTCAAAGTATTAATGAGGTCACGAGTAATATTTCGTAAAAGCACGTGTTTAACAGTGAGATATACTAAAATGACAAAAAAAATTGGAGGTCAAACCTACCAGTTTTCAATTTTATGTCACATGTAGATATCAGCCAATAAAAACCAAGAGTTCATCATTTAATGGCGGCCTCCAAGGGCACACGAGAAATCTAAAATCTTGTGAAATTCATATTATTCCTTAAACTTTTAAACAGTAAATAAAGTATTTACAAATATAATGGCATCAGCACCACCAACTCCGCCTTTGGTAACTCCTGCGCCGCCAACCAATCAACCGGCAGATATCGACGATAATAAGGTACCGCAGGACTCGGGAGACTCTGGAAGAAATCCTGGGACCTTTGAAGACATTCATAAAAAAACTCGAGGTACAATTAGCTAATATGCAATAAAAAATGTAAATTTTCATATAATTGGGATTGTTCAATATCATGGGATAATTTATTTACTGAAGAAGCTAAACAGCGTGGATCACCACGCTCTTTGTTGAAAGATGAGAGAATTGAAAAAAAAGCCTACTAAAATAAGCAGAGCATTTATAAACGCTTAGTTAATTTATATAAAGTACATAATGATATATACGAACTAATAATGATAACAAATCCTAAAACAACTTGGAAGATAAATTAAGCAATTAGCTGAGAGAAATACGGGGTTTATAGAGATTTTATTATTCTGTTCTTGGAAAAGGATAATGTTTATACAATTTTAAATAATAAAAAAAGGAAATCGTTCTTTTTTTCCGTATGTTTATATTAATACTAGATTATTTAACCTACAGATGTTTTCCCTAACCCTTTCGAAGGAGCCAGACTCGTTGTGAATAAGGGTTTATCGAACCATTTTCAAATAAACCATTCGCTGACCTTGTCTTCACTGCAACAATCGTGCTATAAATTTGGCGCAACCTACGTAGGAACAAAGCAGATATCACCTAACGAAGCTTTCCCTGTTTTACTAGGAGATATTGAACCAAGCTCGGGAAATGTAAATGCTAATATAATTCATCAGTTTACCGATAACATTCGTACTAAATTTGTTACCCAAATTCAAAATAAAAAGTGGGCTATTTCTCAGCTGGCCAATGACATCAGGGGCTACAATTACACAGCAACCGTAACTATTGGCAATCCTGATTTGATGACAGAATCGGGAGTTTTAGTAGCTCATTATTTACAAAATATTACTAAAAATCTGGATATGGGTGCTGAATGGATCTATCAAAGAAGCCCTAATGTTCCTGGAGGTCAAATGGGAGTTGTATCTGTTGGTGGGCGATATGTGAGAGGACCTTGGACATTCAGTGGAAACTTAACTTTATTTTCTCTATCGGAAAGTAGTATACACGGTTGTTTTCATAGAAAGCTGAATGAAAGTCTTCAGGTAAGCTACTTATATATAACTCTAGGGAATATTAGATGGTTTATTTCTACGACTCGTAAAACACACAAATAAGCAAGCACTTATAGTGATGGAGAATGAAAGGGAGCAGAGCCCGAAAGAATAAAAAAAAGTTATTCTTTAAGAAGGCTATAAAATTTTGTCTTTTCCTTTTAGTATAAAATATTTCTTTTTATCATTCGAAAATAATTATAGTTACGATCTAAGTCAACATGAAAACTATTATTAAAGTACTCAGTAATTTAGAAAGATTTGGATGATGCGTGAGATCGTTACAACATAAAAGACATAACGGAATTGGAATATTTACGAAGAAAGAATAAGTTTATATAAGTGAATTAAGATTATAAAGTTCCAAAGAGAGGTTTAGAAAGTCTTCTATAGGATATTAATTATGACAAACGAGTGGTAGTAGAGGCCTCAGTTTTTTCCACAAAGCCCTTATTAAATTCCGTTGAAATAGAGCGTGGTTAATTAGTTTTATAAAGTTACAGAATCTTTTTTGCGATACATTTTTAGATATTAAATAACAATTTTTTTATAATATAAAAAGAAAGCTTTCTTGTCAGCTTGGAACATTTCTCAGTCGAAACGATGAAACGATACACTTTGTTATTAAGACTGCTTGATATTTTCATTTATCCAAATAAAAATGGATAACTAACCGTATTTATCTTGTTAAAGTAAATAATTTAGGAATTTTTTCATTTTATAAAGAAAAGGTGGCAGTATTTAAGTTATCAGCTAAAAATTTCGGATTCGACCTCTGCCCTACTTAGGGAACATTCTCCGCAAATTTTACAATTTCTTTTTTTCATTATTCTTTACGTTACTTCTTTCATCTTATTTAATAGCGATTTAAATGTTTATAAGAAGAGTAGACAGTTACAGCTTTAATTATTTATTTTACTAGCATAGCTCATTTATTATTTTTACATTATTTCTTATCAGATCGCTGGAGAAATCGAAAGCAATCAGAGAACTAAAGAATGTACAGCGACCATAGGCTATCAAGTCGATCTTCCCCAGGCTCATCTTACTTTCAGAGGTAATAATTTAGCGTAAATTTCGAAGGTTGCTATTTTTTATCTTATGTAAAATGTCTCTTCTATTCCTACAGGCCAAATCGACAGTAATTACCAAGTAGGCGCTGTTTTCGAAAAGAAATTGCCCCCTCTTCCCTTCACTTTCCAGATGAGTGGATGGGCTAATCACGTCAAGCAAACTTTTAGATTTGGTTTAGGATTGATGATTGGTTGAAAAATATTTCTTTAAAAAAACTGTGTTCATAAAGAATATGTAACACCGCAAAAAATATGCAACAATATAAAAAAGAATAAAACAAGAAGACGTTATAGAACAAAAATATAAATAAATGAATAAGAAAAGATTTGTAATTATTTTTTCTTCTTAAATTAATTAATAACTTTCACCTCCGATCTAATTTCAGTTGATAGCAATCTCACAATTTCATTTTGACAGTCTCTTTTTTATTTATTATTCACTATCTCAGTTTCTTCTAGACCATGTTCGATTGATAATTCAAATTCATTTTTTTCTTATTTCTTATCATTGTTAATATTTATTAAAAAAAATGTAAGCGTTTGCCGAGTATTGTGCAATATATTTTGATGTTACATCATTTCTCTTTACCTTTCTATAACATAAGCTGGCTTCCTGGGAATAGAAAGTTAACTTTATAAAAATGATGAATAGCTCAAAACTGTTGATCTGTTGCAAAATGCCTTTGAGCATAAAGTTAAGGAAAAGAAAATTGGGATTTATGACGGTCCGATTTCAGCCTAGAGCGATAGTGAGCTTTTTTAACCTAGTTAATCAATCGAGTATATTATAATAATTTATCTAAATTAGACACTTGGCATCAACTCGGACGGCTGACATTTTACAGCAATTGATATTTTTTAACAGACTCGCCTCCTAACCCCCACCCTCTATTTTTCTCACTCTCTCTCACTGGCTAGCTTACTTTCCTTCAACTGCAATCATCTATTTAAAAACAAAAGAGAGAGAGAGAGAGGGTTCATAAATATCTGACATAACTGAAAATATATACTTGGCCAGATTTTTATTCCATCTAAGATGATTTATGTAATTAGGTAATTTCTCTTTACCTTTGCATAATGCGCAAATAAACATTCTACATATATATATATATAAAACAATAATCTTTGTAAAAATTTATTAAGAGATGTAAATCAATTATAAAATTAGATTTTATCTCTATAATCAAACGTGATCAACTATGCAAGTCAATAAGTCTTTTTCAAGATAATGGAAATTTATGTGTGATAATCGATAGAAAAACGAATTGATCATGAAGAAATTTACTGAATAACGACGAGCTAATTTGAAAAAAAAGTAATAATCACGTGATCAACTATAAAAAATATCTGCTATATATATATAATAATAATAAAAAAGAGCGATAAAATATCTACGTAAGCAAGTTCAAGTTCATCAGTTTTTTTAAGTTACTGAAATCAATATTCTTTATAAAAAATGAACAAATAATCTAAAAAAATACGCTTAATTGCTTAATATACATTTGTATACTTAGAGGAAGAAGTGAACGGTTGAAAGGCTGTTCTTGTGAAAAAGAGTAAAAAAAATAAGGGAACAGGGAGAGAATCTATCCTATATTCGTTGGTTTAATTATCGATTCTCTAAACGGGAAACAGACGTGCACGTAACAAAATATATAAAGAATCAGCCACTTGAAAATTAACTAATCGATGTAAATACAATGTGCTGTTATTTAAATAAAAACCCTCCCATTCGAATTTTCCATTCGCAATAGCTCGCTAATTAATAAAAGGTTCTTTGAATAGTCAACATTGAAATGACATTGACCTCTTAGTAAGATATGGTAAAAGTCACGTGATCGAGATTAATCAAATATAAGGAAAATAGGCTCGAAGAAAATAAAAATCACTCTATTCCCAAGCTCCCTAACTTGTGCCAATCTAACTTATTGCACAGTTAGGGTCTCAGGGACATAGTGACTGTCAAACTGTTTGCCTATTCAAACTTTGTCTCATTTCGTTCTTTAGCATTTCCTTCCCTCAAATCCTTAAAACAGTAGATTATTTCAATATCTGTCCTAGACTCTAGAACAATCCTCAAGCAAAACGTAGTTCACTTGTTATATCATATATAAGAAGAATGGAAAAACTGTAGAAGTAGAAAATTACAGTAGCAAAAGCAGCAAGAAGAAAAGGTGCTGAAGAAGAAGCTGTCTCGACGATAATTGATGTAAGCGATGACAACAGTTATAACGACGACGACGACTAAGGCGATAATAGTGATGATGATTGAATAGCGAAAGAAAAATTCCTTATTCCTCTTCTTTCTAAATATTACAGTTGATAGAGTGTATAAAATCCAGGAAAGTTAGTTGATAGCACGGATCCCTCCTGAAAGTGTGTTGTAGTACTTGTCCATACTACCAACTACCTCAACTAGATTTACACAGGAATGATCTAGTCTGAAAAAAAAAGAAAGAAAAAAAAAAAGATTAATGTCTGTCTATATCATCCGCAATGTCTGCATAAAATGATTCGAGAAAAGACAGCTCGTTTATTTATTTTATTCCAATACAGTTTAATATAAGTTTTCAGGCTAAATGATTCCCTAGAAAGAAAGAAAGAAGAAAGAAGGAACAGAGAAAAAAAAGAGATAGAGAGAGAGAGAAAGAGAGGGAGAAGAAAAAAGTTTTTATTATACATATAATAAAAATAAAATACATAGTATCTTAATACTTATATTAAAGTATATATGTACTTATTTACATATTTGCAAGGACAAATATATCCATATATATGTATATAATTTAACTAGCGCAATTTTGTACCGGGATTGTTATAACTTATTGTACTATTCTGGTTCTTCACTGTGAATACTGTCTGTATATATTATATATACCTAACTAAACACATGAATACAGCCAGTTAAAAAGAGAAGAAAAAAAACCTACCGTATCTATGCATCGTGTATATATGACGATATATAAAAAGAATATACAGAGAATATATATATACAGTATATATATATATATATACATACATACATACCGTATATACCAGATATATTTACAGTACATATAATCAATAACATAATAAACGTTGTGCTCTTTAAGTGTTTCCGTTAGTAATAAAATTAATAAATAATCTGTTAGCTTATAAATGTATAACTTGATTAATAAATTAGAGTTTTTAAGTAATTGATAAGATAATTGAAATAATTTTTGTAGAATATAATATTTAAATTTGAAATTATACTCACATTTTTTTTCTAATGATTCTTTTTTTTTAAAAAACAAGACTCTAACGATTTCATTCAGTAATATTTTTAGACCGGACGAAAATCGTCTGGATTTTTAACTGTACTTAACCGATTCGAGAATTCAACTGCTTACGTCACACTTTTTATGCGCGCGCCGTCTAGACTATTTTTCGCGCCGCTAAAAATTTGTTTAACGGAAAATTCCAAGAATAGAAAATTTTAATTAATTTAAATTTTATTATATAAATAAAAATGATTAAATTCTATTTAATTATTATTAAATGATCATCCGAAAATTCTAGGAATTTCCCCAGGAATTTCCCGGGGACTTCCCCTAATGTCTGCAATGTCTATTCGACGTCTGGAATTCTATGGTTCAAAAGATTGAATGCTGATAGGACTATTTCCACTTTATATTTGCTCAGGCAGAGTTTAAAATTACTAATTTAGTCCTATAATTGTCCTTGGGTTAGAAGAGAATCGAATAAATTTTATCATAGTAGGTCAAAGTAAAAATAATACTGTCCTACGGCGCCCGGCGGACCTATAAATAAAACGGATCCTTGTGCAAACTCTTTTTGTTACAGTTGTTTGAATATAAAAAAAAGATTTGATAGGTTTCTGTAAACATATCCAGCCGTTTTTCGACCAAATTTATTCAAAATTCGAAAATTTGAAGTTCAACCGCCGTTTTTTTATAATTTTTTTTTAGCTTTTTTTTTACATTGGCCGCCTAGGCACACGTCGCTTAATGTTAGGCTTAATTAGAACGACCACGACGCCTCCTGCGTACATATTTTACTTATTAGTCATAGAAGAAACCCTAAAGTTCAAAATGTATATATATATATATATATAATACTGTGCATATGCTCATTTGTTCTTTTTACTTCTCACAATTCTCCCTCTCTCTCACTTCAATTTATACATCCGTCTCTTTATCTATCCTAATATTTTCTTCATTTCTTGCTAGTTTCCCTCTTCCATTCTACTCAGCTCTTTCTCTCTCTCTCTCTCTCTCTCTCTCTGATTGTTTTATCATATAGAATAAAAGCAAAGACAAACTGAATGAAAAGAAAAAGCAATGTTAAGAAATTCGATACAATTCAGGAATATTTTCGTATAAAAAGACTTTCAATCAAATAGTTAAAACAAAGAAGATGAAGATCAACCTTTGTAGACTTTTTTTTTTTAGGCTACAAAAAAAAGAACTTTGAGCCTAAGAAATCAATAGACGTTCTCTAAAGCATGACAATATATAAATTTCGCATATTTTCAAGATAAGAATAATATATTATTTATATATTTATAAGAGCAATCAGAAATGATATCTTATATAGATAACGAACAAGTCAAAGACAATAGTCCTCTTCCACCATACTAAAGTCTAATTCTATATATATATATATATATATACAGTTTATGTCTATATGTTTAAAGAGAGAGTGAGAAAGAACGAAAGAGATTGATAGGCGGATAGAAATAGAGAGATAGAGAGAGAGAGAGTAGGGAGGAAAAGGACGAGGCAGAGATATAGGAGAGGCGAAGAGCGAGTGAGAGAGAGAGAGAGAGAGAGAGAGAGAGTGGGAGGGGACAAGAAATAGAGCGAATGTGAGAGGAAAGAAAGAGAAAAGTAAAAAAATGTAAAGAGAAAGGCTGCATTGATATAATTGTATGTATTTAAATAGATACTCATTTGTTTAATTATTCCTTTTTACAACGTTGTGGAATAAAAATCTTAGTTATACAAATTCCCTCTTTCTTTCAACAAAAAAAAAATCCTTAGTAAAAGAGATTAAGCCTATAGCTTTGAGTAAGGGATTATATAACCAATTAGATCATCTCACTAGGCTGAGATTTATTTTAAGTAGCGTCCAAGAACAATAGATAGATTACCAAGTTATAAGTATGGAGTGAATTTATTTCAAGATTGATTAGTTAGCCGTCGCCGTTTGATGCAAAGAGCTTCTCCTAATAGTGCAAATCATTAATTTACGTCAGCCAAACGTCTAGTTTCGTGAGAAAGAATTAATTCAGATAAAGTGAATAACCTTTACAAATAAAGTAGAGAAAAAGCAAAAGAAAACAGTTTTATGTATAGTAATTTCTTTTTTAGTGGTAAGAAAAACAAATTTCAAAGTTTCTTAACCTCTCATCTCTACTCTACTCTGTTTCCTATTTTAATTAACAACTAATTGATTATCAATAAGGGTTTCTATTATAAAAGAAATGTATATGATAAAAAAGACAGTATAATAGATAGTAATTAATTGATATATTATCCTAGAGAATTTATTCATAAATGAAAACTTCAAAGTCGTCAGTCATATAGAGGAAAATATTTACAATTCGTTAATAATTCTTGAGAATAGACTGACGACTAATTTAGATAAATAATTCTTTAGTATTTCGTACAAAGAAAATCGATTATTGTCATATATCTTTAATTGATTATTGCAGTAATTTTCAGTTCATATAAATGGATTTGTATTTATAAAGAGCAATCAGGCAGCCAGCGCTTAATTAACCTACTATTTTTTGCTCGCTTTATTCCATTTCCTATTATATTTTTGTTTCTTACTCAAAATATAGAATATTCGCTGAAAAATTAAGTTTTCTTTGCCTTAAATATACAACAATACAGTACTTTTATGAAATACGAAAAGAGAGACTACTTAGGAAAAACAAACATTGATAGGATTTACAAAAATACAATCAAATATTAAAAAGAAAAACAAAAAAAAAAAAACAAAATATTTATAGCATATAACTAGTTTAATGAAAAGTTTGCTGCTAATCTATTTCTCCTGGGTTTTGCTTCAGAGGATTTCGGCTCTGTTTGGGTTGTATCAACAACTGTACTTTCTTTTTCTTTTGGTGCTTCTTTTAGTGATAGATTTTCTAAAATTCGTAACATTTCGTTAGCAGCAGGAGTTATTTCTTCCGTTCTGGATTTCTCTTCTTTCTCGCTATCTTTTCTAGATTTCCTAGTTACTTTTTCATCTCTCCTTATATCTTGCTTTTTTACTTCTTGTTTCGGTTTTACATGCTGTTTCGGTTGCTTTTCAAAAGTTTCTTCCTCAGTACCCAAAATGGTTTCTAGGGTTCTATTCGTTAAATAGTGTATCAATTCTCTCTTTTTATTTTCATCTTCGCCATTTTTTTCCTCTACTTTTTTAAACATCACTTCCAATTCATTAACATTGACTAATTTCAAGCGGATAATAGTCTTAAACTGTTCTTTTACTTCATCTTCCTGTACTGCCTCCCTGATATCTCCAATTGAGAGCTTAGAGTTTTCGAGCAATTTATCCATATCTTTCTTTTGAAGAATGATTCTCGTCTGACCAGCTAAATATTTTAAAACTTGCAAGCGCGTTTGCTGATCCTTCTGTGAGTCTTTTGTTAAATACCTTAATACGTTGTCAGAAATTGCTTTCATAACATCGTCTTTAGAACTTGAGCCTCTGTTATCGCCTATTTCTTTCTCTCCATTGTCTTTTTGAGAGCCTATCCGCCGTTGAACCTATGATTTCAAAATAAGTATTAACGATTTCTATTATAATAAAAGATTTTACGCGCTACCTGTAATGGTAGAAAGGCGTTTGCAACAGAAGGTTTAGACTTCTCTGGAGTTTCTTTCTTGGGTGGTTGAGCTTTAACCTGCTATATATTGGATACAACGTTGAACTATGTTTTTGATTATTTATAAGCTAGTTACCTGTAAAACTTGGCCAGTCAAACCAACAACATCACCTTTGGGATTATAAAAATATGGTGCTTTTTCTCCTTGAACAAATCTTGGCCCCATTAGTGTTCTATAATCTAAGTAAGGAGCTACTGGAAAGCAACTCCTAACTGGTTGCCCTTGTAGAGAATGTTGCGGATTAGGTTGTAAAGGCGGACCGTTAGGTCTTTGATGGAACATTGGTCGAACACCTGGATTTGATTTCTCAAGAGCCATTTTCTAAACAATGTAGCAATTTTTAACAAAACCATTTAAACATATAAAATTAACTAACCACTTGTTGAAGAGCTACAGAGTAGGCTAGCTGCGTTGCTATGTTGTCATTTTCAGATGCAGGTCCAGTTACAGATATTGACATTTCAGGTATCTTTATTTGATAGGCAGATCGCATGTAACCCATATCGACTTTACATGTATTTATGCTAAACCTAAATCGCATAGCCAGTTCTCTTAATTCTAAAGCAGAATCTAAACAAAAAAAACAAATATAAGCATATAAAAATCCAACTAAAAGTAGGCTTTCTTTTCAACCTGGCATAGGAACACGAGGCATATGGCTCGTGAAAGGCATCGGAATCTGTGGAGTAGCAGCTGCACTGCTGCTCTTTGGTACATTTAGCTCCTTTTCTTTTTTTTCTTCCGGTGTTTCAGGTATAGGCAGCTTTTTAGCAGCATCAGCTAGAGAGGGACCATCGCCTTTCTGTTCTCTTCCTTTTTGAGTTTGAGAGTCTCTTTGCAAAATTTTTGGACTATACTTTGATTTCTCGGCTAAATCTGACCAAAACTTTTGGTATTCAGTATCGTCAGATGGTCTACTCTTTGGTTTGTTTTGAGGCTAAATTATATCACATAACACATTAGGTTTTTTAAGTTTGTATTTAATGACAAACAGATAAGAGACCTTTGAATTTACTGGATGACCTTGATGGTTTTTCTGATTATCATATCTGGCGCGATGAGCTGAAGATTGACTAAATGGGAATTCTCTTACTTTTGGAGCGCTCTAAGAGTAAATTGCAAAACGTTTTAGGTTTATTAAAGAAATCTTCAAATCTTACTATTTGAGTCTTTCTTTTTCCATATGAAATGTTAATTAGAGCTGATCCCGGCATTCTATAACCTTTACCGTTACTTCCCCGAATATTGAATGAACCAACAAATTGTTCGTCAAATAAAACTTCGTAGATTGTATCTTGCACTTTAGATGACACGTAAATTCCTACAATTGTCCCAGTCAGACCTAAGGGTACAGTATAGCCTTCTCGAACATTTATTACTCTATCAAAAATAAAATATTCAGCTCTTGGATCTGGAGGCTCTGAACCTCTTAAGTGGGATGGCTAGAAAATTAAAAGAAAGAATTCGCTTAGAAGATATTTCAAAAATTACGTATTTAATAACTCACTCGAAATATTTGACTGGATTGTAAAGTTAACTCTTCTTTCATAACTTGAAAATTCTGTAAATTAAAAATAAATATGCAAAAAAAGATTGAATATAGCAGAATATTTCGTTACAAAAACCACTACCGTTTCTGCGATGGTCGTTTCCAAAGCTGAGATATCTTCGTCGTTTAATACCTCGCTGCCACATGGCAATCTATCAGCGCTGGATGATGGTAGCCCAGAAATGAATTTCTTAATATCTTGAAGATTATAACTAATAAATTGAAAGATAATTAAAAATCGCTATCCTTAAATTACAGCTATTATATCGATCATACCTGCAACCTTCTAATAGTGATGACTCTGATACCGTATGTCCTGAGTCTGGCAAAATATGCTCCAAATTTTCAAACAGTCTAGGAAATTTCTTTTTAAATTCCGTTACGTCCCTTGCTGCTCTTGTGGAAAAGAACCATTCTTTAGTAACGGGATTTCTCCAACTAAATCCGGGTACTTCTAAGTCTTTTTTATTTGACTTTAAATTTAGACCAATATTTGTTTTCAGGGCATTTGGTCCGTGATTTTTGGCTACCGACAAAATACCAGTGATTCTCGAAAACAGTAATGAAGATACTTCAGAAGAACTAGCTCCATGTCTATTAGTTAAATACTGTTTCAATCTTTTTTCGTGTTTGTCACAGAGGGCTGATAACGAAGGATGAGTAATATTTTGTACAATTAAATTAATATTAGATCCCGATACAGATTTCACATGTGCCATTTTCCCATAATTTTCAGAACTCATAATGAACACTGGTAAATCTTTCATAAATAACTTATTAATGTCGCTTATTTGAGGAGTCTTCGACTCGGCAACTTTCAAGTCCAACACCGTGCTTTGATAAGCGTAATATTCTTTCATCTCATGATATAGTTTGACTAATGTTACAGATCCATCATGATTGACGACATATCTCTTTCCAGATAAAGGCTTGCCTCTGATCAATGCCCTAACCTCTCCAATCTCCACTCCCCACCTTGACTTATATCTATAGAGGAAATTTTACATTTAACCAATTTTGAAATTCATTTTAAAGACTATCTTACTGTCTAGATATTTCTAACGAATAAGACTTGAAATTGTCTGAATCTTCTTTAGAAGTAGCTACTTTCACCACGCAATCTTTTTCATGATCGTAAACATATCTAAAAAAAAAGAAACCTTGTGAAATTTGATTTAAGATTATAAATAAAAAACAAAATTTGATCTAACTTTTCAGTTTCGGTTAAAAATTCTACTGCTTTAACTTCTGACAAATGAGGCCAACTCACATAAATTTCTCTATTGAGACACTTTTCAGCTAATTTTTCTGGATTCTATAGAAAATAGTTATTTTCATTACATTTTAGAACAGAAATTAAAAAAGAAATTGTAACCTCCAACTTGTTATCAAGTAACTTCAAAACAAAATTTTCACTTCTACTATTCATCTGGAATACTTTAACTCCAGCTTTTGTCAAATAAGCCTTAAAGAGTATAATTCATATGAAATTTAGATAGTACATGAATTTTTTTTACAAACTCTATGTGAAAGATGCTTCAAAGTTGGAAAACCAGGAAAATAGACATCTGTAAGGGCGTCTTTCATAACTCCCTTAACTATACATTCTCTTTTTAGGCGAAAGTAATCTTTGTGTAGGTCAATAATTTTACAATAGTTATGCATTATGTTAGGAAAACTTTTAGCTTGTAATGGTGCGTAATAAGGTTCAAGTTCAGAATGGGAGCGTTCGCAAAGAAGATGTGGACCATGTTTATTCCGTCTTTTTTCAGAGTCACGTAATTTGACGTACAGAGGTGCCATTGCATCTAAAAGACGTTTCTGTTTCGATAGATAAAAGTATAAATGGAACAATTGACGTCAAAGGCATCGCATTTTAATAGATCGGCGAGTTTGTACTAGTCTAATACAATTACAATATGTAAATTTTTCTTACCTCGTCTATAAATGGAATTTTAACAACAGCCTCCCAGTCTTGCTGTTTTCCATTAAGATCAAGAGAAAATTGCGATGGATAAAAATCAATTATTGGAGACGCTTGATCAGTCATCAATCTTTGAAAAGGTTCGGGTAATAATTTTTTACTAGCAGCCGGTAAGACTCCCATAAGCTGCTCAAAAGGTAAAAAAGGTTGACTTAGCTCAAATTCTACTTCAATATCGCTGAAATTCTTAATATCCGAAATATAAGGAGCATAGTGAAATGGATAAAACCAACTCCAACTTGGTACACCGTTATAGTAATAGTGTAAAATCCATTGTAAACCTTTCACGTATTCGGAAGCTTGTTCTCTCAGGACAGCTCTGTATAAAAAACGAGACCATTTTATGTCAAATTAATCGAATTCAATTCCTCAACCGAAAATAGAATATCACAATAAATTCCATTTATGTCATTCAACTCGAAGAGTGACATATTTTTTTATAAATTATACGACTGAATTGTATTTCATTGATTAATAATAAATATTGTGTATGCTATTTATAATAATCTGAATGATTGAAACTCACTCATCAACGCGAGGATATTCCAATTTGTCCATATAATAATTGTCTTTATGCATTCGAAATTCCCTTTTCATCAATGCTTCTTCGCTCTCGTCGCTACTTGCACTTTCTTCCTCTGTGTCATTGAGTTGTTTATCTGTAACATAATAAAATAAGTAAAAAAAAAGCTTAAACAATAACGTGGCGGCATCAAGTTGCATTTAGTACCTTTACCCGAAAAATCAACACCCATTCCTGTCAAGTTAGCTAATTCACTGGCTGTAATAATAGTATCATCTCCGAATTGGTTTCGTATTTGCTTATTAACGGTGTTTCCATTACTTTTTTCCTCACTTTTGGCTTGAAACCACCTTAAATCAGCAAAATGATCATCAAACTTTTCAAAATCGAACTGTGATAAACGAGACATGTAAATCTCGAAGCGCTTCAAATTCAATACACCTCCATCGTGTAAATAACCTGTAGAAAGGGAAAACTGGAAATTAAATACTCTAAAGAAATAACTGGCAAGACGAACCTCCTAAATTTGGTAAAACTGTTATATATGTTTTCCATAAAAGAGGAAGAGCATCTTGATGAATATGTAAATTTGGTAAATGTGGGATAAAATCATTTCCAACCAGAAAGCCCATAAAAACCCAATCATCAATAATATTTTCTAGGTTATATGGAAAGGTTTTTAGTGTATTCTTCAATGTGGAGAATTCGTAATCCAGATATTCTCGCATGAGAGACAAATGAAGTAAATGAAAAGTAATTTCTTCAGGTGCTACTGGCCTAAAACAACATTTTCAATATTAATAAGAGATTTTATAAGTCATGTTATTTAAAAAAAAAATAGTCCTAACTTTTTCCTGTTCTGTTTGCCAAACTTCACTTCTTCTCTCAATAATGAAAAGTGTGTTTCATGAGTAGTTAAACCTAGCATTATCTGTAAGAGATAATAATCTTAAAAACATAACACATATTTTAAACTTTCAACATACAAGATCTGCGTCCAAACCATACAGACAATGCCTTGTATTAGCATCATATCCTTCCATCGACTTTTCGTAACGAATATAGTCCATAATTTTATGTTCTCCTTCACCTGGGGTTTCATGACCAGATAAAACAACTTTACAATCTTTCCACATTGAATCAGAAGATATTTTCTTCACTATAAAATATTTAAGCTGATCTTGTAATTTCACCATAAATTCTGTTCCTGGTGTAATACAGTTTGAATCAAAACGGTCCTCTTTTGGGAGAACTTCTCCCTTAGAAATAGCAGTGTCAATAACTTTTTGAGCTTCCTGAGCTGATCGGAATCTCCGACCTCGTTGTTGGTTCATTTTAGCACGCGGAGCAACACCATCAATGGCTAAAAAGAATGTCTTCTTGGGACGAATCATACGAAATAAAACTTCAATATAATGAAAAATATCAAGGAATATCTTCTGCTCGGTTATTCGAAAATGGGGATTATCATCTTCTGGATGAGAGCAATTGTGTATTATTCCATTCATATCCAAATATAAATTATCAAATTCTGGTATCTGTTAATTAAATTGTATTATATATTATGTCAAAACTGTTTATTTTGTTTTCCTTTGTGGAATGAGTGATAAATGCCAATCCTAACAAACTTAAAATATATTATGCGGCTATTTCGGGTTTAAATTTATAAGAGAGATTACAATGAAAAACTGAAATATCCCTTCACAAAAGTTAATAATTTATAGTTTATTCATGTTTTGAATACTAAGTCTTTTTTTAATAAAAATATTATAAAGACAGAAATAACTTGCAATAATTTAATCATATTAAAAAATTATGGGTATTCCATAAATATTTTGTTTATTAATTCACATTTGTCTTTAAATTTGACACCTATTTACCAACCTCAAGGAGTACAGGGACGTTTTTTAGGCACGTCTATGAGAAAAGACAAATACAAACCTGATATTCTTTCACAACTTCACTTAAGCAAGGATATCTCTCACTTATCCATCTATAGAATTTAGGAACTCCCATTTTGAGTTATTAATCGGTTAAATAAACCTTTAAGACTAATTTTAGGCTTTATCAAATCTAAAAATTTCGGAAGTTTCTCCAAAATGTGTAATTTCCGGAATCTGTCTCGTATTTAAAATAATAATTTTATTCGTGTTTCAAGAATATTCGTAGTATTAATTCAAAAGTACATTCATTTTACGAAAATATTTTGTATACTAAAACAATGGCGACCACCTTTGGTGTATATGTTGGTAACTCTTCTGCCTGTGTTGCGTGTTATAAAGTAATAATTCTGTTTTCTTTTCAATTGATTTGTTTACAATAATAGTTTTTATCAATATGATTTGAAATATTTTTGTGTTTTTCACGAAATTGTAAAATTTTAGAAAAATTCGTATGATTCGATATTATCGCTCACTTTCATGCCGGTTTTCAGGATGGAAAAGCAGACATTATTGCAGATGCAAATGGAGACAGATCTATGTCAACTGCCGTTATATTCACAGAAGGAGAACAAGTTGTAGGAAATGCCGCCAAACAATCGAGAAATTTCAAGAATAAAGTTTTACACGCAAAAAAAGCATTTGGTCTATCAGAAGCAGACCTATCTAAAGTGGATGATGAATTCGGAGCGAAATTGACATATTTTGTAAATTATTCACTAAATTTATTTGAATTACCTATGCATCACTTATAATTTCGTTATAGAATGAACCAACCTTCAAAGTTTTCCTCAATGACAAAGAAAAAAGATTCACTCCTGCTCAGGTTTTATCAGTTGTATTTAAAAAATTAAGAGAAACTGCCCAAAGTTATTCAGGACTTGACAGTGCGCCAGAAGCTGTTATTTGTACCCCGTATAATTTTTCAAAACACGAAAGAGATCTTATGAGGTTGTATGAAATATATTGTGTTATGAACGAGTTTAAATTAGTGTACTCACAGTGATGCAGCCAAGAACGGAGGATTTAAAGTTTTAAGGTTAATCAATGAGCCAAGTGCGGCCCTATTAGCATATGATTTAGGTCAAGACAACTCACATGAATCGCAGTCATGTCTTGTTATAAGACACGGAGGACAGACTACTACTTTCACTTTAATACGGATTCGGGGTGGAGTCTATTCAATAATTGATGAACTTGATGAAAATTTTGGATCCGATCTCGTAACACAATTATTGGCAGATCATATGCAAAGGGATTTTGAAAAGCGTTTTAGAGCTAATATTGGTGACTCAATAAAACCTAGAGCAAAGTTAAGAAATGAGGCGGAACAAGTCAAGCATACGTTATCAACACTACAAAGTGCCACATGTTCTGTTGATTCACTGTGGGATGGTATGGACTTTCAATCTTCACTAACCAGAAGTAAGTTTTTCAAAGGCAAGTAAACTATATCTTTTAACTTTTATGAATTGTTTCAGGTCGCCTTGAAGGGCTTTGCTCTGACTATGTAGGAAAATTTGTGACTCTATTAAAAGACTTCTTACAAAAGAATAAAATTAATAATATTGATTCAGTTGTGCTCAGTGGAGGTGGTTGTCGAATGCCTCTTCTCCGTAATAAACTGCAGAGTATGTTTGAAAATAGTCAGATACTCTCTTCTATAAATGTTGAAGAGGCCACGGCTCTTGGAGCAGCGAAGCAAAGTGCTATTGTCATATGTAGCAAGAAACCAGAATTAAAAGAAGAAGATACAATTGTTACCTGTACAAATTATAATTTATACGTTAAAGATAAAACTGGAGAAAAGATAAGAATTGTTGAACAACTTACGCCTCTACCAATAAGAAGGCAATTTCAGTGTAATATCGATGATGCAAGTTCAGCTGTCTTTTCTTTCGTAAGCGAAGAGGACGGTATCGAGAAAGATTTAGGAGATATGGTTATAAAAGACATGGAGGATACCTGCAGCAAACTGACGATGGTTGTACATGTTGAAATGTATGTCTTTTTTCACTGTTTTATATGAAATCATTATCGTGTATTTTATTTTCAGGGATTCGACCATAAATATTCACTTATCTTCTGCTGATGGAAGTTTTGCTGAAAATTTTAGCTTCGATCCACGAGATAATTAAAATTGAAACAGCCATCTTTGCATTATATGATTTTTCCTAATTAAACTGTCTGTTTTGTATTCATCGTGTATATTTGCAATAGATATTAAGTTTTCATTTTATAATAATTTAATATTTATTAGATATATATGCTCAATTAAAAAAAAACAAATTTTTTAAATTAATAATTTCACAATAAGAAAAAATATCATAACGATCAAAATTAATAATAGCAGCTTTAGATTTAATTTTCTTGTTGACCATTAGGTGGCACTAAAATTTCCGCACTTGGCAACAACACTATACAGAGGTAAAAACATTAATAGTTGTAACAAAATGTCGAATTACAGCTACCACTGGGACCAGTATAAGGGTCACTCAAGTAGTGTAGGTAATAAAGTGTTTTAAGAATTCAATAACTTATTAATTTAAAATTATGAGTTACTTTTAATATCATTCCCTTAATAGGTCACATAATGCGAAGCACCGCATCGGAGTACAGAAGGAAGCATCTACCTTCTCCAATTCTGAGAGAATTTCTTGAGCGACAAGATTACACCAAAGCTCCTAATGTTAAGATTCCTCCTGCGGAAAGATGCTTGCCGTTCTTACCTGCGAGTGCAAATCTTGCTAATCATAATTCGCAGCAATCGAATATCGTATCGAGAGAGAAACCGTGTTGTCAGTCGTGTTCAGATGGGGGACAATGTGCTGGAAAATGAAGAAGACAATCTTGATTAAATTTTCATATATTAGCCTTATAAGGCTGTATCGAAAAGATGAGAAATACTTACTCTTTTAAAATCCAAAAATATAATCAATATCAACACTAAAATTTTTCCAAGAGTCTGGTGTAAAATCATTAGAGGTCGGAGATGTTTTTTGTCGTACTGTAATTGGTTCTGGAACTCTATTGTTCTGAAGAAAACATTGAATCCATTTTCTAATGTGTTTTATAAAAGGTATGGCCGTGAAAAAAGAGTTAGGAGTGAGGTCAATTTGTGTTTTACAATTTGTATCTTTTCTTGTAACTGGAAGTTGATCAAGACGAAACCATCTAACATTTTTAATCTCTCTTCTCGTTTGAGGTTGAAATTTTGTTTTCATTGAAACATCTTTTATTACATATAATCGAACGGTCTGTCCCCTTACATTAGCCTCGATGTATTCTTTTGGTCGGATCTTGGTATAAATATTATATCCGGTCTCTTCATAAACTTCTCTAACAGCGCAAGCAATTGGTTCCTCGTCTTGATTTACTTTGCCTTTAGGAAAACCCCAGGTAGCTTTAGTCCAAAAACCTTGTACTAGCAAAACATGCTGCAGTGAATGATCCAATAAAATGGCACCAAATGTGGGTACTTGCATCTTGTAGTTCCTCCATTGCTCTAATATATAATCTACTTGATTAGATTTCTCTTTTAGCATTGGGCAGTGAAGGAATATCTGATGAGAAAATTCCCTTATTCCAACTGGTTGTATTTGTGTGTATTTTTCACAAAAAAAATCCAAATAATGCCAATGAGCAAGCTCTATTTGAAAGAAAATACGAATAGGATTCTCTTTCTCTTCCCCTTCTGGAATATTGATTATAAAACGGCTACACAAATCATTCAACGCAAATTCTGGAATTTTAAAAGTTATTGTCAGGGGGGTCTGTGGTTCTCTATACTCATTTGGGCTATCGCAATCCATTTTTTGAGTTATCCAGTGTGAAATTTAAAAAAATATGGCGTCGTGATCACGTGATTACAAGAGGGAATAACAACCACAGGCTTTCTCCATTGCAAAATAAAACATTATTTAATATCATAAACAATATACGACGAAAAATTAAACCAAGCAAATATTTTAATTCTTACTAAAATTAATGAAACAAGTAACTTTTAAAGATAATTGAAACAATCGCGATTAGAGGTAGGGCAAGGGTACTTGCTAGAGCAAAGCTGTATAACAGTTTTCGCTCTTAGAATTTTTATATTCTAACGTTGTTTTCCAATATTCACAAATAAGAATAAATAAATTCTTTAAATAAATGATCATTAAAAAATGAGTTGAGTACTTGTCAACTTTTAACCATACTAATTGGCTGTGTGACGCCAATTAAATATTTCAAACTAGTTTAAAGTAGTTTCCGCTTCGAAAAGAACCAATCGCCAGCCTTAAAACAACCAGCAGTGTAGACCAATCAGAAGTCTCCTTTCAAACAGACAGAGAAGCAACATTATTCAAGATGGCGTCAAGAAGAACGTATTCCTAAATTCTATGCCTTAACTTCAATCACGCGTCTCCTCTACCGACGGGAAGGGGTCGTTCAAGTGGAATTTTTTTAGAAGAACGAAGAAACCGAAAAAACAATGACGGACGAGTGCGTTTTAGAGTTCAAACAATCGTTGGAAGAAAATCTCGTGAGCATCAGCAAGCCTGTTATTTGCATGTTGACGATGTTGGCCGAAGAAAATATTGAGCATGTCGAACAAATTGCTGCAGTCATTATAGAACGCGCAACAAGGGTCAGTATTATTTAAAAAAAAGCTAAATAGGCAGTGCTTGAAAATCGAACATGGACGATGTTCATATCGTATCGATGATAAACGATATTTTTTTAAGAAAAACAGAAATATTGTGATTAAAACTTATCTTCTCGTTTCTGATAATAAAACTGTTGAAGAATATTCGTTTAACACTTTTTGATAATTATATAATATAATTAATTTCCACATGATAAAAGCAATTTTTAGGATACCTTATGGTATGGATTAATGAGAAAAATACTAATAAATGCTAATCTCTCGTTACAGTCTCCTTCAAAGCACAAACTACCAGCTCTGTATTTGATCGATTCGATAATGAAAAATATAGAAGGAAAGGATCGTTATGTTGCTGCATTCGAAAAGCGAATCGTTTCAACGTTCTGTGCAGTTTTTGATAAGGTTAGCATTCCATATATTTTGTGCCATGAAATAAATAATTATTTTGTTAACATGGCATTATATATTATTGATAATAAACGATGGACAATTGTTGAACATTTTTTTACAATGTCGACAAAATCGTGCAGTTTTAATATAACTTGTTCTTCCTCTCAAACGTTACACTCTTTACAAAGCACACGCATGAAGAAGGAAGAATTTATTTATATAAATTTATTTTGAACTTGGAAAACGAAAATCAATTCCGCAGGTTGACGAAAAAGTTCGCGAATCGATGCATAAATTACGTCAAACGTGGAATGGCGTTTTCAACGCTCAAATTCTTCATCAACTCGATTTAAGTGTTAACAAATTGGATCCGGCCTGGCCAGTTGATGATAATAAGCGTAGTTTAGAAACCCCGAGAAAGGTGCATGTAAATCCAAAATTTATAAGTTCACCGGCTAGTAGGACAGAAACTCCGGTTGCAGTAGTACAGGTTATTATTCTTTTTGTTTCATAGGCCAGTTTTTACTGTTTTCTTTTCGGCTTAAAAATATGCGAGTAATCAGCTTTAAGTTTGTTTTTTGATCAATAAAATTTTACAATTGTTTCAATAAAAAGTAAATACGCTTGGGGAATATTCGACTTGAACGAACATACGCTTGTAGATTGCTTACAATATGTAATGTAGGTTTCATTTTTTATAAGCTATTTGATGTAAATAAAATAAAGAATGGTGAAAGCTGGTCTTTCTTATCCTGTGTTGGACTTGTGCAGTTTTGAAATGTTTTTGTTTTGTATATATACGTAAAGCCGTCGCCGCAAGGAGAATCAGACGACTCAGACAGTTTAAGGAAAATTCTTATAGAAAAGCAAGAACAATTGACCAAATTGCAAGAAGAAATGAAATTGGAATCGGATGTTGCAGAGATTCGTGCAAAGCTGAACAAAGTGAGTTTAGTTTTTAATGCCTTAATATATTGGCTTTGGCTGGCTCAAATATTAAAAATATTGAAGAATTCAAGGGAAGAAAGTAAAAATTATTTTCAAAATATATCTTTTTAATATTTTTAATGTGTATTATTTATATGATATTATTTGGTTAATATTATATAGACGCATATGCTTGTTCGTCAATCTTCCGCGTTTATATTTTATTTTAGGAAAAAAAAAAACAATGCAAATATATACCTAAGGCCTAAGAGATTGAATCTCATTCTTTTAGTAGTCATATATTTCCACACTGAGTCGAAACGTACTCTTCGCCATTCGAAAAATATAATCTTCACTATTTAATCCTTCAAATTAACAATATTAGTATATTGAACTAATAATTCTTATAATCTCTCTTGTTCCAAGCTTTCTATCTCAAAGGAAGATCTTCTATTAGGGCTAAGTTTCCCCCCTTTATATAATGAAATCAACAAAGAAAAACAAAGTTCAAGCTTGTTAAATCTGGTTAATGCATAAAAATTAGTTCCCAATTAAGTTTAAAAGGGGCAATATATTTTATATCAGATTCTAATTGCTAATATTAATACTTGTCTAAACACTTGTGAGGATATGAATAATGATATTGGACTTATGAAAACAGATGAGTGACGAAAAAATAAAAAACAAGGGTAGCTCGAAAAGTGAGAAAAAAGACCGCAAAATGAGAGAATTGAGTGAGAAGAAATCGAATTCTGATGGAGATGTTCACACGAAAAATAAAACTTTCCAAGAAAAACGAACGTATCGCCGTCGTTACAGCGAAGAACATGAAGATGACAAAAATGTAAAACCAGTTAAAGAAGCACCAACCTTAAGCGATAAAGAAAAACTTGCCAGAGGGGGTTTTAATCACCATCCTGAAAATAAGCGCAGGAGGATATCACCAGATAATAGAAAATTAATGGACCCTAGACAAAATGATAGGCAAAATGATAGACAAAATGATAGACATAGGAAACATAGAAAGGGACAAAAGAGACCAAAGGATGATAAGTGAGTTTCAATATAGAAAGCACTATATTAGAAAATTAAATTATTGCTCTTTCAGGAAAGATAACTATGCTAACAAGGTTGATATTAAGCAATTACCAAGAATACCTAAGCTTACTTCTACTTCAAGAGTAAATCCAATTTTATCACAGCCACAGCGTGGTAACTTTCCTTCTGACTACGGGTATAATCAATCTCATAATGAGCCACCTTATCTAAAAACTGAGAAAGATTGGGGAAGAAAATATAATATGAGAGAAGGTAGTGGAACAGGATATAAGCACCCCCTTCTTCCAGATCCTCATGGAGTAAAACGACCACTTAATAGAAATCCCGATGCATGCCCTGATGAGGTAAGAAAATAAAATATTTTTCTGTTGAATACCAGTTGTAACAGGCGTTAAATATTTCTTCAGGTTAACAATTATGCTGAACCTTTTAATAATGGACGAATAGGGCTTTGTCCGGTATATGATTCAGCAGCTATTGACAACTATGTCAGTCCATCTAATCCTTATGGAGGTCGAAGGCCCCCACCTCCAATGCCACCAGCTTCAATGCCACCAGCTTCAATGCCACCGGCTTCAATGCCACCGGCTTCAATGCCACCAGCTCCAATGCCCAATAACGCAGGAGGAGTTAGGATAGGAGGAGCAAGTGGTGGCTTAATAAGCGATCGACCAGTAGCTAGACCAGAACAGAGCTCACTTCCCGCTCCTCAAATGAATTGGAGATCGAATGATCTTCAAGCACCAGCCGAATCATCCAAAAATAATGGTTCATTTAATATTTTTGACTCATTAACAAATTCGATTGGTTCAAATCCTAGTAAAATATTGGAATGGTTGATAAATGCAGGTGATAAGTCAAACACTAACGATACTTCTGTAACCCCCAAGCGTGCGGTTAAAGATGAAGCACAACCCGAACCCGAAACGCCCACAATTGTCTCACCTGCAGTCGCTTATGGATCAAAAATTGCGTTTCCTTTGGATAATGAAAATGCTAGGCTTGAAAATGTATCTGATATGACATCCTTTAAGAAGAGTGTTCTTAAAACTCATCAGCCAGGTGTTGTTCAGAGATTATATTTGGGTTACCAATGCACTAACTGTGGTATAAGGTTTACTGAAAACAATCAGGAACTTTACGCCAGTCACTTAGACGGTCATTACGAGAAAAATCGTACTAATATGACTCAATCTAAAATTAAAAAGCATAGGAAATGGTTTCCTACGATAGATAAATGGAAACTTATCAAAGATTTCTCAACCTTGAAAGATGGTGATGATAATGAAACAAATGTTCCCGTTGCAACCGCTGTGGGAACTAAATTTCCAGTAGCGAGTATTAATGATAAGGAGAACATTTGCGCAATTTGTCAAGAACCTTTGACAACATTCTTTAATGACGAACAGGACCAATGGCTTTTGAAAGATGGAATCTTGGTTGGTGGGAAATTTTATCATCCTATTTGCGCTGAAGATCGGCCCGAACCTGCAGATACAAGTTTACTTGTTAAGGAAGAAATGGCTGAATAAGATATTTGTACAGCAAGTTGTTGAGTTATTCCTGGTTAATTACTTATAAAATAAATCTGTCGTTTTTTTTCAAAAACTAGTATGTGATTTTTACGACGAATCAGAAATATAAGTATAGATATAAATTATATATACAATATATATATATATATATATATAATATATATGTATATATATACAGTATATATATACGTGTGTTTTATAATATACTTATATTAATATATTATAAAATCTCGCGTAATTTTTTCATCTTTTATGTATATATACATATATATAAATATATATATATATATCTATATATATATACTTTTAACAACGTTCAACAGATATGGAAGAATATTTTTTTGATAGGTGTTGATGAAATTTTGTTTTAACAAAATGTATATATAGATATATTAAATAGTCATTTTGGCATTGTGAATTAATTACATTTTTTATAGGGAATTTGGGAAAAAAACAAAACAATTACTTAATTATTATTTTTAAAATGTTCAGTTTTTTTTCTTGAATATTAACTTATGTAATTAATAAATAAACGGTAATATTTTGGTTAAATGTAATAGTAACATACTTGCTTAATAGTATATGAATGTATATGTTTATATAACTTATCTATTTTTACAGTTTATATTTAAATTAATATCTTGGATACTGTAAATTTGATTATGTGATATATTGTTTTTTTCAAATTAACCATTAGAAGTTTTCTTGAATGATTGGGAGCTGAACGGGCGAATGAAAAAACAGATTGATAAATAACCGAGGGAACACCTATAACAAGACAGAAAAGTGCTATACTTGTGAACATACTCTGAGTATATAAAATAATACACACATATACAGTATATATATATATAAATATATATATATATATATATATATATATATGTTTATATATTAAGACTTTTCTTTTAAAATACATTTTATTCTCAAAAAATAAACGAAAAATGAATCTGTCAAAATAGATGAATATATAGAAAGTTGATGAAAGAAAACTACTTATACTTAAAATATGAACTATTCATTCCCCTTTGAATATATTGAATTCAGTTGTATGTAAGTATTGTTAACGATAAGTTTGAGAAAATGTGTGATAGAACGATTCCTTAAGCTACTCTTCGTCCTCTCATTCTCATTTACTCTATCTTTTGTAAACATACAAACATTTAAAATTGCAATTTTGTCGATCGTTCACAAAATAAGACGTAAATTATCGAATGATTATAATAAAATATACAATATAAATAAATCATTTATATCAAGGTCATCCAACTCACATTGTAAATGATATCGTAAAGTCGTAAAGAAAATGAAAATAAAAGATGTATATTTCTGGTAAACGTGAATGAATATCAAGTAAATATCGTAGTTTAAAAATTATACTTATGGCCTAGAATATCTATTGTAAGTAAATAATATATATAAATATAGAGCTTTATAAAAGAAAAATTTTTTCTATCTTTTCTCTAGATCTCTCTCTCTTCGCTCTCTCCATATATACTATTTATATAACTTTATATCTCATATGAGACAGGCTTTGTAGTTAGAAAGTAGTAGCAAGCAAATTCTCTAACCAATAACACCTCGTTTCTGAGGATTCAGACCAGATAAAGGATTTGCAGCTAAATGTTAAAGGTATATAATTGATACAGTTTTTAGACAATGCGAATTAAGCATATTTTCCTTGTTTTAAAAGCCTTCAGCGAATCATCCTGTCCTAAGTTTACAGGATAAAGTAGGGCAGGATTTCTCAAAGGACGAGAATGAGGAGAGGGGTAATTGGCCTGGGCGCATGGATTTTTCGATTGCCTGCTTGGTAAGCACAATAGGTTTGGGTAATGTTTGGAAATTTCCCTATCTATGTTCCAAGCATGGAGCAGGAACGTTTATATTCGCCTCCGGGGTTTTTCTTATAGTATTGGGTATGCCATTGTTTTTATTGGAAACATCTTGTGGTCAATATACGAGCCAGGGTGTCATGTCTTGTTGGGAATATGCTCCTATTTTGAATGGTAATTGAAAATTATTGCCTATATTCTAATATTGTATACACAGTGTAAAAAAAATTATATTAAAGGAATCGGAATATCAATGATTGCAGTATCAGCTATGCTTGTCATGTACTATAATACATTGCTGTCAAATGCACTTTGGCATGTTTTCTACGCAATTATTCATAGTGGTGACAAAAATTGGCTCAATTGCGATAACGAATGGAATACTCCTTGTAATTTGTTTTTATTTTTTAATTTACTTCTTATATAATAACTTAATAAATTAACCATTTTTTTCAAATTAGACTGTTCTGGTCTAATTGAAAAGGAAACAGCTGAATTATGCGAAGCCAGCGCAAACAAATCAGTATTTAATACATCTATTGATTATGCTAACGGTATTTGTATGGGGAGCAGATTATTAACGTTTGGTGGAAAAACTTCTTTATATCACAACGTACCTGTTGGAAGATATGTGAATAGTTCGAATCCTACTCAAAAATCGAAAGTAAATTTTCAATGTTTACCATTTCCGTTTGTCTATCCATTTTCAATCAAAACTATTCGCGCTATTTTGAACAGAACATATGGTTTCTTCCAACCGAAGAATTTTTCTTCAACAGGTCAAAGCATGTGAATAATCATAATATGGAAAATTTCGGTACACTCCAATGGGAAATGGTTTTATCTTTATTCGCTGTTTGGTCTATTATATTCCTCGTTTTAATGAAGGGAATAAGAGTTTATGGCAAGGTTAGTGAAGTATAACTTTGGGTAATAGGATGATCATTTTGTAAACAATCTGCTTAGGTTGCATACTTTACCATCTTTATCAAAATAGTACTATTATTATTAGTATTAATTCGGGGATTGACTCTTGATGGAGCCAAGGAAGGTTTAGATATTTTGTCCCGTGTAAGTATCTTTTATAAACAAGTATATAGTAAATGATCATTCAAATGAAATGTATATAGTTTGACGTGGAAGAATTAAAAAGTGCATCACTCTGGGGCGATGCCGCCGAACAGATCTTCTTCTCGTTGAACATTGGCCTAGGATCGCTGATAAGTTTAGCAAGCTACAATAGATTTCATTACAATATTATTAAGTAAGTAATACTCTATTGAATATACGAATGGTTGAAGGAATATTTATAACTATTACTTTATAGAGATGTGATGGTTGTGCCAATTTTAAATTTCATTACATCCATCGCATGTACGCTGATTATCTATTCAATTATTGGTATGTTCCTTGAAGAAGCCGAACTACAAGATAGAGACAACTTAATGCAATCGGGTAATTTGAGAACGATATTGAATTGAATGCTAATTAATTTATTCTTTCTTTTACATAATTAATTAATGAAGGTGTGAATCTGGTATTTATACTAACACCGTATGCGTTGAAGAGATCAGCCGCCGTGGCCGCTTGGACGATTTTATTCTATCTATTATTATTCCTTATTGGAATAGATTTTTCTTTTTGCTCAATGTTAAATATTATTGGTGGTATTTCCGATAAATATCGAGGTTATTTTGAGTCGAAAAGATGGTTATTCTGCCTCTTAGCTTGTTTGTCGCTCTTTTTGTTAAGTTTACCATTCTGTTGCAACGTAAGCTTTAACTAATTATTTATTAATTATCAACCATATTCAACATTTTCAAATAGGCTGGAATGTATCTAGTACAATTAATGGATATCTACGTAACTAAATGGTCAGCTCTAATTATATCACTATTAGAATGCCTCATGATAAGCTATTTATACGGTAAATAGTACAGCAAACAAATATGAATATTTATTGAATATGATTTCTTAAAAAGGAGGTAAAAAGTTCACCGAAGATATTTCAGTAATGTTGGGAGATATGAGAAGATTTCCGTGGATTCCTTGGAATATATTGAAATATTTATTCATCGTATTATGGTCAGTTTTAACACCCGCCTTAGCATTGGCCGTTTTCATTTACGGGATTGTTCAGGTATATTATAAATAAATCCACTATTTAGTATTCATTATATTCATCTTGAATCATAAATATTTCCCCTTTAGTACTCTAAACCAAGATATGGGAACTATGTATTTTCATCATGGGTTGAAACTTTAGGCCTTATATTGGGTACCTTTCCTGTAATGGTTTTAGCAATTGTGCTTTTCATTTATTTAATATATTACAAAGTGACCAAATCGGTAATTACTGATAATTTATTAAGTTTCTCTTTTAAATATAATTATGTTACAGAGTTTTATGGCTGCTTTTAAAGCATCTAAGTATTGGGGACCAAGCCTGACAAAGCATAGGGTGCTAATAGCACATTCTAACGCATTCGAAGTTGACCCTTATAAGAAAGGAATCGATTTTAGCGATTTATTACATGTAATTAATTAATTGCTTAATTTTACAATTCATTTAATAATTAATAATTAATTTTATCGTTTATTTTAGATGCAAATGGAGAAATCAACCGCTTCAAATGCCTAATTGCTATGTTAAATGATATAATTCATGAAGAGACAGAGAGAGAGAGAGAGAAAAAAAAAGAGAGATTATAATGAATATGTCATTATCATCATTATCAATATTATCATAGCTTAGTAAAGACTAATTAAGTAATTACATCTGTCAAAAAGAAATATAGTAAATCTACTAATTATGCAGAAGCAAACTCAGTTGAATTATTTACAAATAAAAAAACAAATAAACGAAACATTAAAGAAAAACTTAAAGATATCGAAACAGTTCAAATTAGAAGATCAGTCATTTTTTGTTCTTTTTGCAAAAATTCTCATTGGTTAGTTTCAAATAATCACGATTGGAAGTGAAGAGAAGGAGAAAGTTGGGCGTAAAGAAGGCATGGAATGATAAAAGCATTCTCTTGAAAATGTTGTTGTGAATTATTAATGTTTATATTTTAGTGTGGTGATCCTTTTTCTTCGCTTGGTAATAATTTAGAAATGGCTAATCGTAGTTTTATTACGGGACCCATTTTCATTCCCATGCACTTTACCATCTGTTCGTCCGACAAATGCGGAAGGGCGTTTCCATCAATTTTATGCTCTTTGAATACCTATTTTGAATAAAAAAAATGTCATGTTATTTATAATTTCTTCAAAATTCTTAAAGCGCCAACTACTGGCGAATTCAACTACTTACATTCACATATTCACTGCAATCCGACACGTTGTGAACAAAATCGCATACTTTATCCACATTCCATTCAAGAACGGAATTGGAATGTTCCTCTTCAAAACCACTATCGTTCAGTTTTTTAGTACTTAGATCTAATGCCGAATCATCCTTTGAACTAGACTTTGGCGAAGTAGGAGCTCTATATGAATTCTTATACATGAACATGGGATGATAGGATTGAGTTGCAGGGAGATTTAATGGAAGACCGGCTTGAGTATAATACATAGTAGTCGCCGGTCGATAAGGGGGAGGAGGCGGCGGTGTGGGCGTTTTTTTCTTATTAACCTTGCGAACTTTGGGCTCGGTAGGGGTAGAAAGAGTCGGTGGAAAGGTACCGTTATTTTTTCGCCATTCCAAATATTCATTATAGTCTCTGCCGCCGGCTTCGAAAAATTTACGTAAGGATAGTTCATCGACTTCTGGCTTTTTTCTTTTTCTTTTCTTAGAATCATCACCAAGCACAGCATCTTCCCTAGTGTTAACAACATCTATCTCGGGAGATGATGATCTTGAACTATTATTATCTTCTAAAAAAAGAATCAGAAAGAGGAAAAGTTAAGTCAATTAGCAAAGAATAATTCATTAGATGTCCTACAAGTATCTTTTCACCTATCAAATCCTTTCTAAGAACTACTCTAAAATGATATTTAATATGCATTTCCTAAATGATTAAATATAAAATATCACTATCTTATTTCACTAACAATCCTATAATTTGTCGGTAGGTGGAGTTTAGTTATCGGACCATCCCAACTCAAATTCCATAACTGCTTTACATAAACCTCTCAAACAATAATTTAAATATTATTTCATGAAATTCAATATAACAGTACTACAGAAAAGTAGTTTTTCACATAACGGCATACAACCAAGCCTCTTATATACAATCCCTTAGACTTAGACCTGGCATACTTCTCTTAAAATATGACCTTTTAAACTTTTTTTTAAGTATACAATACTACTGTATATATGATATTTCTAGTAAATCTTGTACAATTATTAATACTTGTTTATAAATCAATATATTTATTTTTATTCTTCTTATTCTTTTTTTTTTATAAAAAAAAAAGATTTAAATTATTTTAAGTATCTTAAAAACACTAATGTATTTCTGGTATGTAAATCATAGAAAGCATTCCAGAAATCATTCAAGCATTGAAATTGCCAAAAATCTACTTTTTCTTTACTTAAATCATTCAATTGCTAAGTAATATCTTAAGTATATCGCAAGTATAAATGTATATATATAATATAAGCACGTCTATATAGGCCTAATATAAAGGGTAATTATAGAGAAAACGGTACCAATAAACGTTTCGTTTTTTACGCGCCAAAACGTAAATTTCTATTAAAAATTTACCTTTTTGTTCAGTCATTTTTGAAGCATAATTTAAAGCTGCTTGTTGATTCCAAACCTCAAGAAATTTTGGTGGTCTTCCTCGACGTTTCTTGAATAACGGTGGTCCAGATTCAACTGTAAAATCATTGAGATATTTAAAATATTTCGTTATATATGATTTATTATGGAAATATTTTACCAAAATGCGCATTAGTTGATAGAATACGTTATTTAAATTGTAAAGGAAATACGGCGGGAAATAGAGGATTAAAAAAAAAAGACCTTTGAAATTGGAGGCCTAGTATTAAAAAAAAAAACGCCTGTTCTGCTTCACTACATGTTGAAATTGCCACCAATCACGTGACTATACGGATGATAGGGGACAGGTGACGGAAAACGTCTCTTGACATGTCGACTATGTCGGAAACCCTACTGTGTAAACATGAGGCCCGACTGAGCTGGCCTTTCCACACAATCACGTGACACTATTAAATTGTCAAATTGACTTATTTTTCTCGCTTTTTTGCTTTTAATTCGCAGTTTTATCTAATTTTTTTCAAGCAAGAATGTGTCAAGAGTACTCTATTCAATAATTTATTTAACAGGGGAGGAGTTATTCGCAGAGAATTTGGATATTATCAATAAATTTCATGACCCTAAAATTTTATGACACTAAGAATATAAAAAGTGACATATAGAATAGAATTCTGGCTTATATTAAGAATAGATAAACATATAATTAAATGGATAAAAAAAGCAACCTTCTTTACATATAATTGCATCAAAGTTGAGGACTCATATTGGGATGCATATGACACTTTAATGGCCTTTTTTCCCTTTATTCAGTATATACTGTATAATGTTTTTAGATATTTGGGAAAAGTATAAAATATAAAACAATATGGTTTTTAACAAACGCTTCTTCCTCTTTTTAAGTAGTTAACCTCCTGCGATCATGCATAGGATAACTACGGTTCGGTAAATTTGAATTGTTACCACGGTAACGGGTTCCTGCTAGATGGTTTCAATGAAAAAAAATTGGTAGGCGGTGACGGAAGAAAAACGACAGAGGTTGACCTCAGTAATAAAATCTTCCATAATTTGTAATAGAATAACCTTAAGGAAACAGAACGCGTCAGCCGGTAACGCTAGCGTCACTAAGTTAAAGCTTTTTAAATAAACTTTTATCGAAATTCAAGCGAATGTTTGAATAGCTTTAATTTTCTTTTATAGAAAAAGTAGAAAAGTACTCAATGAAAAGTTTTCTACTTACTGTTTTCCTTGTTCTCTCCGCTGTTTTCCATATAAAAAATGTGTTGTTAAAATCCTTTATTGACTTGTCTTGTTTGTCTCTTTTGAGGAGATTTTCAGCAACTAGGATTAATTTTCGATGTTTGACGATAAAAAAGATTTAGCAGATGGTTAAATGAGATTAAAGATGGATAATAAAAGCTTCTTGTGGAAGGTTAAAGTTTAAAAAGATGGATTGGCGAGGACCAAAAAAATCGCTGCTCTCCCACTGTCAACGTCTGCCTGCGGAATGGAAGCGAAGAATTCGAGAAGTTCAAGCAGCTTGAATGGCGTCCGTTACGCTCTGACGGTCACAAGAATGCAACACCTGCTCCGACCGTTGAACATTCTTTAGGATTCGAATAGCAGCCACGTGCCTCTATACCGTCACGTGACTTTGACACGCGCCGATTTGAACAGGGGCTTTGGTAGTTTGAATAGAAAGGCGCGCGACGAATAGGCCTTTTTCACGAAATTATATGATTCTATAGCGAGAGTATCCAAAGCTAGCGTGTGCTGTCATTCCATTTTCCTTCTATTCTTACTCGACTACACTTGAATAAATAGACTGAGGGTTAATTTCAATAGTGTCACATGAGTGATTTTTTTCTTTTTACTATTAGAATAATAGGCCTACATGGAAAGTTTGTTTTTAGGTAGCATAAAGGTAAAGGGAAGGGGGGAAAGGTAAAGAAAAGAAAATTCTTCCAATTTCAATTATTTCAGCTATTCTAATATTTAAATAGTTTATTTAGTCATGTGAAAGATATAAAAACGGTTATATTTAATTTGAAATTGTATATAATTAACAAGAATAGAATAATTAGCTAAACTATGCTTCTATGCTGATTTAAAGATTTTAAATGTATAGTGAACGTCCCCCTACGTCTCCTCCCTCTTTTTTTCTCATACCTACATCTTTTACACCTGTCGTCGCCCTCCTCATTCTCTTAGTTAGAGGTAATCATAAAACTCTTACATAACGTATATAATAGGCGGTAACAGCGTAAAAAGAAGAATATGAAGAAAGGAACAGAGAGGGGAAAGAGAAGAAAAGAGAACTAACGAGTAAAGAATCTAAATTGCTTTATTACGTTTTCGTCTCCTCTGGACAGGTTGAAAAAAATTTATTACACCTCAGAGGACTGGGGAGAGTTAGGACGACAGCGTAGGCCTACATAATAGAGAGGGACATTTTTAAAGGCTTTATTCAGGCCCTCTTGAAAAATAACAATAAAAAAAACATCTGTTGCCTTCGAAATGGCTATTTATTTGAATATGTCTCATTAAGGAATTATAGTACTTCTTTCTAATAGGATTTTCAAGTTATTCAATAGGCCTACGTAGAGTGAAAAAATATTTTCTCAACTGGGTCGACACTTGACTGACCAATTAAAATATTTCCCTTTCCCCAGGAATGAAGGAACTCATAAAAAAAGGAAAAGGTAAGAGGTTGACAGGGAACGAAAACTATTCCAGTTATTTTTACGACACGCTCCGACTTTCATCCCTTGCATCCGCTCTATTTCCCGCTCGAATTTCGCGCCTAATCAATCACTATATGGTTGTACACATAATCTAGGCCTACAGGGTCGGTAGGTTCAAAAGACGGCGATTAATCGGTGAAAATTGGTCTAGCGAAGGAAACGTTTGATGACTTGCCGACGGTCGTGCTAAGAAGAATGAAATGAGTTTCTTTCTCGGTTAGAGGGAGGTTATGGGAGGGAGGAGCGGTTCAAGAAAAAAGGAATTCTCTCACCTCGTCGTGTCAGACGGTTGAGAAGAAATGGGTGAAGAAGAAAAAAGAAGGGTAGGGGGGGTGGGTTATATAGAGAATAAGGAAGGGAGTGCTTAAGAAGTGAGCAGGTGGCGGCTTTTTTGCCTTTTATGTGGTACCGGTTTTTTTAAACTTGAACATCAAAAGAAGCGATTTCTGGATGATACTCGATCGAAATTGATTGCAATCCTTTTAAAATATTTCCAAATAGCGAGATAATTTTCCCCGATTAACACACTCTTCTTCGCGTGCCTATATTGTATGTGGGTGGTCAAAGAATGATCTCCCACCGCGAAAAGCCGCTAGTGCCACCTATTGTCTCCACCCTAATTAACTTTCATCATCCAGATTACGTAACAAATAGAGTTAAGGGGAAAGCGAGGCGGCTTTCCAAGTATTATCAAAAGCAATCGGAGTGTGGGTAAAAGTATCTAGAAAAAAGATTGCGTAATGGGTTTTAAAAGTATTTTTTGCGGCGTTTATAATGGAATGTTTAACTAGGAATAAAATCTTTTCCTTTCATCTCTTTAGCGGGAATTTTACGTTTTTTTATTGCTTTAGAACTTATCTTTATTTTATTTTTTAAAACCTTTCACCGCCTCCTTCTTCTCTTACGTCTCTTCCTTGGTGTTATCATTATCGCTATCATTATCACCGTCGTCATCATCATCATCATCCTTATATTTCGATGTTTTCTTCCCATTTTCTCCTTCGGCTCGAATTAACAATAAATAGCAATATCTTTCAAAGGCTTTCTCTGCAAGTTGGGCACTTTAGCATTCTTTGCTGGATAGCCAACAGGTAAAAGTATAACGCATTTTTCATTTACAGGCCTGCCCAATAGATCTCTTAATCTAACTCCAGCATTTAGAGGTGTCGATGTTACGGAGCATAAGCCCGCATTAGTTATTGCTGATACCATGATACCTACTGATATTGCAACAGAAAGATCATTGTAGTAGTGCGTTTTTTTCTGTCCATTAGGCCATAATCCGTATGTCTATTAGGAGAATTTTAAGCAAATTGATTGATTGATTGATAAACATTGAAAAACTCTGCGTTATTGAACTGCCTACCTGTTTAAAGACTAGAATTAAGTATGGAGCTTCTACTAGATACGGTTTGATCCAATCTGTTTTGAACGTCTTAAGATCATTAACCCATTTTTCACCCATTCTTCTCCTATAGTTAATTTCTTCTTCTTCTTCAATAATCTCTCTTATTTTCATTTTTACGTCTTTCTGAGAGATGACAACATAGGTCCAAGGTTCAGTGTGGGCGCCGCTGGGAGCCGTTCCGGCCGCTTTAATTATATTATCTATGACCTCCCTTGGAACAGGTTCGTCGGAGAACATTCTACAACTTCGTCTTGTATTCATTAATTCATAGAATGACTGAGCTTTTTGAATCATTGCAACGGGTTGTAGACGAGGTAATGCGTATGGTATTTGTACATCTTCATTTTTCATTATACTCATAAACACCTGATCGTTAGTTTCTCCTACTTCTTCTTCTATATTTGATCCCACATCGTTTTCCTTATCGAAAACTCTAATATACCTTCCTCTATTTTTAACAAACATAACAACGAAAAACAATCCGAGACATATGAACGTTGAAGAAATGATAAAAGGCCAATAATTGGTGATAAAAGGAGCATGCTCCTCAAAGAACTTCATCATAGACAACAAACCGAATCCGACTCCACGCCTAAGTTGAAATCAACTCTTTTTAATGAGTGCAACCTAACCAGTAAAGTTTTTTCTTTTTATCTCAAAAGTTCATCAGCCTAAAGAGATGACTTATTATTATTACTGCGCTTAATATTTTACATAACTAATATTTCTTATCGCATATTTTAACTATTATCGTGATAAAGTAACTTTTTAATGTTATTTTTTTTATTATTATTCTTATCTGTAACATCAATATCTATCGAACCTTTTAAACTTGACCTAAATTGAACTTTATAAATGAAATATAAAACCAAAAGTGTCGTACGATTCGAGAACTTGAGTACCTAAAGTCACAGTTTTCTAGAGCTCAAGTTGATAGGATTTACGAAGATTTGGGTTGACGAATAACTTGAACGCCATCTATCGATAAGAAATCAAAATAGATATATTTGACTGCTCTTTTCGTTTATATATTCAGAGAAGAATTAGTGAACAATTAGGGCTAACTCCCTTGTGAATAAAAGGATTGGAACCTTTTTGTACCCTTTCAATTTTTTAAGTAATATGTTATTTTCCTTTCTTTAATATAAAAGAAGGAGATAAGAAAGGATAATCCTTATTATTTATTTAGAAATGAATACGAAAGGAAACAGAAGAAAAAGAGGAAAAAAGATATATTCTAATGATTAGTAGAAATTCGATAGAAATCATTTACGGTTCGGCATTTCTCTCAATTAACGTCCCTCAATTTCGTATTCTTCTTTGGTTTAACCAAGCTTTTCGAGACTTGAGGCGGAGTTGTTTTGTACGCGAGAAGGGTGAGAAAAAAGACATAGACTGGATGACGGTAGAAGTGGGCGGATAGTGAAAAAAAAATCAATTTTCTTCATCCAATTCTGTTTTTTTCCTGCTATAATTTCATTGTTTTCGTTTTTTTTCCCTCAATAGAACTTTTTCGTTGTGTTATATGCTTTCCCTTTCCTCTTTTCACCCTCACCTGCTGCCGTTTCTCCTCCTCCCCCTCCTCCTCCTTATCATCATTGTGCCCACTTCTTCTTCGTCTTCTTCTTCTTCTTCTTCTTCGTTACTTCTCTTTCACATCCTTTCATCTTCTTCTGAACTGAGCAAACTCAATTTCGAACCCTTCAAAATATTATATTGCGCTGCAATCCCTAGACGACCTTCCAGGAGACAGTCGTTTGCTGTCCGACTCTCTAGTAAAGCTGTAACGCTATTTGCTGTAGTCGATGCAGTTGTTGCAGTCAATTCTTCTTCAGTCCTACATGATTTAGGCGTACAGCCTGTAATAAGCTTGCAAATTTTCCCCAAAATAGCAGTATAACATTTACGATATGTACTACTGCAAATTGCGTATAAGAGAGGGTTTGTCATTCCAGTCAGAGTGGGTGATATTAAGCAGTAAATGATTGCTACGCGGCCCACTTGATAACCAGCCTGAGACATCGGAATAATTACCTGGAGGGTAAAAAAAATATCATTTAATTAGCCCTAAAGAGAAAAGAGAAAGTTAATTAACCATCCTTTAGGCTAATTACATAGTTTATTTAGTCGAGGATTTCAACTAAAAGGGTGCAACTGCAATAAATCGCTATTTACATAAGCATGACGGAATTAAGATCCGCCAATTTTAATCATCAATTTTTATTAAAAGCTACATATCTGCAATTTTTTGCAGTAGTCTTTGACTTTTTAGGCTGAATTATATTCCAGTCACGCATTGTAAACATTTCCTTTTTATTTTTCCGCGCAGTTTAACAGAAGTTGATAGGGAAGTACTGCAATATTCGTTCTGTGCGCCTTCACGGTTCGCCAGCTTCTATTACGTTAGAAGAGAAAAAAGTTTGTTTTTATCCATTTTTCTGCAGTAGGCAGGATAATTTAAGGTAATTTTTCCCTCTCAGCCTCACTTTTCTCTTTTATTCTCCTCTCTCTCTCTCTTTACCCTTTTAGTTTGAAGAGGAGAAGAAGAGATAGGGAAAAGAAATAAAAGGATGAGAAAGAAAAGGAGGAAATTATATTACTTGGGAGAATTTCGTATTGCAGTATAATATAATAAACTGTCAAAGCGCATCTCTTGCTTTTCTTGATCGATAGTAAAAAGAAACCTTATCTGATTTTGGATTATCTGACGTAATGCGGATATGCTTTATTTTCCTAAAAAACACACTTTGCTATTATAGTTTTTCCTTTATTCCAGAACTAATATATTTTTGCTGTTCGTGCTCTGTAAAAATTGCAGTGTGAAGGATTCCAGCATAATAAAGTTCTATTCATGAACGCCGCTATTGATTTTCTTTCAACGAAAAAAAAGGGGGACAGAAAGAAATGGGACTTACCAAGACAGGGAACCAGGCCAGATAAAAAACTATTGTAACCACTGCTATCAGTAGTGAAAATTCTGCTACCTGTCTCTGATCTGTGAGAGAATCTTTCATACTGTAAACGTCTTTCACTGTTTTTGCATTGCAGGCAAAAGCCACTAGGAGATTAGAAGATGCTACCGCTATGAATACGGCGTAAAATACTCTTTGAACGTTGTCGGATGCTTCGGCAATCAACCACGATCTGCATAGTTTTGATTTAAAAGCTATTGGAGCTAAGCCCATCAATGGTAAGCAGGACACAAACAGAGTTGTAAACGAAATGAGTATGGCAATTATGCGTATTTTTCCATTCGAATAGGGCGTTTTTCGCTCAATCGAATATCGAACGGATAAGAAACGATCTATGCAAATTAAAGTCAATAGGCACATGCCGTTTAATTGCGTCCAATGGACGGTTAGTTGATAAAGTTGACAAGCAATTCTTCCTCCCTTCCATTCCTTCCTGATAAACGATGTGAGTCGGGCTGGTAAAGGCAATAAAACACCAAGAATATCGTTAACGCTCAATGCAGCTATTAGTTCGTCGGTTGACCTCCTCTCCTTCTTTACTACTAATACAGTCAATAACGGAAGAATATTTAGAAGAACTAGCGACGCTTCGATCGTAAATGTTGCAATTGCAACGCTACGATCGTCTACGGACGACGGTCGTTGTATATGCGGCATATTCCTAAAGTCTGACGATAGTTAGCGGTGCGGCGTCAAAGTCACGTGACGCTTCACTTAGCGGACTACAAGCGTTCTTTTCCAGTTATTTTTTTTTATAAAAAAAGAAGATAATTTTGTATTCAAAATAAAGAAAACATTTAATCCAAATTGACTAAGAAGAAATTATTAAATATTTACTCTATCTTAATAAAATTGTATCTTTACGAAATAATCACAAGATCTCTTCTTCTCTGTCTCTTTCAACTTGATAAATTGGATAGTTGTCTTCTTTGATCTCGAAACGATTAACAGCTCCCCTCTAAAAAAGGGAGGAAAACAATCTTAACTTGTCGATTTTACACCCTCTTTGCTCACCTTTTACTTTCTTTTCACCAGTTTTCTCCTACAAAACTTACCTTTATAATGTTTCTCCCTATATTAAAGGTTCTATAAGTCTTTCTATTTGTCGTATTCCTTCCTTTTTCGTTACCTTCTACATCCTCTCTTTCAATTTTCCCTTATAACTAGACCATGAAAGAAACGTGAACATCAAAGGTTACCATAACTACATATGTTTCCTACCTAATTAAGATGTCACAAAACTTAAGTGATTAATTATATTGTCAATTATTTTTCTTAAAATATATATATATATAATTCTTTGTTATCTTTCTTGGTAAAAAGTGAAAGGAATCTTGGTGTAAGAGAACAAAGATAATAATTTTTAATAAAGAGATCAATTAATATTAAGATGGAATTAATTTGTTACTAAAAGAAAAGCTTCTCATTTACTCCTCAACAAGAAAATATCTGATGATTTTTCAAAAACATTATTTTGTTTCAGACACAAATGACAAGTGCAAGGTGAATAAGACAATTATTTTGGTACATTCTCTTCATTGGTAAAGCTTATAGTTTTTATTCAGATATATACAATACAATCTTATAAAAACATGTATAATAGTTTATTCGGTTTTTTTTGAAATAATAGATTATCTATTGTTGTATATAACGTATCTATATATATATATACATTTATAGATAGAGAAAAGAAGAAGAGGATGAGGCAAGGGAAGAGGATTATAATTTTCTTCTTTTTAGCCTCAGGAACCCTCCGAGGAATAGGATATACTGGATCTATAGACAAAGAAACTATAAAAAAAGCTTGTGGATTCGACCTTATGCGTAATCCTAATAAGGCCAAAACTGATTTTCTTTGATAAAACGTTGCCATAGCATCCAATTATTTTGTAATTTAAATAAATCGAGCGTATGTTTTTTGGCCATTTCTGACGTCATTTTTGGATTTGTTAGCTAGTTTTACAGTATAGAATCTCTATCGATAATCTTTGTCAATAATTCGCCATTCGAGACGGGAATTGCTTTACTTAGCACGTCTTATCATGCCATTAAATTCTTTATACAAATCATTATCCAACTGACAAACTCTTTTTTCCATTTCCGATTTCATTACTTTTGTAAAGTAAACTAACAAACAAACATTTTCCGACTTTTATTTGATGGCCTCAATATCTCTGGATAGCCAGAAGGAAAAAAAAAAGGACAAATTCAAAATTAAGATAGTGGTGCCATCTATATAATTCAACCCAAAATATAGTAATAATAACATAATAGAAACAAATGAAGCTTAGATTGCAAATGAAATTCTTATTGAAAAAAAAAATAATTGTAATAATTATTTAATAACTTAAGACAAGAAAATTGCAAATTGATGGCAAGAGAGAGAGAGAGAGAAAGAGAGAAAGAGATGAATATGATTGTTTAAATATATATATATGTATAGAATTATTTGACAGGGTGGAGGATTGGAGCAAGCAGTATAGTGACTGTCAAAAAAAAAATAGAGTGCCAGAAGAAGAGAAACAAAGGATAATAATAATAATGAGAATAAAGACAAGACAAAAAAACAATAAAACAGATATTCAAAAAAAAAAAAAGAAAGAAAAAACAACGCACATCACAGCAAGGTTGATAATTAAGTCTTTTCTATCTCATAATTCATCTTTATTTTTCTCACTTTCCAAATTTTCTTCAGCTAAATTATCTTTATTTACCTCAACTTTTTTCACTTTCTTCGTTTTTCTCTTTTTCTCTGTTTTTCAATGTTTATATAATTTTTATTTATATATATATATATATATATCTTTATATAAAAAAAAACTACTATAATTAATTATCGTCTCTTAATATATAAATTAAATAAATTGAATAATAATGGCAATGAATGATTAAAATAAATTGAAATACATCTATTAACAACGTACACGTAGACGAATAACTGTTTGAACAAATTAAATATGTATATGTACATATTAATTGCTATTATTTCTTTTTCATAATTGAATCGATTCTATAAGATATCCAATAAACGTAAATTGCATAGGTACAAGTAAAAATTATTTGAGCAGGGATACTCTTTCTAAATATAAAGTTGAAAATTACAAATGCGATCATTGAACTGAATAATTTTAGATTTTCTAGATTCATTTCCTTCTCTTTCTGTTTTATAAGTTTTCGTTTTTTCGTCGTTTGCGAACTTTTCGTTGTTTTCTTAGCGCCCTCTACCGAAGAAATAGTTCAAGTAAGTCATTTAAAAGAAACAACAACAACAACAACAATAACAAAGCAAAAGGAAAACGTAGCTAAAAAGGAAGCCTTCATTTTTGTTTGTTCGTTTGCTTTTTAAGATGGTTAGAGGAGAATTAACAGAGAAGAGTGAATAAGAATTATACACCTATTATATATCCAAGTCTAACCAATGAACGAACAGTTAAAAAAAAAGAAGAAAACTATTTCAAAAAAACTACATAGAGGGCGCTTTAATCGCATGCAGAAAGACGATAAAAAAAATCTAATTAAAATATAACAACAATCAAGAAGAAGTGAACATTCATTCTAGTTAATTGGAACAATTAAAAAAATAAAAAACAATATAGAAAGGTATTAAAAAAATATTTAAAAATAAAATTGATTCAATCGCATTCAATCGCTCTTTTTCTAATTCTTAATTAAAATAATTACTAATATTTCTATTATAATTAATAAATAAATAATTACTAATAAAAGACAATAGAAAGAATTCAAATAAAATTAAATTACAACTTACTTTTCTGAGAATTCTTCTGTAAGCACTTTCCATCTTTTCTTTCGAAATTCTTCTTACATTCGCATGTGAATGAGCCAACTGTATTTAGGCAATCCTCGTTACTGTCTTTACAAGGCCCATTTTCTAATGAACATTCGTCGATATCCTGACATGTTGTGTCGTTTTCATTCTTTTCGTAGCCGCTAGCGCATGTTAGACAATTTTCGATACCGTCTTTAGAACATTTTTGACAGGCTTTGTGACATTCTGTCAGGGAGATTATTTAAATATTAATTATGAATATTATATATATATATATATATATATATATATGTATATTACTATGACAGGCAAACGATCCAAAAGTATTCAAACAATATTCATTTTCACTGCATGCTGATTCTTTTTCGCATTCGTCAACGTCGTCACAATTTTTATTCTCTTCATTAAATTTCCAACCTTCCTCTTTACAAGCATCGCATTTATTTGCCTCTTTTCCCGTACAGGAATTGGCACAACCTGGATGACACGGTGAACATTCCAGTGTATTTTCATCTCTAAAGTGTAATGGTGCACATTGTTTACAAGCTATTGCTCCTGGTCCCGTACAATCCTTACAATGCTCGTGGCACTTTTCGCAGGAATGAGATCCTGGCTTATTATTACAGTATTCATCATCCTTGCAAGGACTATCTTCAGCACATTCGTCAATATCTACACAACCAACACCGTCCTCCTCATCAAAGTTCCAGCCTGGTTTACACCTAAAACATAAATTTGGTCCTGGGCCGGTGCAATTGTCTTTACATGACTCGTGACAAGCTTTACATTCTAAGGGTTGCTGAGAATTCTCCTCAGTATCTTCTTTCAATACACGATAAAATTTGGGTGCGCAAGTATCGCATAAATTACCCAAATAACCTTCCTTACATTCGCAATCACCACTTCCGCCTCTAGTTCCATCACCTTCACATTTACCATTACCATTACAAGGTTTTTCACTTCCTCCTTAAATTGAAAAAGACAATACAAATATTTCTGCTGTTTTTTAAAAGAAACAAAGAATTTAATCGATTTGTATACAAACCAACGCAAGGTTGACAATTTTCACCGAACGTTCCGTTTGGACAACAAACTTTAATCTTGTTAATACAAATATATTCTAATAAATTGATATGATCTTTCTTTTTGCTATAGTGTTCCTTCCACCAAACTTCAACATCTTCTTCGTATTCTCCTAACATAGAAGCCGTCTAAATGAAAGAAAACAATAGATAAACTGAATATTCAATATGAAAGAAGTATATGTATTAGTAATCACCTCAGAATCACTAGATTGATATATGCTATCCGTAATTTCATATAGACGAGTTTCACTGTTGAATATATATATATGTATATATTAATATATAATTAATCATTAATTAATCAAGAATTTAGTTATATTTACCTAAAAAAAAATTTCCCTAAACTCTTCTCTTCCCAAGCAGTATTTCCACCTCCAAAATTTGCTTTATTGGTTTTCTTTAGACCCTGTAAAGGTCAATTGAAAATGTTAGTATGGAAATGTATTAGTATTAATATAATTAAACTTTACTTCGTAGAATTTTTCAACGATCTTTTTACAAGAATCGCACTTTTTGGTTATTTTCATTAGAGGTGTTAAATCAACGGCATCCAAAACCAAGATGAATGAAAGTAATACACAGAATGTAATTGTCTTTTCGTATTTCATTTTTATATGTTTTTATTAGTTAGAATTTCATTACATAACAAAGTTGCCTATTCCAATAATGACATAATATTGTCAATCCGGTATTTGTAGAGTAAAGCTGACGTGTTTTGATCCGGTTGGTTTAGATAATTGGTTGAAGTATTCTCAGTAAGTTGGATCGATTTAAGAGGAAATTGTTACAAGATTGATATGCAATCAATCCTTTATATCTCCAAATAGTCTTAGAATGTTGAATTCTATATTTAAATTAGCAATTTTTCATAAAAGACACATGTGCATAAATTAACCAATCAGCGATCGACACATTTTGTTTGGGGAATAGAAAATTTTAAAACCACATTTTATTTTAAACTGGTAGTGAGTGTTTTGTCTAAAAGTAAGGGGTAACTATAGGCTAATATTTAAAGCTCTTTAATGTACTTATTTAACCATTAAAAAATATTGATAATTATTTAAGCAATAAGAAATAGGTATGTTTTAATTTATCTAATTTATTTTGGGGTTAAATTTTAGAAGCACATATTATTTTCTGAATTAACCATACTATTTTAATCTTCATATATTGAAGAGAACAAAAGTAAATAACATATTCTCTAATGCATTCCCGAACCAACTGAAGTTCAACAAAGTTTTCAAAACAACTAGACTAATTGACAAATAAACCATTCAAGGCTTAAATTAGGCCTTTAAATGAGATGACAATAATAAACAGATGTCGCCACTTTCTTATTAGCCGGAAGAGGAGCTAACTTCCTGTTACAAGAAGAGAATGACTACTTCGAAAGATTACGATTTTCTATTTAAATTACTAATTATTGGGGACTCTGGAGTGGGTAAAAGTTCCATTCTACTACGGTTTTCCGATAATACTTATACAGGAACTTATATAACAACAATTGGAGTGGATTTCAAAGTAAAAACAATTCTGGTAGATGGAAAGAAGTTGAAATTACAAATTTGGGATACTGCAGGTGTAACAGACTTTTCTAATTTTCTTTCATTAAATACGCACAAACTACGAAATTTCACATTCTAGCTACCTTACGAATGACAATTGATTGTTACCAGTATAATTGAAATAATAATAGCATTGAAAAATTCCTCTATATTGTATTTGTAGCAATCAGCAGGCAGTATTGCCGACTTAACAAAAATTCAGTTAATTATTTAATCCAAAGAGTCAACAATCAATATAATAAATTAACGTTAATTTATAACAATTTATTCCCCATCTAAAATCTGATTCACTATACTTTATTTAGTAATACCCGACTGTTTATAGGTTATTTTATTAGAAAATAAAGAAGCGAATTGGAAAAGTTCTCTTATTACCAAACTATTTATCCCTAAGAATTAAACAACTAACGATGTCGTCTGTTAAAATATCTTTTAAAAAAAACTACTTAATTGACACTTTAACAAGATAAAAAAGAGGCTTAGCATTGAAAGATTTATCTGTTTAAGGAACAACAATATAAGAATTAATTACATACTTATTAATACGATAAATAGGGTGTGTATCACATTTTGGATTATTTATATAAAACAATTGTTAAAAGGATTGTATTACTGTAGTTAAAAACGCGGGTAAAATCTCTCTAGATTCTATTTTAAATTATGTTGTCATTGCGGAATATTAACAAAATAAGAAAAACAATTGATTTCCCTCAGGACAAGAAAGATTTAGGACGATAACGACAACGTATTATCGAGGGACTCATGGCGTTATAGTTGTTTACGATGTTAATTCTACACAATCTTTCTCCAATGTTAAAAAATGGCTTGAAGAAATTAGGAAAAACTGCGAAGCTGTTCCGGTTCTTTTAGTTGGTAACAAGGATGATGAACCAGGATCTAAAAGTGTTCCAACAAGAGACGGTAGAGATTTCGCGTCCGTTATGGAAGTTGATTTTATAGAAACTTCGGCAAAGGAGAATAAAAATATTGATGAATGTTTCCTATCCATTGCGAGATTAGTACTAGAAAATAAGCTTAATCAAGCGAACGACGAACAAAATAAAGAAAAAATAAATTTAAGTAATAACGGTGAAAACCGTAAAAAGAAGAGAGATTGCTGTTAATAATTACTAATGAAAACAATGAAATATAAATATTGGAAGGATTGAAGAGATTTTAATATAAAAAAAAAAAAGAATGATATTGGACAATTGGAAGAGATAAGATAGGAATAATTTATACATATATGTGTTAAAAAACAAGAAAAAAGTATATTTAAATCATAATAATAATGTCTAAGATAAAAATGAGAGACAAAGAAAAGAAAATAGTTTTTAATCCTTTTTTTTTTTTAAATCTGTCTATTTATTATGCTGAAACTTTATTGTTTTTCCCGTTTAATGTGTCTGTGTGTGTGTCTCTCTCTCTCTCTCTCAGATTGCACTTGTAAACCTAATATGTATATTTACATATTTTTTTCCTTTTTAATTAATTTTGGTTTACTACTTTTTTCAATTTATTTTTGTTCTAGCCTATCTAAGCTCTATCTATCTATCTATTTATCTATTTATCTCGTTCTCGCTCTTCTCATAATCTAACCTATTTCCTGCTCTTTGAGGTTTACCTTACACATCCTTACTGATCTATCAAATAATTGTGTATCCTTCCTCTAATTTCTCTCCTTTTTCGTCCTCTCTTCCCGGTCAAAAAAAAAAAAGAAATAAACTGAGGATAGAATATGGAAAGTTTTCTTTTTCTTTGATTATAATTAAGTATTATTTTGTTTTTAAATTTTGGAAAAGAGGAGGAAAAGTATTTTAAGAAATATATCGACAATAGTTTTAAAAAAAGAGAACAAAATACGGCTTTATTTCTTTTCAATTATATTTTGTTTCTTTATAAAAACAAAACGAAAGCTATCAGAATGAATCTTTGTTCTTATTAAAAATCTCCTTAGGTTCATTAATTTTAATTTATTTATTATTTCGATAATGACGGCTTATCTTGAGATTTTTTAATGAAATATATATATATGTATTCCTTCATGTTAATTTTATGTATACGTATATAAACCCAAATATATTAATATTTGTTGTTGCTATTATTCGTGTATGCCTTCGTAAATGTTTTCTGAAATAAGAGTACATTTTCTTATCGAATATAACAAATAGCCTTTGGGAAATTACGTTATCTATGGTTGTTAGAAGCGCTTTCCTAATATATATATATATATATATATATATATATATATATACAGTATATACATTAATTAAATATGCTAATTTAGTATTATTATTAACATAGTCAAAAATTATTTAAAATATTCATTAAAGAGTTATGAATAAATTCGAATCAATTAATAATAACTACTGTTTACCAAGCTGTTACTTATCCAATTCAACAATTAAGAAATTAGAAAATGACTTTAAATTGATAATGACTAACTTGGAATTGACAGATTGTTTATATAAATCGCAAAAAGTAATCTTTTTCATTTTTAGACGATGATCCGATAAAATACTTTTTATTTATCGATAAGAATAAAAAATATATTTGACATAAATATTTTATAGAAATTCTTCAAAGAACGAAAAAAACTTGGAACTAAACGAGCTGTTTTTCGGGTATAGAAGTTGACTATGATAATCGAAAAAGACAAGTCAAACAAATTATTTTTTGAATAGCACTAATATTGATAATTTAGCAAACTTTAAGAGATTTTGATAGTGAAAAAGAGAGAGAGAGAGAGAGAGAGAGGGAGGCTTGAAGGGAAAAAATATTGCAAGAAGGAAAGGATCTTGAAATTTCTCTCTGAAAACTAGCGCCTTAAATATAAATTACATAAATTTATAATCTTCTTATCTCTTTATACCAAATTTGAAAGGATTTTAAAGAAATCCTATATTTCTAATAAATTTTGTCTGTTTTTACTAATTTGGCTTTCTCTTTTTAAAAGAAAAGCTATAATCTCTTCCTGTGATTTAAGACTATTTATGCCATCTACCGTCAAAGACACATTTTATTTTTCTTTTACTTTATTTTACATATTCTCTTTTTTTAGATGCTTCTTTTTATCTTCAAATATAAATATTCTTTCGCGTTGGAAAGAAGTAAAGAAAAACAACAACAAAAGAGAGAGAGAGAGAGAGAGAGAGAGGAGCAGCAGCAGCAGCTATTGTCATACTTTATTTTGACTTTGTTGCAGGCTTTCTGGAGCAAATGGTAGTGGAACTAGCGGAGCGAAATCCATTTTCTTGAATTCACCGCTGTTATTTACCATATAGTAATCCAAATCAATTCCAAACTATTAGAAAAATACAACAAAAACAGTTAATTTTGTCTTAAAAAAGGTCAACAGCTAACGCCATCTACTTACTTCAATAATAAATTGTCTGCAAGCCCCGCAAGGAGCCTTAAACTCTTCCAAGTCAGTACAAACAGCAATAGCTTTGAATTTTCGATGACCTTGACATATAGCGGATGAAAGTGCACAACGTTCGGCACATATTGTTAAGCCATAAGAGGCATTTTCAACATTTGATCCATAAAAGATATGTCCACTCTCAGTCAAAACAGCCGATCCTACCCGAAAGTTACTGTATGGACAATATGCATTTCCCTTAGCCTTCTGACAACTGTCGATTAGTTCACGAATGGTTGGCGATAGTTCTAAATGATGAATAAATTTGATAATATTAATAGTAAAAAATTAAATTATGTCGGTTACGAGTCACAACTTTACCTGTCATCGTTCACAGCTAAAGTTCAATTGATAACATAAATGATAAGAGGTGATTCTAAACATCACTATAATCTAATCTGTTTTTCCATTTAATCATTAGTTCGTTAGGCTCTAAAGTAGCCAGACCATTTCCCTCCAAAAGTGGCCTTGAGGAGTTTGATGAACAACCCGGGGATCTTAAAGAGATATCGTTTAAAGCGTTATCAATACTATCTCTTAAATGAATTGATGGAGGAGGATCGAAACTAAATCCCGATGGTTTTCTCTCTTCTCTCTCTTGCGGACTATGAAGGGAATCTTCATCTGTTGAAAATTCGTTCTCCCTTTTTATCCTTACAAATCCTCTCTCCTCAATCAACATAGATGCTGGCCGAGATCGATGCTTGCTCATTCGAACAATTTCCATGACAGGCTCCTCTCTATCCGATCCGCAAGAACAAAACAATCTAACGAATGGACACCACGTTGTCTTCCTCGTGTGTGCATTATATCTTTTAAAAAACAATAATTCATTGTAGCGTTTCTTCCATAAAATCTCTTTGTTTTCCCTATTGTACAATATTATACTCTTATTTATATATTTATTAATCACCTGAATGGTTGAGTTGCAACTAATGACATAGCCAAACTCATCGAGATCTCTGTAATCCTTAAACCCAACTTATAACCCCACCAAGGCCACGCTTTCACAGTAGACTCATCAGAAAATATACTATAAACTCCAACCATACTATAAATCTGCAGAGCGGCAAATACAAGACCTAACAAGGCTGTCGCTAGAGTCACTTTAACGGCTAGATTAAGCGTCAATTTAGGTCGTCTAACCGGCGAGACGTTGGCCAAATTATTGGCGCTCGATGTTAGTTTATAAACGTCAGCTTGCCTGTTTCTAGCTGCCTTATACAATCTGTGAAATATATAAATGTAGCCGACAAATAGTAATAGACCCCAGACAACCGATGCAAGTTGACAAACGAATAGAAGAATTTTAGAATTATAGTATAGGCCAACAACAATATCCGTTATAAACGACAATAAGAAATGAAAGACAATAATAGCTACTAAATAACGTAACTTTTGAATTTTCGGAGATACAAATTCCATTTTTGTTGCCTGTAACAAAGCTAAAAATAGAATACTAAATGCAGATGTTATACAAGGAAATGCAGTAGTATAAAGAAAGTAGGCGACAGCTGTCGGAAAAGTTCCTCTTGCATTATAACCATCAATTAGAAAATATACGGATCTGTTAGGAAGATAAAAAAGAAAAATAAAAGGCAGAAAAACGATCATTCTTTATCCTATAAGAACATATTACGTAGTATAGACACTGCCAGGCGTTAGTAATTTATTTCTTTTTATAAAAACAAAAAATTAACAAACTTCTTGGCCTACTTTTCTTGTTTTATTTCTTTTCAACATTAACAAAAGGCATGTCTTTATTTAAAAACAGAAGAGTAATGATAATAAGTCATATAATAAATATAAGTTTATGAGGAAGAAGAAGAATGAGAAAGCAATTGGTGAAAAGGGAATAAGGGGAAGAGAAAAAAGTAAAAAATTACAAGTAACCCCGGAGCATCACTCTGACGGCTTGGACATATCAGAAGCCATAAAGAAAACACAATCAGGAATGTTTATTTAGGCAAAATGGGGTATGAAATCAACACTATTTCAACATATGCATTCTTTTTAGATATATAGTATTTATATATTCTGTATTTATATAATTTAAATATAAATATATAAATAACAGGGTAATTAATAATATATATATATATATATATATACTGTATACAGCTATCTACACTAAATAAAGTGGTGGATGCATTTTAAAAGATTTGGAGAATTTCCAGTGCACGCGTTATTAGAATATATTCCAGATTTCTCTCTCACTTTTACTCTCATTCTATCTATCTCTTCTTTTTCTCTTCCTGTCTCTCTCTCTCTCTGTCTTTCTCTTTCTCCCTTATTAAACTCTCATTCTATTTCTTAAAACTGTTAATGTTAGGACACAGATAGCTGTGCCCCCTAGTTTTATTCTCAAAGTTTAATTACTAAAATAGTAATGGTTCTTCTATGAATTTTTATAGATTTCTTTAGTTTGATATCATGAATATGCAAATAACCTAATTATTGTCAAGTTAACTAATTAAAAAAGAAAAAAAACAGAGTACCTGTATTATTCATATTTTATTACAAAAGTCAATAACCTATTACGCAAGTAGTTTGCATGTTTAATAGCTCATAAGTAGGTTATTGATTGTTCAAGTATTAGTAAAGTTATAAATGTAATTCATTATCTGATTTATGGACATTGATAGATGGGAAAATCAGTAGGAATATTGAAAAGTTTAACTGTAACATGTTCATCCTTAAATTTGTTATTTAAAGAAAGCTGTTTGTAATTGAATAGAAAGTTGGCCTATAAGTTTACTTCTAAGACAAAAGAAGTATATATTTAACTAACCTGGAAAGCCCCATTAACAGTAGTATTGAATTTAATGATGCAAAATAGCGCAAAGATAGTAGATTCTTCTTTTTATATAAACGGACAATTGCCGTTAAAGAGTAAATAGCCAATATAAGGAATAAAGCACCACTAATGTAAACTTGAATATCATAAGCTACTCCCCAAATCCTTAAAGCTTCCTTCCATTCGGGTTCGGGTTCAACAAAACTATTTGGAAGAGTAGTTCCTTCTGGTTCACCTTCACTTTCTGGCTCACCTTCCGCCTCCTGTTCCGCTTTACCCTCCAATCTATAAGAAGGTTCATGAGTTGGTAGATAGTTGCCTCGCATTTCTCCTCTTAGAGTGTTATCGATGCAAATACTGTGCTGCCTTCTGTACACATGACAATAGGTCGAAACGTAAAATATATATATATATATATATATATATAAGTTATATTCTGTATATAGTATTTAAAACTATTCAGTTTTATTATAATCTAATTAATCGCAAATATTCAGAAATGTTCAAGTGATACCTTAATTAATTGTATTTAATTAGTAGATGAAAGATTCTAATCTATATCGAATTACAATTCAATTAAATGCTATTATATGCAATTTTTCTTATCTAAATGGGCTGTTATTTTTTATATGTCACCAGGGAAATGCAGGAGAGTTACACTATTAAAAAAGAGAAAGAAATAGGAGAGTGAAGAACAAGATCTATATTAACTTAAATATTTACAAAAAATATAGTCCTATCACCTTACAATCTATGAAGATATTCTGCGTCCCTCTCTTCTTCTTCTTTTAGTTTCTATATGAAAATCTTACTTGCGACTACTTTTAACTTTCTTTATCAGTATTGGAAAATTTCGCAATTCCAAGAAACACCAAAAAAAAAAATTATTATTCTGGTTTATTTCCTTTACAAGAGATAAGAAGAACGAAAGAGAAGATAAAGAAGAAGAGAAGTAAAAAAATTGATGTATAAATATAAATACTTTATATATTTAAAGATTTGTATCTGTTGCTTAAAGTAAAATAATAATAATAAAAAGAAGAAGAAGAAGAAGAAGAAGAAAAATATCACTAGATAATTGATATACTACAGCAAAATGGGCAATCGACCGCAAAATGAAATTTTTCTTTTTATTTTTTTTTTTTTGGCAATAGATTGATCGTTTCATATAAGAAATCGATAAATTTACTTCTAAACAAAAATAGATAATGAGGGAAGGGGGCGGTGGGAAAAAAACTCTCGAGACTGTTATAAAATATTTACTAAATCGTTTTATTGTATATAAATGTAATAAATGTAAAACACACATAAAAAATAATCTTGATTCTTTTTTAAATAAATTTTTTTATAGCTAGTATAAACTGGTATTGAATATCTATACAATACTATGTAATGAACTACTATTACTAATAATATAATTAAGTTGTATATTATTAACATTTGCTTATTATCTATATACATATATATATATATATCGCCTGTCTTTCCCTATCTCTATATCCGTCTTAGTTTATCTAAGTGTTAACTTAATCAAGTTTCTTTAAGAGGTTCTTTTTGATAAAAAAAAGTTGACGAGTTTGTTTAAAACTTTTCTCTTTCAAAAACCTTTCACTTTGTAGTGTCTGTAATTGTTTACTTTCTAATCATTTATTCATCGACGCTTTTTAATTCATTAGCATGATTAATAACGAAAATAAATATCCTGACGAAACTAGGTTCAATTTTTATAATAATTCCTTCATATATATCATTTAGTTTTAGTAAAATTTATCAAGTGAGATACTTAACTCTATTAAATTCACTTTTCATAAGCCTATACAGGCTTAATTCTTAGAAAAGCTTATTAATACCAAACTTTTTTATACTGAATTGAATGATTAAGTTGGTTTAGTCAGCGACCTCTGTGCTTAATTTTAAATGGCTAGTGGTGACATCTGCATCCAAACAAGCAACCAAAAAATAAAGAGGGTAAAGACAATAGACTAATAATTATATTTTCAGGGAAGGTATTAATGGGCGTGTTTTGTTTATTTCCTTTTCTCCTATCTCTTCTTATAAAAGCCTCTAACAGAGAAAAAGAGTACAGTTAACTTTAATTACTGAAATTAAAGAAATAATTAAAAAAATACCAGCTCCACCTTTTCTTACGCAGTATGACAAGTTTTTGTTGTTAGAATATATATAATGAAACCGTATGGAATTTATAAAATAATCATGAAAAAAAATAGAAAGAAACCTTGAAAAAGAACAATAGACAATAAAAGTTCGAAAGAAATATAAAAGAATATAATAAAACACCAAAAAAATGGAGGTGAATGTTATAATATGTCTTATGATGCTACAATAAAAGAATGATACTATTTTTAAAACAATTCCAAAATTAAAAAATAACGTTAGAAAGGCTGAAAAAGGAAAAGAAGAAGGTTTTATATCGATAATAGAAATGTATGCAGTATAAAAGGATTCAAGAGATCTTGAGATAAAAAAATTTATGGATTATAGGTGTGCTCTCTTCTAATATATTATCAATAAAATAGGATAATTCAAAGATGTGCAAATAAATAATCTCATAAAATATATATATATATACTAATATATTTTTATATTACATCTGATAATAAAAAAAATTTCAATAGATTACATCTTGTATTGTTACATAATAAATGCTCCTTTCTATATAATGTATAGATTTGTACATTTATCTTCTATCTATTGGAATTAAAAGAAGACAAATTCTATATTTTAGTTATACTGTATATACTGTAAAAAATTTGCATTTACGTATATAAGCAACGCAAACACTTATTGATATTTTAAGCACTTATTCATTTATTTATTTAAATTCTTTTTTAATTACATTAAAAATATGATTTTAATAATAACTTTGGAAAAAAAGTTTGTTATTTCGGAACGCCATCTATCTATCATTTTCTTTCTATCTATCTCCCTGTCTCCTAACACACTCCCTCTCCCCCCCCCCCCTTCCCTCCCTCCTTACCTCAAGTGTCTTTTTGGCCTTTCTTCTAAGACATATATTAATTTATCATAAAAGTATGGAAACAAAGAGAAATGATTACACCCTAATTATAACTTTCCAAGTCTATTTATCAAGGTTTTTTACTCTAAATAGGGTAATTTTAAAAAAAAAAGATTATTCATCAGGAAACGGTACATTCCGTTTCCTGCCTTCGAACTGTTTTGCATTCTCTATGATAATTCCGACCAACAGTAAATTGTCCACTAACTGGTAAATATCAATTAATCGTAATCGAATTTAAAGAATTTCATTTAGTACAAGAATTGGTTATTTATGTAATAAAAGTCCTCAAAAAATGTACATATTTCAGTAAGAAATTGAAAAATATTGAGCGATAATAAGAAAAAGTCATAATTATGTCTGGTTGTGACACTTTCGTTAGTCTACCTCCAGCAACGGGTGGCAATTTTGTAGTATTTGGAAAGAATGCAGATAGACCGGATGATGAAGTTCAAGAGGTCATTTTCATTTCTTCGATAATAAATCCAGCTGGTGGCAAAGTTAAGGTATTATCATTTAGCAAATTCAAAATCAATTCACTTAAAATTCCATTATGGGTCGTCTAGCGTTAGCTGTTGTTATTGAGCATGCAAATAAATAATCCATCTGTTATTATTTAATCATTGTTCTTTCCTGTCACTTAACCTAGTTCTTTATTTGTTTGAAAGAGGAAAAACCATCAATATACCACTTTTACATAAAGCAGATCGGTTGCCTCTGTAAATCTATTCTTTATCTACCATTTTCCGATGTTTTTCAATATATTTTAATATCGCATTCCGTTGTGCAGTGCACCTATATTGAAGTTGAACAAGTGGAGAAAACCTATGCGGTTGTCTTAAGTAAGCCAGCTTGGATATGGGGTGCAGAAATGGGAGCGAACGAGAAAGGGGTAGCCATCGGGAATGAAGCTGTTTGGACTCATATGGGTGGTAAGGAAGATTTACAAGAAAAACTACTGGGAATGGACTTATTGAGATTGGGACTCGAAAGGGGTGGAACGGCTAGAGAGGCATTGGAAGTCATTACAAATTTATTAGAGCGTTACGGTCAAGGGGGGCCTTGTTCCGAACAATTAGGCGGAAGCTCATTTGCTTATCATAATAGTTTCCTAATTGCTGACCCTAAAGAGGCGTGGGTGTTGGAAACTGCTGGTAATGTCTGGGCAGCCGAGTTAATTAAGGAAGGCATCCGTAATATTTCCAATCAATTAACCATCAGAAAGAATATAACTCTGAATTCCACAAACATGAAAGAAATAGCTATAGAGAAGAATCTTTGGAATAAGGACGATGGAGAGGAATTCGATTTTGCCAAAGTATTTAGTTTTCAATTCGAAGAAACCGAGCTAGGAGATGGACAGCCAAATTCTAGACAGTTATGGGGAACGAAGTTATTGAAAGAAGCATCCGTAGATGGCGTTACTGTATCTAAAATGATGGATATTCTAAGGCCGGTTTTTTTTTAACGAAATTAAAGAATTTATTTATCTCTGAACTCTGAAAATAAGCCTAAAATCTCGAAATTTGAAAAAACAATTAAGCTCTTTTTTTAATATTAAAATGAAGGTTTCTTGCTCTCTTTTTATTAAAAATCTATAAAAAAATCGGTCTTAGGCATAAGGAATCTGGAATTTGTATGGAAGGTTGTTTTCGGTCGGCCGGAAGTCAAGTATCTGTCTTATCTGAAAATTCTATTCATTTCTTTACTGCAACACCAATACCTACAGAATCATTTTTTAAGCCATTCGTGTTCGTTGATAACATAAAATTCGGAAATCTAACAATCTCTCCAACTTATAAAGATGATCCAGCAAAAGTAAAGCCGAGATTTAGGAAAAGAGTTGATAGACGTCACGAATTATGGAAAGGTCACGATAAATTGATGGAACAATTGTCTTGTTCCGACGAAGAGGAAGCGGAAAAGGGTCGGAAATGTATTGAAAATTTGCGTGAGTTGGAAAAGAACTGTATCAGTGATATCATAGAAGCTGTTGAACATGGAGAGGAGGCTTCAGCCAAGTTGGTTAACATTTTTGATCACATGGTCCAATTGGAGTTGAACTTTTACAGTCAATTCGATGCCGAATAGTAAATTACGAAATGCTATAGCCATTAAAAAAAATAGAATAAAAAAACATTCCAATTGTGAACCAATTAAACAACAAAGAGGAGAATAACTCTTTTCTTTATTTTCATTTATTGTTCCTCCCTCCCCTGTCCAAGTTGTATTGAAATTAAAATGATGAATGTATACTGTATTACATATTGAAAAATGAAAGAAATAAAATATATATATAATCAGTACATTACGTGTGGAGTTATAAGAATAATGGCAATAATAATAATAATAATGAAAGAAAAAAAAACCGTCCTATAGGTATCTCTTACGCCAAAGTAGGACAAATCTCCGTAGGAAGTATTTTAAATATAAAAAAAACGTGGCATATATTTATAATTACTAGCTTAAAGTTGGGTAAAAATTTCTATAGATGTAGAAATTCCCTTTATTATATAATTGTAATCTAACTGGATTAATCCTATTTCTAACATGTAGATCATATAGATAATATACAGTCTATTTAATAACAAGTCACTTTTTGTTTCCAAAAGGCAAGAGGAGAAAGAGATAATATCGTTATACTTTCCGTTGAATGATGATTACGAATTGTTCTGTGTTACCAATAACATATGGTACATTGTTAATGGGAACGTTCGTAAATAGTAAACTATAGTAAAAAAGCTTAGCAGTCGGAAACATATGCCGATATTGATCGTTTGTCTAATTTGTACTTTAAAGATCTTAATTTTCATATTGATTATGCTACATTTATTCAGGAAAATAAATAAAAACTCCTAGGCACTTTAAAATTTAATAATAGCAGAATACTAAAGCATATATATTAAATAGATTAAATGCAACCCATGCATATATACTATATTTATATATATATATGTATGTATATCTTCCAACAGGTGAACAGCTTGCCAAGGACATACAAGCCTAATTAAATGTAATTAAATTATTGCAGGTTTCGCTTTACTCTTCTGAACAGGCTTTTAATTTAATGGGAAATTTAGGAAAAGAGGCTTATAATTACATAACAAGGAATAAAGAGAGTTAGGCGAGAAAATTATGTAAAAAAACTATCTGGAAATATAGACGAATAAAAAAATAGTAGACAGAAAGATAGATAGATAGATAGTTAGATAGTTAGACAGGAAGGGAGATAGATAGGTAGATAGATAGATAGATAGATGAACGAATGGATTGAAAATCTAAGGAATTTTTTTTTAAAGAAAAAAATAACTTGTTTATCTTAGATGATAAATACTTTAATCGAAGCATTAGCTACATAGTTTAAAGGTTATTTGAAAAAGAAAAAAGTATGCTAATCAACTATAATTTTGTTGTAACAAATAAATAAAAACGACTGTTGGAGCGAACATTTACTTATAAATAACTAATTGGTTAATCAATTAATCCATTTTCTTTCCTCCTTCAATATCTTCTCTTGAAGAGATCTTAGGTAATATATGGCTATTAGAGTAAATATTGCATAATACTAATAAATATCGTTGATTAAAATCACTTTATATCACTTCTAAAAATAAATCTATTTACGTCTAAAAAGAGCATTTATTTTCAACATTCCTTATTCTAAATCAATTTTTTAACCTTTAAATGAATAGCACTGCCGAGAAAATGATAAATAATACAGAGAAAAACATTATTTAAAATTAAAATTCAGTCGAAATATAAATCATTGAAGAATAACATGTGCATATGAATGAAAGAAGGAGTGCCATTCACGTTTAATCGCAACTTTAACCTATAGCTCTCTCGGCTATTGTAAATCGAATAGCACAATATTTTCAATCTTAAAAAGTATGCTCTATACAAAGCATAGATAGTGATAAAGTCACACTTTCTTAATAATTCAGCCTTTTTTAGTTTATATACAGTATAATTTATACATATATATATTTTATAAGCATAATTAAAAACCAACTAGGCCTAATTTCAAAAACGAAAGAAATAACAATTCCAATTATTTTCAAGTACGGTTGTAGAATAGAAAATGATTCTAATGAACGAAAATTTAAATATTATTGATTTAAAAAAAAAGTTTTTTCTCCTGTTTTTTCTCACCCACCACCCCCGCCCCCTCCCCCTTCTCTCCTCTCCCTCCTCTCCCTCTTCCCCTCTCAAGTAATTTAAGTCTTTCTTTGAGATTTTACAGATAAAGTTTATTATTTGAAAATAAAAAAATGAGCTATTTTTAGAAATAAAGTCTCTTTTGTATACTTCTATCATAGAGAGAAAATATGGGATGAAATTACTTAGATTTTCCTTAATTATTTTTTATACACTTGTATATAAAATTTTAGTATTGATCTCTCTCTCTCACTCACTCAGTCAGTCACTCACAAACGCACATACATATACACACACTGACTGTCTCTCTGTCTCTCTCTCTCTCTTTCTATATATACATATATATATAGAAAGTCAGACAGGTATTTTGTAAAGACACGAAAATGTAGACAAGCTACAGACGAATTATGGTGAAAAACAATAATTAAAAATTATCATTCGATTGCTATTTGTTCTATTAATCTATTCATATTATTATGCTTTTGATATGTTTTTGGAAAATGTAATGCTTGCTTGTGTATATTAGTTGATTATTATGGCTAGATTTAGGTCAAAAGCTAGACTGCTTTTCTTATTCGCCGATCGGCCATCAGACCTATAAGACAACCTTTTTCGAGGAATCCAACCTATTTGTACACCTGATCGCAATTATCTGTACGGTGTTAAACAATTTAAGTTGTATTTGAAATATCCTTTCTGAATTCTTTCAACAAGATTCCAGTTAGGTTAAAATCTTTTAGGATAATGGAAACTCTTTGTTTTATCCCATTCCTCTTTCAATGCTTTTCTCCCTCCTTATATAGTGGATTTTACTTTAATTGTTCCATATGATTTCCCATATTGCATATCGATTATACTGTATATACATATATATATATATAGTTTATATGTTTTTGACAAAGTCTCTCAATGGAGATCGTTATCATTATTTTCTCAAAGAGCATATTCAAAATAGCCAAACTGTACAATAATAATAATGCTACTTAGCCTCATTCCTTTAAGTATTTTAAGGAGAAAAGACTTGAATATTGAATGGTTCATTTCTTTATTAAAAAGGAAATCTTTTATTAAAAATTATCATGAACATAAAAAAAATTTGACTCTTTTTATGAAAATTTGTGACAGTTCGCCGAAGAAAGTCAAGTATGTTATGTGGAAATACTTCCTCACTTCCTCCCCTCTCTCTATATTATACATATTATACAGCTATTTTACTGCTGATACGCATATTCTATACGTTTTGAAGATTATGAACAACTTTCATTTCTAAGCAGTGAAACCTTGAAAAAACGTTTAGAATTAATATAGTTGAAAGTCCAATAATCACCTGGAGCCGAAGCTAACCGAATGTACAAGAGTAACACATTGTGAAACGTATATTTGAATCAATAATTGCTAGTAGGTTTTAAAACAACTAACAGATGTTAGGTACAAAGTTTGGTGCTGCAAGAAAAAAAATGCACTTTGCACGAAATACTACTCCTTTACCCTCTTTCTATCTATCTATATATATATCTCTCTCTCTTTCTCTCTTTCTCTCTTTCTCTCTCTGTCCTCTCTCTCTCACTCACCCACTCACTCATTCACTCACTCACTCTCTCTCTCTCTCTCTCTCTCTCTTTCTTTCTTTCTTTCTCTCTCTTTCTTTCTTTCGATACATTTTCTTAATTCGTAAACTTTCTTCCCTCCCCCTTCCCACTTCCCCTTCTTAATGGATCGACTATCCCCTCCCTCCTTTGCACTCCTCTCATTTCTCACCATATAATCTTTTTTCTAAATGGCCCAGTATAAATTGACCAATTCATCATTTCCTAATAAATTAACCATATTGTATTTGCTAAATTAAATGTATTTGAGCTTATTTGGAAGATGGCGTTGACTTGAAATTTAACTATTGCAACGACATCTGCATTGATAAACAGAAACAAGTAGGTTAACGACCTAATGATTATTTTAGACAAACGATCAAAACTTTTGCTTAACTGAATGTAGACAACTGTATGGTTTGGAAGCAAACTAGACATTCACAAATGTTACTGCTCAATTCTATAGTCTTACTATTTTCGCTTTTTACTTTTGGATTTGACATAAATAATAAAACTTTTACATAATTGATTAATATCTAAATTTTATGGCAGTAGCCATTTATTGCGACATGTTAATGACAGTTCCTAGTTGAAATCAGGAAGCGTGACGGATCGAGCAAAAAACAAGGAATTGCACTTAATGACCGGTCCGCCTATGGATTGTAGTTAGTCTATGCCGCTGTTTACTGCATAATCGGGGGGAGTAAAATGGAAGGGCGTCGAAAGGTTGTCACGTGACCTACGTATTATTGGAATAACAATATATATTTGAAATAATTTTCACCCTTAAATCATATATGAGAAGTAAGTAGTGACTTTGTTTAATAATATGTTGACAAAGGTGTGCATAATTGTGAAAATGAAAGAAATAAGAATCTATTAACTTGCAAATAATGCGGTTAAATCTTTAAGTTTATAAAACATTTGACCTATATATAAATTAATTTGTATTTATATAGTAATTTTGATTAAAAATCTAAAAAAATTATTGAAAATTAAAGGAAATACAAGATATTTTTATAAAAATCCAGGGAGTAACGGCCATTTTGGTAATAACCTAATTGTGCCGGTTCTTCAGACACGCCATAGAAATGGACGAGTGCATGTAAAACAGCATTTTTTTACGAATCGTTGAGTGACAACATTATATCTTTAGAGAGTTATCAACCAAAAGGTTGAAAGGGTTTTTTAAATATGAAAAAATTACCGAAATTTTATGATCCCGGCTGGAAAAAGACGGAGCCGCAAATCGAAAACTGCAGATTGGATTTTACTGTATTGGACAACACTACGGTTTCGTGTTTCTCAACTGGAGGTGAGAAGAGACTCTGCATGCCCGAACTTTTAACTAAAGTTTTTAAAAACTACTTTGAAATGGAGCAAGTAGTAAAAGCCTGTGAAAGTTTGAATATAATTTTAACCGACTGCACTGATTCGCAATTGGAAAATTTAATTGAAAAGAAAATTTTAAGCGTACGACCAAAGCTTTGTGGACTGATAAAGAAAACTGATGCTGAAAGACTATGTAGCTATTTATTACATTCTGATGCTGAGAAGGCGGAATCATCGCATTCGGATTCCCCATTTGCTTTTCAAGTATACCACGAATGTTTTGGTAAATGTAAAGGGATTCTGAATCCACTACTATATAACACACAAACGTCCCCATGCATTAAATGTACCGAATGCAATTTATTGTTTTCCCCTCAAAAGTTTGTCAGTCATTCTCATAAGCCAAACGAGAGTAAAACGTGCCATTGGGGTTTCGAATCGGATAATTGGAGGTACTATCTGATGTTAGCGAACAAACAAATGGGCAGGAGAGATCGGCTGGAAAGAGCTTTGGAAGATGTTAAAGCCAAATTTGATCCTAATACTACAGTAAAGAGAAAGGTAGGGAAAATTAGTCTTACTATTTTAACAATCTAACGTGACGCTCTTGTTTGAATGGTTTCGTAATTAGTAATCATTAAGATCGTTTTGATAATAGAAAAATAGGGGGAAGGGAAACGTCTAAAGAGTATTCAGTAACGAGAGTTGTACATATTGTAACAATTTTCGTAGCTGACACGTGGTCAAACGGGCTTCATTTACTATCTATATTGTAACAATTTCTTAGCGTGCCTGCACATGGTCAACAACGGTTCGATAAGCTGGAATGGGAAACCCTTTGATACTCAGTCTTAAATTTTTTCGTAGGATTAAACGTAACATTCCTCTGTCTGTTCATTTCATTTATTTTTTTGATTCTGTATATATTCCGGTGATTAAAAAAAAATAGGTTAGCACACATAGACAGAGAGAGAGAGAGGAAAATGTGGAAAGGGGGTGTGCTGTTCAGTATACACCGATCAAATGTAACAATTTCTGAGGTTAGACGGCGGCCGGGCTGATCCGGTTTGGTTTTTATTACTGTCCATATTTGTAACAAATTTTCGTAAATATATCCCTATTCACCAACTTGTTTATGTTTGCTTTTCAAACCAATCTATATACTTAATGTATCTATATCTAGCAAATATGGACTATATAAATACATAAAGATCATCAATCATAATGAGAAAAAATTACCCTCCTAAACTTATAATTATACCAAAACCCGCATGATAACCCTTTTCTATATTAGCAAAACAAAGGCCTATTCGTGCTACTTGTAAACAATTTCCAAGTTAATTTTAATCCCAGTATTTACCATATTGAGGGAAGATTAACAAAATTATACGCTTAATATCAAATTTAACTCATAAAGCCATTTTAATTAAAAGATTAAATTGACTTCTATCTAACCCTTTTCATCAATTATTACTATTATTATTAATATTTAATCTAATGTATTATCATTATATAATATTGAAACCAACAATTTCTAGTTCTAGTAAACCGTCTAGAAAAAGTCATTAGTAAGTTTCCTCAAAAGGAGATAGTAAATAGATTATTTAATAGGGTTTTTAGATTCTCCGCTCTCTGTCTGTCTGTCTGTCTCTGTCTCATACTCTATATATATATATATATATAAAATAGTGTGTACAAAGACTGAAAGGCTACGGGGGACACGAAAACTTCATGTATGCATGAACCGTTATACTTGATGCTCTATAAAAAAATTACCCTGGGACATGTGCATTTTTTTTCTTTAAATATAAAAACTACTTAAAGATCCTATTTTTTCTCTCTCTCTCTCTCTTTCTTTCCATTCCTTCTCTTCCCCCCCCCCGCCCTCCTCACAATAAATAGGCCTATAAGCTATAAAAAAATTTTTTTTCAATAAGAATTAACTAGCGTGTATACAAGATTTGTTAAATATAGAATGTTCGGACAGTGAAATCTAAATAAAACAGTGTATATAAAGAATATAAGATGGATATTATACATATATAGTGTATAGTTTGATATTTTTAGAATATTCATATTTTATATTATCTGTGTTTATTTATATATTTCGTAGTATATTTTTCAAGTACAAAAAAAAAAAAAAGAATGTTGTTTACCAAAGTGTAAAAGAGAGAAAACAAAGAGGGAAAGAAAGGGAGGGACGGAGAGAGCGAGAAGAAAGAAAAAAAGAAAGAAAGAAATGATTGAATGAGGGCGGAGGCGTGAAGGGGGTAGAGAGCAAAAAAGTTAATAAATTGCGTCAAATATATTTTAGTCATAGGCTATTATGTAATTATATCCGAGTAAAGTTCAGTCTTTAAATTGCACGTGATTAGTAGCTATTGTGCCGTTTTTCATCTTTTCTTACTCTCTCCACCAATTATTGACACGCGCATAATGTCAAAGACCCATTTAAAGACTAATTCAGCTATGACGACATGCTTCCCTTATCTGTCCTTCCGATATCACGAGTAGATAAGACACAATGTTGTTTACGAGAGGGTAAATTAAACCAAGTCTCCATATTTAATCATCTTGTTAGGCGGTCTTAAAGAAAAGGGAAATGGGGTAATCATTTCGAAGAAATGTTCATTTACCTAGAAATAGCTTCTATTACGACGGCCTATGTAAGACGTCGTCTAGACGTCTTTAAAGGAAGTGATCATTTTTTACTGTGTAATAGGTCGGTCGATCGTTTTAAACTTTTTATCGATTCCATTATCAAAGACATGCCAGTGTTAGTGGCTAGATAAAAGGAGGTCAATGAGGAACTATTTTGTCTGCGCGTAGTAATGCGGCAGTCTGTCTCTCCTGTGACCTCAGCAAAGTATATTATTACGCGTTGTATTTTTCGCGCCTTTTTTATTATGCGTTTGATGTTGCGAATGACTAGGCTTTCAACTCTATAAATTTGTATTGGCTATGTAATCGATTTTTTTAGACTAACATACCTTTTGTCGTAAACAATCAAATGTTATTTGTTGTTATATCGCGCTTCGTGGAAAAAGAACCCTGGGAGTTTTTCATGGAATAAACGAGACGTTGGGGGAATGTTTGAGATAAGCGTCTCCCCCCTCCCTCCCTCTGTTTATATATAGAGATTTTTATGTCTACATAGAGACAATTGGTATATATATATATATATGTTATGCAGAATACAGTAGAATAGATGTATTTATAGACACAGACCCTATGAATACGAATATATACAGAGTTTTGTGTGTAAAAACATTACAAAAGTAATATTTTCAGATAAGAGTTGAATTAAAAAATGCGCTACTGATTGATATCTTGACCCGCGGGAAATTGTACTCTTTAAAAAATTAGGTACAATGTTAATTCCATCGGCTACTTTACGCAGATTGCTAGACATTTACACTACAGACTGTTACCTTATAAGAGTTTGAAAGGATCTAGATTAAATTGATGGATAAGGCGTGAGGTTATATGCCAATGTACCAGAAAGCGCAAACAGTCTCCTTTCCTGTTTTTATCTATTTGCTTTTAACTGTTAAGACTTCTGACTCCAAAAAAAGTAATTAGTGGGAAAGAGTTTGACAAGACATCAACCCCGAAGGAAAGAGGAGGAAGGAAAGATGGAGGGAAATTTAGATCTAACACGACAATATATTCAACTTCAATATTTGTCTACGCCTAAGGCCAAGAATAAAATTTTTTTCGTTTCTCTAACAAGTACAGTATATTGAGCTGGCTGCAGTAAAGAGAGTAACGAGAAAAGGCATGCAGAAAGAGAGGAAGAGGGAGGGAGGAAGGGAGAAGGAGAGAGAGAGAGAGAGAGAGACAGAGAGACAGAGAGTGAGAGATATGGGGCGGAGGGTGCTTTAGGGGTGTGGAAGTAGGAGGAGTTGTAGTTTCAGTCTTTGCCTATACAATCATATTCTATTTTCTTTCTTTTCTGTTCACTATCTATTATTATTTTATTCTTTTATTCTTTTCTTTCTATTACTGTTTAAAAAATAGATGAGAGATATTTCAACGATTAGATTGATAGAAAGAAAAAGGATGAAATTTTGAAAAGCGCCTGACATGCACATTGGAGATAATTATATTTGTCACGAAAGTAAAAAGACATATATATATATATATATAAACCATATGGGTAAAAAGATGGGAAATTTTTCAATTCTCGTCTTTCGTCAGAGTCGTTTTTATTTGAGACGAAAAAAGCTGTGAATTATTCATATGACGATAGAAACCCCCGCCTTTTTCGGATACGCTTTTCCTTTACAAATCGCCTAATTAACACCACAACGCTATTTTTTAGTTTTCTGTCTCTTTACTTTAACAGTATGTACTCTTTTTTTTGTTATAGTTTCAATGGGAGATCGATCTGTTTATAAGCAGGTGCAGCAACGAAAACTGTTGTACAGTTCAGTAGGGGGTAGGGTGAACGAAGCGGGGAATAAAAGAATTGTAGTTATTAAATACGGATGTCAATATTCAAAACATCTTTAATCAATAAAAATACTTGAATGGGTTATTTTTGAATGTTTGCACGCGACATGTCGATAAGGGCGCGTGGAGATAAAGCAGTGAATTTTGCAAAAGCGTGTGCAACGGCTGACTTGAGCATGTCTAGTAGTGCAACGAAGCGTTAATTACCACAGATATCAGTAGTCTTTTTAATTTATTGCTTACTAAGGGGTGATTAAAAATAAATGAAAAGGGACTAGACTGACTAATTGGATGGGAAGATAAATGAATTGGTGTGTTTTTTTTATTAGATGTAATCGATCTGTTCGGGACCTTGTCGGTCCCATTATTTACTAAGTCTAGATTTGGGACGGGTTGTGAAGCTTTTTAATATCAATAAACATAAAACAATTAAAAAATGTAATAAACAAAATTACGCAATAGTTATGAAAAAGTTGATACCGTCTCGATTAGGAAGAGGATGGTTGAGTCTTCTGAATAAAAAAAAAATTAAAATATTTTCAACATCTGTTATTGGCGCCACGCTTTTTATATGTTTACGTAATCTATACAAAAACAAGCAATATTATATATTCCTGTCCTAAAAACAGACCGTGGATCCGGAAGAGGCCTATTCGAAAAAGTTTCGAGTTGAAACCCCTCAAGTTTGGACGCCTACCCAGCAGGCAAAAAATAAAAAAAATGTACACATTGTCTATACCTACAAGAAGCCACCACCTCTGGTAAATCCAGACAGGGTCATACCCTTTACATGCGAAGAGCAACATGTCGCACCCAATGTCGAATTGGCCCCTCAGAGAAGGGTCTCACCCTCCACTTACGAATTTACTTCATCCGATTCGGGTAGTGACCTTTCACCGTCTTCTCCCGATGAAAATACCGTAGTTGATGCTCGAAGGTATCAACGATGTAAATTTGACAAGCCAGCTGGAATATCAATTCGACAAACCCCTACTCCACCATCCGATTCGGACGAAGGACCAGTGGATATACTTGATAAACTGTTATTAATGGCTCAATATAGCGGACAAAATAATAATAATAAACATAGCGACTTTATGAAGATGGAAGCAAAATTGAAAACAGCTAAAGATAAAGTAGAGAAGGTTTGTACGATTTTCCTATCTTCCTATTCTCTTTTGTATTAGTAAAGAATCAGAGAAAAGTTAGGTAAAAATAGCTCCTAATAGCTTTCAGTGCTTGAAAAACAAAATGATAGGCGTATACCATGGACGCGGATGTTAACTGTGTCGACAGTAAAAAGTTATTACGTAATATGAATTATCTTATCGGGTGTTATGAAATTTGACATAAGTGGCTTTCATCGATTAGTTTTTTTTGTTTTCTATAGGATTAAGTCTAGGAACCTAGAAATGTTTACGTGACAAATATGACATAGTTTTTTCCTTTAACTTTCAAACAATCTATTCTCAAAGTGCTAGTTTTGTTGAATATAAATATCTATATTTAGCCGCCGAAGATCTTGTTATAAATCCACTCCGCCACCTCCCTCCCTCCCTCCCTCCCTCCCTCCACGCTCTTAAAATATTCTTGTATATTTTTCTCTTTGGCCATTTATTTATTCCACTCTATATTCATTTCAATAAACCGGATGGGTATCCAGGCCCGAAGGTTATCTAGTATGAATATGCAACAGTTCTTTTGCATAACATATATAAATATGGGATTTTTTTTTGTACACGTGTCAAGGTCTCGGATTATTTAATAAAAAGAAAACAAAATATAGGCAAAAATATACTTGACCGCCTCTTTTTTTTTTTTACGTTTTCTTCTTCTTTCTATCTTTGCTATTGTAACTATCCTTCACCTTGTCCTCTTCATTTTTTCTTTATATAAACCGAAGCCAGAAGCTTTCACACTATTGGCCTGCAATTTTTTTCGTTTGATGGTGAAATATGTAATGCAGATGGAGTGTAATTTTTCTTTTTAACTTTGCCTACATTGTTACGTATATATATATATACAGTATACAGTATACATACTTGTATGAAAGTTCGCGTGTTAAATAGATTTCATTCTTTCTTGTTCTTTTTCCATTGTTTTTTATGAGATTTACAAACAAAGAGACTTTTCTTATACCACCTACTTTATGCATGTATAAATAGATTTGTATATCTTTTTAGTAAAAACAACGGGTTTCCTTCTTAATTGGACATATTTAGTAATTAACTTTAAAAATTAATTTACTCCTTTCATAGAATTAATTGTTTCTCTTCTCCCTTTTATCTAATTTCTTCCGTTTTTTTATCCCTCTTAGATATTTTTTCTCCCTCCCTGTCCCCCCTCGCCCCTCTCCATATCTCTCTCTCTCTATCTGTTAAATATCTTCTCTACTCCTTTCTGGTGTACTTAAACAAATATATAAAATGTTTTTATTAGTAGTATCTAATCTATATATATTTTTTATTCTTTATTCCCTATTGCTAAATTCCTTTCTTTCGTTATCTTTTATTTTAGTTTAATGATAATTTTCTCGAAAAGTCTTTAAACTAGGTGATAGAAAGAATTAAAATATACATAAATAACGATTCGAAATCAGATTATATATCTAACTTTATGTGTAATGTAACATTAAATAGTCACTTTATTTAATTTAATGGATATAACATTTTCATTCTATTTCCATAACAAACTTTTGAACAAGTAGTTCTTTTATACTTAGAGGTAAATATTATTCGACAAAATTTTTTACAAGGCACCACTCACACTTGACAAGTTAAATAAGAGGTAAATAGTACTATAATGGACATATGCCGTTCTTTCGTTCTACGTTTTAAGATCTAGGAGGCGCTGAATTACGCCTTCAACTCTTTTCCTTTTTCGCTTAATGATAATTATTGATTAGAATGTGAACGCTTCTTCGGGATTACAGTTGAATTTAGATATGTAAATTTTATTTTTAACTTAGAATGATCTCATTTGTTGCTCATCAATCAATCAATCAATCATACGGGGTATACTTCCTTTTAGCTTTCTCACACTTTACTTCTCTGTCTGGCTCAGTCTCCTCTCTTTTTTTTTTCTTCTCTCTCTCTATCCGTCCGTCTCTACCATTGCCCGCGCTCACAACAATGCACGGTTAAAAAAAAGAATAAGGTTGAACATAAAATTCTTTTTTTTTTTTGGGAAATGTTTGCTCAACTCCACCCGAATCGTGTCTTTAGTGGATGGATTGCCAAAAACATTCCCCCCTCCCCTCCCCCTCCTGTCTAACCAAAATAACCTTTTCGATCTTTCATGCTGTCTCTCTTCTTTTTTTATCTATATTTTACCATGAATGTTAATCATTCAGTTTGCAAGGGTGTCGCGTTTGCTTCGTTGTTGTCATGGATCAGAAGGTTGTAGCGCAAACTGCCAGAACAGATTTTATTGCCCTTCAATTCAAATTTTATTTAGCCGCCCCCTTTGACTAGTCCATTTACAATAATATATTTATAGCCGAAATTTATGTACATGATTAAATACACTAACAAGTATTGCGCATAAAATTGGAAATAGGTTGATGTATTTCTCTCTCGGTGTTAGTCGACTGCCTCATTACAAAATTACGTTTCACTTGGGACCGACTTTGTTACATTTATGGAAATTTTCCCAATGGAATATTGCAAGCTATTCTTTTGATAGTTATACGTAATTATAGCTCTTTCTAACTTAATTAATAGATTAATGAGATACTTTTTGCGGTTTCTCGTTTTAGCGATAGACACGTTTCAATTTCACTAACCGTGAAAATTAGGGAAGGATATAGTTCTCGAACGTAAGACATGTAGCGATGTGCACTCTCTCACTCTCTCCATCTCGATCCAGTTGTTTTTCCTGCACTTCAATATTCTCCTAATTAAATTAATTATCGAATGAGATAGTTAGAGTTAGAGGAAGTGAACGTAGGTTAGGAGCTTTATTAATCGACTGTAAAGTAATACGACTCGTCTGTTACAGTTAGTTTTTTGCGGTTGAGCGAAATTGAAAAGCACGAATAGGCATTTCGGTGAAAAAAATTCGATTAATGTTTTTCCTTTCGCTCTATTAGGAATTAAACGACTGTAAAGAAGCTAAAAAGAATGCCGAACAATGTTGTCATCAAATGAAGAGTCAAATGAAGGCAATGATGACTAGAAATGCTAACGAAATTTCAAACGTAAGTTAAAGAATTTTCTTTTTATTTACTTTTTCTACAAAAGTTTGTTCTTTTTCTTTTTTTTTTATTCTTTCGATTTCAGAAACTAAATCAATTTTTTACGTGTAATTTAATCATTTTCACATTTAGTCAATGTTTACTCTCCTTGGCCCCATATTCCATTGACATTTGTTTTTCAAATCTTGTTTTCTTTCCTGTCGTTCATTCAATCAATCTTTTTTTCTTTCTCAAATTCTGTTTTTTACGCATTTGCTTTTCAAATGTTTCTATTGGAAATAGAGAAGGGGAGAGAGTGGTAAGATGTATATACAGTATAGTATATACATACATACTCTTTTGTCTCTTTCTTTCTCTCTTAGTCTACTTTCACCCCCACCGTCTGCCTTCCCCCTAATTCCGTTCTCTTTATTTAAGTATATATAAAACTACTTACGTTAAAAGTCAATTGACTAGATCCCCTTTTTCTCTTGGTTCTCTATTTTTACCTTTATACTGTTATTATTTATCTTTCTTGATTTACATTTATAAGATGAGACAAAAAACAAGAAACATGATAATTGCTTATTGACATTGCTATTTCTTTTTTGTTACAGGTTAAAGCGAAGTACAAGGGTCAAGCAGAGCACTTCAGAAAGAGAGCAGTTGTAGCCGAGCAGCAAAATATTCAACTACAAACTGAATTAGCTCGCGCTCGTGAACAAATAGGAAAATACAGTTAAGAAACGAAACCACCAGCACTTATAGACATTGGAGCATCTTATATATGTAACCTCAAACAATTCCATATTATATTGAGACAGAATAGTTCTCATATCGCATCTGAAAAAAGAAAGGGGAAGGGGGAGAAACAGAAAAGAAATGTTTCCCCCCTAATATATATATATAATATATATATATATATATATATATATATATATATATATATATATTCTTTATTATTACTGTTATTTTCATTTTTTTTTTTGGGTTTTTGCTGCAAAAAAACCGAGTTTGTTATTGTATAGATTCGTAAGACGGTGCTGTTTGTTATTATACATTCGTGTATATACAAAAAACATGAAAGAGATGAGAAAGACTATAGTGTGCAGTTAAGCGGCAGGGAAAATGTTGCACATTTTTCTTGTCATTTTTTTTTGTAATTTTTTTTATCTACTCAGCAAAGAAAGAAAGAAAAAAACAAATCCTTTTCCGTGAGACAATTTTCTCTTAAATAATTATGGCTTTTTTTTTTTTTGCTTACTTAAGTATTACCGTGATATATCCCACCTTATATCAAAATGAATTTCTAAGGGTTAGAAGTAAGGAAAAGAGGATCGAAAAATCTCGTCTTAGCTTCTTTTTTTTTTCCTCTCCTTTATTTAAAACTGCTCATAATCTCATATTGCTTTGCAAGGAATATAGAGGGCAGGAAAAGGAAAAAGAAAGGAAAATAACAATGATAACATAAATATTTTGTCCTCTCTTGATTCATTCAATTTAGTAATTCTTTTATGTTTTTGTTTCTTTTTTTTATTAAATTTTTTTGTTTTGGTTCTTAATTTTGGATTCCTCTGTTCCTTGTTAATTAATTAATTAATTTCCAAAACTATTGCTGTTTATATCTCGAGCTCGTTTTACTCTTGAATTCTTTATTTGTAAAAATGAAAGAAAAACGGAGGAAGAAAAATATAAGAAATAAAAATAAAGAAGCTAAAGATGAAGAGGGAGAAAGATACGGATGATGGTTTCCACAAAATTTGGCTCTGCTTTTTTCCTTACATCTCTCTTACAGTTATATTGTACATTTTGTTACCTGTACAGTTTTCCTGTTTAATTATATATATATTATGTTTGAAAATGAGTAATGAAAAAGGGAGATAGAAGCATTTACGGGTTAAAAATTCGATGCCATAGTAATTATATCTGGTAACGTAACAGAAAAAAAAAGACGAATGTGATAGTAGAAAATTTTTCCTTAAGAAACGACAGAAAGAGAGAGAGAGAGAGAGAGAGAGGGAGGGAGGGAGATATAGAAGACTGAGAGAAAGAGAAAGAGAAAGATATAAAAAAAATGAGGAAAATAATTAAAAAAGTAATAAAATATCTTGTGCCATTTTGAGCCTTCTTTATCGTCAGTAGAAAGGGGAAAAAATAACTGTCTTTTTTTTTAAAACGTGATGTTGCAGTTGGTTTATTTTTGTTTTTTGGTTGTCGAAACATTTTTAATAATAATCATAATGAGAATAATTTCAATAATAACTAAAATAATAAAAATAATAAGAATAATAATCTGTTTGTTTTTATTCTATGAAACTATACACGCCCTTTACAATAGACACTCTCAAGGTGTTGATGAAAGCCCAAATTGCTATGAATAAGGGTCTATATCAAGGTTTCATTCTTATTCATTGACATAGATATCTTGCCTTAGGGGGCTCACTAGACATATTTGAGACTTTTTAGGGTAATAGGCCGATTCGGTCTTTTAACTATCCTTTTACGAGGTGATCTTTTGAATTTTTATTACGCGACTTTTCATCAAAAATAGCAAATGCGTACATAAAGGCAAAAAAAAGTAGAACAGAAGGTAAATTTGGATATATTCCTTTCTTTTATAAGTATTCAAACTAGCCTTTTATAGACGTCTATTAAATTCTAATCGAAAATGGACCACCACCGTCGTTGAAAGACGTTTTTTTTCTTTCTCTTTCTTTTTATTTTCTTTATCCAAATCCAAAAACACTCCTCTTCCAGTCGTTAGTTTTGATTAAGGGATCGTTAAGAAAGTAAGAAAGAGCCTTTCAAGTATTATCTTCTTCAGACATTAGGAGTCGGATTAACTTTTTGTCCGAACGTATCAATTTTTTATCAACACAAGTAGTATAACCAATTTCTTTGTGTTCTACTGAACAGGGTTAGTTTGTAAACAATCTTTATTTATATCTATATATAAAGATATTTAGAATGATAGATAGATTTAAATAAGGAAGATCAAGAAGATTATAGACGAAATAAGAATACGAGTTGGAAGATTGAAAGAATTTAGTGGCGCTTTTTCCCAACAACTACCTTAGCTAAGGAATATATACACACATTAACACGTGGCTGAGCTTTTAAGTGAAAATAGATCACATCGACGTTTCCTAAAAGCCCTTTGCTTTTTCTCTTTATTTCTGTGGAATAATCCACTCTTTTTTCCTTTTTTCCCGCTATTTTATTCGTCAGATTCGCCATATCGACTGTTTTTTTCAATTAAGATGCCCTCTTCTTAGTGACCGACAACAGAAGCTTGAGAGGCAGAGAGATAAAAGAAAAATCGTCGGTGAGAAGTTGCTAGAGTCGAAGGAATAAAATAGTAAATGAAAGAATTATTGACCTTCCCGTATTTCTCTTTTCCTTTGCCGGATTATCTATCATGTCAGACACATTCTTATTTATGTACTATAAATGCCTTACACCTGCCTCTAATATATAACAATGCATTTTTACAGAAGCACCATGTTTTTCTCCTATTGCATAGAGAATAGAAGACGTATACGAACAGGGCTGAATTAAACTGCTTGAATATTCAAGAAGTTAGTTAAGAATAAAGGATTTAGATGAAAAAGACTCAGACAGACAGAGAGAGAGAGAGAAAGGAATGTAAGAAAAAGAAAAAAGACGGTTCCGTCCCGTCGCCTATCGCATGCAATTTAGATGAGAGATGAGGAGAGGATTAAAGTCATGCAAATCTATCAAATTAATAAAGCTTAAGAAAATGTACCGCATATCTAACGTAACTTTATTTATACTCTTTCTTCTGTCTTGTAGCAACAAAAACTAAGTTATCACTATTAATTATTAAAGAAAGAAAACTCATACTAATATAGACCCGTTCTTAGGGACGGAATATCTGTCAAAGGTAATTTTCTTACAGCTTACCAGCAGCCCTATAATGTATCTGAATTTAGGGAATGGAAACAAAAGTATGCCAATAGAAGTCTATTTAATAGAAATAATAGGGTAAATAAGGGGAAGGCAAAAAGTTAAAGAGACATAATTGTAATAAATAAAGACTACAAGACCGTCTAGACAATATAGTCACAGAAACTATTAAAGGTAATCTTTACTAGACAGGCAAGAAGGATAAAATCATCCCATCCAGGCAATTATAGGATAGATTTTCGTTGTTTGAAGCCATGCCAGCCATGTTTGCCTATTCCGTGATCATTTTCTCTATTTAATTACCTTGAAAATAAATGAAAAAACGGGAGTTGCCAAAAGCGTAAAATAGAAAAAAAAATCTAAACAGGCAATTAATCATCGTAACGAGAGTCTCCAGTGAAAATTAAGATAAATTCCCTTGTATTAAGCTTATTTCTATAGCTAAAATAATTGTACACATTTCAGACTTTATCGAATTAATTAATAATCTAATCAACTTGTAAACATAAATCTTTATGATTTTCTTATAAAAGAGATAATGAAGAAGGAGTGGAAGAAAAAGAATAAAGAGATCGGGGTCGTAGATCGATAGGTGGAGTTGAGAAACGCGTTCAATATCTAATCCAGAAATCTTATCTTTTGAAAATCGAGATAGGGATGAGTAAGTGGGCGGAGATGAATGAAAGAAAGGGGTTAGTAGAAGACACAAAAAGACACTCGTTCTTTTTCCCTTATATATATAGATTCTGATCTTTTAATTATCTTTTCCTGTTTTTATGCTATAATGAAATAATAAAAAAAAAATAAAGGTTAAAAAGCCGTTTATAAAACCATATAGGCTGATACGAAGAGATAGATAACTGTTTAGATGGAAGAAGAGAATGAAAGAGAGACTAATTGTCCTAACAAAACATTAAAATTCTATTATATCCCTTGCCAAAAAAACGAAGAGTGAAGGAAGTTTTGGCCTATTTGAACTCTTAACTATTTTCAAACTAGACTAGTACAAGAATATTTTTATAATAGGACAAGGAAGGGTTAAATATTACAAATAAAGGAGATTATAGATAAACATATAGATATATAGATATATACAGACATCTAGATAAGTAAGTATAAAGAACGAGAAGAGAGAGAGAGAGAGAGGAGAGAATGAAGAAAGTATAAATATATTTGATGGAAAACAAAGCCAACAAGAGAAAAACAAAGGAAACGATAATACAAGTAGACAGATGAAGTATAAAGAAGTAAAATAACTGTTACTTTTTTAATTAACGGAATCAACTAGTCGGTAAACGAATACTTTAAATGACAAGCCTACAGTGTTTTGCGTGTCTACCCAAACGCTTAGCAAAACATTTATGCATGATTTGGCGGGGAAGATGAATAGGGAATAGCGAGAATTTGATTAATTATTATAGCGTGAATCTTTCTGTAAAATAAACAGACATAAATATCTTTTGATATGTTTTATTCGATAAACGACTAAAAAAAGTTGCATATAAAAAACTTATAGATAAATACAAAGTGGATATTCTACTTCCTGTCGATGCCAATTGTCAGGTCCAAACCGCAAAATATTATCAAGACTTATACACATAAGTATTGGCTTAAATTAAATTCCAACGATAAGTTATAACGTTATAAAAGTCTGGCTTGGACTTACAGGCTGCACTGTCAAAAGTTGAACATCTATCACAATATTTATCTAACAATATAAAAAAAGAAAACAAACAAACAAGGAGATAAACTGACTTAATGACTACTACATAGCCGAAGGTAGCTTCACCCTATTTCCCATCCCTCTCAGTTTTAAATGTCCATACCCGGCAAAAAGTCTACTTTTCTTCCCCTAAACCCTTTCCCTTCCCTTCCCTTCCCTTCTATCCCATCCCTTCCCAATTCTATCCCACCCATATTTTCTTCCTTTCTTCACCGTCTATTTTTCGCTCGTTTTCTTTCTCTCTTCTTCTTCTCAGACACAATCTTCTTGAGACATGAGGAGTGGATTAATGTATTCGAAGCCGTCGAATTCGCTTTGTTCGATCTTGCTTATCACTTTGCTGGAAGAAACGTGCACGAAATAGAACATTTGGCGCGGAACAAATGCCTAGCTAGCAGTAAATCAAATAAACGGCCGTAAAAACTCAGTAAGAGCTCGTTTCTCAAAACGAAACATTTTCAATAAAACCGCCTACCTTCCACCCCTTTCCCCTAACCCCATCATTCTACTATATGAAAAGTCACCGTTTGTAAATTTTCTAAGAAACAAAAAAAAGAATGTGATGATCATAGAGGATGATCAACTTTAAAGAAGTAGCATTGAATACCTATATTGCAAAAATGTTAATACGCAATTTTCCTCAATTATCAAAACAATTATATCTTTTATATTGAAAAAGCAATTATCGATCTATAGATCATAATCCTACAAATATGCAATGATAATAATAAAAGACTATTAAGGAAAGACAATCACAACAAGTTAATTAATAAGAAAAGAAGTTGAAAAAGAGAGAAAAATAGAAAGATAAATTAAAGAGAAAAGGAAAAAAAAATCGGTTAATAATTGGATACAAACATAAATCTGTAGGGGAAATTGAGTGTATAAATAATACTAAAGACAGAGAGAGAGAGAGAGAAAGAAAAAGAGAGTGAGAAAGAGAGAGAAAAGAAACAATTGTTTTCAATAATCTATTTTGTAATAAATTTCTATAATATAGAATAGAAATTGTCTAGATTGGAAGGAATAGAATATATGGTTTTTCTTTTAAATATAGCGATATAAGGAAATATACATATATCTATATATCTATATATATACTGCATATATATATAGACTGTACTATTATTAATGCTTGTAAACACTAATGAACTTTTGCTATTAATTAAAAGAAGAAACAGATAGAAGAGAAAAAAACAGGAATAAAAACGAAAGAAAACAAAAATTAGAGACAAGCAGGTAGACAGAGGGAGAGAGAATTAGTGAGATTGAGGAAGGAGAAGGCGGAAAAATATACATATATATATATATTATATATATAAAAAAAACAAAGCACGAATAAAGAAATTTTCCTCCTTGTTCCTTCTCTAAACGCTTCAATGGAGCTCTACATAATTTAATCGTTGAAACGGAAAAAATTTTTTTGTTTGTTTTTGTTTCCTTGTGTTTAATAGAAAAATTGAGTATATTAGCATAAAAAGAATGAATAGGGGTATGCCTTAAACATAATATACTGTATATTTACAGCTACACGAGATATATATATATATATATATAGTGTATTCTGACTATTAGTAAATTATATCTATTTATATTTAATCTAGAATTAATTTTGTATAGAATGTTATATATTTTAATGCGATTTGATATTAGCATTGAAAGATTAGTCAACTTCTACTAGGCATTTCCTTTCATTAATTAAACATAAAAAGTAAAGGAGTGAACTGGAAAATGACACACTTCATGTTGATTATGCGGATAAATCGATCGGTTTTTTCTCGCCCCAAGACGTTTGCAACGAACCGGTCGATTTTTAAAACATAACCGAATTTTATTTTTAAATATACACCTCGATATTCGACCTTCTGATGACCACTTTTGGGACGATCGCATGAGGCATAAACATCACGTGACTTTTATCGTGATAAATGCGTTACATGGGATGATTATTCCTTTTTTTTCGAGATGGCGCCAGTTTACTAGAGCGATAAACTACCCCTTTATCCCTTTTTCTAGTTTAATAGGGTCAATAGAAGCTGTTAAGGATCCAACAACTTAATAGGAGGCCATGTGCGTTTCAGATCGACATGTTAATGAACATACAAGGTTAATTAAATAAAGGCACATCCTATTCAATATACCCAACATTTCATGAACACAATTCTTTCGATTAATATAGTACAAGTCGAATGTACTCTGATTAAATCTAAATGGATTAAGTTCCCGCATTCCCATGTATATATTAATTTATACTAATATATATACATAGATGTATAATTATACAGTATGTAATACATTTAGCAAGCATTCATAAATAAGTATATATAATACATAAGTCGTGTAGGAAACGCCTCATTTTTCCCTTTACCCTCAACAATCGCCCGTAATCGATAAAAGAGAGAACGCTAATCAATTGTAACAAAGAAAATTTTTAAGTAATAGCGGAACTAAATCTATAAACCTCGTCATCTTACAACAAGCTTATTTACAAATAAAGTTTGTGACAATTCCTTTAGCCGCCTATATCCGTTTTAATGCTTCCCAAATAGGAGTGATACACCTTAAATCAACTAAACGTTCTTTTATGATTATTTTTTTTTTTATAAATTTGTACTATCTAGCCAAGCTAGATTTATACTGAAATCAGTTCGAGTAGGTGAAAAGGAGCGTATTACATTTGGATGTAGATAATTCATGTATTAAATTAACACTCCCTGACATGGAAAGCGTGCAATTTCGTCGATAACGTACAACTTATGTTTCGTAGAGTGAGATAAGCATAATGTCCACCCAGAGGCATAACAGAATATTTTAAAGAGGGAGATTTAAAGAAAAAAAAAACACTTCGGACCTCTAGCTATACCAGGGGGAAGCATAACAGTTTCCGGTCTAATAAGCTCTTCCAAAAGGTCTATATTTACTTTTTATCTTCTTACAGCGCGTATGTACGATTTAGTATATGAATTTTAGAGTGAAATAATTACACCTTGCGGTAACGACCGTATTACCTAATTTACTGCTATTCATCTTGAAAATATAATGTAAATCGACTATTAGATATACGTACGGATCATCTGGAGTTAAAACGACCGGTTCCTTAATAAATGTTGGATCAAAGTGAACCAAATCCCGTTCACCTCTTACTTGAGGCTTATAGGGCGGAGGAATTTGTTTTGCATATAGTGCATCAAAATCCAAAACTCTAAAGAATGGATGAGTTTGTATATCTTCAAAGCCAGTTTCAGGATGACAACCTAGACGATCTTGTGGACTCTGTATGGAGAAAAACAATTATTACTTTATATATATACTAATATATATTTGCATATATCCTATGTGCCACAATAAACTGTATAATAAGAAAATGATTTGAATTTAATAATTCGCTTCTGGAAGGAAATTGAAGGTTGAAAATTACTTTTTTCTTTCAACGTGCACTCAAGTTTAGCAATAACCAAGTTCTCTACGTGATTAAACAGTGATCTATACGTCAAGAAAAGATGAAGGAGAAGATTAAGTCTTACATTTCTAGAGGAACTATCATTACAAGAAAATTAAGATACATGAATTAATTCCACCGATACTTCAAATGCGACATTTTTGTTAGATAATAAGATAGAATACTCTTCTCATCCTCTTATAAAGCGAAAGTGTTAATAAATGTAAACATATATATATATATATATAAAGTATATATGATTTAAGCGATCTATTGGGTTTCATTATACCAAACAAACATTGCAAACTGGGGACAAACTTTGGCCTGTTAATATTGTTATTAGAAAAACCCCGAGCACCTTTCTTAACCATATCGAATTTTCGACAATCTTTAATGGGATTAATAGTCTGGAATGTTTACAACCTTTACTCCCTCTCACATGCTCCCCACTAACTTTATTTTATCAGCATTTTAATCAGCCCCTTCAGTTAAATAATATAGAAAAACAGAAATAAATCAAGATCTTTTACAGCAAGGGAAAAAGCAAATAGAAATTTATTATCATAATGCTTAAAATAGTACAATTAAAAAATATATATAAATCCGATTTACAAACCTTATTTAGAAATCCTTTTAATACGCCTGCAGCTTTGACAGTTAATGAACGGGGAATCCTAATCGGCTTTTCCAAGATTACTAAAAAGGAAATAAAATGTATTAAAAGTTCAAAAACCCTGTCGAAGTGTAGATCAAACTATTAAATATCGTTTAATTGCTCTGCGAACAATATTAAATTTTTTCTATGAGAAATAAATATTTCTACCTTGAAATAGATAATCTTCAGTATCTTGATCAGGATTATCAGTCTGACCAACAATTTCAAAGGGTGATCGACCAACTAACATTTCAAACATAAGTACTCCAAGTGCCCACCAGTCAACACTATAGCCTAGATTATAATTAATTTTGATAAATTACACATTTGATCTTCCAATTAGTTCAGGGTATTTGATAGTTACCATACTCTTGTCCTCGTAGCATTTCAGGAGCAATATAATTTGGTGTCCCACAGAAGGTCGCCGTCAGTTCCCCAGGAGCCAGATTTTCCTTTGAAAATAAGTTCAAAGTTTAATTAATCTAGAGAAGACGCCTAATGTGTAGTATATAGCACAGATACACTTCACACGCTTCACAACAAGATGTCATTTGCATTTTAAGGTTATTACAAGTCATTCGACTTTTATTAATAGATTCATTCATAAGATTTTTATCGCATCGCCGAAATCACCCAAGGATATATTATTAGCACAATTACATATAGTATATTTATATATATAAATATATATATATACAAGTGTATAGAAATATATAGGTGATCGATATATCCTTCATTTCAATAATGGATAGCTATGCTGTTATCGACGTCCTTAACCACTTTGGAATAAGGAATCGCCTCTCTTTGTTTCGTAGCTATAAAGAACGGTTTTATACCTTTTAAGGTTCCTTTGTCCACAAAGGCGTATCTGGTAAATTCATTTTTGTGTATCATAAAGTATAGCTAATTATATATATATATGCTCTTCCTTTAAATAAGACCACATCTTTAAGATAAAAAGATAAATGAGATCTTTTCAATGAGATAATCTCCGAGCTCTCTTGCAAAGTATAAGCCAACTTGTTTTGCAGTATAAAAAATTAGTTTAATTGAGTCATTAAATATACGATAAGAAAAATACAAGTCGGATCTAAGATTAACATATTTAAGATAATGAAATAAAGCATTTATCGACCCATGGGCTTTAATAGGAATAGGGTTTTGTGTATATAAATAATTTACAGTAAATTCACTTAGGAAGCGATAAAAAGAGGGTTTTTTAATATTCAATTTGAATAATTCAATAAAAAATTTTGTTTGAATATTAAGGATTTAACACTGGAGGTAAGTAAAAAATTTTAAAGCTATTATATAGTAAGCCGTCTCTTTATATCAAATATTTTTGTCTAATTTATTCTAAAAATAAACGCCAGAAGAGATTTTTTTTTAATAAGAGTCGTTCCACGCCACTACTCCACCAGGCTGGTGTTTAAAAAAAGTATTTCTATTTCGATTTTCTTTCTTTTCCTCTTCTTTTAAACATATTTAACACAAATATAATAAAGGAAAACAAAAGGAAAAGCTAAACAAAGGAAACGGCCACTAAAAAATATATCTAATCCTATTAGTTTGCGTTTTTGCATCTACAGTTAAGTATACTTTTATTCTAAAAATCCAATTATTTGCACATTATTGTGTTTTTCTTGTTTTTCAAACTTGAAAGTCAAAAATCAGTAAAACTATATTTAAATATAGCAAGTGGTGAGCTAGATAACATAATAGAGTTCCTGATTAAGTTACTTTTGATGCGTGCACTTCACATAATTTCGTATTCAATTTCCGATTACATAGAATATTCCATAAAAAAAGGTGCTAGATTCAAAACAAAAGAATTCACTTAAGCTGATAGAAAAACAAGCATAATTTACATCAATACTTAAAAAACTTATCTTAATAACCTTTAGGATTGAGGATTAGTTTATTTACTTTCTACTGAAATTAGTTTTGGTTCAATATTAATGTAAATAATTATTATCCAGCGTTCTTTCATTCCATAAATAGGAGATTTATTTATTTTTTTATCTCTACCCAAGTTTCTACTGTAGTCTTATATCCTTTCTATCATTTTTTTGCTTTATAGGAATTTCTTATAGTATATGGACTCTACCCTAAAGATTTGGATATAAAATCTACAAAAATCCTCTTTTTATACTCTCATATCATTTTCCTGTTATTCCCTCGTCGATTCTTTTTTGTATAGAAACATATATATTGTATATTCTCTTACAGATTAAAATGAGAAGGCAGGGATAAATTTTTACTCAATATAAAACATGGATTTTTTTTTTACTTAGAAGTTTCCAAAAATTAAAGAGGAAGAATTTTCACCCACACAACTTTGTAAAGGACAGTTCAAATATTTAGCGCGTGACATCATGAATAATGACTCCGCATACTTAAAAAGTAGGTAAACACAAAAAAAAACAACTAAGTAAATCTGTTTATATTACCTTACATAATCCATAATCTGTCAACTTTATATGACCTTCCGAATCTAACAGTACATTATCCAATTTTAAGTCTCTATAAATAATCCCTCTTTCGTGTAAATAATGTAGGGCAAGTGATAACTCAGCGGCATAGAATCTCCCATGCTCCTCTGGCAAACGCCTTTGTCTTTGCATGTGAAACATCAAATCTCCGCCGTTAACGAATTCGATTATGTAAAAAAGCCGACTGGGAGTCTGAAAGCAGGAGTGCAGACCGACCAAAAATGGATGGTTGGAAGCCACCTCAAAAACGTGTTTCTCAGTTTGAACCCAGTCTATATCTTCTTCATTAGCGACTGTTTCTTTCTTAATAACTTTCATAGCATAGAGACGTTTTGTTTCCTTTTGCTCGACAACCATCACCTATAATAAAATAGTTTCAGATAGTCTATTATGCACGTACATTTCGGCAATCGTGATCAAGTAGTCAAGTAAAGGAGTAAAAGTAGACAACTGGAAAGAAAGCTCTCGGCAAACTCCGACCTTATTTCGCTTTATGTATGTATACACTGTATGCTAAGATTGTGTTCAATTCTAAAACTTATGCCTCCATCTTTATCTTAATAATTAAAACTTAATTATAAAAGTATAAAATATTCTCATTTAATTATCAAAAGGTTTCGTTAAGGATGTTAATTAGCAGCAAATATTAATGAATAATATAATATTTACAACCTTGAGCGAAAGTATTCAACTCAGCTTCATTAAATATAGTTCTAGTAAAAAAGGTTATTATTTATTGTTAGTTTTACAATATATTTTTTTGCTTTCTCTATCTTTTCTATTTCCTTTTTACAAGCTTAAGAAGAAGGTTGGATGGAAACATTAAATAACTTTATTACGATCTAATTTGACAGTCATTTACTTTCGCCTACTAAGCCAGTATTCAATTTGTACCATTCTTTTACAAAACTGTTTAAGATATTAATTATAAGGTCGTTTTAAAAAGAAATTTTCTACCACTTATCTTTACTTTTTGTCTTTTAGAAACGCTCTTGTATAGGGATAAATTGTAAATTTCTAAATTTGCGAGAGTGTAAATGTCAAACCTTGGCATAAGAGCCTCTTCCAATAACATTAATCAAGTCAAAATCTTCCAACGAAAAACCTCGAGTTGGAGCAGAATCGTCCGCCGTCTACAAAAAAAAAAAAGTTGTTTAAGTTTAAAGGTTATACAAATAATAACCAATAAACTATTTATTTACCTTTTGCACCTGAACAGCGCTTGTCTGCAAATAGAAAGAATGACAACAAATGACTTTTTCACAAAATTACTAATAACATACCTCGCAATTCTCAGGATTATTTTCCTTTCTCATCTAAAAAAACATTAACAAATAACAAGTAAGCAATATAAAGTCCAAGTGAACTAAGTAATTTAGTTATTATCGTATATTTACTTGATCAGTTACCATTGCTATTTGGGTTTGTATCGCCGATGATGATGCAGCTGTATTTACATTCCGTAAATATTAATCGTATTAAGTACAAAATGTCTTGTAAATATTCACTTTGAAAGAAAACTAATAAGAAAAGAAGAAACTACAAAATTTTACTTAAAGAACCGTTTCTTTCTTTCAATTTTTGTTTCTTTTTTAAGGGAAAACTTTCCAAGGCATTCAACTATAAAATTTATTCTTTTCATTTTTATATAATAGCTCTTTTTTTGGTTAAAAAGAGAAAATGAAAGAAAACGCTATTTTCTAATATTTCTTTTTCTTATTTATATTTCTTTCACAGTAAAAACTCATTATATTAACTATGAAAAAAAATTAAAGAAAGAAAATTATAGAATAATTACGTTTTTCGCCATTTTGAGAGCCTTTATTCTTGTTAGAAATGGCTGCTGTCTGTCCAGCTTCTTCCTGTTAAATGAGACAATTCTATAGCTAAGATATCACTAATAGGAAAAAGCAATCAAAGAAAAATATAAAATTGATATTTATATTTATTACTATTATTATTATTAATGTTATCAATTTTTGAAAAAAAAACTGTTAACCATAATGTATAGATGTTATATTTAGTACCTTTAATCTACTATCTGGTGCGTCCTATAAAATAATTCTTTTTTTAAAAATAAGATAGAAAGAAAAGAAGAAGGAATAAATATACGCCTAATAAAATACACTTACAAAAACAGCTCTGCAGGACAACTTTATCAGTTTGTGACATTTTTTGTGAACCAACAATTTGCAGTTGACACATTTATAGCCCTGTCTTCCTAGGCCCCAAATTCCATCATTACAAAATGCGCATTCCACTTTCTGTAAATAAAATAAAAAATTGTAGACTAATTAATACATTTATATAAAAATTCGATTAACAACTAATTTTAACCAAACGTGATATCGAACTCAAAGAGTATTAATATATACAGAACGTGTTCTTTGTAGATAGGGATACGAGAAGAAAAGAGGTTTTGGGGAGGAATGATAACATTAGAGAAAAAAAAACTTTATTTGGAGCAAGTGAGCGTAGTTTTCATTGATAGGATTAATATCGGGTTACAATTGCTACAACGTCGAAAGAAACAAGGGTAGGAGTATAGCTAATTTGTAATGACAATAAAAAAATTGATATCCTATTGACATTGCGTCGACTTTAATAAATCCAATAAATCAGAAAAGGCAATAAAACATTAACGTCCAAAAAGGAAAAGAAAAGAAAAAAGAAAAAAGGGAAAAAGCTATATTTAGTTATATTTTTACTTCCCCCTCCCTCCTCTTTGTTTTTATTATATTTTTCTATGAAATAGCTTATTTAATCTAATTTCTAGGAAAGTATCTACCATAATCCATGTTTAATACTATTACACTCAGCTTATAGTATCAATATATATATATATATATATTAGTATATAAATTATATACATATAAATTTATACATATATGCAGTATACAGTATATAATGTATATATTATATACAGTATATAGCTTCTTTGTATAATAGTCTGACGAAACAAAAATAGCTAACCATCCATTTTAAGAATGTACACAATTTTTCTCTTTCAAATCGAGTTTGGATAATTGGTATTTACTGACCTACCGAATATTTATACAGGAAATATTATGCATTTACCTATCAACTGTGAATTACCCAAATTTAGCCGCTAAATCGTTCACGGCACTTAATTCGGTTAGAATTTTCTCATTTATAACCTAAAATTAGTAGTTTCTGACTTATAACTTGTAGTGTCGCCAAATCACGTAAACCTTTATTCATCTTATTTTAATCAATAACGACTAGCGCCATCTATTGATCGGGTTGTATATCGTACTCTAAACAAAAAACTACATAATCTGAATTAGTTTCATTTTGTAAATGTCAAACGATATAATAACAATAATGAGCGACACTAGCTGGTCTTAACGCAGCTGTCAAATCTAGATTCATTATTCATTATGCCCAAAACAATAATAACAAACAAAAGAATAGAAAAAATGAGAAAGATAGATGAGGAAGAAAGTAGAGTGATAGATACTTAAATGCTATTCATCTATATCTTATATTATTCCTGAACGTATTCTTTTCCCAGTTCGATAACATTATATCATTAATATTAAAGAAAGGATTCCCTTACCCTGGAAAATCGTTTCGCCTGATATAAATGGCCATTAACTCTATATAATTTTCTCCATCGTCTTGCTCCTCTTCTATACATATTCCCTGATTGGAAAAGCATTTTTAAATACATTACCACTTCTAATCTTTATACCTTCATCTGTATCACGTGACTCATCTACATCCTTTATTAATTTGTCTTTTTTTCGCCCAAAAGATTCACTAATTCTCTTCTTCAGAGATATTAAAAATGATTTATTGTCTTTCTCGTCAAAATTGTTATTATCAGGCTCTCTCTTTATTCCCTTTTTTCTGTGGATGGTTGTCGATACAGCTCTCTTAAGCACACCGAAGCTAGCTTGCACGGTAGAAGATGCATTTAAATTTAGCGCAGATGCTGAATGAACACTTTCGTTGTCTTTTCGTTTTCCTTGTCTTTCGTTGCTTTCTGACCATTGTAGACCCAATAGTCTCAAGTGCATACTGTCCTTGTCCACTAATAAGTTAAGTTTTTCTATAATTATTCTAATTCCATTAACCTGAGGAGATATAAACTTATCTCACACCAAATAATGACAAATATCTGCAGTTGTATATTTATTAAGGCCAATTCCTTATCTTCACTATGAGTCGTAATCAGTTGTGTAATTTATATGAATTGGTATATTCAGTCTTTTCTCAATAAAGGTAAAACATTCTCCCCCCCCCTTTTTTTTGGCACAATGAGGCCATAACGGTACAATATATTTTCCAAGACGATAGAAAGTGTCAAAGTCACGTGATACATATTGAAAGTAAATGTTAAAACTCACGGTCTTCGCCTTGACACGGCATTCCTGGTAGTTCGGGTACATTGGGGAATACTGGTGAAATGGGTATAAAATTTGATGAACTGATCTTTAAAAATGATTTAAAATATTCCATATTTCTAACAGTTTCACAAATGATTAATAAATTGAATATAGACAATAGTCGATTATCATATTTTTAGTGTATAATAATCAATATACCAAAAAAAACATTATTAAATATATCTAATAAAAGAAATAAAATAAAACGGCGTAAAAATCAAATAAGGCCTATTTCTTTAATATAGACAATGCAAATTTTGTTTTTTTTAATATTTATTTATAATTTATCCTAAAACTTTTGTTTATCGGTTGAGAGAGAGATAGAAAGAAAGAAAAAGAGAGAAAAGCAAAAATACGATTACAAAAAAAAAAAACAAGATAAGAAAACTATTTTAAAAAATAATACTGTACCGTGTAAGGTAACTTCGTTATCGGCATTAACTTCGTGCAATCTAAGCATTTCTTCCAATTCTATTTGAGAGGATACGGTACAAGGGTCTCCTATGAGGGGGGAGGGTACAATACATAAAATAATGGAGTTTATATAATATATCTATATACCAACAATATTAAAATTATCCAAGTTTGCAAAATATTATAATCAATATTTAAAGCAATAATAACACACATATTTTTAAGTTTTTATTTATTTGGTATGTTTTTTATACGTTCTCATATTTATCCTATTTAATTTTATATAGTTCCTTTTAACACTTTCAAAACAAATTGAAGTTAAGCGTTTCTTTTTCTTTTTCCTTTAGCTAGGAATTAAATCGATACTAGTCTACTTTCTGATTCATTTAAAATTCCATTAGACTTTGCTAAAACGATACATTTCATTGCTAAAATCTAATGATAGTTCCATTAACCTTAATATATATATACATCTACTAGGCCTAGCACAATAGGAAAATAGATGTAATAACTACTTTTAATTTAGTTCACCTTCTTTTTCTTTATATTATATTGTTTCAATTTTATTGTTACTTTACAAGAATCTTTTACAAATGGAAACAAATACAAGACATAGTTACTTTAGAAGTCGTATTTTAAAGATTTATCACTTTTGTCATTGGATACCTATGTAAATAACAGAATAAATTTCCTCTTTACTTTTACGGAAATTGACTTTGAAACTTTTACTTTCTTATTCTACTAAAGAATTATTTTATCTCATTAAAGCTTTCTTGATTAACTTTCGTCTCATTTCTTTTCGATTTGATTATTTAATATTATTATTAGAATAGAAAAAAAATATGTTTTTCGTCTTTATATTCATATTTGGACAGTTATTTAAAAAATTGTTCTATTTGTTGACAGTTTCTTTTTAAGTTCTATTTAGTGAGATGGTAGGTGTGAATGAACATTTTTTTTTTTATATTTTTACCTTCTTCGTCAATCCATTTCATTGTAAAAGGTTGTTGAGCATCAAAATTGCAAATATCTCTAACTTCAATTTTCATTCCTTCAAAAGTGATATCATTGTCGATTGACGCAACCATAATGTCCCTAAATTAAATATATTAAAGACTTTAAATAAACGTTTTTAGTGTTAAGCATTGATTAGTTATTATTCAATGTAACTATACGGCCGGGCGTACAATTCAAAGCTCTTTCTCAGTGTTATTTTGCCTATCAAATTAAGTATTTTCTACAAAGTACTAGTAAAACTAACCCATCGAAATGACATTTCATACGAATGGCATGTAAATCGCTTTCTACAGCTGGCATTCTTTTTATTCCTTGACAGGTGTGCTTCTAATCGAGTGAGACGTTCCTTTTTACGTTGTGTAGTCGATGAAATGAAATCAGCGATTTAGTTTATTATTTCAGTTAGGAAAAGTCCACTTTTTCCTAAATTAGCTGATATAGCTTAATTAAATCACGCTAATCTAGTTAAAACTTGAAACTGTTTTTCCTTGATCACGTGACTAAGGTAAATCGATTTTTTCGATTTTTAAACTGAGGTAGAAATGAGACCAGGTTCCTGGTCTATAGACGATATATCTGGAAAAGGAATACGGTTCCATTTTAAAATTCTTATAGGCCTAAGAATATTTTTTTTTACGAATTCTAATCAGTTGATAACGTCAAAAAGGACTATCAATCCCGAATAGAAAAAATTTGAAAGTTGATAAAACGAATAAGAAATTATACATTCTCCATTTCAGTGTTTCTCTATCTTTGATGGTGTACTTAAAGTCGATTTTTTCAAAGTTCAAAATAGTACTAAAGAGTATCTCTACAAAACAATACTTTGATGGCAGTTTGTAATTTCATACTCTTGTTGGTAAGAAGAGTGAGGGGGAATTATCGAATAATTATTGCATTATACGAATTTTAAATGTGACTAAAAGGCAAATGGCGAATACTTAGTTTTATAGGGTATATCAATTCCTTATACCTACACAAAGAACTATGTAAAATTACAGTAACAATGGATAAAAATATGAAATTAGATACTCCAATAGCTGCCAAAAACTGTCATATATTTCTAAATCATATTGTGTGACAATAATAATAACAATAGCAACAACAACAATAATAATTTTTAACAAAGACAACTGAAAGGAGATATAGTTTACTTGTATTAAAAATTCAAGTAAAGACACCATTATCATTATTATTTTGGTTTGAAGGAGAAATTACGCTTTCTGACATTAAATTACACTGTAATTCGAAAATAACCTTTAATGCTTTATTTTCATATTAGGATAAAAGGGAAAACGCGTTAGGATAATTTTTTTACTATTAATTCTTATTCACCTGTTCTATAATAATAATCTGTATTAGGCTTAAAAGGAGGACAATGAGACACCAATACAGTACATATATATTTTATTATAGAATAAAAGAGTTATAGTACAAAAGTATTCGATCGTTTATTGCTGCCTAAGCATGACACTTAAAATGCTTTTTATCTTTACCGCAAACTTCGAATGAAAAGATGAAAGGAAAAATTTCAAACAATAAAAAAAAAAGGTAATTGCAAATCTATGTTCTGTTGTTTAAAGACAAAAAATGTACAATGCATAATTTCTCCTGTCAGAAAAAGTACTGAATTCTACTGGGAAATTAATATCATATCATAAATCAAAACTGTAAACCCGATGGTACAATAGCAATCATATTACCTTAATAGAAAACATCAACAGAGCGTAAAACTTTAGGGAGTAGACACATTATTTTTATTCCTTTTTTTTCTGCTATTACTTAGCAAGATATTACATTTTTCGATTAAATATTTATGCTGATTTTACTTTTGATTAGTAAACTTTTGGACAGGCATGAAAAAGACACCAACACAGATTATTAACTATTTATGATTATAGTCATTAAACCAAATAAATTGTTTTTATTTTATTTTAATAGGAACTTTATTATGCTTTCATAGCAATTTTTTCACCAGATGGCGCGAGCTCTCAGATAAAATAAATTCAATTATTGATAATCATTTACCAAAGAATTAAACAACAATTGGCATTGCATTGTGTGTAAATACTAGACTGGCTTGGTACATCAAAAGAATAACTGCTTGTAAATCGATCAAGTATTGGATTAATATTAATTATTAAAGGGAAAAACGAGGGGGTATAGAACTGTTCATTTTGATTGAAAAATTTGAATTTCACCGCGTTAATTAAAAATTCTTTCATATTATATTGCAAAATTCAACAAAATAGTATCTAAAAATTACAGTAGTACTTGTTAAATTGTTGATTATATTCAAAAATAGATTAATTCCGAATACGAAAATAACTATTATCTGCTGTGCAGAATATATTTCAGAGCCCGGATGTTTATTAGATCTGCCAAATATTATTGAACGAAAACGCCTAAATATTCGTAAAATAAAGTGCTGTTTTTAATCATAAAATATATATTGGAGAAATCATTATAGCATTAACAAAATAGTCTGAGAAATTTGGTCGATTTGCTTACTTTTATATTTTGAGGTAGAAATGCAGCAACCAATCGATCGAATACCGACAAATTATTGTCCTAAAGTGTTTGTTCAACGAGATTTTTCTGATGGAATGTTTGTCAAATTTCAAAGTAGATTACCTCCAGAACTGGAGGGAAAGGTATGGAAAAAAGATTACAATTTTATAATGATTAAACAAGAAATTTTGGCAATGTATTATCTTTCAGATCGAACGTCAAGCATACGAATCAACAATAACAAAGCTAAATAATTTCTATGCGGACGCCGAAGCTTTAAAAGGAAGTGCATACTGTGAAAATTGTTTTTCGTGCTTAACTTGCTATTTTTCGATGTTCTGTATTAAAACTCACTACGATAAGGTAAAAAAAACTATAGCAAAACAAATAATAAATATACATATGTATATACCATTGGTTTTTAAATAGGTTCTCGATAAACTATCAACTTACATTGAGGAGCAAAATAGCAAAGTGTATATTCCAAGGAACTTATTGTTAATTAATCCTATTGAAAGGGGTCTTAGAACGGTTAGTTAAAAATATTATATATATATTTTTTAATTTTAGTTTAAAAAGACGATCACGTAGTTTTATTTGATATGAGAATTAGGTTATTTGTTCAAAGTCTTACTTACCTTGAAATTTTAAAAACTAAAAATTATTTATTGATTGTTAAATTGTCTCACTAATGTTTTACTTTCATCTCAACAGTTAGAGATCGTGATACTGCAGGACACACCTAAATAAGGCAGAGCTTCATCGTTTTCAAATATATATACATATAGATTTTTTTTTTATGAGTTTATGATTAAACCTTTAACAATTAAGACTACAACATCAAAATATATCTTCAAGTTGCAACAGCAAGACTATATCTTCCTCAACTTATTTTTTAACACCAAATTTGAAATTAACATATTCTATTAAAGAACAAGAGAGTCTTATAATATTGTTTGATATTGTTTAACTTTGGAAAGAGTTCTAAAAGTCATTTAAAAAATAAAGTACTTGTTTGTATTCGAATATTGGCCTTTTGCCCTGTAACGATAATCAAGATATTTTGTGCATATCAGTAAATCAGGATATGGTAATTAAACAGATTAGAATACATTTTTACGAAAAACGATATTTTGGATTGTAAAACTTGAAAAAGTCTAGGATATGTGAGATCCGCTCCAATGATTTTAAATTTCCCCATTTCCGTAACGTAATTCCTTAGAACGATTTGCCGACATTTTTTCTAGATATTCCACATGTCGTTTAAACTCGCTCGGGCTTTCGTTCATGTTGTCGTTGTAATAATCTGGCTGTAAAGTGTAGGACGATAATATAGATTTCTATGTATTATTAGCATGCGGTATGCAAATTGGATTTACTCTTTTGCGAAATCCAGGAAGATCATAGTCCGTATGTTTCTCTAAATCTTGAAGCTCGTCTCCTGAAATCTCTTTTTCGTCTGCGGAATCAATGTAATCCGAATCGTCTTCAGAGTCGTCAGAACTTTCCGTATCCTCAATAGTTGAGTTCACTACATTTAGAAAACACGTGTTAGAAAACGGAAATCAACGATACAAAAACCTACTTCGCTCATTTAATTCATTCAATCTTTTTAATTCATTATATTGCAAGCTGGTGTTTCTTTCTATTTTTGTCAAAAGATCAGGGTCAATTGTCTGCTCTGGCTTCTTTACCGTAAAAGTCATCATGCCGTAAAAATATATGGTTGCCGATATCGCCCAAAATAGACATCTTATGTGAAACAAACCATCTTTTACAGCTTCCTTGAACTATAAGTATTATATTTATAGAAATGAAGTAGTAAGTAGAACAACAACTTATAGAAAATATTACCGCTGTATTTGACAAAAGAAATACTTCAAATCCACACTCCACAGACAATATCATTAACAAGTACTGTCTTGTGGTCCTTGCCCAGTTTGGCCATGTCATAAGGTATATTATTAAAGCCAGAAAAACTGAGACTGTACTTAACTGTACATAGTTATAGAACATTGAGAGTGGAGAAGAGGACATTTTCCAGATTACTTTCGACGGTTTTTACTACGTTCTACGGAACGTTTCTGAACTTACTGGCTTCAGGACGGGTCAGCTTTAATTAAGTAAATTTTCTGTTAGGAACTCTTAACCCAACTATAAGTTACATGGTTATTATGAAGTTAACACATGCTCAAGTTGCTTATGTTCTTTTCGTAACAATGAGATTTGAAGCTTCTTAAAAATACTTGTAAAAAATCGCATATATTTTATATTATGTTATTTCCATATCAATATTGCAAAATACTTGGAAAAATATCCGCAAGTATTGAATTGGCTAATTTTTTATTAAACAAATAATAATAAATTCATTCACAGGTGGCGCCTTAGTACATTACCCATACCCAAGAAAGTAATAACTCTCAAATATAATCTTAGCTTTTTGAGATTTAGATAACATGCCTCAAAAATTATATATTTATATATAAAATAAAAGTAGATTAATAAGTACTTGTGAACAAATTTACTCTCTTTCCTTTCCTTCCCTCTCTCTCCATTTATATTCATATGTTAAAAAGGAGTAAAAGGTTATCTACTGTTCAGGGAAAAAAGAAACATAAACAATACGTAAAAATGGAGAAGAATACTACGTGATGAAGCTTGACACTAAGACGGAAATACAAAAGCTTCTTGATTAAAGCTCTATGGATATTAAAGTACTCTAGCTTAAAGAATTTTTCAAATTAACCTTGACAAACGACATTTCGGCTATTGTTAAACCTTTTCTTATGTTTTTTTTTCTAATTGAAATGTAAAATCTAAGCAAAGGTCATATTCTATAAAATTATTTCTAGATTAGCAATTAATTCGGCCTATTTAATTGCAATATTTTTTTATTTAATCAGCCTATTATCGAAAATGTATATTTTTCTTATCTTTTGTTGAAATATAACTATCAAATAAAAAAATAATTTAATAGATACACTAGATGGCATCAGCTGGCGTATTAAATATTTATCTAATAGAATGTTATATATTAGCTATATTTAGATTTACATTTAGTTTCTTTTTAGTCCTTGGATGAGGAAAAATAGATATAATTTTCAATATATAAAACTTTTGAATGTGTTAATAAACTGTTTATTTAGTTTTGTCTTTGTTTGTTATATACATATTTGCACAAGATGGAATACTAGTATTATTGATCTTTAATTGATTGGCTATTGAACAAAACAATGCCATTATTTGATTCAAGTGCACAAGTTCATTGAAGTAGTTGTTTTCATGCTTAATTATTGAAAAAACTCATCAAATGATAATATGCATAAACAAGTTATATATTGCCGACATTCTGAACAACAAACGAGTGTTTGCAGTAGCTATAAATATCGTAATATTTATTGAATTTTCTTCGTACCCGGCAAATATTTTGCGCAATACATTTAGTTTTTAATGGTACGGTATGCTTTGTTCTTATTAATTTAACCATTAACGATGCGGATCACGTACCGTATAAATATTTAGACTAAAGAAGGCGCCTAAATCGGACGACACAGCTGTTTCCTTTGTTGATTGCACTTGATGAAAAAAGACGGAGAAAATGCATACCTTGAACGAAAGAGAAAGAAATTCTAACACCAATCTATCAGATAGCACATCACAGTACCGTTTTGGAGTATTTGGTGTCTATCCCAAAGTTCTACAAAAATGCAACAACGCCTTTATGGCCTGTTTTTGGTTAACCATTGCAAAAATTTTATCAACTGTTTTAACTGCCGGAGTTGTTGGTGCTACCTTACCACATGTTGAAAAAAGATTTGGATTTACTAGCAGACAATCTTCAATTTTCATTGCAATCTTTGATTTCGCAAGCGTTCCAGCTCTAATCTTAGCATGCGTTCTAGGTATATCTTTGAAGTTCTATATAGTTTATATATAGATATATTTGTTGAACGAATAGATATCTTTTAGATTTAGATTTAATATCTATATATCATAACTCTTTCTTCTTCTATAATATACAATAGAAATGATTTTATATATAAGCGGATTTAAAAAGTCATTTCTTTATATAATGTAATCTTTATTATATATAATCCTATATAAAAATTACGTAATAGTTCTAACCTAATTTTATATGAGTTTTCTTATCAAAAATTATCAATAACCTTTTTTTAACCAGGAAATTATGAATAGGCTTATTATAAAAAATATAGAGGGCTGCTTTTTATAAATTTTTAAAGTCATTATTCTTTTATTATAGTCGGAAAGATAATTTGATCTAACCTAATTAGTTATGTACCAATGTTTACTTTTTAGTAATATGCATTTATCGTTCTTTATAGGTGCTCAGTGCCATAAACCTAGAGCCATTGCAGTTGGTATGATAATGTTGAGTCTTTCGTGCGTAATTACAGTGATACCTCATTTCTCATCAACAACATATATGCCGCAATTACAAAATAGTGATAACGAAACTATAAGTCTTTGCGGTGATTCAGATTTCAAAGGATGCTCAAAGGTCGGAACGGAGCTTGTTTCCACTACTCATTGGGCGCTGGTAGCCCTAATTTTTGCTAGAATATTATGTGCCTTTGGAAATACACCATTGAATACATTGGCTTATAATTACATGCATGATGTTGCGCCAAAGGAACAATTTAATATAGCTGTCGCCGCATTGAATATGTCGATGATGGTAGGAACAGCAATTGGATATTTAGCAGGTGCTGCAACTCTCAATTTACCACACACATGGCCCTATAAACCTGACTTTCCTAAATCGAGCCCGAATTTCGTAGGTGCTTGGTGGTTAAGCTATATCGTTATAGCTGTAACCACCGCTGTTGTTGCTCTTCCTATTGCTGCCTTTCCTAGAGATCTGCCTGGGGCTGACTTAATGAGGAAGAGTCGCAAAACCGAAGCTCATAAGGGACAGGACGATGATGAAACTGCTATATTTGTTCATTGGAGAGATATAGGGGGACACGCCAAAAGACTTATAACAAATGGTCCCTATGTTGCTCTCGCTCTCTACTATTCCATTAACTATTCCACTACGAATGGATTTGCTGATTTTGCTCCAAAGCTCGTGCAGACTGGATTTGGTCTCAGTGCACCTAGTGCTGCTGTGGCAGCTGGTTTAACTTTAGTATTAGCCGCACCAGTTGGAACAATAGCGGCCACAGTCCTCAGTAACAAACTAAAGTTATCTTGTCGAACACTTATGACATGGGTTTGTGTTATATCTTTGACAGTCTGTCTCTTTGCGCCCACTTTATTAACTCCTTGCCAAGGTTCGGAATTGCGAATTTCAAATGAAACTTGCTCAGTTGGAGTTTGTAAATGCACTGATGCGGAAATTCAAGCGGTATGTGGTGCTGACGGTTATACGTATAAATCAGCTTGTCACGCTGGTTGTACTTCAACCAATTCATCGGCGGTAAGCTTCTCCTGTTCTTATTAATAAGGTTATCTTTTATTGATAAATTTTGATAAAATTAGATATTCGAAGGTTGCGGCTGTACAAGTAGTCCATCAAGGACAGCCACAGCAGGACCTTGTCCCCATCCTGGATGCGGTTGGAGATTATATGGTTTCCTCGGTATGGTGTTTGCTTTTTGTGCTTTACTCTTTGCTGAGCAAACATTAGCAACAACTGCTACTGTAAGAGTTGTTGGAGCACCTCAAAGGCCTATGGCAATAGCCTTAAAATGGATTGGTATCCGTGTCATCAGTAAGTACCTTTGTTCTACTTTTAGTATTGAAACCTAAAAAAGAGATAACATATAATTTATCTTAAATAAAGGAAGGTTAAAGGTAAATCGTTTAGTTATCAACTGTAGATAAAAAACTAACAAAAGGATATAAGAAATTATTGAATTATGAAGTAAATTAAAGTATCTTTTACAATTAGTAAATTAAACTACAGGATTAATTAAAAAAAAAAGCCCATATATACAAACGAATATAAAATATCCTTTACAGTTTGGTATTACAATTAGTTAATTCAAAAAAAAAACAATAATCTATTCTAAATGTATTAAACACGTTCTCTTATTTCCTTTTTTTTCTAAATATAGGTCCAGTTTTTGGTCCATTTAGCATGGGAATCATATTTGATTCAGCATGTAAATTGTGGAAAAGTAAATGTGGTGCTCGAGGATCATGTGATCTTTATGACGTTAAATCCCTTGCTCTTAAAATGATGGTATTACAAATATTTATACACGCTACTTCAACAGTATTGGCGGTAATCGGTAGATGGCGATATCGCAGACCTGTTAAAACTGATCAAAAGAATGGCAACTGTATCACTGAAATGGATAATATAGTCGTAGATAAAACCAAAGATACTCATCAAAATGATATGAATGGTAATGCAGATCATAACGATACAAAAATAGTTCCTTTGTTAAATAATCATAGCTCAGATAATAGTGCCTAAGAAAAGTATATACTGTTTTTTCGTAAAGGAGGATAGATTTGTGTCTTTCTTCAAAATTAACTATTGTGTATAAGTGGATTATACGGGTTTGTTGTCTAAGATATATATTTTATAAAGAAAAATGTAATGTTTGTTATTTAACGTTTATACTGTTTCTATTTATGCCATTACAATGCATACTCTATCAAAATACGAAAAGAAAATAAGGGAAAAAGACTTAACGAAGAATGATAGATTATGGAAGAGAATGAAGAAATAATTTATTACAAGTAATAATATTTTTTTTTTAAAAAAACAGAAAAACACAAATGAATAGATTATCTTGAGAAATTATTAGTTTGTTTGGTTTATGTTGTTTTTTTTTTATGTATGATTTATTTTAGATTCTTCCAATGGGAAACATGTCTTCTTTCATTGTTTTTTTTTTGTTCAAATTGGTGATTGATTGATTGTTATTTATTAAAATCTTTGTATTGCAGATTCTTGATTTTTGAACATTTTAAAAGTATAATAATACATTATTTAATCTTTTAGTAAAACGGGGAAATATATATTAATCTTAAATTTAGTTGTTATTGGCTTCTTCTTCTTCGTTTTGTTCCATACCTTCACCTTCGCCTGCATCTTCGTCATTAAAGATATTAGCAATTAGGAGTGGGAGACCAGTTAAAAGTTGTTGAGATGATAAACTCTCGGCGCTATTATTTAATTGGGTTGAATAGTAATTCTTTATTAGATCATTCGGAATTATCATTCCGCAATAATCGTTACTATCTTCATCCAAGAAATTCATTTGAAAATTTCCAGCTTCATTTGGAGTTTCCGATTCTTTTTGTTTAATCGCCTCAAAACCTTGAACAATATAATGCTCAGTATACGATTTTAAAGTGATAACTTCTTTCAAATGTTCACAACTTTGAATTAATAGACGTATACTTTTTGAAAATGGTTGTTTAACGTGCCTTCTTAAAACGCAGGAACAAAGAACTGAAAGAGGTCTTACTAGGGGTAGTTCGTTACTTCTAAGCCAATTTACATCCATTGTGATCCTATTGTCTAGCGATAGCCACATAAGTGAAGCAATTCTCTTGTCAACGTTTCCTCTAAAAACAAATTTAAATAAAGTACCATGTTTTATAAATATGGATAGCACAGATATTATAGAAAGTGTAACGTGAGCTCGGTTAAATTCGTTGCCTCCAGAATGGAGCTCATCTAAACAAGTAAGGAAATAATCTGTTAAATAATCCATAGGCAATTCGTAATGTGTTGAAAAATTGACAACAATATTAATAAATTTCAATAATTTTAATGGTTCAAAATAAGGTAAAAGAATTGAACCAGTTTCTAGTAAATCTTTCAATAGCTTCTTAGCAAGTGATAATCCATAATTACGTATTTTAAATATAGATTCAAAAAGTGTTAGACCAGAAGTATATTGAAAAGAATGTATTAGTTCAGTACAGAATTTATCACCAGTTGTTTCAATATCCAAAGAGATCCATTTAACGATTTCATCTTCGTATCTAAAGAATAGATAACGTCCAATACTCGTTGGGAAACAATTATATAAATCTTTATATAATTTAATATCAAAATTTAATTCAATTTTATTAATAATAAATCTAGTTAGAAATTGAAATACTTTATTATTCTTTCGTTTAATCGATTCAATTGCTAATTCTTCTATACTTTCATTATTAAATTGTCTATTTATAGCTTTCTTTTTAAATTTATAGAATATCTTTTTAAATATCCAAATATTAGTATTAACGCTTATACAACTTTTTAATAACTTTGTTACTAAAGATGGTTTTTCAGCCATATTCATCTTAGTTTTCACAATAAAATGCGCTATATTCGACTGATTTTTAAATAAAAGACCAACCGAGTTAAATACTATTTCGTTATAGATGTTGAAATTGTAATTGTATCTATCCAATAAGTAAATAGTTATATTACTTGAACCAACTTTACAGCTGTAATATAATAAACAATTGATAATATTCTCTTTCCAATAGTAGGTATTATCTAATGATAAAAGATTTAGAAAGATATTCAAATTATCCTGATTATCTTGTTGTATTAATAGTTTTAATATTGGCCATATTAATTCTTTATAATAACCGAAAAATTGGATTGATTTTGATGAAGTTTCACCCGTTTTACAATGTATTTCGTAGTTGGATAGAATTCTTAGATTGATTAAACCTTTAGTGTTTTGTGAAATTCTTTCAACTATGTCTTTAAAGCTGGGACCGTTGAGAAAAGACCATTTTAGACAAGTTGTTAATAGACCATTTTTAGTATCGAAAGCGTCTAAAAAGTATATGTTATTATTTGTCTCTTCCATAACTTCTATTTCATCATCGTCTTCCTGTTCTATTACTTCTTCACCTTCTTCTACCTCCTCCTCCTCCTCCTCCTCCTCCTCCTCTTCCTCTTCTTCTGCTTCTTCTTCGTCAACGACTTCTCCTTCCATAGTTATACAGTTGTTTTACAAAATATGTAAATGTTATATTTAAATTATTTTGAATGACTTAAATTTTTCAAACGATTTATTTAAATTTATTCAAATTATTAATATTATAATGAATATTTATAGTGAATCTGTATTGAAAAGTATTTAAATCTCCAAGGCCTATATAATGGATTTTACGCTTCGTTTAACTTCTATATTGAAATTTCTTTTAAAGTATTGTAGGCTTAGGATCCCTAAAAAAGGAGAAAATGAAGCAGACGTATTTGATACTGGGGCACATTTTCTTGTTTGTCTGCCAAACTTTACTAATTTTAATTTTTTTTTCGTATCAAATGAAAGATGGAGAGAAGAACGATAAAGAGACAGGTATGGACTCTATCGACGGTAGTCTTGTTGATCAAATTGCAAACGACTACTGGAAATGGAATAATGAATGGGACAAGTATACTATTTATATATTCATTGAATTAATTTATTCAAATTATCTCTCTGTTATGAAATAATAAGGCATAAAGGATATAATTCACCAAAATATGTGAGAACAATCTACCTTATAAGGCATGGGCATTTCATAAGAAAATTGGGTAATTATAATGATTCATTATCACTTAAAGGTATGAGTTTTATACTATTAGTTATGGATGTTAATATTGATAGAATATTTAATATTTTCAGGTGTTAGACAGGTTAATTTACTGGGAAAACGTTTAGCAACAATGAACATTAACTTTACTAATATTTATACTTCACCTTTCAAAAGAGCTAAACATACAGCTCGCATAATTAACAAGTACCTTCCGGATAAAAGAGTTAAAGTCACTGATTTCCTAAGAGAAGGTAGACCAGTATTCCCTGACCCTGCTCCAGCATACTGGAGAAAAGATGATAAAGTATGAGCAAGATTAAATGAATAATCTTTATTTTACCGCAAAGTGTATTAATAATTAGGAAATAGTAGAAGACGGTCCACGACTTTGGAAATCATTTAAAGTATTATTTCATAGGAGTCAGAGTAAGAAAGATATCAATGATATATTTGTGTGTCATGGGAATATTATTGGATTTCTTATACTAAGGTTTTGAGAAATGAAAATTCATGACACTTTAGCAATATATTCTATATTTTATTCCGCCTTTAGATCTTTACAACTACCGAGTCAGAGGTGGCTGCAGTTGCCTGTTGGTCACGCCAGTATTACGAGAATTGAAATAGACTACAATGGGGAAGTTTTTGTTAAATCTATTGGCGATATTGGGCATTTACCTCAAGTTATAACCTCCGGTTAGGAGAGAGACACTCATCGTTATATTACTAATATTTCTATTAATAGATATTTGTTAGGTTTTAATTACGTTTTCTAGATAACAGAATTTATGACGTTTGTCTAATTAATTAAACTATTATTTATTCTATATTTAAAATAAGAGGAATTAGCTAAAATAACAACACTTATGCCATTTACATTCTTTTTATAAAGAGATTTGAAACAATTGTTTCTAATTATTTGACTAATGAACTACTTTTTCTCACTCATTATAGACAGTACGTAATACTTAAAATGTATTTCTCATTGTGTGAAAACAACCGTTTCACTCAGTACATTTATTTAAATATTATTCTTCCACATAATATATATGTACTGTATATGTAGCTGCCTATGTTTGAAAACAAATCGTTGCAATGTTTCATTTCTATATTTATACAAGTAAAGAATTCTGTTGTTTGTTTGTTATTTGTTTGTTTTAGAATTCAATAAATATAATAAATTGTGAATGAAATACATAATAAAATCTTAGGGAAACATCTTCTAATGTTACTCTGTTTATAATTCAAGAAAAAACAATACTTGCTGATATGTGAACACATTATACTATTTAATCTTCTTTCACTTCTCTTCTTCTTCTTCTTTTCCTCTCTCTGTCTTAATTTTTATATTCTAATTTATTGTTTTTTCTTTTAAATGTCTTGTCCCTGTTCACGGAGAGCTTCTTCTAACTTTTTGGTTCTTTTACGATCAATAACTTCCATTTCTCTGATAAGCTATATATAATATAAAATTGTAGTAATATTTTGCAGTTGTTTATATACTATATACATATAGTTAACTTACGCGGGATATTTCCGTGTTTATTATATGCCTATATTCCTTTCCTTTTCCTATTGATTCCATTCTGTCAAGAAATGATTTACGTTCTTCAACCTCTTCATATACTGTAAAAGAAAATGAAAAGCTTTTACAAGAAGAAACAATAACAACAAAATTATTTTGTACATTCTTCAAAACGATCTTTCCTATGTCGTCTATTTTCATCACTCTCCTGAGCTTGACGTAGTCTTTCCTTAAGGTCTTCTAAAGTGGGAGGTTTCACATCCTCTCCAAAGGCCATAATATTTTGCAGTCTTTCCTTATCTCTAATTTTAAACTGATTAATTGGCTCAGGATTGTATCTATCCCTTTCATAAGCCCCGGAAGAGGTAATTTCCTTTAATTTTCTTGTTCCGCTATTCAATTTTCTATTGGAAGTGTAAATATTTATTGTTCTATTGGCATTTTTACTGATTATTATTTCCTAAAAATACAAATAATATGACTAAGACGTCTTTAATATTTAAATAAACATTAATAAATTGTGCACGATATTATCGTCATAAACAATCTGTTTGTATTTATTTACATACTTGTGAGAAATATTCTAACCTCGGATCTACTCTTGGACCTTTTGGCAATGTGACCACTTGTTTGCTTTGCTTTTTCGCACTGCTCGTTGGATTACATCTAACAGGTAATGCTTGACCATTTTTCAACGCATCATTTAGCTGTCTTTGCTGGAAGCTCGTTAAACGTGACTCTTGCATTGCCGCTGAAAATGATTTTATTAAAATTGGCTTTTCAAGTTTGAATGAAATAATAAATATACTTTTAAGAAGTTGTTGTGTTTGTTTACTAATAGGAGGTTGGGCTGTATTCCAAAATCCTCCCTGGGCAACTGGATGATAAGGTTTCTCAGCCATTATCTGAACGAAATCACTGTGTTTTTAGTGTTTATCGGTTTCTATGGAAAAATTCATAGCAGACGATAAAGGTTCACTTGTTTTTGAAATGGAACAGGGAGCCGGTTTTTGTAATCGATTCTGATTTTTGTAAACGATAAGAGTGGTCTGTCGATTTTTGTGTAGAGTATATAAAATGAATTCTGTGAAATCGATATGATCAAATCGAAAGTCGAAATGTCTATATTTCAACGTATTCTGTTTCGATTGTGTTGTTTTCATGAATATCTTTGAGGGGTACCACAATAACTAAATTTCTCCATTTTTAAAGGACATAGCATATATTTAGTAAGTATTACATTTATTGAACAGCAGATCAGAAAAAAAATTTTTTTTGATAAAAATTCTGTACGCCTGGTAGGCCATAGAAAAGGGATTTTCCTTTATTACGAGAATGACGAGATCGGTACGAAATTACTTTGTACTATATCAGATACTATAATAATGAAACTTGTCTATCTTTTGAATTCCTGCCGATCTCTTTTAAATGCTTATGTGCACTCGTATTTTTGCTATTATATAGTATATTTATGAACAGGAATATGACAACATTTTGTATTAATTTTCAGTATTAACCTGCTTCAGGGCTATGTCATTACAATTGACAATTAGAGATTGGTCAGGTGAATCGTATCGGAAAGAAATTAGATATTCAAAGGATATAGAAAAAATAACAATTTATGACTATATATTCATCAAATTGGATCTTTTAAATGAACTTTGTGATTCCGCTAAACACAGTGATTTTGTTCTAAGCAGACAATCAAATGTTGAATGGACTACATATTTAGGAGATTTAATAAAAGATAACTTGCGATTTATTGATATTCGGCTAACAGCATCATTTAAAGTATCTAATGTTAATCATGATGACAGTCAAATACCTGAGAATGAGACAAGGCGGATATCAAATTTACGTTTGAATTCTGGGGGGCAAACTGAATCTAAACCCGAAGATGAATTTGTAGATATCAGAGAAGATAGGAATTCCAACGCCCATTCAAATCCTCTTCTTTTATCAGTAAACTATACTTTGACGTCGGACGATCCCAGTCAAAGATCTCGAGATGAAAAAGAGCTTCCAAATTTTATTAGGTGTAGAGAAGAGTTTAATAAAAAATTACTTGAAGATGTACATGATCCAACAAAAGCGAAAAGGATGATAGATGGTACAACATATCCAACCTACCCCAATGAAGGAGCATTTATGAATAAATATAGAGACTCAACAAATGGTTTTGATTTAGATATACCTGAAGAGTTTATAAGAGAAATTGAAAATGAACAGGGCTTCTTTAAAAATGTTTGCCGCAAAACGCCGCAATCCATTGTGAGTTTATAGCATACCTTATTCAAGTATACTTGATGATTTATACTATTTATCATGTTTTCTTTCTTTTATATCTAGCTGTTGGCTCATTATCAGCAATATGTGCGAGAGAACGAAAACAGACAGCACGATGGTAAATACCTAATCTGGAAATTTGATTCAAAAGCTGTTTGCATTAGTCCATTGTCAGTAGAGCATGTTAAACTTTTGAACCCATTTTCTCATTTTTTATTTAATTTATTAGATACGGAACGGCTCCAAGGCATTTCAAAATTCGCTATAGAGAAGTACCCAATGGCGAAAAGTTTTTTTATTGTACAAGAGAAGGGAATAGGTATCCAAGCCTTAAATCTACAATAGACGCTTATGTTATGAATAGAATAAGACTGTATTTGAAAACGCAAAGAGGTAGCAGTAGTTCAGCTGATAAGTATCCACTATTTCTGAAGGAACCTATCTGCTTAGAAAGACGAATAGACGGAATAATAATTCCTGAACAGAAGCCTCAAAGGGAAGAAGACGAGCCTTCCCCCTTAAAGAAATTCGATGCAACATAGTCTTTTGGTGAAATATAAATTGGAAGTATACTTTACAAGTTATTGGAATCATAAGAGAAAACGATTCTGACGCATTTGACTATCAGCAACAAACAGCTTGTTTAAAAGATGAAAATGAGCGAAGAAAAAGCTCCCTTCATAGGAAGAGATTCTAAAGATTTACCTTAAGAGAATCTATTTCAAATTTGTCTTGTGTTCAGCATCAAGTCGGTATTAATAGTCTTACAAAATATTCACGGGACAGCGTTGGCTTATATTTATACTTGGGAAGTTTTTGTATTTATACCTTAACGGTAATATTTAAAAATTATACTTTAAATGTATTAACCGCTACTTGCTGTATTCTCTCTACACCCTGTATCTCATGATTGTTTTTCATGTTTTGTTTTGTTAATCTAAAACATTATCCATTGAAAATCATTTTCTCTTAATAATTTGTTAAGCAATGACCAGTTATACTTTTTAACTGTTTCACTGGTTCATATATTTTTATATTGTTAATACAGTTATATGACTTTACATGGTTCAACTACTATGTCGAAAGTAGAAATTGTAATCTTTATTAATTAATCTTTGTTTGGTTGTTTGTGTAAAGAAGATTAATCATTTACTAAATGACGTCAGCTGTTGTAATTTTTCTATTTTTGGTTTTAGAAGCTATTAAAAGGCTAAAAAAGAAGTGAGTATAATGTGTTTTTGTACTTGGTTTGCCAATTATTTTTATTAATTATTTAGGAATTATCTTATTAATTGTTAGCACTTATCTTCATCGTATACAGCCGATAGTGAAAAAGAGTAAGGCAGATTAAAATCGTCAAAGGAACCAGCTTTCTTTTGAATTGCTGTTTGATAACTAGCTTCCTCAACATTAAATCTAACTGCGAGTGGTGAATCTCCAACTTTTTCTGGAGAAAAGCCCAATCTATCTCCCTTTTTTGCTACAAGACATTTTTCTACCACTATCTGTTAAGGTAAAAACGTTTGCTTCAGCAAAATTATTCATATATATACAGTATATGCTCTATTTTACCGTTTGGATAAAATCTTTGCCTTTAGGATGAACTAGCTTTTCGTAAATTAGTTCATAAGTACCATTTATTGGTCTCCAAAGTTGAACTTTAATCAGCTTGGCGTTTTGAAAGAAAGCAAGGAAATATTGAATTCTTACACTTCTTTCAAAAGCTTTATTGAGTATTATAGTTCTATTATCAGTTTGTATCTTTGTGTCTCCTGGAATAGGTTCTTGACCCAAAATATCTAATCTAATAGGAACATTCTTACACCAATTGCAAGATTTTTTGCAGTAAGGTATCATCCAAGCAGGATTTTTTCTACATTCACCTATTTTTGCCCAATTTGAACAGGAAGTAGAAGGTGAAAACACATCTCTACAGCTGTCTTCTGTTAAAAATAAAGAAAAACATATTAATTTCTTATTGTAGTAAATATTTATAATATAAGTTAACAAGTTCCGGGATCAGACGCAGTGACATAAATAGAGAAACGAATTAAACTAAAGAAAGGATCATAGGAATAGAATCTTTTCGCTATCTCTATGGTTTGTTCTACTATCTTCATCTAATTTTCTAACATAGCACTTTTCCTGATAGATGATGACAATGCAAACAGGAAAAACAATCAAAATTTCAAGAATTTTCCTTCTGTTCTATGTTTTGTAGGTGACCTCCATTCCATAAATATAACATTACCTGTTGTAGTATTCTTTGACGGTGTACACCTGCTACATGCTTTAAAGCAGTTGGATATCATATAAGGGGCATTTCGATAACATTCGCCGATATTTGACCAAAATTCACATCTTTCATCATCTCCCAAAGCGTTATGACATTTTGCGGGACCAGAGTAACACTTTTCGCAAGATGCTTTACAATTAAATTTCATCCATAGAGGATTTTTTGTACATTCTCCAATGGATTCCCAATATGGACACATATTATCTCTATCAATGCAATCTGTTCCTATCAGATTAATTATTACTTAATTATAATTAACAGTATTTATTTATATGAACACCAAAATAGATAATTTACCATTTTCGGCTTTATCACAATTTAAACAAGCTTTACGACAATACGGCATCATCCAAGCAGGATTCTTTCTACATTCATCCTTGGACGCCCAATAATTGCACTGTCCATCATTTTTGTAAGCATTTTTACATTCTTTTTTGTTTGTTTTTTTAAAAAAAAAAATTTTCTTTTTATTATTTTTTATCTCAAAGTGGGAATAAATTATTTACCTATAGTTTTATCACTATCGCACTTCCAACAAGCTTTTCTACAGTATAGGTTCATCCAATCGGGATTTTTTTTGCAATCGCCACGATTTGCCCAAAATTCACACTCTGCGTCATTTCCATAGCTGTTTCTACACTCTAGGCAACCATATTCAACTTGTAGATAATTTCCTCTGCTATTGGATGGGCAGCTATTGTCAAATGTTGTATTTAAAAGGCATCTCTCTCGTTTATCACATAACCTGCGATAGTACTCATCAACTGACGATGAGGAACAAGATCTATTATTGCTAGATGATGAGTCGCATAATTTATCATCTTTCTTCTGTCCAAAGAATGATGATTTTGTTATTATTAAACGCTTAGGCGGACAGATAATCGATAATTGACCCTCATTCTCGCATGAAAATCCATGATAAGTCTTAATTTCGCACTGGAAACGAACTGTAAGGATAGGAGATGAATCTTGGCAACCAATAATGCCAAACGTGTTTCTGTCAGACGGAATAGAGCATTTTTCTTTTCCATTGCACATTCTTTGGACAACTTTTAGGGAGGTTGTTGAATTGGTTATGCATTCCGTAATATTTCTATTAATCAAAAAAATGTAATAAATATTAGAAATGTTACATTTAATAATTATTTATGTAATAGTTGTCTGAATATTTTATTATGTACTGTGGATTAGAATTTAAGCATCTTGTCTCATTGGGCTTCCTATCGAATTGAACATCGGTTATTTGTATAATATAATCGTCTGGACACGATATTTTTAAGAGAACACGTTCGCATGCATAACCATTAAATGTAACTGCTTTGAAGTCACCGACTAAAAATATTGATTATTTTAAATATATCAGTATTTTATAGAAATAAGTCATACATTAATTTAAGTTATCTTGATATACTTACTTTCACCGTTGATTATCGTGATTAATTCTGCATAAAACGATAAAATCAACCATATAACACTTACAATTTTCATTTTTATTCAAGAAAATTGAATATGTACCATTCAGTGCAAAGGAGACCGCCTCTTCACATATAATATAAATAGGTCGATGTTATACGCTTTAGCGATTCTAAATATATTTAGGGATAGGATTAGGCCTTTTTTTTCTCTTTTTAGTAAAATTAATACTAATAGGACGTTATTCTTTTAATATAAAACATTTTATTTAGTTCTCTCTTCCCACTCTTTTTCTCTCTCAATTTTAGGCACATTTGATTCAAATAAGTTTAGTTTGACAGGGTTAAAGTGCAAATTATATGTTTGAAGTTTCCTCATGTGCGCCTAATTATAAAAGAAAAGGCACTGCTAAGAAAAAAAATTGACTGATAAACTACTATACACCTAGTGAAAGGTTTCCCAACGTTATTTACGGCTTAAATTTAAATAGATCTTTGGATTATATTCCTCGTCATTCAATATCTAATAATCAATTCTTGGATGCAGAATAATAGTTGAAAAGAAACATAAACCTAAAATAATTTATGCCATGGGAAAAGAAAAGAAAAAACACAACAACAACAATAGTTTTAAACTTCCGTTAGAGGAAGATTATATATTTCAAGTAGTAATTATGAATATTAACATTTTAACAATATTAAAATATAATATACACAATTAATTGAATAAAAACAAGTATAGTGAAAATATTTTTCAACTTTTTTTTTTCTCTTTTGGTTCAACAATAAATAGTTTTTTTAGTTAGTGACTTTTTAGATTATTTGTCCTGTGCTTTGTTTAACATATATATGTAAATATATGTGCAAAGTAGATATGAATATATGAATATTAATTAATTAATTAACAAGTAGTAATACGACTAGTAAGTTCTGGTGATTTCTTTTTCAGTAGGGACGTTTCTTCGTCAACAACTACTATTTTATTAATTGCCTTTAACTTTCTTTTCTCTTCTCGCCACCGTAGGCAGCATTTTAATGGTATGCATATTAAACCTGATGCAGCAATAGCACCACCAGCTACATAAAAGGCCAAACGATAGTTTCCCGATATATCATATAAAGCACCTAATTATTAAAATTCATATAGTACTATAAAACTTGTACATGTATTAATATATTATAAAGTAAATAAACCTGCAGTTGGAACTCCGATGAATGTTGAAAAGCCACGAAACATGTTTAAAAATCCAAAAGCGTTGGATAGTTTTTCAAGACCTAATAGGTCGATTATGATAATTGCACATAAAGAAACATATATTGCTGAAAGAAGAGATTAAATTATTAATATGACAAAAGTTAATCCAGTAGCTATCTTCCTTTCCAGTTGTTTATGCTTACCAATTGTTATTCCATATATGGCAGCGTAGATGCATAGTTGCCAATAAGCTACCATAAAACTGACAAACATGGTTGTACATCCGCCAGCAATTAGAGCAAGGTAGTATATTTGAAGTGGGTCTACTTTCGAATTGTCAGATATTAAACCGCAAACAATTCTACCCAAAGTATTAAAGATACCAAATAAACTTAGTAAAAATGCACTTTTTCTCCGACTAATCCCTTTTGATATTGCATAATCGGGCAAATATGTTGAAGGTACAAAGAATCCTGCAAAACAAATATGTATTACATTATATTAATATATGAATATTCATTAGAAACTAATTAACAAGCGAAATAAGTTTGATAATATATTTTAATTACGACACGTGCTGATATATATATTTGTATGGTTATACTTACTATTGAGAATAGATAAGGCTTACTATCGTATTTAAGTATACAAACAGGTGATTTGTTAATTATGATATCTAATCGAAAGAAATTCGGATTTGACAAAGTACAAGCTTATAAATTACTCAATAAATATGTATATAATATATTTTAATACGCCATCTATTGGAATATAATGTACATTAGTAATAGTTCTTTTTTTTGTTGTTTGACTAACTTCAATTGACATTGCTCAATCGTGATTTTTAAATAGATCATCTACCTTTAACTGATACTGAAGATAAGCCAAGTATAATCTGATTTTTGAACAGATTAGTTTTGTCTTGAGTATCTAGTTTAGATTTATACATTTTCATTAAATTAAACTTAACTTGTTATTTCTACCCCTAAAATAATAGAGGTTTAACACACAGGATAATAAATAAATAGCAATAATTTAATATGTTAATAGCTCACTATTTATGTGAGAGAGAGAGAGAGAAAGAAAGAGTTGGATGAAGAAAGACAGATAGTTATATAGATAAATCAATTAAACGACGTAATATATACTTTGTAAAGTGTTATTTTCTTTTTTTTTGTACATAATCATGACTTGAACGACCTCGAATTTTAAATTGTGTCATGCTTGAATTATATAGGTGACATTTAAAAATAATGTCCTCTCAGTAAAAGAGAAAAAGAAAGAAACTACAACATTTAACTTACCGATTGCGCAGAGGAACGATGATATACAGAAAAGCATAAATGGGATATTCAGAAGAAGTTTAAAGTCGATTGTTCTCTTCTTGCCTTTATTTTTCTCATTTGTTCCATCAGCATTTGTTGTTAATTCATTTACACTTCTGAATGTCATACCTATTACGCAACCTTGTAAAGTAATACCAGCATGTATGAGTAACGCTCCCCTCCACCCAAATTGTTCAATTAAGTAGGCGGAAAGCGGAGCAAAAACGAATGTTCCCACACCCGAACCACATGATGAGAATCCAGTGGCGAATGCCCTCCATTTGTTAAAGTAATGACCAATCATAACATACGAGCAGAGATACATTAAACCCATAGATATAATCTAGATTAAGTCGCATTGTCTTAATAATAATAACAGTAATAATTATCTGTTTTCTTCTTTATTATTCCTTTCCTCCTCCTCCTCCGTCATTAAATAAAAGAAAGAACAACAATCTTTGAATTATTCTCTTATTTTTTGTCTAAGTACATCTAGATTATTTCTATGACTTACCAAAACCAACACCAGATATAATACCATAGGTAATTATTAATTGCCATATTTCTGTACAAAAAGTAGATAAAACAAAACCCGAAGCGGCTAGAATACTTCCAATGATAGTTGTTAATTTACACCCGAATCTTTCTGCTAAATAGCTCGCAAGCGGTCCAACGAGAGCGTAAACGGCGCTTATAGTCGAACCAACCCACGAAGTTAATGCATGACTCGATTCGTAATGAAGTAGAATTTCGGGAAGAAAAATACCAAATGAGAATATGATTCCGTCAAAAATGAAATTTGAAAAGAAGGCGGATAAAAGAATCATCCATGACCAACCCGAATCAGGCTCAAATTGTTTGGGATATTTCTTCTCCATAACTTAATATCTGTAAGTGTTTTAACCAAGTTTCTAAGGCCTTGAATCCTAATATCTATTTGTACCTTATAATATAGGCCTATTCCATTAAAATATGACACTATCGTAATTGTTTCGAGCTCCTTTTTTTTAAGTATGACAGTAAAACAGGCTTGAACTTATTAGAATATAGCTAAAAAAAAAGCATTTAGAATATACGTTCTCTTTAGGTAGCTAGCGACATCTATATTATGAACAAATTAGTAATCAAGACATAATTTCAACGCAGTCAGAAAATTTAGGCTCAAAAAATATCGTTGAAGAAGCAACTTTTATTGATTATTACGACTCCTACATTTTCAATTATAAATAAAGGTACAAAGACTGGAATAATTCTGTGTAAATTGTTGTAAGATATTTCATTTGGTAGAAATTTTCTCCCAAGTTTCATATAGCCCTTTAAATTCGTTCCAATAATGGATTCGGACGAAGTAGAACAATTCGATTACCTCTTCAAAATTGTACTAATTGGTGACGCCGGTGTTGGTAAAACGTGTATAGTTCAACGTTTCAAAAGTGGTCTATTCATGGAACAGTACGGTTCAACAATTGGTGTTGATTTTACAATGAAAACAATCGTAATTGATGACAAAAAAATAAAGGTAAACAAATTCTTCGAGTTACTCTATATTAATGTGTAAAATAAGTATAATAGAATCAATTACTACATAGGAGAATATATAAGAATAATAAGGGATAGAGTTACTCCTCTTCTCTTTGTTATTCATAAACCAATAACATTTCTATTATTCATTTTCCATTCGAAAAAAACGAAAAAAACAGCTACAAATATGGGATACGGCGGGACAAGAGAGATTCAAGACAATTACTCAATCCTATTATAGATCTGCACACGCTGTTCTCTTAGTATACGATATTACTAAGGAGAAATCATTTGAAAATATTGAAAAATGGTTAGAAGATGTTCGAAAGTACACTGGAAATAACGTACTTAAAGTATTAATAGGTAATAAAGAGAATCATAATTAAATAGTAAAAGTTAATTGAATAAAGGAATTCTGAATTTAATTAATTATGAGAGAATAGTGACTTTGAAATATTCTATTCTAGGGAATAAGTGTGATTTGGAACAAGCTCGACGGATTAGTACTGAAAAGGCAAAGCTCTTTAGCGAAAAATATAATATGTTTAGTATGATTGAAGTAAGCGCAAAGGATTGTTGTAATATAAATGAATCATTTATAAATTTAACTAAGGTTTTTATTATTCAATTTTCATCTTTTTCTTTATAGTTTAATATTAAAACTTCTTTTCTTCTCATAGGAACTAGTCTCTTTACATTCCGATTCAAAGTTTATATCAAACGACATTAATCTGGTTCTAGGTAAATCTACCAAAATTAAGACTTGCTGCATATAATAAAGATACTACCTAAAAAAAAAAGAAAGTGTTCTAATTGTTTTTTTTTCTATTTATTATTCTTCTGCTTGTTTTACATTCCATTTTATTGTAAAACTGTAATTAATTTTTGTTCCATTTTCTATTGAAAAGGTTTGTCACGGGCTTATTCAGCATCTGTATTACTTACTGTTCAATATAACTTTACGAGTTTACTTCTGTTCAAATAATACTCGAAACTGTTGAAATATTTATTGCAATAAATGGAGGAATTATATCGTCATTTAATTTATTCATTTTTAGTTGTTAGGAGAGAGAGAAAGACAGACAGAGGAGAGAGGGAGATATGGAACGAGAGAGTATAGATAAAAATAACCTTTAGTTAGGTTGTGTAATTAGAAGAAAAAAAATCAGCTTCAATACATTTGTTTGGTGAGGATAGTGGCAAAATATTTAACATTGTTATTGAGACTATAATAATTATTGTTGAAAATATGAGCATCAAAATATAATTGAGTCTGTTTGCTATTTTCTTCCATCTTCTTCTAATTTCGTTATCGATTTGAGAAGGTGATAAATCATTTCTTAAATGATTCTTTCCAAAACAAATCTTAGTTAATAATTTAGGCGGTTGTTTCTTATTGAAATGGAATCTTATAATAAACATTGAAGATAAAACGGATAAACCGGATAGAATCATTGTAATTGTCAGATAAATCGCTGTTAAAAAGATTTAGTGAGAGTTATTTCAATCTAATTTGGGAAAAATGGAAAACAGTGGAAGAAAGGAGCATTAACTTACACAGAATTGGTGTTGATAGACTACTTTCCGGTATGGAATCGGCTAATTTTAATTGGAATACGGTAAATGATAATAAGACTGTTATGCCATAGGAGATTTTTTCACCGGCTTCGCTGGGTATTAGAAATCCCAATGCGGCTAAAATCGATATTACTACACAAGGTACTATAATGTTAATCATGTGATAAGAAGTTCTCCTCTTCAAGCAAAATAAATAAGATACTGTGCTTGTTAATTCGAATCTACTAGCCGGAAAAATTGTTGGTTCGACTCTTGTCCAAAGAATCACCCAACCACCGTTCTCTTCCATAAAGCTTAAATCAACCGTTGAGGACAAGTTCTTTAAAATTAAAGTTCTTGTACTATGAGACCATGTTCCAAGTGTTATGAGGCACAGTTGGTGATCGAAAGGGAAATAGGTCATATCTAATTGACAGAAAGTTTGCAATTTACCGCCTATTAGCCAAAAGATGGAGCCCTGGTATGTAATTTGAACGTCGCTGGATTCCCAGGCTGATCTTTGGTCCATCTTGGCGGCACTGTTAGTTATAACAATATCTGGTAACCAGATATTGCGACCTTTTATTTGTAGAGTATAAACTGGTCCCGTTTGAGTGATATTCCAACCTAATTATTTATAGTAAAATGTTAATTTACTATCTACAAGAGAGCAGTTGTTTAATTACCCAAATAATCATCTAACCAACTTACTACTATTTTGCAGGTAGTTGTAAAGGTTTGCGTTTGTTCATTTAGGTCAAAAATTTGTAGAATACTTAAACCAACTTCAACGATAACTGGTTTAAACGAATCCTTTTTTGGTCTAGTCTTTGGATAATCTTTGAAAAGTTTCTCATAGATTTTCTCTTCAATACTCTCTGTTTCGTTCAAATATCTCATCATATATTAATATTTACTTATTAATATAACTCATAAGCATGTATACAATGCTCTATACAATGAAAAAGAAATTAAAAAGTAAACTTTCCTTGAGCAAAATTTCCGTTGATAAGGCTAAATAAGCTGAAGAGAAATAAAAATATCCTCATCCTGCTTTAGATAACCTAAAATGGAATGGAAAAAATTGACCGGAACTTATTTGATATCCTTTCCCTTTCTTCTTAGAATTCAATCTCACGATCCGCTTTGATGCGTTTCCTACCTAGCTTTCCAATAGTTTAACTTATAACTCGGAGAAACTTAATTTATTCATGAGAGTAAAGTAAGCAATTAGCTGAATAAATACTCTAGGCAGTGTGATCATTACGTATTTAATCGTTAAGCTACAAAAACAATATGGTAAAGAGAAGAGGGAAAACCGGAAAGAGAGAAAGACAGACAGAGAGAGAGAGAGAGAGAGAGAGAGAGAAATAAAGGCCAAAAGCGGGAAAAGGATAAGGAATAAATCTCAGCATACATTAAGAAAAAAAGGCTATAAAAATTCTTTAATAATTTTTTATTCTATCATTTATTAAATAAAGAGAGAATGAGAGAAAATGAATATATAAGCGGATTATTAATAAGAAAAAGAAAGAGGAATTAGGAATGAAGGGCAAATTCTTGGAAAGGAACAAAGAGAAAATATGATAAATACAATACTCAATGCAAAAGTTATATTTATTCATATTTATTTATTAGTATTAATTACTTGTAAAGTACATTCATTTCTTTACAATATAGCCGTTAGATGGTGCTTTCTTTGATTTAATCGAGTATTATAAATATAAAAATAGTCTTTATTGAGTACTTTGACATTAAAAAAAAAATATATTGAAGAGGAAAAAAAAAGAGAAATATTATATTTTCTGTTCTTTCTATTCTATTTTTTATTGCGCATGCGTAAGGCGCTTGAAAAGATTGATTTTTAAATTACTGTCTAGTATTTATTTATGCATTACATATATTAGTATATGTATATATGTATATAAACCGTATAAATAGTAATACTGTATATGTATTTTACAATAGTGAAAATTCTTAATTTTCGAATGACTGATCTTCAAATGAACCTTAAGGGATGAAATGGTTAAGCTAGTCTAAGACCAAATACAATTCTCCTAATTAGTCATGATACAAATGATAAAAATATACTAGTTTAATTAAGTAAATAAACGAATAAAATTAATGATTTTTTTCCTTTTCAATATAATTTGAAAGTTGATAGTTTAAATTAAAATATAATAACAAATTGATACTTTTGTATAGAGAAAATTTTGTTTCAAAGGAATGGGCCACCTGGTGTGTAGTTGATAATCCAGAATGTCTCTCTCTCTCTCTCTACTTGTATGTTGATATGAAAGAAAGAATGGAGTAGACTAGATAGATAGATAGATAGATATACAGAAAATGAAAGGAAGAAGGATGTCTACAGTTATTATTTACGATCTAAGCATTTCGGTTAAAACAGCCGAAATGATTCAGTTTTTATATTAAAATAATAAAGGGGATAATTACGAAAAGATTAGAGGTAGGGTTCACGGTCTAGGGAGAAGGTTTATAATTAGTGTTTGATTGATTACACTACTTAATTAATCCGTGTATTTCCTTCGACACAAATAAATTATCAAATTTAATGTATTATTCTATATAAAGTCTACAATATATCCTTTGTGTCTTTCTTGTTGTTTTTCCTCTAGTATCTTTTATTATAAGTTAGGGTTGATTAACCTATATTTACTAATTTGCTTTTTATCTGTCATGTTTGTTACGAGAATCCTTAAATATACAACAAAATATTCAATAAATATAATCTTACTAAAGTATTAGGGAGTTTAATGGATTAGTATCTGACTGTGTCTATGTTCCTATAAGTAGACTGCCGTAACAATCGACTATGATTTAATTCGTCTCAAAGGTATTCTGAAATGAAAAATATTGCCGAAAGCCATTTTTGTTTTCGTATTTTTTCTTGTTGTCTTAATACTTCTTGATGAATATTAATATTTTTAAATAGTAAAATTAAAGTATAAAGGGTTTAAAAAGTTAGTTTTGCCTTTAAAATATGAATTATTAATTATAAATATGACGGAGATAACATCTTAATGTGATCGAGAACATTATTCATGTTATTTCTCTTTCTCTCTCTGCCTGTCTCTGTTCTAATTCTCTCACAATTTCTTTCTCTTTTCCCCTTTTCTCAATATCTCTGCCCCTCTCCATCTCTCTCTCTCTCTCTCTCCATCTTTTTCTTTATCTTTCTCTTTTACCACTTGGAACTCCTTAACTATCGTATCATAAACATATAGCATAGGTCATAGTCATCTTTCCAAATATTCAACTTAGCCCCGTATCATATCTGTTAAATAATAAAGCTTTGTAATGCAAACCTAGTCGCCCTTCAAACAAGGAAACTCTACCCTAAGTAAAAACCTAACTTGCAACCGAAGACAACACAACGAAAGATGTAGAAATATTTCCTAAGAAGGCCTAAAGCGTCCCGAATTGGATGTTGGAAAGAGATTATATCAGATTAACGTTAATCCGGCTTTTGAGCAATCCTAAAGTATTAGACATAATGTTATTAACATACGGGTTTTTTTCCCCAAAAAAAAAGAACTACTGTATATATCTGCAATATAATGACATATAAACATAATGTTCAGCATGTTGCGTGTAATATTAATAAACTTATATATATATAAATAGCTTAGAAAAAACTGGCAACAATTCAAGTAAATCAAATAAAGAAAGAAATTAATAAATAAATTATTATCAACAATTTTTTTTTTGTATTAAAATTTTTCTTTTGTTATTTCTATATAAAAAAAAATGAGAAAAAAGAGCCTTTTCTCGTGTTCGAATACATTAAAATCAATGTCCTAATTGTCCTTTCAGCATCTAATTACCGAATAATTAAGTAATTGGTATTGTTTTTTTTTCTTCTTCTTTTCTTTCCTCTTTTCTCTTCTTTTTTAACTTTTCTTTCATTTTTTCAAAAAAAAAAAAAATAGTAGAGATGATTAAAGGAGGAAAGATAAAGAATAGAAAGAAGAAGAAGATGAGGAAGAAGAAGAAGAAGAAGAAGAAGAAAATCAACGGTCAATGTATTTATCTAGAATTAATAATTTTCATGTTTTTGAAAAATTCAAGATTTTCGGTGGATTTTTTTTTTGTTTCAAAAAAAGAAAATAATTTTTTGTAAAAGTTTTTCGTTTGTCTTCTTTTTTTTTTTAAAAAAAAAAAACAAATAAAAATTAATAATTAACTTATTCAGTTAATTATGAATCGTTAATAAAAAAAACATTTCGGTGGTAAATTCAGTTAATTAGTCTTACTAATATTTTTTTTTTCAAATTTTTTCCTTTTCGTGCTTTCACGCCTTTAAAATCCTTTCTTCTTTGCTTGATTCCCCACTTGAAACAGCTTTCTTTTGTTCATTTCCCCTTTTCTTCATAATTCTTCTCTCTATTAGATATCGGAATGCATTTTCCTGCAGTAATTGGTAAAATCAGCTCTTCCGTTATCTCATGATTAATTACTATCTTATTATCTGGAAGACAAAATAGATTTTTTTCATTTTTTCTTTCTCTTTTTCACTCTCTTCAATTAGGAGAGAGCGTTATTAAAAAGTCTTAAAGAGCGTGGAAAATTCTTCTTCTCTATAACCACATTATACTGTCTCTTCCATCGGAAGTTGGAACTCGCTTACGAGGTTTTTCTACATCTATAGGTGGCTCTGCAGTCAATTCTTCAATAACAATGTCCGGTATCCTCGTGGGTATACGAGTCCTTGGACAGTCTAACCTTCCGTTATCTTCTTTTCTTCTGTTCATTAGGCTATTACACTCCTCCATTGATATATCCTGATCTGAATCGAGATAGGATTTTCCTCGATTCCAGAACTTTTTGAATTTTCTCCTATATAAAGCTTTTTTACGACCAACTTGACGAAGGTCTGTTGCAGAAGCTGTTGCTGATGGTGCTTCCGTTGCAAAAGAATTTTCACCAGGCAACCTCCTCCTACTTTTGGCAAATTGGCATCTGAGAATACGGACGAAGGCTCTTTTAAATTCCCGACTCGAGCAGGCATAGATTATAGGATTCATGAGGCTGTGAAAGGAAGAGGAAAGTACATCATCAAGGGTGAAAAAATCATTTCTTTTTCATCCCAACAAGGATTTTAGAGTATATATTTTTAGAAGAATATGTAAAGTAACATTTAAACAAACAGAGCAGTCCAGTAACTTTCTTATTACAAAGTTTCATTAAAAACGTAATACCTCGACTTGTTACTTTGTATATTTGTTTTACACCAAAAGGAGAGTTCCCACGTTTTCTTTTCGTAAAAAAAGTATTCTATATACTATGCATAAATACAAGAAAAGTGTCATCTTTTTTGCCCTGCCCCACCCTGTTACCCTTTTAATATTCTCTTATATTTCCCTAGTAAGGAAAGCGTCTCTCGTGGGATATCTCAAAAGGAACAGAGAGATTATATACGAGTGATGAAATATTCGTACCTGTTGCAGTAGCCCAACCAAAAAGTTATAGTAAACAACCATTGAGGTATAACTTGCTCTCTATCATAGACCTTGGCAAATAGCGCCTCTGCAAAAAAAGACAAAAACAAACTGGCAATTACAAGAAAATCCTGTTCGCCTATGTAATCAAAGGCGTTTAGGCGAAACGTCTCTTTAATCTTAACGCTACAATTTCGCGCGTCTCTTAACGGCGTTTGATGGAGTACGGTGATTTTCCATCGGTAGTTAAGGTTCAATTCACTCTAGTATTATTATTTTTTAATCACTCATTTCTCTAGTCGTATATGATATGAAAGAGATGATATATATATATATATATATATATATATATATATATATCCTATCTTCTTTAAAGGAAGCTATAAGTGGTAGGTATAAAAAGAAAAACAAGGATAAGGGTGGGAAGTGGGTAAAGTGAAAGAATCGTAAACTTTAAATTAATAGGCTTAAACAAGAAAGTAATCTCTATTCCTAGTAATGCTTAGTTTTTCTCTTATCATTTTCACGCCCAATGCTTCATTTCTCGCTTTGTCTTTGTCTTTGGGGTATTTTACTATTTTTATTTTATATAACATTTTTAATGGATTTACGTTTAATCATCTTAAAAAACATGTACATTCAGCAGGAGATAGAGAAAGAGGGAGAAAAATAATCGAATAAATAGTCAAATACAGACACGGTATAAGCATAGGAAAAAGAGTAAGAGGGGAAGAGAAAGAAAAGAAAATAAAGATAAATAGAAGACGAAGAATATTTTCCTCTTGTCTGACTTAGTTACAGGTTTTTTTTTATGTTTTATAAAAAAAGTTAAATTTAGAATATTTCGTCCTAATTCTGAGCTGGTCGGTTCATTGCACATGGTTTACTTGGATTTGCTTCTTAGAAGACTAATCAATTTCCGGACAATATTTCAATTAAACCTACCATATTAAGTCTAATGACTCTAAATCACGCGCCAGTTAGTGCACTACAGAAACATTTAGAAAAAAATACAAGCAATTGCTTATTGAACCTGAGGCGAATGAATTGTCGTTGATGGATTCAGCTGTAATAGAATAATATCAATACTTTTGCAAATACAAGAGTCATTTCCATATTTTCTAGGGGAGGTAAGGAAATAATACAAGCTTCAAAAGCATCATTGTAAATAATCAATGATCTCTTCACCTCAAGATTCCTACCTGTAAAATACATAATATTACATCAATTCATTAAAGAATTAGCTTAAATTCGAGAGTAAGACTTGGAAAAAGCTTAAAAATGATAAAAAAAATTAGCTCTAACAAAGAAGTTTCAAGACAAGAACTTAATTCTTAAATTGTATAATCGAAGGCGTTAGGCTTGCGTAAACCAACGATAAGCGTAAGGGATTCGTTACGGCGATCGATATAAGTTTGCATAAAGAAACGGAAATAGAGAATCAGTTTGTAAATGGCGTTCGTATTTCTTTATATATTGGAAAAAGCACGCAGCTGTTTAAATCTGGATTGAAAATTTGTGAAAAACCTTTCAATAATATTTACACTTCATATATTTACATTTTTTCCCTTCATTGCCTAACGTCCGCCTTCGTGGACTGTACTTAAGTATATATATATATATACTGTATATATACAGTATATATATAAATTTATGTATATATATCAAAGTATAACATGTATATTTTATATAATTATATAGAACATTAAGATATATAACAAGCTAGGTGTTCTATTAAAATAAAGTCCTACTTTTAATATATTTTTTCTCTTTCAAGCCTATTTCCAGTTTCTATCCTCAACACCTATTTCGTTTAATCTCCATCCAGCCACACCTATGTATTTCCTTAATTTTACCAACTTTGTTCATTTCGCTAATAAAGATATCATACAGATACGGTGTTGCTCAATATCAAACCAATTATCGCACCTCTTTTAAACGAATGTGCTTAATATTTATTAAAAATAACACCTATATTACAATATTGGATTTTGTTACCGACAGCTTAGAGAATCAGCTGTATATTTATTCAGCTGGTTATCTTTGATAAACAAGAAAACAATTTCTAGTGAAATCTTGCAATTTCCCGCTGTGCACGATGGATGAAAATGGATTAAATGGATTTTTTAAATATTAGCCTTAAACAACAAAAAATTGATAAATAAAACCTAAAAAACGTATGGACCGGAAATGATTAAAACCTAAATAGACATGAGATCCGAAAAAATGTCTGGTTACTCTCTTACTCCCTCGTTCTTTGTATATCAATTCAGTTTTCAAAGGGAAAGAAAAGACAAAAACAAAAGTAAAAAGGGAAAAAGAAAGATTTGATATCTTTATAAATTAGTTTTGAAATTTTGGGTTAAGAACAAGTAACTTTTTTCCCCATAGTTTCAACAGCTGCTTCTTAACCTATGGGCAGAAGCAAAACAGGAAAATAAATATCTAAAACCTAAAAAATTTTCACTCTTCTATTTTTCTACCGTTGAAGAATTTTTAATAATTTTGTCTTCCTGCTTTCATATAGAAATGTAGACTGAAAAGTACAAAAATTTCACTTGGTACAAGAGGGTAGAAAGAGGATATAATTAAAACCCATCTTCTTATATAAATTGAATGAAATTTTGAAGATTAAGGTTAAGAAGGAGCGAAGAAAACTTAAATATTCCGTATCCTAGGATATGTTTCAGACAAACAGAGAGAGAGAAAGAGAAAAGAGAGTTAGATTGACTACTAACTACTTATTTAAGGAAACTATTTCCCTCTCTCTCTCTTTAGGATCTGCTTTCATTTACAGTTTTACTGACAGCTGGTTAAAACTAATTAGGAAGACGAAAGATTGCTTAAAAGTTTTCAATTCTGTATTGAAAACTTAGTAGGATCATTTAAAATTTCTGAGAAAGAGAAAGAGAAAGAGGAGGATGGGAGGAGAGGGGAGAGGCATAGAGCATGACGATACATAAAAACAAATATTTTACAGTGTATACTTTATAATTCTATTGAGTAATTTATACAGATTGGTAGAGTAAAGTTATGTTTACAAAACAATCAGTTTTTTACTTTTTTAAAAACATCTCGAGGGCAAGTATAGCAAAATTAACACCTTTCAGTCTCTTCTCCATCGCTACAAAGTTTATTTATAAAGACTACGTTATACTGTATACGTAGAAAGATCACCTATTTTATACAATTTGTTCCAATACAACTCCCTCTCTCTCTCTCTCTCTGTTGTTGAGGAAAGGAGACGCGGTTTGGATAGAATTAATCAACTCCTTATCGGCCTAGGATCAATTTCGTTGGGAAAGGTCGGTCGGTTCCCCAATAAGTAACAAAAGGATTTTGGACGGTTTTATTACCAACAACGATGACGACGCTTAAGAAAAAAGACGAAGGAGAAAAACAAGTAGCAAACCGACAAACGAACCGCATTCTTCCGCGAACAATCGCATTTATTTTCAACGCGGCGAGAAGCCATTTAGAGCGACGGCTATCTTTCACTCATATATCCGTCAGCATTTAATAGACCGACGCCGTCAGGCGTTCTCTCGCAAACGTTTCTATAAATGTATAGGAATGCAAAACCGTCGGTTTAAATAATATAGATGATTATACGTTGTTTAAAATGAAATAAAAAAACTCTTTGAAATATATGGCCTATAAATATTCATTGTTTATATATAAATCTATAGCAAAAGGGAGGAGTTGAGAGTCGAGAAAAGAGGAACAGACCAAAATGAAAAAAAGGATAGAGAGAAAGCGAGAGAAAATGAAAGAAGAGAGTAGAGAGGAATAGAATTTATTATAGATGATTTGAATTACGCGCCAGAAAAATTACCCAATTAATTTGCGTTACGATCTTTTTTTCTTAGCTATAATACAATTCATCGAGCCGACCCGACCGCAATTTGCCAAACGTCATCGGTTAATATATAGGAAAGGCTTGGAAAAGGCTCGTCATGTTTTGACGGCTTTGACATTTTGCCAAACTAAAAAACTACCTACCATTTTCTCTTTTCACTGGTATTTACCTTTGAATATAGGCGTATTAACGGTCAATTCGCCATGTGAAGTATAGGCCTTTCAAAAAAGGAATTTACATTATTCTAACTTAATAAAGATGTCTCTACTCTGAATATTTAAAAAGGAAGAAGAAGGAAAAAAACAGAGACAAAATTTTAAAAGAAATCATAAGAATGAATTACAGGCAAAAATTAACTTAACTCTGAATATTTTGGTCAATTTAACTACTTAACCCAATTTTAACAAAAAATAATACTTTAGTAGAATAAACTATATATATATATATTTATAGAGAGAGAGAGAGAGAGAGAGAGAGAAAACTCACTCTCTCAACCGTTTAGAAAGATCAAAAATTTAAGTATTAAAAAAAAAAGAGACTTCAATAGAAGTTCCTTGATTTTCTCTTTCTTCCTCCAGATAAAAAGAACAAAATAAATAAGATACTTGTATCAATTTCCTAAAGAGAAAGTTAATTAGATATACTGTATAATTAAGCGATAATAAAAAAAGCAACCAATTAGGGAATATACAAAATTGATATGATCATTTCGACATATTTGTTTTTTTTCTTTTCTCTTGTTTGACAAACTAAAGGGAGCTTTTTTTTGTTTTGTTATCAAAATCTGAAAATAGTTAAGATTATTGAAAAGGTGAAAAAGATAGGCTATGGAATCAAAAAGATAAGGAAATGAATAGAGGCATTAAAAATTTGTTATAATATATATCAAAATATCAAAAAACCAAAATATCAATAATACATATACAGATACATTGTAATTCTATCCTTAATAAAATCTAATCGAACTTAAAATATATGGAAAGCTATCAAAAACTATTACAAAATGATAGATCAATATTTTTAAATATGTCATTGGAAAGTAAATACATTTATAGAATATGTATGGATTATTTTGCACATTTCTCTCTCTCTCTCTCTCTCTCTCTCTCTCTCTCTTTCTCTTCATTATTTTAATTTCTTTCATGTTACAATTCCCTGTAGGCATATAGTACATTCATACATACATACATGCATATATACAAACGCGTACACGCATATATATATATATATATATGTATATTTAGACAGACAGAGAGATGGTATATACTAATACCCCCACCCTCTCTCTCACTCCCTTTCAATTTCTATTATTCCTACTTCTCACTAAATATTCACTCTAATTTCTGTAATAGTCTTAGCCGCTTTAACAGTTTGTCCTCAATTTAATTAACATATAAATAAAGAAAAGGGTGAGAAAATTTTAAAAGTTCATTTTTTTCTACATGTAGTTTGTATAGTGGACTGGTGTATTTATACAGCGGCTATGTTGAAATATCTTATG